TAGGTATTGAGTGATTGGTGTTACAAAATGCTTCGTGGTATTTAAACAGATTGTTACAGACGCCCTTAATATGTTATTTATGATGCAAATGACCTGTTTTGATGTGGTTTATTCTTTATCGTTCCATTGCATCTTGTTTTGTTTTTCGCTCTGCATTTGTGACGCAAGGCGCCTTGGACGACGTTATCTCTAATTGAGATCGCACTTCCCCCGCTGTCACTGCTGTAGTCGCCAACCAGATTGCGTCAGATGCGTCAAGTTATTGTTGTTGGTTTGAACTCTTCAATCAAGCTTGCATTAACTGTTAATTACAGTAGCAGGCGGCCAATATGTAAACACAGGCCACATTGTATCGACCATGTCACACGTTATTTGTCAAGTATGGATCTCGATAAACTGTGGTAAGCGGCTCACACTATCGAAGGTCCACGGTTGCTGTTTGTTTTTCAATGACATTTTCTATACCAAAAATTATACATCCTATTTTAAGTTCTTGCCTATATAGTTCACAGTAATAGTTTTCATTTATATTTACATGTTGAACTTTTCGAACCTTGTTTTTGATCTCATACTCCAAAACCTTGATTTGAGTAATTTGTAGTGTCTATGGCATTTTTAAAATTAATTTCTGACTAAATGTATATGATGAAAGAATTTTAAAAATGATTTCCACATATTGCAATAAATAATAAATTGAATAGTCGTGATTGTAGCTTTCACGAATACAACGTGCATGGCGAGAATGAGTACTGATTGAGAATGAGTGTTTACTCCAGATTTAACCGGTCGTTGCGCGGTCAACTAATTCCAAATTATGGTTTGTGCTTGAAATCTAATCTGCTTTTCCGTTCATGCAGGAAATTTTGATATTCAACTGTTCAAAATAATTGAACAAATAAACATAACTGGTTTCAATTGAATATTCTGAACTGAATTTGAATTAATACTATACATATTTATGAAAAGTTTCCAGTTGAAAGTTATGGGTAGTTATCCGCCAATTGTATTCGGGTAAAAGCAAATGTATTAGGAGTAATTGGTTCAATGTCTCAAACAGATAGCAAAGCAACATGAAATGAATTTTCTAACGTTCTGAAAAAGGGAATGAACTTGAAATTAGCTTGAGTTAAAATTCGAAGTTTTCTGAAGATTTGGAGAGGGATTTTAGAATATTTCGACTGAAAAAGTGTTCGACCTCAACGTCCAATTATAAATTACTATACTAGCCTATTGGAGGGATTTTTGATATGTGCTGATGTACTGCACGATACCGAGTGATTGGAGGTGAAACCTGGCTCAGGAGAATTCAAACACGTGGTCTCCTTGTATGCTTGGTCTCACGTATCTTTCACCTAAAGTTTAATAGGCAATCCTAGTAGAACATGCCACTCAATCTTCAATTACCGCGTCTAGCAAATGGATATTCGCGCATAAGGTACTGCTGCCGACACAAAAAGCGTAGGCCTGCTAATTTCTCAGCGCACCATGGTGGTAAATTTTATCTAAACTTCTGAAATGAGAAAATCTAAATATTGTTACTTATTTGGCCACATATGCGTGCAACTCAAGTTACTGAAGTATTGTTACACATGAAGGGTGAATAATGCGTGAACGCGAGTTTCAATCGGATTCATTCAAACCACAAGAGAAAGTTGCAATTTTAAGCGCAGACTATTAAATATATATATGATTTATTATAGCAGCCGTATACCGGGAAATCGTTTATCACTTTGATACCTGATTACATGAATGTCAACGATCCATTACGGAACTTAGGTTATTTTTGACATTGTAGCTTCTACCAGTACAAGCAATTAAGTGGTGGTTGAAAAAGTTACCGCTCCTAATAACACGGCTTAGCAATGTCGATATTTTATTTATGTTGGAATAAAAACTTTAATTTTCTTGTTTAACTCTGTTATTATCTCTTTGACTCGCCCTTTGCCGGTCGCGTTTTGTTGCGTTTCGGCCGCAAATTGAATCTAAGCGAGAGAACGAGACCCTTGAAGAAAGACAACAATTAATACCATAATAGCCCCCAACTCTGACGCGGCAGCAATCGACTACGCATAAACGTTCGGATGTGGTTAAAAACGACAAAAATAAAACTAATTTTAAGAGTTCGGCGCCACGCGAGCATTACAGCTTCGTTAACCGAGAGTAATGCTACATGCTACTAGGTGGTAATTAATATGTTCAACTTATATTGTGGTTTTTGGTTGCTAAATCTGTAGCGAGTTCATTCGTTCAAAATGGCGTTTCGTTTATATAAGTGTCTTCCACAGAAGCATCTCTTCTCCCCCGAGCTTTACCCGCGTTTGGATTAGCATATTCCATTTTTGAGAATGCTAATTAAATTAGTTTGAAAAAATACTACTGGTTCGAGAGGAAGACAAGTTATGGGCAAATTTGCTCATGTTCAGTATCAGTCATGTCTTCTTTTTCTTTTAAAAAATCAAAAAATGCTTTGATCTAAATAATATCTCTAATTTGTCGTTAACTTAAAGTAGAATTCGGGAATTCATTTTTTCATTGGGATACGAGTTACCACTGAATAGTACTTCTTTGCTTGTAAATGAAAACGATAAGCTCAGAAAGAATATGCGTCGCCACCGTTTCCTTCAAAATATCGCGATGAGAAAATGTTGTATTTGCCGGCGATTGAGATAACGAGACAAGGCGAAAATGAGCAAGATATCCGAGGTCGATTCTGATCAGTGAACATTGAATGAATAGGAATCTGCCCTGTTGCTATTTCACGTAAATTTGCATTGAAGTTGAGATATTGAAGAATAAAAGTTGCAGTAAGTTCGAAACTAGACTTCACTCACAGAATATATGAAATGTAACTTGAGTGGATCACGAAAAGAGCCCCAGGCAGATAGACAATACTGCAGTATAAAAATAGTGAACAAATGTAAACAAAAATAGTTGTGTATAAACTATTTCTAGAGTAGTCGATGTAGTTTCTGATTCAGACAAAAATTGCTCAACATCAGCGTCGTGATGTAACCGTTAAAAGTAGTAGTAATACAGAGTGAGTGTTTAGTACAGCAGGCGAAAACAATCGATTTTGATGTCATTTCTATCTACAGAATTTTTGTAACGACATGTTTCGAAACACATATAACCATACTTTTTAAGTAATTAGGTCATTTCCCTACCCGTGTGAGAAAGACTCACGTTAGGGTATGGAAGGTATGTAAGTTTTCACAAAACAATGCCATGAGACCTCACGTAGAACGACAGATGATTTCTGGCAGATCACAGACAGTTGGATTTATTATTGCGGTAGTGACACTGGTAAATATATGTTAAAATTCATAAAGGCGATATTGTCAGGCAAACTTCTAGACGGAAGTGAATTCCACAGACTTTTTAGAAACTTTCAACATAAAATACTCCATTACTTATCAGGTATTATATCGATATCTGCGATAGATCAATATACAGTATAAGCTTTTTCAACAATCCTACCATTTCGAGTAGATTTGTCGTGAATTTAATGATGACAGTTGTAAACGCATGTTTATATAATGAAAAACTTTACTAATGTGACTTCAATGCAGTTTTTTCATCCTTTCTATAATTTACAACTCAACATGAAACTAAAATGTCAAATTAGTTTGTTTTACGATTGTATCTATTTATCAGTATCACGCGACTGGCCATTATTAAAACGAGGTTCACGTTTTAGTCTACTTTCAGTGGGATGTTGTTGACGTCATCACAACTTATATCTGTTTTTATTTGATTGCTAATTATTATCTTGTGCTTCCAATGACCCTGCAATGGTTTGCATTAGGAAATATTAAAAATATGCGTCGTCGTCGATGTAAGTTCCTGTAATCACATTAAACTACCGGTAGCATTGTTCTTTACCCCATTAGAAATCTGCGCAAGGTTTATCAGCATCCACACGTTATTGTATTTTAAAAACGAAAATTGACAATCTCGGGAATTCCTAAAACTTGAATTATTTAGTTTGTAAATCCTAACTTTAACCTTGGCTATGCTTGCTGTAATATTATATTGGGAATATGCTGCGTTTGTCATTGCATCTATAGCTCTATACAAGTTGTGAAAGTGCACTTTTATAACAGTATTGTTTGATGCGAATCTTCCTAATCAAAACTGTTCAATTGTGCCTAACGTGAACTGTAGTTAAAACAAACCGCATCTGCTATGGCCCTCACTTGCTAATAACATCAAAATAAAGAGTTTTCGATTTGATCGTTTCCTGTTTATTAGCATAAATATAACTGCTAATGATTTGAGACTGTCGTTCATCACACTCCGAGTTAAGAAACAGGAACGCAATTTATCTAGAATGAGTATATGAGCTTGGGTTATAACAGAAGGGCAATACAATAAATAGATACGAGGACTTTCATTTTTTTTTTCATAATATATCTATACAATGAAGAGGTTCTATAAATTTTATTGTGTATAGCTGCTAGCTTATTACTTGTTTGTTCCCGTTGCTCATGATAGATAATATTCTCTCTGCCTGTCGTGATATTAGAAACGCCTGTGCAGATAAGTTTGATGTCATTTTGTCAGATGTTAGGTTGAAGCGGATTCTTACAGATAATCTGATAAAGATGGACTGAAACCTAACATGAAATATGAACCAATAATTTTAAATAATTCCATGAAAAGTTTCGAAAACTTGATATAAATTTTTTATAAAGATTTTAAATATTTGTTAATTTATAATATATAACATGGTTTACAAATCTGATAAAATCACTGTTTTACAACCCAAAGGCCTTGTTTTGCTTCGTGGAAATGGATTAATTAAGAAAAAGAACAACAAATTTAAAACAAATCGCATTTGTTGATATTTCAAAGTATTCGGAATTTCTATTTTTTTAAACTAACAATGAACATGATGCAATAATTGGATTTAAAGTAAGATTCGATGTCCACGCCCACCTTGCTGATTTTGTTTTGTTGTTTAATAAAGTAACTAAAGTTTTATCTTGTTCATACAGTATCTCCGGTCTATTGTAGAATTACCGACATTCTTACAAATGCCGGAATGCACAAAACTAATGTAATTTTTAACAACGAGCACAAAACATCGAATCGTGCTTCATTAGAATCAACAGATATTGTTTCACTGGTTGCCAATTCTCCAAGAATTGATTCATCGGGTCTGAAGTCGGCTGAAAATTATTCGGACGAATCTAAAGCTACTGATTTTGCTTCGATAGTCTCCCGAGTCATCCAATCAACGCAGGAGAGAAGTTCTGGTGATTGCGGTACGCCAAAAGCCGAGGAAAAAGTTCTACCACCAGTACAAGATAAATTCACTACTTCTAATCAAAAGGTAAGTTTTGGACCATTCATAAAAACATTAAATCTAGTGCCCGGTAATATTCGAAAACACAGTAGAAACACCAGCTATACGAAATGTCGCTTAATTTACTGATATTTTTGTATTATATCTATATCAGAGATATATTATACACACAATTGATAATAAGTTAAATCTCATACTTGATACGCTCACCAGTGCATTTTTAAAGAAAACAACATCAGGGTGTGGGGCTTACGTCGAACAGCAATAAGGTTACTATATAGTCATATGGGTTAGATTTAATACTACAGGAAAAGTGTTTTGGAATTCAATATACGTTGTTGTTGCGCTTCAGATATCGCTTTATGTTTTGCTGTCTCGTTTTGCCTCTTTGAGTTATATATAATCATCATCCACATACGGTAGGCCGAGTTGCACATATCAATTTGAACTTGAATTCGCACGATTGTTGCTTGGTTAAGAGCATAACAAAATAATGCGCTTGAAATGTAAGTTGGCCGTCCTGGATATTGAAATAGACACTGACTCTTGCTGTTCGATTTCTCTGTATTTTCCTGTCACAAATTCGTTCTTACCAGCGCTAGTCAGATTACAATTTTCCGCAATGTTGAATTAATGTTATCGATGTGAAAGAATCGTGTTTTGAAGCATCGATTTCTTGATGGAATACAAGTGATTTAGTCGTGTACTGGCATATAACTGGCAGAGAAACCGAAAGCAAATTAGATTTAGCCTAAGTTTTACGTGCTGTCGCCTTCACCCATCCATCCCGCCTCGAAGTACATAAACAAATCGTTGTACTTCAATTTCGATCGATATAAATGCTTTGTTCCAGGTAGGCCAACTTGTTATTATATAGTATAACCCAAATTCATTTACATACTTGGAGCATGACTGAAAGGGTCGTTCAATGTACTAGTCATCCATGCCGTTACAGTTCGCAATAGTGGTATATACATCGTAATTCAAGTTAGCCCTCTTACCTGGATTTACACGTCTTATTAATGTCTTTTACTCCGACACAAACTTTTTACAAAAGAATGATTTAAAAGCCTATCTTTGTAAACTACAGTCTGTCCGATCGAAGAGAACTCGAATTGTGGTTGATGCTTCTGACCGCCGCCCCAAGTGAGCGCAATTCTAAATTCGTAATTAATTTAGGCGACGGTTAATTCGCGCATAAGTGATTGAAAATATTGCTCGATATATTTTTGAATATTTGGATCAAGCACCCTTTTTCAGTTCTGTTCAATTATCTGATTTTGCTTTACAAGCTGTCCCGACATATTGGACTTGGTTTCGTACAAGAAATACTTCACTCATGACAGTGACACTTTGACGTTTTTGTGTATTATGCTTGCGAATGACATGCGAAAACAATCCGCCTTCTGTGTAAAACAGGCGCTTTCCGCAAGTACAGGCGTCATTTTTGTCATCCGTTTTAGGCGATGCAACTATCTTTGCTGCAACAACAACAGACTGGTGGTTTGAAACAATTGGATAAGACAGTGAATTGCACAGCAGCGATCGTGGCTGGTCATCCACCTGCCGATTCCCCCAATAGCAACCGGGGTGACGCATCTAACCCTAAGGAATCAGGAGGAGAGAATCCAATTGCAGCGGCAATGGTTGCTGCTGCAGCCGCAGCTGCGTCAGGAGTACCATCTGGAGGACTTCCCTTCAATCCAGCCTCGTTATTATCTTCTCAACTGGGGTCACAACAGGTGACACAGTTTTTCTTATGACCTAACCATTGATATATTATATTGCTTTGATCAGATTCACATAACTGTATTTATTCTATGCAACTATAAAAATATGTACAATGCTTTGTATTTTTGTTTTTGAAGATTCCAGTGGTCAAAATAGTTTGATTAATAATTATTCAATTTTCTGTCCCCAAAATGCTCTGTGCAAGCAAGACTTACGTAATTTTGTTGCAATAGGAAGAATAATATTAATTAATACTCGCCCGCGTGTGCAACGAGAAGGAGAAAAAGTTCAATACGCAGTACTGCGGAAGAAATGCTATACAACGGAGTTGATTGTTATTTCCTGTAAACAGTCGGGATACACAAAACCGTGCAAACGTTTTATCGAATTTTCATTAAACGATATCAAGTATGAAATAGTCATGTATTGAGCTTCGGGAACAGCTTCCTTGTTTGGAGCATGAAATATAATACATTGAAGAATTGGGGACGCCGAACTTCATTTTTAAATTACCGAATATATCCCAGCATAATGCAATTTTTTGTCAACCCCGTTGCCAGAAAACACTTTTTTACCTTCAGCAGCACGTCGCAACCAACAAATTTTCTAGTTTAACCCTTTTTAATAATAATAAGGCGTAAACGAACAACTGCCCCCGGTTAACAATAGGAATGAAGATATAGTCTCAAACGCTATTTGGACAATCTCAACGTAGAGGGCCTTTGGACTGTCATACACAAATGCTAATAAGATGTGAGGCGTTTTGGAATTGTAATTTGAAAACCGTGGCTTATTTATTGCTTCAAAATTTTGTTTAATATATTGTGCAAACTGGAATCATAACATAAATAGTGTTATATTATTTCACTTGCAGATCCAGCAACTGCTATCCCAACAAATATTGTCTCCCCAACAACTGCAGTCGCTGATGCAACAACATCAAGTCATGGCCGCTCAACAGGTCAGTTAACCTTTATTTGTTATTGTATAATAAAAGGAAAACACAACTCTACACATTAGGCCTTTGTGAATATTGGTACAAATATTTCTTACGCACTGCAGAATTTATCATTGCAAATGGAGAGTGACATTGGTAACATTATGGTATCCTCGGATGAAATATAACTTCATATGTTTACATTCGGTAAAGTAAATCATGGCAAATTAATATGACTAACTAATTCATTACTCACGTTGAAATATATATAGATTTTTTCGTCAACTGGACAGTAGATGAATACCCGAGATGATATTGAGCGTGAAACGGCGTTATCTATTTTCACGGCCTTCCGCAAACTGACAAATAACACGATCAGTCAGCCTTGTATCGCCAGACTATATATATTTACTTCTAAACAAGTTATATGACTAACCATCGCTCTGGGTATTACAAGATTACAAGCAGATGTCTTTCGAGTTGCAGTTTTTACACCACGTGAGACCGGCCGTTTTAAAATCGCAAGTGCGCTCCATACTTGATTGGAAATTTGTTTCATATATTCTCAATGCTAAGTAACCAATAATTCAGTCGGCGATAATCAAGAGATAGACGACAGTTTTGTTTGTTTGTCCCTTATCGTACATCTGCATCTTGTTTCCTTCGTGGGCGCCAAAAATTGGCGCGGAAAGCAACTGAGTAAACAAGGTCAAAATGCGCGGGAAACGAGTAAATACCCGACAACAGTAGCAGGCGACTTGAAAATGATTCTTCAAACACGCTAATATTTGTGTAATCTTTGTCTAAGAATACCAACAAAGCGACGATTTTTAGTTGCATTTAAGTCTGTAGGTCAATTTATTGCAGTTTTTGAAGTATGGAATATTCTATGTAGTGTTCTTCGAAATCCTGGGTATAATCTCCCACTCTGGTACATCGTCGTATTTTGCCTTCAGGGTTAATTATTGGTCTTGTTGAATGTGGCATTCAATTCATTTTCATCAAACAGGGATCAGAATATAAATTTCTGGCTCTATCGTTTGTTTGGAAAAAGGCATTTGTCATTTTGGTTAAATTCCAAATTCACAGAAGTCACACCTGCGATAAAACAATACATTCTTACTATTTATTATATCCGCAGCATCATCAAATTGATAATAATTGAACAGAAATAGACAGGTGGTTCGGTTAAAATTCGTGTTCGCGCTGTGTACTTTTTTAAATAAAATATGAACACAAATATCCCGTATATTGGTAATCTCAATATTTGATGATGGTAAATTTATTTAATTCAGTATCTTGAAATGACAGTGTTATTGCAATTTTATGTAAAACTTGGCATACTTAAAATTCACCAGAAATATTGAGCGAGTAAGGAAGACAATTATTAAATGCGGACGGGCGTGCTACAGACCTACAAAGCAATTGCCATTTTATGGAAACGCCTAATTTGATGAACATGGATGATAGTGACGTGACCCGTGTCCGATTCTGACGTTTTCACGCACAATTGAAATCCTTATCTGTACCTTATTACCGCGTCGACCCGTCAAGCTGTGGCCACTGTGTGCCCATTCGGTCAGTTTTGTCATTCGACTTTTTAAAATATATTAGTTACCCATAGATGAGTTATAGAAAACTGACGTTTGAGATTTAGCATTTTACCTTATTCCAAACATGGCAAGATCAGATCCTATCTTCACGTTTGTTTAGTTACTCAATGTGTATAAACACAAACAGGCTCATTTCCTTAGAGACGGTCAACTAATTGTCATCAGTTTTTAATCTGTTTTATTTTTTTACCACTTTCTCGGAAAATGAGTCTATGTCATCAATTTTCCTATTTTGGAGAATTACAAATTTGTGATTCAGCTTACCAAAACAAACATTATTTGAGTTAGGGATGTCGCTGGAAGGCAAAGAGTCGATGACTTATTTTGTTGTCGCGATATCAATTGAAAATGTTTTGTTTGGAAATTTTCTTTTTTATTATTTTTCGTAGTCGTTTACAACAATTTCAGATCGTAATACTGATAATTGTGATGATAATTTCGACTGAAATAAAAAAAAAATAAACAAATTTGAATTCCCACGTCTTCGTCCTCTTATTTTTTGAAAGTAATGTCCGCAATCGCCCTCGCTTGACTGTCAGTTTGTTGGTGGGTAATCAACCAAAGTCAGATTGCCCGTTAGATAGTCATACATGGGAACAGTAGCACTCGGGTTGACTGAAAAACTGGTAACTTTCATTAATGTCATAATAATGGAACAATTTCAGTGGGAATTTTAAAAATATCAATCAAATTTTCAAATGTGTTTCTAAAAAAAATTTTGTCAAAAATAAATATAGGAATATATAAAACTATTTCTGATTCTATTTATATAAATTTTTTTTAAATAGATACCAAATACCAATACCCAATTTGTCTTTTTAACTGAAATATAACATTAAAAAAAATCTTCTACAATTAATAAATAAATTACCAATGTTTAAATGCCTAAATGTGGTGCCAAATATTGTACTATTCAAATTTTGTTCAACATGCAAAATTTCATGACAATATCAGGCAGTTATGAGAAATTCACTCCGCTGTGACTTTTACTTTCGGAAATTGGAAACCTATCAAAAATGTTTTTAAAAATTTGAAAAAATGAAAATTTTGGTTGTCGATTTCAAAATACAGCTATATCACTATTTATGTATTTTTGTAAGAATCTATCTATGTTTCGACGTTATCTATTGAAGGCCTCGCCATGGCCCCTGCTTACAAGCGCAGACATGATATGACTCTTTTCATAATAATTTTATTATAAAGTACCACAACATGTTCAGTTTTGGGATATTTTTATAGTAATATACTAAAAACAGCAATTGAAAAATATTCCATTGAATGCAAATAATTGAATAACTCGAAACCACATTGTGAATAGTCGTACTAAAATTATCGCACGCCATTTTGGTGGTTACAATTTCAGTTGCTTTCATAATAAACGTTTATACAGTTAAACCCACTCATTCGTTATTTTTCGCTATGTACTTATATTTTTAAAAAGGGAATTTCGGGCACAGACGTTTTTCTTCGGCTTTATGTATAGGTCATTGACATATTTAATTAAATGCTGAGCTTCGAATGTCTGTGCTTTCTAACAATTTTTCACCCGTGTAATCTTAAGTTTAAATAGGAGATATTTCATATAAATGTATTTTTATTTCAACCTCAGACATGCTTGATTTATGAATAAAAAGAGCTTGAATATGATATTTCTCGTTGTTCATGGTTGAGTACGACGTGAAATAGTAGGATATTGCGGCGTACCTGAGCCATTAATAAACACGATATATTGATCGATTTCAGGTAAAATCACCGAATACAAATCCTGTCCTCTTTCCCCCCCCTAACAACCGGATTTTGTATTTTGTGGGTTTTGGTTGAGGCAGTAGAGCTTTTGTTCTGAAATAAACATAAATCTTTTTTTAAATAACAAATTGTATTGGAAACTGAAACGCTGCAATTAATTATACATACGATATTTTAACTTTCTTTTCAAATAAAAGTGATCCTGGACCTATCAACTCGCTTTTGAGTTCAAATAATTCACATTTGAAAAATTATGAAAATTTTATTATGATATAGTTAATAACTGCCTCTTTTTTTGGTTTGCCACCATGATTGACGACATTTTTTAACTTTGAGTTTTAATCAAAGAACGTGAAATACACGTAGAAATTTGCATACTTTTTGTCGTATTAAATTTTAATTTGCAAAGTAGGTATTTGTGGAGTTTTTATACCATTCTAATTGGTGAATTAAATATATAATCACGACTTAAAACCTATTTTCTTGTATTTTGTGTGAAGTTTTGCAAATTGGAGACTATACGTCTATGAACGAGTGTAAATAAAAAATGCAAGATAGTCAGGCACGTCAGTGGCCGTTCGCAAAATGGCGTGATTTATGAAAAAAAAATATGTACACAGTGTCCAAAAAAAATTGCCCGATTTTATAGTAATAAATATTGCACGTTATAAATAAATTTTATTGTATAATAAATGAGAACTATAAGCCCAATAAGAACTATTAAACGAAGACAAATGTTAATTTATTGTCATTTCAATAAAATAGGGAATACTTTTCTGGACACCTTGTATATATATGGATCAAGTTGAATTGGTTGTTGACGTTACATTTTTCGTCAAGGGTATATCTATCAACAAAAACATAGTATCAACAAAACAGAGTACCCTACGTTCCAATGTCACCCTCTGTCGTTAGTATTAAAAATGAAATACGAAAACGTATTTCATCAAGCTATAGCATAGATAAACATTTTTGACGACTCCTTTTCAAGGCGCCGTCACAGTGGACTAAATTTTTTTTTCGCAACTAAAGATAATTAGAATGTTACAAGTGATATATTTTGAACTTGAAAGTCGTTGGTACCGCTACATCTCAAGAAAGTAGGAACGTGCTTCTTTCTAATCAGATAAAGACTGACTATCTTGCGATGTTGAATAACCTCGGAATTTTTGTTAGGTTCAACATGGTGTTATATTCTTTATATTCTTCTCGGTAACATGGGAAATTAATTCCAATTATACAATGATTTAGCATAATAGCAGCATTGTAATTTTCCGGAATTAGAATAAAAACGTCAAACGGTATTCAAATTTGACCGTGTACCATGAATTAGGTATTTATAGCAATAAAATTAGGATTTTATAACAGTTATATCAATAACTACCAATATTTTGAGGCCAAGATACGCCTCTGGCTGTTTATGCTCTTTCCTCATTTCAAACATAAATCATTGACGATTATACTTTTTAAATATAAATTTGTATACTGTGAAATAGTTTCAAAAATTGTAGATTAACCAGTTTTTTTGTTATTACACACGCTAGCATTAAAGATATTACCAAAAGCATATCTCGACATTTTATCAATTTTTACCCGACAATAATCACTATGAAACAATCAAAAAATCTCAATTTCAAAGCTTCTGTGTTAATTTTAAAATGTTATCGAAATCCTATTTTGCCCCCTCCCCCCACAACAACAACAAATCAATTTTGCGCGCCTCGCAAAGTACAAGAGTCTTGGGAGCATTCAGTTTCCATAACTAACGCATGAGATCCTGATCAAATTTATTTTAGCATTGTTGGGTATACCTACATCAATCGTTTTCGAAATTTACAAGCGTGTCTTTATATTTATATCCTCTAGTCTTGAATTATTTGGGAAAATTTCATCCTGTTTTTGATTATCAAAACGGCATTTGACCCAGGCACACCGTCTCACAATTCTTATCTCATAACAGGTTGATTCAGTTTTTATGTACCAGGCCATTCGCTAAATCTCTTGCATGCATAATGCAGGCACATGAATTTGATATTTTTAAACTCATACCCTAAGTGTATATGAGGTTAATAATGTCATCATATTCATCCAACTTGAGTCGCGCCACTGGTCTTCATTCTCAGCTATATATTTAACAATTTTGTTTCAATCACCATCTTCACATCTATGTCGTTATGTTTATTGTTTATCGAATGTTTATCGTCTCGAACCATGGTGTTTATTTATACACACCGCGAAGGAAAATAAAGAGTATAAGGTGGGAGGCGCAAAAGTAAACAGCTCCGCAACGATGTTGTTTTTGCTCCGCCTGCGGGCGTATATTTGTTTGTTTGTGTGTGTTTCTTTTTTTCGTGATCTTCTAGCCTTATTATTCTAGCACATCATATTTACTAAAAGCCGCGCTCGTTCGTTGCTCGCGCTCTGGTGATTCCTAATATAATATTTCATCGAGTACGTCGGGCATGGTGTTTTGGTATACAAAACGCGCATGAGTGTATGTACCGTGCGCTCCAATTTCTGTCGCCCGGGTTGTTTACTTCGTTTTCAATGTGTTGTTTATTAAATGAAGGGAATACGTATATGGAATTTCGGATGTAGATCAAGATTATTGCTAGAAAAAGAGAATATGGATGAAGATAATTAGATAAGCTGTTTGACAAAATTAAGATAAAGGCTCTGTGCTGTTATGTGCCATTAAATAAATAATTATGCGGAATGAGAGGACAGATATACATACAGACAAACGCCTGTCCTTGGGTGAAAACTACTGCGCCATACGTATGACCTTGCATCTTATACTGGACGTAAACATTAAAATGTCGTTACGCTTTTATTTAATCACGCACTGCGGATAAATGAGTCTTTTTATTACGGGAGATATACTTGTATTAGAGAATGGGAGGAAGGCAACTAGCAGATATGCTATTTTCCTATTTCATGGCCTTGCGTTTTATTATTTTAGTTGGCTATAGTTTAATATTGGATAAAATTTTCAGCATCAAGCTCAACAGCTTCAAGAACTATATCGGCAGCAACAAAAACATATTCACGATATTCAGATTCAGGTAAGATGTTTGTGTTATACACTATTCGTCCTTTTTTACTTCGGTTCCTTATTTTTTTTACTTACGTAATCGCGTGATGCAGGGTTTCATTTCGATATGACTTTTCTGCATGAGATGGGTAATAAGTAACGTGTACGTGACGATATTCCTGTCCTATTTCTTAACTTATGCGAAAATGAAGAAAATTTATTCTAACCTTGAACTTTTGTTTGTGTATGATTGTACCCAGATTTATTAGAAATGTACTAATCTTGCACAACTAAGATCGTGTTCTCTCTATATTAAGATCGAAATAGTCTTTTTCGTGAAGGGGGGGGGGGGGGGGGGGGGGGGGGGGGTGAAAAATCAGTATCACGTATTCCCGGTTTTTCCTGAGGTAATCAAAATGTAGTCAAAATATATAATAACAGCATCAAGTACTTCTGAAATTTTATCAAGTATATTGCTATTTTATACAATCCCGGAAATATTTCTGATACAATCACCACAAACCTCGCCGTCGCCCTAATTCCAAAAGTGTCTTTGCTGATCTATCAACTATTTTGAATACATCTATTTTATAAATAACATTGTGATCTTTGTTTAGTTCCATAGCAACGTTGTGTTGGCGATTTGCGTGCAAATAACTTGTCATATTTAAATATAGATAGTGCAGTATGTGTCTTGAAGGTCGCAAGTCAGGTTCGGTGTTTTGTGTAAACAAATAAATTACACTGGAAATAAATTGTGGTTGATTTTAGTTTTTGACATATGGTGCATTTTTCAAAAACTTCGTATGTACAATAAAACAACCTTTGTATGCAAATTTTTTTTGAATAGCGTCACACGCGATCGCCCACCCGGAGAAATGTGAAACGAAGACTTTCCAATAACTAAGCTATATAAAAACTGTGTAAATGTGACATTACCCCACGAAGGCTTATGTAATTTCAAAAATTGTTAATTTTTTTTTTTTTAAATAGTGATGTAATATACCCAATGAATGAAATTCTTTGTATGTCAAGCCGAATTTTTGATTACGGTTGATAAATTATCGTTCGTTATTTATTATATACCAAACAACTTGAATATGAAAAAGTTGGTTAGTCATCCAATAAAAGATCTACAGGTTTGATTCATAACTGGACCGTTTTCATGCCCTATATCGAATTATGCTTAACCCAACTAAATCCTTATTCCAATATTGAATGAGTTAGTGCCAAGTAGTTGTGATTTGCGCAATTTACCGAAATCCTTCATTGATTTGTTTGTCTATTATTTATGTTTGTTGGTATAACGTTGAGACATGATGAATGGATGAATCATGGAATCACGTCGCCGATAGCGGGAACCATCTCATGAGTTAATCTGTACCTGATTATACTATGACTGTTATTGTTGGCATGAGTGAATTCGTTATTAGACTTCGAAATGCATTTTAATAAACGTTTGTCCACTGCTAGTCCGCTGCCCATGTTTCCCCTTATATCGCCTTTCCCGTCGAACGAGTTATTTACGCTTTTACATTAACTTGTACAGAATAATGATGTTAAACAAACTACCTTTCCGAAAACGTCGGATAATTAAGACGTTCGCCAGAGTGAAAAATGTCCCCTGTCTGGTACCAGGGTCATCGAGGGGTTATCGGACCGCATGGGGGATCGTTTCTCGCCCGATTGATGACGCCCCGAACTGTTTACTTTGTCTGTTTTTGTTTACGGCTTTTCGCGCATACAAGTCTCTGCTAATGTTTGAGAAATTTGCTATGGATTAAATTTGGACCAGGCGGAGATAAGAGGAACTTGACCCTGACGACCTCAACACTATGGGAAAGTGATCACTATCGCCCGCAACCATGGTCTCTGTTTATTTAAGGTTCTGTGTAGGTTTGGAAACCGTGTGTCAAGTATAAGTATAGAACAAAACGCAGCTCTGGTCAAAATTTATCATATGCCCATATGTGTTTGCGTTTACTAACTTCACTCAGAGTAAGCTTGCTGGTATTTTCACCGGTTAACATATCCCGCTGTTATAGCTGTACTGTAATTTGCATTTTTCATCTCCTTTGATAGACTCATTGTGTTAACGCATGCTTCATTACCACGACAAGAAAATGTGAATGATGACCGCCGGATCAGTAAACAACCACCCTAACTGGAAAAAAGAAAAGACAATTTGTTAGCGGCGCCATTACAATGAGATTGCACCAGTGATAATTAGGGCAAAAGCTATGCTAATTTACAAAACCAATTTCTGACGTCACAAATCACAGGGTTCAAGGTGTCTATTACGATGCGCTTGTGTGAGTTCGCCGCCATTTTTAAAAAGTAGATATTCAGTCGGTGAAGCACATGCGGGTTTGAATGCGCTATAAGGAAAGCGCCATATTTATTATTTCATGTTTGATTTTGAACTTGGAATCAAAATTTGGAATCACTATGCAACACCAAGCTATTTTACAGACGACAGTACTGAAATAACCGCTCATTTTGCATGCGTTTCGAGTTGTCACAAACTTGTGTAATGAAATTGGGTATTTCGTTACGCGCTGTTTCATCCAAACCCCAAACACGAGGATGACACTCGCACACAATAACTTCGTTTCCTGTTTGAAGTCATATTTGTATTTCGTCTGTGTTCGACTTTGCAAAACCGAAACATTGCCATCAACATTTCATCTTTTCTATCTTAGAACTTTGAGTACTCTACCTAATGTGGCCAAGTTTTACAAAGTTAAGGTAACATCACGGGTTCAATCACATCCAAGCGTGGTCCTAACTCGATGAGGACCGTTGAGTTATTGGCATTAAATTGGCGGAGTGCATTACGCCAATACATAAAGGGCAAATTGTTTTCTGTTTTTGAACTTGGGAAAATCAACATCACAGGCGCGAAAATTCACATTTCCTATCTAATTAGTTTCGACTGTTAGAGTCAAAGTTCACAAAATCAAATGTCACTTTGTCTTTTACGTTTTTTTTTTTTGATTTTCACAATTCCTAACAAAAATAATTATTTTATTTTCTCATTTCAACAAACCCTTCAAAGAAAATGTAATTACTTTGCGGTTGAAATTGTTTTACTTTTTTGGATTTGTATCTCTGACAACCACGTTTTCAAGTTCAATTCCAAATGCCCTCTCTGATCTTTATCACCTTTTCTTGTGTATGTTGTTTTGCATTTTTGTTTTTATGCATTTGAGAAATGAATCGTAGTCCACTTACTTTTTGTTTGAAAACTTGCAACAAACGTAGTTTCAATACAAGGTTAATCGAAAAAAAACGTCGAATGACATATTTTGTCTAAAAAATAGCTGAAACTTACTCAATGGAGCTCAAAGATAAAACTGAAGTTGCCTTTTTCTGGGGCTGGATTAAGGGTCCAATGTACATACAAATTTCGTAAGCTATCTTTTTGCTCTCTCGAACAAACGGAATACGACAACGACAAAAGTATTATATATCTAAATTTCTAATATTTAAATAAGCTCCCAATTTATTTCTATGTACATATATACTGTCACTCTTCCTCGTAAACTTTTTACCTATCCTGGTCCTTCTTAAATTAAACAATGTGAGCTTTTCAATATAACCATATCCGTTATTTTGATTTATTTTGATAGATAAACGCGCTAGGAAATTAGAACAAATATTATTGTTTTCTTTGAAGGTGAATTCAAAATGGTAAAAAAGCGGGTCTTTACTAGTATTTTTCTATTTTTATAAAATAGGCCAGACCCAATTTAGAACAGAAGCTATAGGAGTTCGAATTAACTGGGGACCACAGTTGTTCGTTATATATAAATTTGTATCCAAAAATGTTTTCGAGTTGAAGTTCAATTGCCCGAGTGATTGGCTAGTGGGTTTCCGATATATCGTCTTCATTCGCGTGTGTTTTGGTAAACAGATTGTGTTGTTTTGATAATGGCGGTCTTCCTTTCCGTCTTACAGTATTTTGGGTTTTCATGCCCAAATGTAGATGTGTATAATGGTTGATCTGAAATATTCAGGAGACAAAATGGCGTTCATTATTGTTTTATTTATTTATTTTTCAAATTTAATTATATAATAGTAGCACGCCCTAACCTTGTCAAACTATTAGGACGAACGGTGGTGTCTCCAAAATGCCGTGTCCCTCTCATCTCACATATTGACGTAGCATTTTTACACTTCGAAGAGATGAAGCTATATTTTTATGATCTTTAACAGTCATACAGTACTGGATTTCATTTCAATTTATATATATACACGTAAAATCTCTTCGTGTCAAATTCGAAGTGCGCGCTCAAAAAAGTTTTTTTTCTATATTTCAGATGACACGACAGCATGGCAAACGTACGGGAGCTGCTACAAGCGCCCAAAACGATCACAATAATAACAATAATAGCGGCGACGAGGGCAAGCATTCCGGGGATCAAAACCAACAAGCCCTTCAACAACAAATAGCCCTTCAGCAGCTTGTTCAACTCCAGCAAATGCAGGCTCAACACCATCAACAGCAGCAGCAAGCCGCGGCTTTGCAACAACAGCAGCAGGGTTTAGCCGCTGCAGCTGCCGCAGCACTTGCTCATGGGCGGACTTTACCACCCCTATCGTCACGTAAGTTTCAATTCAAATACCGTAAAAAAAATTTTACTTCTCGCGTATAACCGCTGTTTTATATATTTCACAGCGGAACTGCAGCAAATTTGGAAGCAGATGACGGAAAGTGCTGCATTTCAAGCGGCAGCGGTAATGGCTGCTGCATCTGGAAAGTCAAGATCTGCTGATCACTTCGATACACAGTCAAGTGAGAAAATGTTTTCTTCTCCTATAGAGGAAAGAAAGCCCATCGACATGAACGGCGAATCTGTCAGGAGGTATGTAAAGTAAAAATAGCAATAGTTTCAAAGGTTTCATGTTTGGTAGAAGTCGAGAATTGAATATGAATTGGACCTAAGTTCTGGATTCAAAGCTTCGATATAAAATATTCCGGGTAATTTTCTTTTTAGAATCACACATTTTCAAATTCCATTAACGATAATTAACTTATAGATTTATTTCAATTTTTCAACCTGCATTTTCGAATTTTTGCAGAGGCCTGGCTCGCGCAAAAAAATCCTCACTTATAATTTGTGTTCGTTTTCTGAAGATGTGTCACATATTTTGATGATGTTAAATTGAACATTTGCTACCGCATTTTATATACCAATTATTCAAAATTTTAGAAGTTCCCGAGAAAGTTCTCCTGGCACTATGGATCAAGGGACAGCATGTATATACGCACACGGTGTTTGTAAATGGCCTGGCTGTGACACTGAATGCGCAGATCAAGTCGAGTTTCGACGGTGAGTTATTTTTGTATGTGGTAAAACTAGAAACATGCCGCTAGAATAATGTAACTATTTCTTTCAACTTGTATAAAATCCTAATCTATATGGTAATGACTCCAGTAATCTTTTATCAAATAATTAATTGCGACCAAAAATTTAAACAACCATCAATGTTTCCTTTCATGGTATATATATAAACATGTCATAAAAATAAAAAATCTTCATAAAGACATACGAAACACGTTTAGGACATCCACTTTATTCACCAATATTATAATTAAAAGTTATTTTGTTACCGAGTCTTGTAAATAATAACTTTAAATTGGCGATTATGGCGGACATCAAAGGATGCCAAATCGGGCTAATTCCTTGTAAGGGTTTTTAATTGATTGTTTTAATTTAGCTTTAATCAAATTTGATACAAGCACGAAAATTATTATATATCTATAAGCCAGGCTTGATCATGTCTATACTAATATAATTTCTTATAATTAAAATGTCGCTATGTTATTATTAAAGATAGCATGTGTAAAACACAACACGGTAATTTTGAAAACTTAATATCCGTACATAAAAAAGTAATATAGTTCCTTTTCTTTTTATTGGCATAGAAGTTAGGTGGAAATGTCACAATTAGTGTATTATTTCACAGTATTTATGATTTCGAAAATCAGATTTAGTTTCAGTTCACGTGAAATTCATATTTAAAGGTCATTTCTTTACTATCTGGACGTTTGTATTATTTTGTTACCGTCTGAAAGTCGTCACAGACAACTGGAACAGTAGTTGCATGTGAAATGGATAACTTTTTGATCCAAATCCCACCAAAGGAAAATTCAATCGCGATCTCATTTCGAATCCCGAATTGTTGTTCTCGAAGTTCTGAAACGGGATTAAAATTGACATGACATAAGCATAGTATGGTGTTAAAATATGTGTTCACTTCATACTTATGTTACACCCAATTCGAGCATTTGATCAGCATTTACTTTCGACAGAAGCATGGTTTCAGTCTCTGGGAGACAGACGACAGTCGCTTAGTCTTCAAGTGGGTTTCGAAATAAATAACAACAAAACGTTATGTTCTTGCTTTAATTGTGGGTTATCTTCACCAAAATCGCTCGTAATGTGACACGATAGATCGCTAGCACGCTTTCATGTTCAATATTAAATCCGACTGGCAGACGACGAACCTACTAATTATTATTTGCAGTTGCTTTATGACCTTTGTTTTTATTTTAAAAGTCGTTTCCGTGGCTCTACCGCTAATTCATACCTTCGACGGAAAGTCGGCAATATCGTAAGTGTAATATGTATGGCCTATCCCATAAATGACCACTTGAAAGTCGCCATAATTCATTTAAATTAATGATTCATATTTTAGGAAATTACCGGTATTATAAGCTTAATATATTGCAACTTCGAGCAGTCTTTTTATAAAATCGTACATATGGATTTACTCACTAAGTATTTGCTGCGTTGATTTTGATTAACGCGATCAACAACGTAACGCCAGAATTCTGGACTGTCGGTTAGAAAAGTCCAGAATTCTGGCATTACGTTGTTGATCGCGTTAATCAAAATCAACGCAGCAAATTCTCGCCTTTTCTCGAATTATTGCGCAGGCACCTCACACCTTTGCCCGACCTTCCGTCCCTTAGGAAAATAAACAAGGAATTTCGGCAGATGGTCAATGTTTACACTGTCTTTGATCTGCCCTTGCTGTTCTTTTATATCACAACAAAACCATATTTTATTTGTATTTTCGTTAATTTTATTACATATCAATTAACGATGTACCAAGCATAAATCATACATAGCTCAAACGCTTTTGAACTATCGGCCTTTTAAAATATATCAGATGACCATATTGTGTCATTAAGATCCGAATTCAGTTTTGTATATTTATTGATATTCTGTGCCATTGTTTGTTTGTTTTTAAATATTATTGTTTATATTATAAGCATGGTACTCGTTCAAATTCATTTTGTAGCCCAATCAATAAACGAAAACAATAATAATTGCTCACTAAAAATTTAAAAATACGGGTTATGCAGACAAAAAAAATCATCGGAAAAATTGAAAAACAAAAATCAATTACGAATCAAATGACAGACGGCAATGAAAGAAATAATTTTATCCGTTGGTATTATTCATACCCATATTGTCTTATATGAAATTATGCATCTCTCACACATACTATCCTATAGTTATAATTCAATTTCTGAATAGTCCTCACCAGGTATTTCACACAAGTACTCCGAACAAGGCAAACAAAACAAGCATTCATTTTGATGAATCTGCTCAGCCTCTCATATACCATTTTTTACACCCTTGTTGATTCACTATTTCTTGGTGGCAAATTCGAATTTTGATTTATTACAGGCATTTAAATCAAGATCACAGACTCGATGATAAAAGTACAGCGCAATGCAGAGTTCAGATGCAAGTCGTAGAACAATTAGAAAAACAGGTTAGTGGTGTTTTCATATTATTCTGATTTGCATGGCGTAGTATGAGACTAAATTGTATGTATATCGGTTCAATTCGTTGAATGTTGGCAATAAACATGACAGTGAATGTGGAAAATACGAACGGAGTAAAATATGAGGTTACGATATGGAAATCTATAACATTTTATTATGAAATGTTTTGCCAATTTTCTCCGAATGAGGCTTTTGGGCAAGCACGGATTGTTAATATAGAGCTGTTATGCAATTGGCCTCCTATCATACGTAACAGGCAGTTGAATATACGCGAAATATCATTTTTTTTTAATCTTATAGTAATGCGTTTATTCGATCACTTGGTACTCCTGAAGTATGCACACCAAGATGTCGCACAACCTGAACCCTAACCTGGTACACAACCTGAGTTCAGGTTGTGCGCCATCCTAGTTCGCATACTTCAGGAGGTCCGATCACTTTATGAGTGTGTAACCGAATTTGATCATTGTGGTTACACGCGCATTTTACAAATCTTATGTTTAACTACTACACTGTTAAAAAATTAGTAAATATACTAATTTTTCTAGTAAATTTTTACTAATTTTTCGTTGAATTTTACTTTCTACAAGAGTATTTTATTGAAATCACGTAACTTGCTTAGCTGAGCCAATCAGGGTGCTTGTTTGTTAATAGTTTACTAATGAATAGTAATTTCACTGATCAGTTATTAATTAATATAACAGAAAAGTAGTAAAAATATTAGTATACTTGGAAAAAGTAAAAAAATCTAAGATCCTCTAATTTACGAGTAACTATTCTTTCCAATAAACGAATTTATCTACCTACGCATGCGATATAGTCACGAAGCAAATTTAAATACTCCTTTAGAATTTCATCTAAATTTTGCTCTGGGTATTAATTTGAATTAAAATTTCATTATACCAGTGCTTTACAGTCAACTTTATAGTAAAATACGGTCAATTCAAGATGACGTCTCGAGTCTTTTAAACATATGACTCATACCAACCATGTACCAATGATAAAATGTGTCTTAAAAAGCGCGCTCCAACCTTCGTCCATACTTGAATTTGTGTCACATTTTATTCAAAACATCACATTGTCTGCTACCAATCTGTCACCTATTTAGAGTCGAAGTACATTGAATAATATGGCAGATTCGTAAACAAAAACCATAAACAGTTAAACAACGCTAAACAATCAAATCTGCGTTCAGTCTTTTCGCGGGAAATCGCAAATAAATAAATAAATAAACGTCAAAGATGTACGCAGAATTATACCGAAACCTTTACGCCGTATTAGATAGAATCAACTCGCTCAAAAGCTTGAGTATAAATTATAGTTCCACGCAGAGCAGTGGTTAACCCATGTACGTACAGATAAAAGAATAGTCCCTAAAGAGAAATGTTGAAACAAATTATGAATTCGTGAATACTTTTTTTTTAATATTTGGATACACAATGATGGCATTGGCATTTGAGGGACCGTCATGTTCGATGATGACAATTTGTGCACGTACATACATATACAAGTAGTCCAATTTCGGTTTCAATTCTGAAACTCCCAAAAGTAGTAGCTAACCAGTTATTAGTGGAGGCTTGTACTGAGCCTTGTTTGGAGCAAAGGTGTGAAGGTTTCTCTTATTTCAAATGGAGATATTTTGATGTTGAATGATGATACATGCTAAAATTTAAATGGCGTCAAAAAAAATTTCACTTTAAAAATTTTTAGAATAGAACAAGTAGATTTGTATAGTCAAAATTCCTCGGGCATTCCCAATTGATATGATATTAGATTGTTAGATATATATAAACCAGTAAAATATATTTAACATGCTTTAGATGCAAAGTTGTAGATGCTAAAATGTATTTAGAGGGTTAGTAAAAAATTCATGTTAATCTGCGTGGGATTATTTTGCTGGTTGTTTGTGGGTCGACATAAACCATAAACACAGTTTACGCCTATGATCATATCAAATTTCGAAAGATTGTATACGGACATCGTTCTTTCTGACAGAATTGAGTACTTTGTTGGTTTATTATGATTGCTATATCTCGTTTAATCTTCAGATTTCGCCCAAGTAAAATTACCTAAAAACTACGTTAATTGATCTTCAATTAGACATCAATGCTCGTTAAAAATTTGGCGCTCTAGAAGTATGTGTACCAATATGGAGGTAACTAATTTTGTTCGCCTACTTTACATCAAGTTGGCTAAAGGGACTGAAATAACCTATGGGTAGGGGGTATATCCACTTGGCTAACACAGACAGTCCCCGAACTCGTAATAGAACTAAAATAAGGAAAATCGGAATAAATTGTGGCCTAACCCCAACCTGGTACACACACTATACGGAAGTACCGAAAACTTTGCCACCATACAGTGTAAAAAATTTTTATAAGTAACAAGAGAGTGGTGTTCGAATATAAGGGCACACACAAAGGCCAAATGACTACAGCAATATCAGCCAAATTGATGTCTTATGTAGGTGTGTACCGATTGTAATACGAACAAAAATACTTCATGTCTAATAATATATGCAATGTCATTTCAAACAATTCGTTGGCCTATCCATTATCCATACCTATAAGTACACAATTGGTTTACTGCCCAGTTCTATGGAAAGATATTTTGAGGTTATAGCGGAGTGCCTAATGTGAGGAATACACAGCCAACAGGTTTTCGGTGGATTCAGATGATTTTATCCTTCTTTCTAAAAGATTAACAAAGTCTTTCATCAAACACAGTACCACCACATTATCAATTTTCAATCAGAAAATAAAAGCATAATGTCGATCGGTCTTTGATTTGTCCGATGTTAAATATTGACGACCAACAAACAAACACAGAACAAATCGTCTGCGTCCGATTCTTTTGTGACTAAAAACGTGAAAGCAAAATCGTGTGTGTGCATCTTCGTTCGAACAAAAGATGAAATTATGTTTTCCGCTTTCAACGATCGATGATAACGAAACACGCCCAAATAATAATATATTGTTGCCCAAAAATCAAAAAAAAATATATTAAAATATCATAATATGTTAATATATTGAATTCGTTTGAATTGAATTTTCAACAACAAAAGACATAGCGACTTCTTTTGTGTTGATCTTCGTCGAAAATCTTGATTGAGTGAAAAACCAACAATGATTACATTTACAAAAACTTAAGACCTGTTACTTGTGTTTACTCATAAAATGTACTTCGCCAAAAAGCCTTTACCAAAACGATGGTTTTGACTCAATGATACATGTGTGCATACGTTTATTTAAACTAACCTGGGATAGCTACAATGAATTTTATAGCAAAATGTTGCCACCAATGCCTGCTATGTTTCAGTTAGAAAACAATTTGAATGGATTAAAATGGAAACCTTATAAAAAAAGGAATGAAATGGGCAGTGACTGCTTGCTCAGAGTATTGTTCTGAGAGCAGAATGAAGAAAATAAAAAAAATTATCATATGTTGCAACAACCAATGATTTTAACTAAACTTGAATTGCTCGGAAGGGCAGTTCATTAATTTAGGCCGTTTTATTTCAAAATATGACCATAGGATCGCCCGGGACCAGAGTACGATGAATGAAAAGATGTTATTTTGTAGTTTTAGGAAAAATGATCTAGTTTAATGTTTTGTAATTCCCTCTTGAATGTAACGCATATAGAGCACTGTATTCAATGTACTTAGATTTATCTGTAATAATAAATTATATCAACCCACTGCCTTTCAATTTGATAGGCTAAGGTTTTCCGAAGCAGCGATCGTTGTGTGAATGTCACGGTCTTTGTAAATTGCGTCAATAATTGTTTGTTCGCATTTCGATTCGCATGATTATTGTGGAAAATGCGTAAATTCGTGGTTTGTTGTGACGTTCACAATAACAAATAAGAAACAGATATTTATTTTAAGTAAGCTACAAAGTTGAATCACCGGTATTTTTGCTTGCAATATTTATTTGTCCACGCACATGTGGTTTGTCGATACATCGCGTTTGGGATAAGAGGATTTAATTGACAGAAAAACACTAGTGTAAATGAAGTTTTAAAAAGTTTGTCTGTGGAAATTTGAATATCAAGAAACAAGATTATCTGAAATAGAAAGTTCTATTTAGAAAACCAAAATAAGAAATGATCCTATGCTTTCGAAAATCGGTGTATTTTATTTGTCCTATCCATTCACATTCATCTAGTTTTTCTTTTTTATATGGTTTTAACATACCTTATCTCCGAACAAGGCTCTGCACTAGCAGGGAATGTAAGGAGCCACTATTTAAGAACAACCATGTTAGCTAAGGGAGTACTATTTTTTGGAAAATAGGGGCATATCCTATACGCCCTTGCCTACCAATTTATTACACCCAGGGCGATGAGGTTTGAACCAGATGTTTTCAATCTTCAACGCTAACACAGTTCAATATTTTAGCCACAAGGCCATTACGCCCGCCAAATTATTTTTAGTACTTTTGAGACAGTTTTGTTTAATTCTGGGTAAGTTCGTCCCCATATTCAAGTATATCTATGCAAAAGCAATTCATGAATAACAAAACTATAAAATATATTCAATCATTTTATTCAGTTAAACAAAGAACGAGAACGTTTGAATGCAATGATGTCTCATCTACATAACATGGAAGACATTAGAGAGCAACAACAGCAACAAACACAAGATAACCCGGGAAGAAATAGCCAGGATTCTGACGATATTTCTAGATTGAACGATCATTTAACTCGACCTACGTTACTGAAACCTGATCATCATTTGATGTCCGTATCTCACGCATTGGTAAGATGAATGTAATTAGCAGGGATGGAAGACACAATAGTATGAATGCACACAGTCGAATTGTGAATGTTGCGAAAAGGGCATTCAATTTTGATTCCACAACTGTTCTAAATGTTCGATCTATGCTTCTGTTTAAATGTAGATATATTTCTCTAAATTTCGCTCCGTATTTACACGGTATCCCGCTATCCTTTATTAATACGGTCTTGCCACATCATGTTGGAACGTCGTGTGGTATATTGTAATTAAACATAGAAATACAAAGTTCATCAGCGAGGAACACACTTATCGAATTTACCATTACATACCCGGCCGAGTCTTTATTTTAAAGAAACTTCTCAAGTTCGGCGTGTATTGTTGTTCAAGTCTTTAAGAAGTGTGTGTTTGTTTGTCTTGTTCGTCTCAAGTAGTTCGTCCCAACTTAGAATGTAAAATTGCGCCCAGGTCGTGTCTCAAAATGAACGTATAACTAAAGCTTTTTCCTTGCCAAAGCACCATAGTCAATCAACTCAAAACTTCTTAGACACTGCAAACAACAAAAATTACTTTGGATGATTAACTTCTAAACAAGTTTGAAATTTCTGAAACCACTCGACAACTTTGAGCGTCCGTTCGAGCACACTCAAGATTGAGCTCCGAACAACAACGATTCGTTTTAAACATCGCTGTCACCGACTTCTGGATTTTTGTTTATTGCGAAAGGTGTTCCCTTATAGATTTTTCTATAAGATGTCCTCAAATCATCTCTCTCCACAAGCATCATCCAGTAATATGTCCCCGGAGATACTATTTTAAAAAGAATTGAAAACTGTTTATATTGTGTAAATTATATAAAGTATTACGGGTACCTTGATGCAGGAAATTTGATACTGAGTACAGTATGTGAAGAGTTAATCGTCTTAACTCAACACTGTGTGGCAATATCCCAAACATGCAGTAAAACACACTGTAAAACGTTTTCTCCGATTGTCATGCCCTTAGAAATGGCTTATGCAGAACTCACCATTGAATCCTATGTAGACATGGCCCATTGTCCATTCGAATAATTTAATCGCGAATGCGCTCATTTCCTTACAAATTTCTAGAACAGAAACGAGATGTATATAAGAAGTTGAAATATGAGTGGGTGTTAATTTTCGAGGGAACCAGATTTGTGCTGTTATTGCAGTTTCTGGATATTTCAACCTAAAAAGAAGGTTCAAAATGGCTTGTTCAATCTCCTTGGTTAGAATCAGATATGCTATCAGTACTATTCAGTATTTAATTGAAAACTGTTTTGCAAACCTGCTATCCATCAACTTATGTATTTTAAGTAGTTTGTTCCATATTTTGTGTGGGAACACTTTGCTGATACTTGAGTTTGTTTTTCATTTACGAATTACAAATCTATTCCGAAACCTTTTGTTTCTTCGCACAAGCTCTTTTAACCGAAACAAAGACTTCTCAGCGTTCTTGAAGCCCTTTCGACTTGACCTCGCAAATAATGAAAAGCTGCATCAACATTTCACCTCGCTTTGTCGCTTTTGTGCTGCGTTCAGCAATCGATTAAATCGAACTTGAAAATTAGTTGAAGAAATTGTCTTTGGCCAAGCAGTTTTGATTGAAATTTCTATAATCCGAAAGCCTGATCTAGGTAGTTTAAGGGAAAATGATGCCAAGTTAATATGGAATCACGAGAAACTGTAAAACTGCCTATTAATTCACACATATGCGAAACCCAGATTTTAAAAAATCTACCCTTGCCGTAAAATCATTGTCGAAATCGGTAAAAAAACTTTTGGCTAAGATGCTACTTTAGCATCTTATATACTATAGTAAGCAATAGGAATGGTCCCTATCGTCCATTTCAATGCCGTTCAAGGTGGAGGACTATTAGATTACTATATAAGCAGCGGGTATGATTTTGAAAAAGTTCTATAAGATGTGTACTGCCAATATAATACAATACTTTGTACTTTAAATGATTTGAAAAATATATCTATCCTGATACTTCTAGCCAACAAATTTTAATCGATGACAAATTGCCCAATTTGAACAGAACTGCGTGGTGTTCAGAGTCAACATTCCCATATGGCCAATCCATTAGACGTATAGAATCTACGTTGTAACAAAAAAGTACGAAAAGAGCACAAAATATCTACAAACCCGTAAATGTAATACAAACAAGACGCGATAATCCACGGGGGTGAATTGTCGCCGCCCGTCGTGAATTTCGAGGAATAAAAGCCGCCTTAACTACGATTTGTTTGTAAACTAGGAATCAACAAAAGCCCTTTTCTATCCAAACGCAGGTGCGAGAGCATTAGTAACTCGACATGATATATTAACTCTTTCTTTTCAAGACATGTGAAACTAAATTTGTCATTCTGGTTTGAGTACCATGAAGTTAGTTATAAAACCTTTTGAAAAATAGTTTTGAAATGAGTGATATTAAACCAAGTAAGTTGCAAAATGTAACTGCCAAGCCGATTTTGATTGTTAAATAGGACTTGAGATATGATTTCTATTTATTTCTGGGATAAAAAATTGAAAAGTCAACCTTAATCATGAGACGAACCATGGTCTATATCCTCGCCCGGTAGCTATTCCAGTTCGTAGTAGAATTTGGTCGGTCAACTTTATAATTTTAGATTATATTTTTTACCCCGAACAGTTTTCTCCAACGCTTTAACCACAAGGCAATTAAACATATATGAGGGTTTAAGTGATTAGAGACCCTTGAAATTTGACTTGTAAGCATACTCCATGCGTAATTATCAAACAGGGCTAATAATAATAGCAGAATATTATTAATTAACTTGACATATAAGACTGATGTAAATTTGGCAATAACTGATAACGGGACATGCGATTGGCTGATGGTATGATAATTTATTTCTGTGAATACTGATATTTTGTTTGAAACGGAAAGTTAACAGGTAACGATGACTGAGTGTTTGACTTCTGTCGAATGGGCGTGTAAACGCCTTTGTTCTGTGTCGTGTGCACAATATAAAAATTCCATAAGGATTTTGTGGGTGCTGAAAGCAACTCAAACACGAAAATTTTGTAAAATTGAGCTACTTGAAATTCAGAGTTTCAGGACTTCGCCTTTTCAAGTGTACCTAACGCAACAAATGCTTGTGCGTACAAACAAAAACAATGACATTCGCATTTTGTACCACACTGTTAAAAATCAGCATTAAAATCAACTTGTTTTGTACTTCAATATTCATAGTGGCTAAATGCGCGTTAGACTTTTGTACATAATCAAGTATGAACCACTAATAACTCTATTAATTTACCGTCAGTCACGCATGGCAGAATATATGTTAGTTCACGCAAACACTTCAGGCTGAAGTGTCTTGTATGGGAGTTAAAACAATGACGTCACCAAAGTCTTATTTATTGTGTACCTGGTGATATTTCAACAACATATTAATAACAACACTTGTCGTCAAGTAGTACACCTACACTGTAATGAAAATTCATTGCATCAACTTGAATTTTGAAGTCTTTCAAGATTACTGTTACAGGAGCTTAAAACCGCCCTTGAGCAAACGTTTTGATGGCATTTGGTGTTGTAGGGAAATCAAATCAATGATCTCGCAAATTGTAGTTGAATCAACGAAAATTTTCATAGTGTATGACTCTATCGTAATTATTGTGAAGTGTGAAATAAAAATTGAACAGAACTTCCGTGATCGTAGTTGAGATTAATTTTTATAAATTTATTATGTTAGATTTACCATTGGGCCAAATATTGCCTTTGCATATGCGGTGTATTATTGTCAACGATGGTCAAGTATTTTGATGAAATGTCAGCAAAAAATGAGTAACTTTCAAATAGCTGACAATTAATTATGTTTTTTGTTTTCGAAAACATTTCTTTGTTTCAGTTCGTTTTAGTGTCTTCTAAATATTTATGGAGTCTTTTGACTGTTTTTATCTTTGTTTCGAGGCCAGTTCCGTCCTGTGGTTCACCACCTTACTAAAATTGTACTATAGTGCCTACAATGTAGGTGGACCTTACCTGATTGAAAAGCTCACTTTTTTGTTTTCAAGCAGTACATAGATATTGTCATATTTATCTATAGTATTTGCATTTCATTTGCAGTTCACGTCTTGTGTAGCTTGCCCGGAAAATCCAGCACACTATCTCTATCTATATGAAACAAACCAATATGTCACATAGAAGGAATAGGGTCATTCAAATAACGATTGGTACCATATCTCCATCCCCAATTTGAAATATATATTATATACTGATAATTCAAACCTTCACAGTCCCGTATACACATCCTTCTTTACACGTTTTTTTATTATTATCTAGACGCAGCCTGGAGCTCATATCATGGGTCCAATGTTCAATTCCATGGCTGGAAGTGTTCTGGGCGGGGCGGGATCCAGTCTCAGTCTTCCAGCTAGTCCAAACGGATTTTCGTCATCCATGTTATCGAACTCTCTCTCGCACTCTCCTCCGAGCATGGCGTCGCATTTTTCAACAGGCGGATCAGTGAATAACCTCAGTGGAAGAGATCCATCTGCAATGGTGCAGTCTACAAGAAGAAGACATTCTAATGCTATCCCAATTTCTGCAGGTATTTATTATATCAGCCCATCTATGTTTCTTATCAAGACCCTTCCAATATCAATACCAAAAAAGCAAACTAAATGGCACAAGAGAGAGATCTCACCCCAATATAAAACTGTGGTTAATACTGAAATGCCTAATAATTTACTTAATCTGTATTGTGGCAACCCGTTAGCAAAGCTTAGAGCTCGTCAAGTTCAATGCGATCGGGAAAATGATATTTTTGTGCTGTGTGACTGTGTCAGAAATATTCTGTCTTTTCACGCACCGATAGTCATTTTTCGATTTGAGAACGCAAGCTCCTACAAGAAGCGTCTTAATTGTGATAATAGCGAAATATCAGATTGAAATTTTTTTCAACATTAATCCAATCTACAGTTTTTTTTAAACTTGACTTCTGGAATAATTCTATTTTGGATATAATCTCTTATGTTTTCGGATTTGTAAACTTTGTGGTCTACTGTTCATTGCAATAAGTCGGCAGATCTGATTAATGCTTATTGAAATCCATCCAGCGCAGGTCTTTTCTCGGTAAAAACGCTGTAAATCAGGCCTGTTGAACCCATATTTCTCGTTTACTCTCTTATTTCCTGTCGACAGCTTTCAATTATGCATGAGCATCCCATTAAACGGCCGTTTTAATGTTTTTGCTTCCCTGAACCGATGTGGCGGATTTTACGCCTTTATTTACACTTTATTTGGTTGCGGTTGCATCTTAGTGCAAAAATCCACTCGCTCATTTTGCATACAACCAGCTGGCAAATTTTCGTACTAATTTTTTTATTCCTATTTCAACACACACTTATTTTGTTAATTTAAAAGCATATCAAGTATGGGGAAGCGAATAAACGAGATTTTCGAACTTGATTTGTGATCGTATCGGGGTTTATTCATAAATATTACAAGCATAATTGTTTATGTGTTAGATGAGAAAAAATGCGTATTCTATGTGTATAGGAAAAATGCAAAATACGCCTGACGAATCAATTAATTTCACTATCTTATCGCCTTCGAAACATTTCGAATTAGTTATCGAGAATTTCCGCTAGATATATTATTCAAAATTAAAGCAAACCAAATGGAAGGTTGAATAATTTGTTAATTAATTAAATAAATTCTGAAACAATTAAAGTTATACCTTCGAACACTTTTCTTTAGTAGAATTTGCGGACGCGAGTATGAATTTTTAAGATCATTTTTATTCATGATTTGATTCAGATTAGTCGCATTTTTACAGTTTCTGGCATCGTCTCGATGATGACAAATAACAACATATATAATATTCATTTATATATACTCGCCATCATCAATTTCACGCCGTTTGTCACATCGATTCTGTTCTATTCTGCTTGACCAAAAACATATGTAAAGATTTTAAGACGATTTTTCATGTATTTCGCAACTCAGAATGCGAGTCCTTGCAAGGAAGTTAACAACACTGCACACAGAACACAAAAAAACTGACATATTTGATATTATTGAAGATGTACAATTAATATATATACGTTGGACAGTGTCGTTGGGCACGGGACTTGAAATGCTTTACTTCAACACTGTCCTGGAAGCAATAGAACATACCCGTCCATGAATTTATATATATTCGAATTATCTGAAGTATCCAAAATACGTTTCTATCCGAATATAAATGTAATTTTTACATTCAAGGTTGATCAATTTGCAACAATAAAGTTTGTCCATTCAATAGTATGGTTCAAATAATTATTTTTTCGCGAATCCATATATCTGATAATATATTTGTATTCATTTTCAAATGGTAATTCGAATAAAAATGTACCGTTAACTTTTCCTTCAAATATTTTAGTATCTCGTCATCCGTAACATTTGTGACAAATGCATTACAGAAACTTACGTCATTCGAATTTGCATTTTCAACCCTACTTTTTGTTTTATTTATTTATTTATTCTCAATATTTAACTTCTTTTGCGTTATTTATATATGTTGTTTATGATAAAATGTTGTTTTCTTCGATGCATTTCCGCATAAATATTGCATGCATCGCCTGTTGTCAAGAATGAATAATACATAGGTCTTAACGCCCGCGAAATTTATGTCTGTGCACGCGAAAGCGCGCGTTATACTTTTCTATACTCATAGAGAGATTACGTATATACGGATCATATATTGCCAATGATAAATCGGAGATAATTTTGTGAAAATTAGTACTTAGAAAGAAATAAGGCGATGTTTTTTGTGTTTATGTCCGATTTATCCACGATCTTAAGGTTCAAGTTACTTAACTAGTTATTTTGGTTTATCTCAGCTCGGCATTTTTCCAAACAAATGCGCAATATTATGTGTTTTTGATGAGATATATAAAATCAGCATTTTTGCACTTTTTCAAATCCCATGCGAATACACGAGCATAAACAAATATCCGTTGATGCAAAAAGCATGCTTGTCAGAGCACGGATCACGGGGCGCGAAAATCGGTGCGCAATAATAAAAAGAAATGTTTATATAAAAAATCTTGATGCTTTTTGATGAAGAAATAACGCTTTCGTAGAACGAAAGACCGACCGGTCGATAAAAATTCGATTCGCTGGAAAAAACTATTTGTGCTACATAAACTAAATTAAAAATGATGTTGTGACGTCACTGAAGGTGATATTGATATCGACTCCCCAACTTTAATTTGTAAAATTAATTAAAATGTTGCAAAACTCGTTTAGTTTGCTGTACGGCGGACTGAGAGAGAGTACAGCTATGGCACGAGGGTTGAAAAGTTGGACTCGACAGTTTTGGTATTGCAGATTGCAATCTCTGTTTTAAGTCCCATCCATCCCACTTCACCCCCACCTCAAATTTCGTAGGCATATTCTGGAAGAATTGCATCAAAAAAATGTTGTCCCAATTGCCGTATAATTTCTTTCAACATATTTTATCATATTATACTTATTCCTAATTTTTAGTATTCGATTGTAACGTTTTACAAATTTTTTACTGCGCATGGCATTAAATTTTTTTTTTTGTTACTTACTATCATTTTTTTTATTTTGTTCAGAACTAAGTCAAAATCAAGAATTTTATAAAAATGCTGATGTCCGACCTCCATACACATACGCATCACTGATAAGACAGGTATTTTACTTATCTAATCATTTTAGCTCAAGTTAACAGTATTTCTTGTTTATTTCATCTATACCACATGTACGATTTTGATGTTATCGCCATTATGATGAAAAAATACTAAACAGTGTAAAGTTTATCACTTGTGAATCCTGATTTTTCATATATATTATACAATTCGAAAACCTATCTTCATCTAGATAGACATTGACATAATTCTCTTGTCTTTCATTTCATTCAACTTAAAATACTGAAGACAAAATTTTTTAGAGACCAGACGCGATGTCAAATAAATATAGATATCAATAAATTTTGTAACCTTATAATAGTAATGATTACCTACAACAGAAAACAAACAAACGATATTGTTTGCTTCTTACCATTTGTCCATGTTTTACTATGAGAAAGTCTGGTAGCATCTCTCATCGCTTTCACGATAAGGTTGAAAAAAAAATACCTAAGTCATAAATTGAAGCCTCACATGCCTCATCCTTTTTATTCCAACCACTCACGAAATAGTAAACAACGTATTTTTAAAGAGCGAGAGAACGAGCGATTTTCACGAAAATATTGTAAAAGATACCTTTAACCATAAAACGTAAATTTGATTTTGAAGGAAAAACTCACTCATTTTAATTTGATCATAACATTAGTTTGTTGTGCGAAGCCAAATATTTCCATATATTAACTATTCAATACATACTAGTTGCGGTTAAAGTAACAACATTTGATGTATTGTCTTCCAACTTTTCATCAGCAGTGATTTGATTTGCGATCATTTCTCATCATTGACAGATGAGATCAAATTAAATTTATACTGCTTTTGTTTGTCGGTTCGTCACGGGTGAACCGTATAGATGAATTTGTCATTCTTGCAAACAAAATATAATAACATTGGTATATATATTAACTCGAACTCGTCTATATGTATATATTTACCACTTCTCAAAGGTAGTATATTGAATAGTATCATTGGCCACGCTCACGTTGTCTTCTACTCAGAATTATGGGCGTGGTTTTTAAAAAAAAAATTAATTTTTTTTTTGTACGGCCAGATAAAGCAATGACGAATAAAAGCTTGATTATCATAGGTTGTATTACTCCAGTTTACAAACAATGCTTGTTTCTTCTATGTTCGGGCTGTGACAATACACTAAACCAATAGGGGATTCATTTAGTGACCTTTACTTGGCCCGGTGCTTGTTAAACGGTCTTTATTGATTTTGTTACTCTGATAAAAATACGATAGGAAGGCCAACAAAAAGCGAGTTAACCCCCTTTTCTTCAATCCCTGGCTATCTTCAAAGGGGTTAATGTGTTAATTTGTTTTTGTCGGTATTTGTGATCCCAGGTGTTTTATGTCAATGTTGTATCCTGTGTACGTGACCGAATCTACCAGAGCGCCTTAGAGTTAGACCGCCTGCCTGTGACTATACCACGATTGTGGGCCTGATCTGAAATAATTAATGTTAAAATTCTAAAAATATGGTCATATTTTCAAAAAATATCCAGTATATTTAATGGCATTTAAGGGAAATGAGTTGTTTATCAAGATACCAGTTTTCTAATACCGAATTTATAAAATTATAAGCAAGCTTGAAACCCTAACCAATCTCAATCTAAAAATAATTATCTGATGGGCGAATACAACGAAACCCACAATTAGTTTAATTTGTTGAATAGAATAAAAAGCCATCCATCGGCCCAAAAAAAACACATATTTTTTAGTGCGGGCCTGCGATTAATTTGATCAAAATAGGTCGCTAAAATTTGGATCGAAAAAGTGTGTTTCAGGCTCAAATGGGAACGTATTTTGCAAGGTTATTCAAAAATCTCGTTTCACTGTGCACTCTGACTGCAATCCCATGGTTTTTTATAATTTCTTATGATGACTACACAAACAGAAAGAGCATTCAAATGTTTTATTATAACTTTAAAACTCAAATTCAACATTTTGAGGATTCTCTATTCTGTTGTAGGAATGCTGACCAATTTATTTTTTAATACCAATAATGAAATAACTGAGACTAATTCGTTCGTGCAGATTCTAATAAACATGGTTGCCAGTAATCCGTGAAATACAAATGTAAAAATGTTTGGCATATCACCTCGGCTGCGCTCGAATACCCGCTTATCTGTCAACCGTTATAAAGCTTTGATTACACGCATACAGTATAGCATTGCTTTCTTAATTTTATGTATGGCCCACAGCAAATTCAAACATAAAATGTAACACCACGTAATTAAAAAACATAGCAGTAACTAAACTCTTATTACTAGTGCCCATATTGTAGCCAGTGAGTGGCGTTTAGCAAAAAAATGGACTGTTTGTGGGAAAACATTTGTGTGAACAATATCGAACTTGAAACGTGTTCTGAGTTAAGTTTGATTCAATGATATATCTCTGAATAGCGTATATATACTTTAGAGATATATAAATATAAAACAGGCAGTAAAAAATTGATAAGCTAATTTTGATTTTTCTACCTTGTTTTCATCTTATTTGCAGTATTATTTAATTTTATTTATATATTTATCTCATACGAAATTTTGAATGTTCGTAATATTCGATAAATTTTCTTCCTAAACAACTTTCTCGGTATAAATTTAGCATTACACCATTAAAACCTTTGAATTAGTGGAAAAGATATCCAAGTATAACCTCTAGTTATCGTAGTTTACCAACAACAAAATCGTCTGTGCATATTGCTACATTATCGACTAAAGGAAGTCTGAGTATTGTGTTCCGGTCATCAGAGGATCACTTAATACAAGCAAAGTGCATTTTATTACAAAAGTTTGTTGTCATCTTTCGTCTGCCAAGTTTTCAGCCTAAAAATGTCAATAATTTGGAACTAATTCAAACTTAAAACTTGATAAAATCAGGGCCTAAAACTGAAATTCATTGTGATTCATAGTTGACATGGTAATATATGTTCCGTAATGCGTTTTTCCTATGTATGCCAAGTTGGATTTGCATTTCAACTTCTGACTCCGTGCACACTGTCATTATCGACGCGCATTGTTTTTAGTATTTGTTGTTTGGCGGAAATACGATACCGAAGGAAGTTTGAGAAATTATGTATTTGTTCAGTCTGGGTTAGATGGTATGTTATTACTTTATGGTTTTACGCATATTTAACCCCCAAAACAATAAATTTACCGTTCCAAGACGAGTACTAACTTATGAACTACGAAAATTCAGAATGATAAATGAATACTGATAATTTCATCGGATACTCGGGAAAAATATTTGGACTCCATTTTTATATTCGTACATTTCGTATCCAGTTAGACATTGTGACAAAATATTTTTTGTCTGTGTATTGCATTTTATCATTTTGAAATGAAAACAAGAAACGTTTCGCTTCGGTTGAATGTGCATTCAAGCGTAACGACTTATAAAACAGTTGTCTCCAGCGCATAATTACGAAATGCGAGATTTACACAACACTCCTTTTTGGTCAACACAACAAAATACTCATATTGTCTATATACGAAGTAATTTTACCCCTTTACCCACACGCAGCTAGGATTCCATCCCATTCTACTAAACGACCAGGCCAATCATATTGGGGCATTGTTGTGACATGGCACTTCTATGTCAGGGGAAAATTATCTCCAATGTTTTCCACAAAATACATGGTGACATACAGTCAGCTTGGCCCCGAGTGATATTGATGTGTCGTATGATTTGGTTGACTAAATTTGAAATATTTTTATGCTCATCTTTGGCTCACATCAGCATTCGTGGTTTTTGGATGTTTTTTGTTATTATTTGCGACACATACTTGTCAAATGCGTTCTCAGCGTGTTTCTGTCTATATTCGCCATTTTCTTACATGGCGTTATGCTTTCTCGATGGTATATGGCAATTATAAGAAATTAACGTCACTGGTGTTGACTAGCTTCATTGTTATCGTTAAAATAGGCGTGGTTATTTTAATCGAAATCTAAAAACAATAACAATAAAATGTATTATGAATGTTTAATAACGAAACTCGACAGAATATATAATAATATGGCTAATAAAATACCTAAAACGACGTCGTCAGATTTATCATATTTATTTTTGCTCAATCGTTATTTTAATTTCCTGTTTTTAGGCAATCATAGAAACACCAGATCACCAACTAACACTGAATGAAATCTACAATTGGTTTCAAAGAAAGTTTGCATATTTCAGGAGGAATACAGCAACGTGGAAGGTTTGTTTTATTGTTTCTAATGGAACATGCTTAGATGAAATATGAGCTGTACAATTTTGATTCGATTGTAAAAAAAGTCAAACAATATCCTGATGTGCCGCCCGACTGCTGGTTAATGACCAACAAGATTCGAGTTTGCTACAGTATATCACCACAATAGAATCGACAGTCTTTTGTCAAGTTGGAGCTCTGAAATGTTCATTGCAATAGTAGTTACCAAAGTAAACAGTGTGTTCTATTATTATAAGTATACTTCACTACAGGGCCACATTCATTAAATGGTTAGGGCATGATTATTGGTTTGAAGGAGTTGTTTTACTGTATGTCATATCGTCTAATTCCACCAGTAGATGTTGTAACAGTATAACACCTGGTACTATTTGATTATAATGACTAAGAGAATTTAAGTTATCTCGTAACCTGGGCGTAAATTTTAACATGCATATTACTGGAATAAAGTCAGGAGTCGGTATAATTATGGCATTATTATCCGTCGATTTTTTTTTTGCGTGTGTGATTGAAACAGGCAAATCCTGCTGAATACAGGATGAATATTTGATTTGCACTTCTACGATTTTTTTTTCTAAATTTATGTCCAAGTGCTTACCCTGCCATTTCCCACTAATTGATATAGAACGCAGTGAGACACAATCTCAGTCTTCATAAATGTTTTGTGCGAGTTGAAAACGTGAAAGGAGCGGTTTGGACAGTCGATGAAAACGAATATCAGAAGCGGAGACCGCAAAAGTTCTCCGGGTAAAATTTGCTGACTGACAACTTCACCGCCTGCATCTATCTATCTATGTTTCTGCCTATTTCTGTGTCTTTGTGTGTGTTTTGCACAAGCTTTTTGCCTGGTGACGGTGTCCTCTCTCAGCTGCGTAGAGAATAACCTCTATATAGCTTAGATGTTGGCTGTTGCTGATTGGCTGATATGTTTGCGCATCCACCAATCAAGCTCGCGCTCATGCATGCTGTGGTGATTTGCTAAACGACGACACGATTTCCCGCCTTTTTCTTAGCAAGCGACGGAGATGAAGTCGTGTTTGTCCTACTTTGTCCGACATTATATCTTCCTAACTCCATAACAACAGTAACACTACATCATACTATTTACCAAGATTGTTTTGTTCTTTTCTTTAAATATTTGCTATTCATTGGCTTTTTATGTTCATTTATTGTCAAATGTCGGAGCATTCTTACCTGTTAAATTATAGAATATGTTCTTTTGTGCAAACAACCTTTAGAAACGTTTTAAACATTTTAATAGCCCGTTTATAGCTATGCGCTGGATATAAATGTATAACTCAAAACATGTTTCAACAAACATTAATGGGTGGTGAATCTCCTAAATTTTACATAATATATTTTACTTTTTGCCACCAATGGTATGTTGTAACTAACAAACTTATAATTTGGTGGAATCGTGATTAACAAAATTGATTCTGCGTTAAATACCGATCCAATTTCACGAACTGATAAAAAAGTATTGTATAGTCTAGCATGGCTTTTGTGTCCTGGCTGTTGGCTAATAATAATAATAAGCACACTGTAACGCCGATCCTGTTTGATCTGGTTTAAACTGGATTCACGCTTGCTAATTCATAATCAAACAGAGCGCAATCAGGACAAACCTGTCGCTTCACAAGTGTTTCCGTCGGTGCGAGGATGCCATGGGATCGTATTGGACTGTTGACGATTCTGAATTCAAAAGAGGTCGCCATTTGAAACGTGGCCGCCCTCGAAAGTACGAAGAGGATGAAGATACATCGACAACCAGCACAGAAGTCCAAGCGCCGCTGGATTTCTCCATAAACGCTCAGTAAGATGATGATGATGACGACCAGCACCAGATCACGCACACAAATTGCATCCCGGCACCACCACGGAATTGAATCGTGAATCCCATCACAAAAAAATTTTCACGCTCCAACGCACTTTCACTTCCAAACCAAAACAAAAATATATCTGATGCCAGATTTGTAGTAACAGAAGATAGGCCTAATATATACTATTTGTCATATAAGCTCAGCTATTCTTTTGTTATCAATTCTGGCATCTATGGTCGTATGTTTGTGAACTTGAATAATTTCATTCATCCATTTCTTCTTAAACTCTCTCTTGTTATAATTCTCGCGTCTCAATTGAGCTTAATTTAATTTGCTTGTGTGCTGCTTGCTTTTGCGAAGTGTACTAACTTGCATGCTGCATGTTTTGCTTATGTACCTAGTCGTAGATTATTTTTACATATATACTTAACACCTAGTCGATTTAAGATTCTCCTTGTTTTTTATTCGCCCCTACAATGTATTCCGAAGTTGGTTATATCATATAATATACTCATACTCATTATGTATGGAGACTATATTCACTCGTTTACGCCCCACAATTCCTGCCACAAAGTCGATTATCAGGTCCTGTTTGTCTGTAAATTTATTGAGGGCAACTGACTAGTCCGAGGTTCAAACTAACGTTATCGAGATAAATCCGAGCCTCTCAACCTCACACTTCGTTTAGCCAAGTTTGTCAGATTAGGACTGGCGGGTGTCGTGCACAAGCGCGTCCCATATCATATTAATTACTGTATGTAGTTTCTATAATTCAATATCGCATACATATGTCTTAAGTTTATTTTATCCATCTCACAGGAGTCCTATCATGCGAGGACGAATTGAACCACAAGTATATTATGGAAATTCACTCAATCAAACAGCAATGCAGGTGAATTGTTTATTTATCAAGCACTAATTTTCTCCAATTATAATTCTAAAATAGCATTTTTAAGCCCAGTACTTTTTAAAGTCATTTGGTTCTTAACTACTTGAATTTAGTAATAGTAAGTTTTAAAATTTCTTCACGTCAAAATAATATACTTCTTAATCACACAAAAACTTCTTCTATTTTAGATGGCTTTAGGCGAGCATGGTTTTAGTCCAGCCCTGTTTGCTGCAAGTCAGCAGGCTCAAGCTGCATTATTGAGCAGTCAATCGGCTGCAGGAAACTTTGTAAAATCTCAATCAGCAACTTCGGTAGCTGAAATGATGGAAGAATCGAATAGAATTCGAAAACGAAGTGCTTCACCTTCCAGAAATACTATGTTCGGAGAAGATCTAGTCATGTGAGTTTACCGTTAAACATTTCGTACCCTTGTTTTATATCTAATGGAAAATTTATTTTCCAATTTTATTGCTCACAACGTTATATAGACCTCATATACCAACATTGGCCGGAACCTTGAAGATATTCCAATACTACAATAAAACAAACTTCTATAATTTTCAAGCGCAGTAATGCTATTTCTACACAATCAAGTGAATTATGTTGAGCATATGGACATTTGTATCCAAATGTACTAAATACTAACTAATGATAACCGCTATAAACTTTGTTCCTATCTTACTACTTAGTATTACTTTGAATCACTGGAAGGACCTACTGATTGTTTTCAATTCGTGTTATCCTACCTATTTTTACACTTTGCGCAGAAGGGGATCTTGGTTTGAACAATAAACAATTTGGGCCCCACCATCCCCCCCATCCAGCGCAGTCTTGCAGTTCGATCAAATTTTCCTCATTTTTTAGGGATAAAATAAAGAGAGAAAGGGCAGCAGAAATGACAGAAAACAATTATGAATCTTCGTCACAATCTCCACCCTCAATACAAGAAGTTAAACCAGATATTCGCAATGCTAATAATAACAGCAGCAAGTACACTGGAGGCGGGGAATACGGAAGCCCTGAACCCCAATCACCAGAAATGTCCACGCCTTTAGACATGAGTCGCACATCACCTATTTTACGAGCCCACGGCCGCATGAGTGACGAAAACGATGCCACAGCGCAAAGAGATGTCTTGCAACAACAGCAAATGGAATCAGATGCCTCCGGTGAAAGCGATGGCGCACTCGAAAGCAGTGACATCCATCAGTCACATCCCGCTACCATGATTCCCACTCGAGGTTCATTTACGATGCTGCAAGAACAGCCTAGCGATTAAAAAACTGCCATGGGTTTTATGTTCATCTCGGTGATATGTTACGTTGACCGCGCGTCGTCTTTTACATATTTATAACCCGTGATCCAGTTGGGGCTTGTGGAAACTCGAGACAAGTTGAGGCTTAGAAAGCTGAGAGATCTTCAGACAATCAGCCTACTGTGCATATTAACGTTACTAAACTGTGGTACGAACATAGTGGAATTATTTGATTCTGCATTATAATTGATGTAGATCATTGCAAATTCAGTTGCGATTATTTTGTGTATTGTTTGTTAATTGGCGAAAAATAATCGTTTGGGAAAAAATTGCATTGAAAACTGTCGACATCCATTCCAAACGCTGGAATTATCTGTTTTCTCACAAATCATTGGGTATAAAATTGTCATGTAGTTGGTATTCTGTTTGAGCGAGCACTGTCTTCCACTTCTACCTCTGTGAGCTCAATAAATGATATTAATTCGAATGAGTTAAAATTATATGAGAAAGCAGAAAGACCGAATAATAATATTTGATTGCGTAATAAACAAACGTGATTAATGATAAGTCTACATATAGGCAGAAATGACCTCTCTGACCCCTTAGGAAATTGAATGATTGAGTTTACGGACCCATTTGTTCAAGTTATGCATTGTAAACTGACAATATAATTATTCCTATTGAAGGTGGTTGTAATATGTTTTACATTAAAATGCACAACGAGACTTTAATGCAGTGGCTTGTAACGTTTCTGTATTTTTTTTTATTTATATTAGTTTTGCTTATTTTCTGATTTATTTATTTTTTTTCTTTGCTGGCTTTTTGAGTTTTATTGATTCGGTTTTTATTGAAATTTTAACGCGTTGTTCCTTCAGTTTCTCGATGTCGACCACACCCAGAAAGTAAATGTTAACCCTAACGGGAAAGCTATTATGGTCGCATTCTAATATCTCGTTTTGTTGTCAATTTCAAATTAAAACTACTATTCGTTTAACGACTTTAAACTGGTCGCATATGTATTCAAATGTAAACACAAAAATTGATTTCAAGATTTGACGTTTGCATCAACATGGAGATTTCTGGTTTAAAACGTGTTTAGTTGCCCAACCCGTGATTTTTACAAACCTGAGTAGATAGCTTTCTACGTATAAATTCCGAACAATTATGTCGGTATAACCCAAAACTAAAGAGAGAGCATTTCCTAGCTTAAACTCATGTAAAAAACTTGACAGGAGATTACAGCAATTTGTGGGGTTGTTGACTCCAAAAATTGTTCAGTATTTAATTAAACCATGATTTAAGAGCTTTGATTTTCGACAATGAGTAATAAATCAAGCACAGATTGCATCTTGTACATTCACTGTTGTCTTCTAGTCACTGACGAAAATGCTTTACGCTTTGTGACATCACTGTTTATTTGATTATTATATAAGAACTGCAAAAAACACAAATTGAAGATAAATTACGAGATCAAATGTAGAATCAAATAGTCTCGTTGTTGATAATTTGATGGCGTCATAGCCTCTTTAATATTGTAGTTAGTTTTTTATTATTATTTTTTTAAAAGGCTTTCACGCAATCATGTTAATTAGAGCGGACCAAAGCATAATTTATATGATAATTCTCGTTCCCAGCCTCATTGCATTTTTTTAATATTGCATTTTTTTTTCTACTGACATTTTTTTGAAACTGTGTCTGTGAACACTCCAACGGGATGAAGTACGATGTATACAGTAATTCAATTAATATGACTAGGTTAACGGATATTCATCTGTGACCTGGTAGAACATACAAATTTCTCTAGTACACAACGGCTTGTATGCCTGCCTGTTTGCACGTAGCTAGCTTATTATTGGATTCCGCCATTGGTAAATTATAACTTAATTCCACAAGCCTTTACGCTCATTCCAAACTCTTCTTTATAAAAGTTACTTTGGCTGTTCAATATTATGTTTCAAAGATGATTTCGATGCGATTTCGAAGAAACCTTCAGCCTACCAATCGTATCGTACCTACTGTGTATTTATTGCTATACTCACATTGCAAATATAATTTCTTATTCACGCAATAGTTTGTGATTTTCATTTGATGAGGTGTTGGGACGCCGGAAAACAATATTATTCGTAGAATTACTCAATGTAGGCGGATGTAGCGTGATGGACGCTGAGTGACGAGCTGGCGTTCAAATCCAGAAAGGATTCTCAGCACACGATGGCATGTTTAGTGCGGTAATCTTACTATGTTGACATGGGTATCTCAAGTGAAATTCCTGGTTGGCCCCTTGAATAGACTAATACGTTAAATGTTCGACAGGCCCACACTTTACTCGCCTCAGTAGCTCTCTGTCCTTCAGTGGAAGTTCGCGTAGGGTTTTACTCGGAGTAAAGCTTTTTATAATTTATATTAAACATTTTCAGCAAAAAAGTCGCTAAAAAGCTATTACTTTTATTTTTCAAATTTCGTGTCTTATGGGTCCGATATTTCACCAACGATTTCGATCGTGCTCATCAGTCGATTTTTTGGCAAACTCTGTGCTCATTTAATTTGCTTTTATCAATTTTCGGTCGAAATAAACATATCATCGACTCTTATATATATATATTCGTAGGCCATATCGGTACCGATGCTTAATTGTCCACAATTTACCGGGGAACATTATACATTATTTATAATATAAAAAAAAATCTTCCAAATAACTTTTGCTACTAATGTTTCCGATCGCGTTCATAACGAACCTTTCTTGTCAGTTAACAATATGACCGGGGGAAGCGGCATGAAAAACTGTTCCTGTACGAGTTTACATAACAACACGAATGATAAGCGAAACAAAAATCGAAAATGAAAGGCTCCGCAAGGCAAACTTTTCCGGAAACTACAACGATTCTCGAAAATATTAGCTTTCAATTTTACTCGTCCATGATAATTCGACAGATACTAAGCTCATTCGGTTAGTTTTGGTGAGCCATTTTCGTCCGTCCGTCAAAGCGCTACAAACTGCGTAATAAAGCTTGGTGTAAAGTGTGTTTTGGCAATAATAATGTAAATAATTAGTAAAACAAAAGGACATTCGTCAAAAGTATCTAATTCTCCGTATTTAATCTTCCACTTACGTTTTTTGACGCATATCCAACCAAAATCGCAATTTTGTCCTTTCGTCTGGAGTTCATTTAAAAAAAATGGGCGGGACTTTTTCATATATATTAGTACAGGACGGTACATCCGTACACGTCGAAATTCAGAAAAATAAGTGGATTACATACAACAAATAGTCAGTTTATTGATAAACCCACGCGCGCAGCTAGTAACACATAAACAACAACGCATCGCATTTGGAATTAAAAAATATGCCTCACCAGACGATCCGTGTGGTTCCCGGCCATAGCTAAATCGGGTCAAGCGCGAGCTCACCTGATAAGTCGGGCGTGCCCACATTCTCGTATTGTGATATTTGCATGTTGCATTCAAATAATAACCGCAAATCTTAATATCACATGTGTTGGAAGGATAGTAGATTAATATGCTAGCTATGAAACTATAATTCGAGGACGGTGGCTGAGAGAGGTCCAATAGAATGCGACATAAAATCGGGTCGTTGCGGATTTCATAATTTCGCCACAATGACGGACTAATAAATCAATTTAGACGCCCCGTACTGGTTAAAAGTGGTTCTTCGGATGATTGACAGACCTTTCCAAAATGAGGAGTTTCAACTGTTTAGAGCTAGATTCTTGCATTTCAATGGTTGTACTAGAACCCACCCTTCTCGCGACCCTCGCCGTCATACCGTCGCAAATTAGATCACGTTACCCATGGACGTTTATGGCTCCATTCACCACCGGATGCATTTCAACAATAAAGTGGTATATCAGCCGGACTCGCAACCGGACAGAGGCCGTGGTTGATAATATGAATGCGCTATCTTAACAACTTTCCTCTCCCCACAAGGAATAATACAGATTTTAGTTTAAAATCGATTCTCTGTATCCTTAAGGGCAACTCGGCAACCCAAAGTACGTACCAGCCCGTAATATCACAAAGCTTGTCAAATGTTTGTGTTGTGTATATAAACAATTAAAATACCATCAATAGCAACGATAAATGACGGAGACAACTGTCTTTTGTTTGTGAACATCTGATACAATTTACCAAAACATTGTGGTTAGAACCATGTTAGGTGCAAATGACGGCTCCTGTGGTAAACGATATTGAAATAATGACAGAATCCATCAAAGATAGTTTATCACTAACAACGAATTCATCCATTTTGTTGATATACCACATTCCATTGGACGACTAGCGAGATACCTCAACTAGAAAAGAATTGCGGCATAGGCCACAAATAGAATACCGATGCATGTCAAAGAAACATATAAGACGATATAAGGAACAAAAAAATACAGGACAAAATACTTTCACAAAACTCAGCACAAAATAGACAACACAGTAATGGGTCAAACCGAACTAAATATGATTGTTGAGTTGGTCAATATAAAAAATGTACTAGACCAGTCAGGCCATCCATTGCATCCTCCGTAGTTCGGTTGATATAATGCAATATGATTATATCAAAATTATTAACTGTAGGCAAGTTAGTGACCAATCTGCTTTATTCATAGTCAATGGCGACATATGAGGTAGTCAAGAATCAAATGACAAGTTCATTAAGATTCCATTCTTTGTTAACTCTTAAGATAACCGAAGAAACATTTCTTTGTAGAAATTGACCACTAGATAACATCCATAAATGAAGGTATTTGTGTGCTATCATCCTAGTGCCTAATATACAATGCTTGTATTCGATAACATACTCGCTAAGATTAGACGAATCAATGGAAAACTCATATTTGTTCTTCACCTACATCGAAAACCGGTTCTCATAAAATATAAAGTCATTCATATCCTAAATATTCAGCACGACCGTGCTGTCTAGGATCAAAAGTCATTTCAAACTGATGATAAAAGAACATCATCAAAACTGATACAAATTCGATTTTCTAGCAGAAAATGACATATTGGCCCACAGGTGAGGGCCAATCATAATATTCCTAGACACATTTAGTAACAGTCACTCCAGGACTACCCATCACAAGAAATGATTTTTGATCGCCAGTGCATCCTTCAACATGAGATCACGTAGAGACCAAAGTGCAGACTTGATGCTAGCATGTCTGCCTTGACCATTCGCCAGCCAATGAGCTGGCAACCTGAAATTTAAAAAATAAACATATTAGGAATACCTCATTTTAGTCAAATGATGCTGCAGAAGATCAACCCGGGTGTTCAATTACACAAGACTGTATCACACGCCGAATTTTACTCATAAATTTTCTGACTGGTATTTAATATATATGCGGAAAACAAACGTCTGTATGATAGTTTTGAAGTAAGTTATGTTGTATTTTGGGAGAAAATCAAAAGTATGGAAGGTTATCACTAAACAAATAATGACTACAATTACATGAAAGGACGGAATTCCACGTGTGATACCCATGAGCTGTATCACATGAGAATTTTTCATTTGATATTAAATCACAAAAAATAGTTCACAAATATTCAAACGTGCTCCTATTGTGAAACCATCTCATATATTTATAGCTTTTTTAAAAAGACTAAAAATTGATAGCACAATTTGTACACGATTGTGTTACATAACTAGTCAAGTTCTTTAAAAAATGGTCATTACAATACAACAATTTAAAGAATCTTAAACAACATTCTATTAAATATATATATATATATATATATATATATTGATATATTCATCCATGGGCCATCCCTAGATAAAATTGTGTACCTTTTCGAAAGTATTTATTAAAAAACTGAAATTGTAAAAAAACACAACCAGTTAGGGTATATAAATTAAAAATATTCATTAGAAAATTGAATTCTATATAATTTACAACATATCAGGTATTGCAAGTGTAGAAATAAATATCAATCCTAGTAAACAATGGAACAAAACGTGTTTTGATCAGTATCTTAAGTTCATGTTAACCTAACAAAAGCTCGGATATCAGACATTACAACTCACATTTGAACAATACATCATCGATGTTACATCAAATAAATGTGAAAAGATGTTCTAACTGTTTAAATAATTTGGTTCATACCAAGTTTAGAGCCATTATATTTAAAAAGTATGTATTTAAACAATTTTGTGAAGCAAATGTTTGCTGAAAGTAATTTTCTTCATTGAATTGAAAAATAAGTGCACACTCATAACACTATATGATGCTAATACTGAACTAGTTTAATTGTGCTGATTTAAGTAAACGTACAGACTATCGCAGTGATTTTCAACCGGTTCCGCGGAACATAAAAAGTGTGGATTTGAAAATGGCGAGTCAGAGTTTTGGAAAGTCGGTATAAAAAACTTGTAACCAGAGAACAAATGACAGGCCATATTCCTCTTTAATGGACTTTTTAATATCTCAGCGTGTATTTTTTTAGTGATCCATTCCATTCTTGACCAAATAATGTTTCAAAAATGTGAACATTATACTCGACCATGAATGGAGTCATCATAGGAGTTGATTACATTCGTTGCATTTTGAAGCTTTTCTTGTAGTAATAATTAGGGCGTGGCATCATCTTAAAATCGCAAGTGTTGAATTTTTAAATTCCGTAAATAAAATTGTGAATTTGTAGGTAACGATTTTAGCTATATGATAATGGTCGCGGTTGTTGCCACATTTCGACGCTACCGTTGTCGAATTTTGTTTAGGCTGCTATTGCTCCTATTGCCAGTTACAAAATTAACCAAGTCAGTATTTTAATGAGTAAACAAATAGCTCACGAAGCACTGGGGCTCCGTATGGAGCACTTTGAGAATCTATGGTCTACTGCATTTTTATGGATTCAACTGCAATTCAACTTAGGATATTTTGTTTTTGTTTCAGGATATAAGGATTCATATAAAACTGTACATAAATTTCAAATAAAAGTACAAAGTACAGCACAACTGTTTTATATAATATAATAATTTTTAAATTATACTCACTTAGCCATATCATTGACAGACATTTCGACATCTTTTTCTTCAACAGAAAGGGTCTTTTCAAAGTTACTGATTGTTCGATTTCCTTTCTCCAGACCTGAAACAAAAAAATAACTTAAATTCCTGTTGTCGTTGTAATAGAGTCAACAAAAGTCAAAGTCAACAAAATCCTGAATGCCATAGAATTAAAACAGAATATAATTTGCAAAATGTCACATTAAATGTCAAATTGTTCAAAGACTTTTTACAGCAAATATTAGAAAACAAAGTGATTCTCACTGTCAATGTATCTCAGGTATGCTTCTGAATGCAATACACGTTGAACTTTAGGCGGTGGTTTGACAAACAAAGGTCCACGTCTCATACCGCTACCAGGTTGTTGAGAATATCCATTCTGAAAAAAAAAACAGAAAACAGTTATTCATCTCTTCTTAATATGAATTCCGATAGCAATACAATTTTTTATTCGACTATTATAAAAATTAAATAAAACAATAGCATCTTACTGCCGATTTCATTGCTTTTAAGTTCACCCCTGGCTGGGAACATAAGGTAACAGTGATCAAGGAACTAATAATATTGTTTTTCCTCATCGGACCGATAATGGTAGACAGGACATTTATTACATCTCTATAGATGGAAAACAACATAAAGTCAAAGATGGTTCTCAAATAATTATCAACAATGTAAAACAAGGTCAAATTGTCATATACATTAGATCGGTAAATGTAAAAAGCAGTGGGCACGTTCCTAACACTGATCCAAGGTTGTGGACAAAATGATAGACTGTTAGCGCTAAGCAAATCTAAGAGTAAATTATTCAAATCGGTTCAGACGAAAATTTCAAATTTCGATTTGGTTCGGAAATCATCAGGTATTCGAAAATGCCCAGTCCCACCAGTGACCGGATATATTAGCAAGTGCTTTTCTTTTCCTCTTGTTATGAAAATCATATCTTATTTTAATTAAAAAACTCCTCATAAATTGAATGTCTACCTGATCAGTAGTTGCATTCACTGGTGTGGCATAGACCTGACCAGGTGCTGGGCCAGGTGTCGAAACCATTTGTGGCGTTTGACCTGGTTGGTATTGCTGTGGAGTGCCTTGTTGTGGTGTTGATGGTTGGTATCCTTGTTGTGGTTGAAATTGTTGACCTGGATGGTATTGTGCTTGGTTGTATGGTTGCTGTAGCATCACTAATAAAATCAAAAAAATTATTAAACTATCAGTAGAGGTTATGCGAGACTAACTCCCAATCCTTCCTCAATGCCTTGCGCTAGTGGACCCGTATGTGTGAAATGCAAGGATGCTGTATCAGGAATAAACATGACCATACTATGCAATTTAAGAGTCCTGCTTTCAACTAAATTTATTTCTGTAAGGCATTGTCTAACCAAAATCAGACTTACTCAGACAAGCAGTTTTTCCTTGTCATTGTTGTAAACTGCTTGACTGAGGAAGTCCACACAATTTATTGATTGATGACCGACATTCCCCTTTCAAGACATATGCATCGCTATTTCTCAGGGTTGACTGCTCGCTTTTAAATGTGATATACACACAAATGCAGCAGACAACAATCATGGTAATTACAGTGGATTAGTTCAGATTCAAATTTAAAAATGCTTCGTGAAACAAACACACTATTGTCCCCTTTTTGCATTGTTCAGCTTTATTATCAATAAAACAACATACTAAAATGAACCTACTCTGTTGTTGTTGTTGAACCACCATGTGAGGTTGTGGAGGTGGATGTTGTTGTTGTTGAAGCTGTTGTTGCTGTTGGGCCGCTGCAGCTGCTTCCTCCATTTCTCTTTTCAACTGTTGTTTTTTTCTTCTTTTTCCTTGCATTGGTCGGCCTTCAGCTTCGGCTTTCGCACTCAATTCTCTTGCTTTCTCTTCATATTCTCTCTTCTTTTCATCAGTTTGACTTCTCCACTCTTCACCAACCTGAACCATATGAATATCAGATTAGTATTTGAAATGAAAACAATGTTGGAAAACAGTTTCATGAAGGGAATTAAATTATAGGCATGCAAAATTCTATTGATAATATGAAATTCATGTAAACAGTGCTTTCAGTACTTTTGTATTCGGATTCAAATATTCTGATTACCGGTAAGTCACATTATATTTGAATAAATTTTTTTATTCACAGTTTTGAATGAACAATGCTTTCATTGCAAAAAAAGCAACTCAGTGAGCTAGAAACATAACAGCAGAACCAGAATCAAAATCTTCAAACAAAATTCGTTTTCAATATTATGGAATACATAAATTTAAACTCACTTTCAACATTTTTTTTTAATGTTGGACTATAGTATATGTGGAAAAAGACGTTTTGCGGGATTGGTTCGAGCCTAATCTAAAAAGCTAGGTAAAAAGTCTGTATTGTCTAAAGATTAACTACCAACTTCATGCTTCTATGAGCAAGATACTGTAAATATTTTAACGAATACTATGCTGTTTTGATATCTCTCTCTAAAATCTCGGATACACAAGCAAAAATCAATAGGTGCCATAATAATAAAATGAAAAAAAAAAGTGAAACTTCAACACAAAATCTCAATAATACAATATTATCCTCATTCTGTTAATCTGTGCATTGATATTCAACCTAGGTAAATACAATAGTACATCGTCAGGTCACTGTCAGGCATTCATCTCAACTTTTGTCTTTTTTCTCGCAGACGATCATCCCTTGCTGACTATCCACTACAAATCCTGGTGGGCTGCATCCAAGTGGTAGCTCTTTGTCAAGAATCATAAATAAGACTAGACCTGGAAATTCCATACTTCGTCTCAGCTGGTGTTGCTTGTTAAATAAACCTAATTCTGAACAAGACTGCCAATGTAAGTCAATACATCACTAGGATTACATTGAATCTTCTATTTTTTCTCAGTTACTATGATCTTGCTTCAAAATGAATCCTGCATCTGACAAACCTGCTTTCTCAATTCACTCATGTTTGGCAATATGTGTTTCCGCCATATATAGGATTTTATTGAACAACAGTATAGTAGATATTGAGGCATTTTCACATCATCAATAAGAACGAGGCAAAAATGTTTCAGTTCAATATTGACTACTCCATTTTATTACATCCTGAAAGCGGTTTGAGCCTAAGAGCTTTGCCCTTTGACACAAAACACTAAGACCAATCCCTAGACCAAAGAAGGATCTTGAATCCACCGGAAATACATGCATCTATTGTTTTTATTTATTATTATCATTAATATTGTCCATTTTAGCATGCTGTTAATGACACTCACAAGCTTGCTAATATCTCCAAACGGCATTGTCGGATTTTCAGCCCTCATACGGGGATGACATTCACTCGCGAATAAAATATATCCAGTGGAATGTCCGCCACGATTCTTCTTTTTCGTTGTTGGAGTCCCGGTTGTCGAACTACTAGGTGTTTCGACGCGATCAATTGGTGTGTTTGTTTGTCGCATACCTGGCTGCATTGGAGACTAAAAAGGTATTCCGTTAGGATTTGCGGCAGTAACAAAAACAAAGAGACTTAAGTTAAACAGTCATCTGGTCGTATCGGAAAACTTGAACAAAACAAAAAACAAAATATGGTAAATCAGTGAATGAAAAAGCAAATGAATAATAAAGAAATTACAGAAAATATGTTTGAATAACCAATCGGAAAGATCAATAAATTTATTTCAGGAATGTCTAAAAATGATTGTTTTTAATAAAATTGTAACATAAATCAAAAAAAGGGAATTTTTATGAATTGAGATAATCAAAACCACATTTTCTTCTATTTGTGTCTTTTCTTAAACCAGATTCGTTTTCCAATTTTTGTGTTGAAACTTTCTTCCAGAAATTTCAGCTTCTAAAATTTGGCCTCTATCTTTCTATTTCCCTAACAATGGAACTTTAAGTACTTCAAGTCACATGAACCTATGATAATCATTGGCATCGCTGCCACAACTATAAATCTATATTCAATTCACATTGCACCAGTTGTTGCTTACAATTCCTCTGATGCTAATAAAAAAAGTGTAAATATATCAAGATAGAAAAAAATTATACCTGCACCATATGCGGTGGAATTCCTGGTTGAGCTGGAGTATACTGTATCGGTGGCTGCATGTATTGCTGTTGCATTTGGGGCTGGGGTTGCATCTGCTGTGGAGCGGGTGAAGGTACCCCATGGTGTGTAATCATTTGTGTATGAGCTACATATGGGGTCCCGGGTGGGAATTGGTGTTGCTGGTACGGCTGTTGAATTGGCACTACCTGGGGTTGATTAGGTGGGGCCATGTATTGTTGTTGTGGTGGGTGGGCAACGTAAGGTTGTTGAAGTTGTTGATATGGGTGTTGTGGGTATGCTTGGTACTGTGGAGCAGGGTACTGTCGCTGAGGTCCTGGTTGGGGCATCATTTGCTGGGGATACTGCTGCGGCATAGGTACTCCTTGGACTTGCTGGACCTCAGAAGAAAAAAAAAGAAAAATTTTAATTGCCTGTCTAATTGGTAAAAAAAAACACATATGCCCACCATACAGACTTGGACTAGAGATGACCGAAACTATAAAATCTATATTCTGAATAACATCTGCATATTATTTCGGAATATTAAGTACAATACTGAAAATGAAAATGCTGTAAAGTTGAGGTGACAGTGATTTGATTGTTTTTCTATTTTTTGCTTTTTATTGTTTTTAGGAATTAAATGAAAGCATTTTCATTTATCCTGTTAGAGTTAAATTGCTCACAATTATATTTTTTCAAATGAAAATATTTCAAAATAAACCTAAAATCTAGAATATAGAATACCAAATGCAAGAAATTTCAAACGATTCGAATATTCATACAATTCATTTGGGTGTCCTTTCATGACATAGGTTCTCAAAGAGCCTCATATGGAGCCCCAGGGCTCTGTGAGAGAAACCCAGGGGCCTCACGAGCTATTCGTTTAATTATAAAAATAATGAATATTTTTTGAATACAAAGCAGCAAATACATCAGAGTCATTAAATAATGTTCCCTTTTTTTACTCAGGGACATTTATCGGTAAATAACAATGTGTTTTTTTGTGTTTATTTTCGTAAATTCATTGTGGCGCTCCGTAAATAATAGTCAACGTCTTCACGGGCACCATAATACGAAAAGTTAGAAAACCCCTGTTTCATGAGACTATACAACAGTATTATAGGTTCTACAGTTAATAGCGTAAATGTACATTTGGAATCAAATTCATTTGTCAAACAACTCAAAACAAGCAGCAAACCTGCATCGTTTTTCTTCTCAATTCTTCTTCTTTTTCTTTAGCGAATTCAATCTCTCTTTCTCTTAGTTCTTGTTTTACAGACGAAGCAAGAATGGGTGAAATTTCTTTTGATATTTCCAAAGGTTTTTTTAAGTAATACATTTCATCATCAACTACCTAAAAAAATTAAAATGATCCAAATTAGCCCAATTCAAACATAAAAAAACTAATATAGGTATTTTAAAACAGACAGGGTAGATAGCTGCCTGCTTACAACATATCCCCAAAATAACTCCACAATATCTGCATGATCAAGCATATAAATACAACTTTAAAATCTAAAATTCCAAATATTATTTATAATGTTCTCTTACTAAAAAACCTAAATGAAAATCAAGATCCTCTCATTTCCAAGCTTATCCCAATTCAACTCATATAAACCAAAGACCCCCAAAACTTTTAAATCTATGACTGTGTGATTTATATCGGCGCAACTTGATTGTTAGTTGTAACATACACTAAACAAACCTCACTTGCTACTCTGTATTGTAGTTAGGTTCAAAGATGGTAATATAGACCCATCCCCATTTACATTGCCTATTACAAAGAAGACATATTGAGCTATAAACAATCTTTTGAAAAGCAAGAAACCTCCCAGAATGGCCTCATCGACTAAACTAACCAGTCTAACCTAATCTGTGAAAGGGTCTATTCCACAACACATCAAATTCTAATAAATTGTTTCCTTTCCCTTCATTGTGATATAATAAACTGGAATTACTAAAACCTTCCGAAACTCATTTGAAAAGGCAATACTCATTTCCCAACTATTAAATATATCACTGCACTGAAATATAATACTTCTCTCATAAGTTTCATTCTTTCAACTTCAGCTTTCGAATAATAGAAATTTTTCTTTCTTGTACAGACTCCTGTCTGCTGAAATGATGTACAAAAACAAAATATTTTTTCATATTTATATTCCGATTTTGAACGGAAATAGTTTGTTTTCTTATTTTCTGAGCAGGGAAATTTTCTAATACCTAAGTATTGTGATTCTACAATTTTGTTCCCGAGTTTTCAAATGTCAAATTTTTTTATGATATATTACAATGTGGAATAACCATAACATCTTTGCAAAACAGATAGATATAAATATATGATGTTAAGATTTACAGATCGCCTCTTACTAAACAATACCAAAGGTACCGTGAAAACTTTATCAAAGTATGGTAAACTTGAAATGTAACTTCTACATTTAAACAAAATATAAACTATTTTTTGATTGATTCAATTTTCAACTTGATATTCCAACTATCCTGGCCTCACAGATTCAGGTTTCTGAATTGATTTCCTTTATCACTATTCAAGGAGAGATATGCCATACAAGAAAAGTTCTACTGGTATAAACCTGACTTGGGCAAACTACGACCCGCAGGTCAAATCCGCTCTGCTGGGTAGTTCAATCTGGCCCGCCTGATGCTGCGACAACTAAACTAAAACCAAATTTTAATGTTATAGCTAAAAATAACTCAAGGAATTCGTTGAAATTGTGATTAAATTCAGTCACAAGGCTTATTGTTTTCCACTTTTGCTTTCAAAACACTGTAAATATTGTTCATAAAATGTAACTTTTTACGTCACACTTACATGGCCCGCCAGTCTAGGTGGGCAATATTTTTAGCCCCTGGTTCAAAAACCCTGACCATCCCTAGTATAATTCTGTTCAGGTCAATTACGCTATAGCGAAGGCTAGATAGTATGTCGTGAATCAATAACCAATTACATTAACAAACATGGTGGGCAAGTGGTTAAAGCGTCAGCCTAAATTATCATGGCATCGTAGGTTGAAATTTCGAGTTCAACTCCCATGCCCACCACCTCAACCAGAGTGTAATATAGGTAGGCAATCCGTACAAATATGTCATATCTATATTTAGGAGTTAGGACGCTGGAAAAACAACAACATACCCCCATTACTATCCCTCCATGAATACAACTTGTCTAAAACTGTTTGAAGATCCTGTTCTAATCAATGTATGTCGCATACCTTGTTACTAGATGCCGGTTTCTTCAGAGAACCTCCTTTAATTTTCTTTATAAATTTATCAGCTGCTAGATATCTGGATTCGCAAACATGAATGTGCATTTCCAATATCTCAGTTGGTCGGCATTGTGAGAGTTCTCTCACAGACATGACAGCACAAACTCCAACTACCCATGACAACGGAGTTGGTGGTGGCATCGATGCTGTGGCTTCGTCACCATATGGTGAATTGAAGGAAAGCAGAAAAACTTCATTCCTGAAAATATTTTTCATCAATGAATAAACGCTACAAATAACAAGCATATGAGAATGAGATAAAAAAAATATAACCATGAGAAAAAATTGATAGTCTTCACCTTCATGTCGACCAGCGAATTCATATCATGGCATGGGATAATGTTAATGGGTATCAGATCTACTATCCACTGGGATTTTAACATTTCAATTTTAATAAATTTTTATAACATACATAATATTTCCAAGTTCCACCTGGCTTAACCTTTCAGAATTACTTGACACCTGCAGTCTCAAATTTGTACCAGTAATCTATGCACGTAATAAAACCAATTAACCATTGCCAGATAATGTATATTAGCAAAGCATTTTGAAAATCATTATAAACCTTACTAAATGTCCAAGAATAATGAAAAAACGGGCCTGAGTTGTCTTAAATTTACCTAGAATACAAACTCTCGAGTTGTATGGAAATTAACTCAAGTTCTGGCTGACTCTGGCTCTTGACTCAGGGTTGAAGGAAATTTTAAGAAGAGCCTCAGCACCAAACTTTTGACCACAAAATCATTTTTATATGCAAGCTTTTTCTATTTGTCTGTTGAGGATGCTTTGTCAAATGAATTCTTTTTTAGTTTCCCGCTTGTGATAAAATGCAAGCAGTACATGTCCCAGCCAAGTAATAAACAAGTATTACTTACTTGAAGAACATCCTTGTAGGTTCATGAGATGTATCACAAGGTTGAGCAAACCATGATCCTTGGAACCACATGACGTTATTTGCATCAGACCACATTGATTCTATTCTGGCAATCTGGAAAGCATAATTAAGTATATTCGAATGAGTTACAGAAATACTGATACTACTTTTATTAGTAGATAATTGAGTAAGTCACTGATGATAAAAAGTAGCTTTTCATAATGATTGATAGTATCAAAATCTGTAGGCATACTAACAAAATAAAACATTCGCACTTTTTTAAATAGCCTTCTCATGCCTAAACCCCAAGAAGGCTATGTCACTGATATGTGAGACTATTTTTAGAAGCTCAGAGATATTTCAGGTTTTGCATTCTCAAACCAATTTATCACACCCTAGAAAAAAGATTGACATGGTCATGGTGGAGTTTGAACTGAAATCTTGAATCTGTGATCTGCTCGATGCTCATGCACTAAGCAACCACTCCAAAAAAATTTGAAGATGCTGGTTATTGAGCTGGATTAACTTGCAAGTTTAAGATGGCATATTCAATGTGGATTTACTTGAAATATGCCTTGAAGGTCTTATATAATATGCCCCTGAGTACTATTATTAGAAACCATCAACTCATACTGATGATGATTTGTAAAAATAATCAAAAAGAAACTACATATAAAGATACTCAGCAAATGAGCAAAGTGAATATCTTACCTTCAACCTTTGATCAGAACCAGTGTGTTGTTGTTGAACATAAACACTGTCACCTACTTTCAAACATAGATTATTGATGTTGTATTGAAGATAAAATGTCTGAGACACTGAAAAATGAAAGAAATATTTTCCTGGTGAATATACAAACGAGAATATCGGTCGGGGACCGAAGACTTATCGATCGAAACTGCGGTTTCGATTGATGACTCTATAGTGACACATCGTGTCCCATCACTAATTAACTAATAACTTGCTAATTAAACAACATAATTCGTCCAAATCAATAGGCTTCTGGTCCGAGATATGATGAGTGCACATGCAAAATTTGGAGCAGATTCAACCACGCCTTCGTGAGATATCGCGTGCATCTAACAGACAGACAGACAAATACAGATCTAAAGATCGATAGGCAATGACAAAATCATTCAAATTGTTATATTATACTCAAACTCACAGAGCCAGGTTTCAATATTTAAAAAAACTGAAAAACAGGGCTAGAAACACAATGAATCCATTAGGAATTTTGTTAACTTATCATGTTGGTATTGCACATTGAACATCTCAGAATTAGTTTCACCACCACCTCACCCAAGGTGCAGTAAATTAGGTAGGCTATACAACGCCAAACCAGAAATATTTCCATCCTTCCAAATAACAGTGGCTCCCTTACCTTTCAGTGGGTGTCGCTAATACACCATGTTCAGTGTGAAGGAGTGAAAATGTTAAGTATGACAAAGTAATTGAACTTAATTGTCAGGGCTATTGAACATCAAAACAAAACTAAACCAAACTAAATAGTTTAAATATGGTGGTGATGTGCAAGCACTGAAAAATATTTGTCAAATGTTTACCTGGTGGTTTATTTTCTTGGGTTGCATTGTCAAATTTAATATTCTGTCTTTTTTTATGTATAACAACAGTCGGCCATGGCAGATCATCTGTTACAAGTGGCCCATGCATGTCAGATAGCTTTGGTGTTTCCATTGCCTGTTAGGAAAAGTGATTAAATTAATAACGAATACAATATAATTCATGAATTCAAATAAACCATTCATGGTCCCCTATATACTATGATCATCAGTAAGCATGCTTGTTCCTTCCTCTCTATGAGATCAGGAAAGGACTTTCGCAATTAACCATTCACTTTAAAGCTGAAAAGGAAGCCTAATCATATGAAGTCCTCACGGCAATGACAATCCAGTAATCTTCTCGCACATAAATATTCTCTACAGGATAAACATGAAAATACCATTTCTAAAAAAAACTAAATTTGCTAAACCTGGTATAGAAATCTTACTATAACTTGTGGAAATCCTTGCATTTTGCAACATAGGATAGGATTCACATATTTATCCCGGGGGAGAGAAAAGCCGATAAGACTGCTTAATCATATGGCAAATCCACGGTCTCTCGTCCGGTCACCAGTCAACGGGTATGAGATTAGTTAGCCTGCTGTTTGTTTTTTCGTAAGCATGGACTTGATGGTGGAGGAAGCCGTAACCAGCGGTTACGTAAACTACCCTGCGCGGCGAGTCCAGCAATCCACTCGCACATTACTATCCCCGCATGGGATTCGAACCTGTGAACCCACGCAGGGTAATCAGAGGTGCGTGCGGTGGTTCGTAACACAGCGTATTCCTAACACTTAGCACAATGCACCACACCACAGACATATTCACACAGAAAGGAACAATATAAAAACCTACCTTCGAATTTTCTGAATAAACTGATGACACCCGAACTGGTACAAGAGCTTTTTCTCTATTGATAATTTTAGTATTATTTTGTGGCAGATTTAGTAATTTAATACGCTTGAATGATTTCATTCTGCTTGAATATCTCGATACACAAACATAGACGTCATCTTCCAGATAACCTAGAAAAAAGGCAGATCAAAATGTACAGCGACAAAAAAACTACTAGTAGAAAGTACAAACTTTCAAACAAAAATAAAAAAGTAAATTGGTCTAGAACACTGGTTCTCAACCAGTGGGTATGGCCCACTGCTGGGCCACAGGACAATTTTTAGGTAGGTCACAGACCTATTAAAAATTGTTGGAGTTGTCGATAACGTAAGTTAAATTTGATGGTAGTAGCAATGGATGGTGCTGTTTTTCGTTACAGGGTGGTAATTTTTACCTAATTATTATTATAAACTGAAAATGTCTATTTTCGCAGAAAAAATTCTATGTTTTTCACCGCATGAAAATGTTAGTGGGCCCCAGAATTTTTGTGCAACGAAAATGGGCAATAAAAAGGTTGAGAACCACTGGTCCAGAAATTAAATATCTATGACTAGCAGAAACAAAACATAAGTGAAAGCATAGGATATTCTACAACAGCGAACTCCTTCGTGGAATACGCCGTCCTAAATAAACAACTTATACTTAATATTATATTTAGAACAATATTTGAAAATATTTCAACATAAATATATTATATTAATGTAAACTTGAGAAAGACTCACCGACTGGTTTTTGTTTGAAATAATCTTTCCCAATCATAACGAAACATTTTCCTTTTATACTGCTTACTGGTACAGTATTATAATAATCACTCTTGAACACCTGTAACAAAACAAAATTATTTTAACTAAAAAATTAAAACTTCTTTTGTCATAAAGTATGTAATAAGGATGGCTTAATGGTGACAACAGGGGTGGGCAATGTTTTTGGACAGAGGACAAAATTGTTGCCCACCTAGATAGCTAGAATGCCTAAGTTATGAACAAAAGAACAATAAATGAGTGTCATGGGGACTTTACCAAAACTTTGTCGGCTCCGAATTGAAACTCGTGGTTGTGCATGATCGCACATGACAAGCACACAAGGCAGAAAAAAGATGTGAAAAGCATGCCCTAGAATCTAGTGAGCGAGAAAACAAAGTTTCGTTAACGTCCCCATAACATGGAAGTCAGTGTCAACCTAAAATACAAGTTATACAGACTTCGATCATAATCTAACAGGCCTATTGCACCATACAGATTTCAATAACAACAACTATTATGTAGTGGATACAGAATTGGTTAAAAGCAGAAATTTATGGCAGCTTTTGGCGGGCCAGATTGAATCACCCAAAGGGCCGGATTTAGCCCGCAGATCGTAGTTTGCCCATGTCAGGGTTATAGAGCGAAGGATCCAATTATATTGGCTGAAGGGTTAGGGGTGAATGTCCACGACAATCATCTCACCCAGGGGTAGATAGGCAATGTCGAATCATGGAGACTATGACCCTTCTGAAAATGGCAGATCCCTATGTATCAGTGGTCTTGTTTCAAGTGAAGGTAAAAAAAATAAAGGCTTATAAAAAATGAAACAAAAACTTAATATGCGAAGGGAGAAATATCTTTCAAAAAAGTGCCATAAAAATATACAAATAACAAACCTCTTTCATGAGGAATTTTCTTGTCTGTAGATGATAAGTCTCTTGTGGTCTGAAGAACCAAACACCATACATTCTTTGTTGACCTGATTCATCTTGATATAGTTTTTCGATGCAAGCAATATGTGGTGGATGATTTCCACTGGATGTTTCTTCTGTATCTTCAACATAGACAAAATCTCCAGCTTGATATGTTACACCCTGTAATAAAAATCCAAATTGTATATTTTAAATCTATGAAATAAGAAATTTAAAAACACTAAAGGAAGAAATTTGTGTGACCAGCAGATTTAAAAAAAAATTTGAATGGCTTGACAGTGGCAACATTATGCTATGCAAGGAGAACATGCTTGTGCATTTGGAGACACTGTGTAGGTGTATATTTTTTATTTTCATTAGTGATATTTATATGCGAAAGAATCGACTGTTTGACTCCTCACCGCTATAGGGTTCAAAGGCTTTTCCTCTTCCTCAGAAATAAATACGATAAATTACATATTCCGTGCATGTTGCAATGAAGTATGAAAGATTCAATGATATGTTCCAGATTACATGAGATAGATCAGAGGTAAAGAAAAATCAAATTAGTATACACAACTTGGAGCTATGGTAAAATTATTTTTTCATAAAAAGGTTACCTTCCAATCTCCGTTTCCCTCCAATGATCTACTAGTAGTCAATTGGTCAATATCAAGGGTAAAAGAAATTTGGTCACACTTGTGGTTAGTTGTGACCAATAAATGAAGATCGAGCCTCTATCAATTAGCACAAGAAAATCATGAATATATTGGGAATAAATTACCGGTAATCTTTACGAAAGTTAAACTGATTATTAGTTTTACTAATACAAACCTTGACATCCATTCCATCTGAAGCAGTTGACAGTTGAACCTTTTCTCTCATTTCTTTTCCCTCATTCTTTCCTTCTTCATCTTCTAATTCTTCACCAGGAAGTTTTTCCTGAATCATAATAGTAGAAGTGCATATCAAAAAAAATTTGTCACAAAATCTTTGATATCATCAAGCCCTAATATATCTAAACTTAATGACCTAATAGTTAGCAAGAGGGGTCAAAATATGCTGGCGTCGAAAATTATAAATATCAGATTCAAATCTTATAATAAGGGGGAACAAATTGGGTATGCTATAGTACAGGGGTCGGCAATATTTTGTCGCTCTCAGGTCAACATTAATGGTTGCAAATCTTGGAGGGCCGCAAATATTTTTCAAGAAAGTTCCAGGTCCTGTGACGACTATCCATTCTTCTTGATTCAGTTTCAACATAAATTGAAATACCAACTGATTTAATTCACTTCTGTATTACCAGATCAAGTCGGCACAGTCTACCGTTACCCATAAACCTCCCACTTTTGCTAAGCAAGAGTTCCTGCGTCCGCAGAACTGCCACTCTGTGCGCACATTTTGATGACGTCATAGCACACAAAAAACGAATACCATAAAGCTCACAGAAATATTTGAAATAAATAAAAGTAATAGCCTTCTATCGAAAAATACAATCTTTAACCACTGAAAATTTCGAAGCAATTGGTGCAGTAAAAAAAGAGAAAAGCGATTTTTCTTAGCGATAGGAGGAAGAATATTTAATGAAGAACTAGAACAACAACACATAATAACAAAACAATCCATAGGTCCACTCTGTGTTCATCTATCTATTCCTCGAGCGTAAATTATAAAATTAAATTGTGGTTAAAATTCGCAGCCGCTGTTTTGCCTGTCCGATGTTGAATTTTTGTGAAGCATTGCGAGCCAGAATATTTAACTGGGCCGTATGTTGCAGGCCCCTGTTATAGTAAATTGGAAATATTCCAGTCTATTTAAAAAATATTACAGATTCCCTAAACCTAACAGTGATTCCTCATTCGAAGCTTCGTTTGAAGCAAATTAGTGAAATCCTTACGAAAGGCCAGCCAAGTATGAAAAATTACCCGAACAATAAAATTAAAATACCTATATTGAAATAAATTTTTACATCACTAACAAGTACCTGCTTTTCGACATCTAATTCATTTTGCAATATCTTTGAAGTATAAGCTAAAGCAGGTGATGATAGTATTTCACCATTTTTACACAACTGATCTCGATATCTGATGAAAAATTTTTGTAATTCAACTGCGTCTTCATACACCTGTTAAAAACAAACATCAAATTGATCTATTTTTGAAGCCAGTGAAATAATTTTATTCCTTTGAGTTTACATAACCACAAAAATCTGTACAGTGTACATACCAATAAAATCACATTTATATAAATTTTGATCTTGAATGAAGGTATATGTATCCAAAGTCTATATTTCAAACAGTACAAGTCAAATGATTAAATGAATATTTATTAGAAAAGTCACAATCTATTTATAAGAATGTTGACTTGTCTCAACAGTTGGCGTATTGTGCTAAGCGTTAGGACATGTTTGCCATCATAACCCTGGATCTCTGATTAACCTGAGTGGGCTTAAAGTTACTAATCATGTGAGGGACAATAATGTGCAAGGGGTCAGTCTAATTAAAAAAGTTTGGCATACTTTCAAATTTATCAATATTTGATTTCGTAAATTTGAATCGAATTCGAAATTTATGTCAATCAGAAGTCCGAAGTCGAATCCAAGTTTTCCCTTTCTTCATAGCCTAAATAAAAGTACATACACTACTAATACAAACCTCCGAATCTGTGCGATTATTCTTTCTTGCTGTTTCAAAAACATGAAACATATGTTCTTGGAAAACATCCAATCTTCTGTATCTTTTTGCATGTAAATTTCTTCTTATAACATCCAGTGTAATTGTATCCTCATCTGGCTTTGGGAAATTTTCCTGAAACAATGTCACACAACCTTTGGGTCACAGAATCCCTGTATTAACCCACATATAACAACTCAACAATGTAAACTACAAACCTCGGCTGTATCTGGTGCGAGATTGTTTGTGACATCCATAGCCTCTGTGGCCGGTTCTGCACTTATTTCCTGAGATGCAATAGGAGTATCTGGAGATATGCAAAACAAAACAATAAAATTTACTTCTCTATAAAATAGGCTCTGCGCAGACATACATTTGAATACATGAAGTAATTGACAGTTATGGTTCGATAATTCTCAGCTATTTCCCACTATTAATGATGTATAGTTTAGGAATAGAAATCCCATATTTTCAATAATTAAATTGACAATCGATTCAGCTGAATCGGGCATACAAACAGTCAGTTACACAAATTTTATTACCTGTGCCTTTCTTTAGAGCAGCTGGTTCATGGAGAGTATCACTGTAGCACCTGATTGTAGAACAGATTGAAAAATACCATTACTTTATTGTGACAGTATGGTGATTCAAGACTTGACTAGAATTTCCCCAAGAAACAGAATAGTTTGCTATCAAGTTTGCTATTTCAGATTTAAGCTTTCCAGCTTACAAGATTAGTTTCAAATTGAATCAATAATTATTTTGAATATTTTTTTATCTGGCATAATTTTGGGAGAGAGAGTTGAATAGTGAAGATAGCGAAGAATTTTAAATGCTACCAATACATCAGAATTTGAAGAGAAATTTGCCCAGGAATGGGATCTACACTACAAGACGTCTACTCAGATTTATTTTAATAAAATTCCCCAACCACAGATGGGAATCACTAAAACTATCAAATTAAGCACCTCCCATCTTCATCTTGACAATTGATGACCGAAACAAATATATTTATCAATATATCTTCAACTTTCGATTGTATGTTTGGTGCTTGCTTGGTAACTATACAATAATCATCATGTGCATCTACTGCCACTTTCTGCAAAAACAAAATACAAAATCACTGTTTCAAGGTCTCATAGATTTGAGAAAACAACTGTACCTAATATTACATTCAAAGAATGATCTAACACAGTGGTTCTCAAACTTTTTGAGCCACGACCTCTGTTTAGAATTTGTCAAGTCTCGCGCCCCACCTCTAGCTAACTAGCTAACCCCATAACTAACTGACAGTGACAATAAGCTAAGAATAACAGAGAGTAAGGCAAAAGTATGTTTTATTCAAAATACATGTTGAAATTACGTGGGTGGAATATAAATATTCAAAATACTAAAACTAAAATATCCAAAATAAGGCGGGTAAGATTTAAAAACAATATTTTTACTTTTAATTAGCTTCACGCCCCCTCAAAAAACTGTCTGAAGTCCCACTGTTTGAAAACCACTGATCTAACATGAACATACCTGTAATATAAGAGCATCCTTATATATAAGAGATCCAGGTTCATTGTATGTACAAGCATTCTCAAACATCAGTAACATGTCTGCCATGAATTCACTCAAACTCAGGTAACTGTTAGCCTAAAATGGAATAAAATAAAGTATTAAACAAATAAATATGATTCAAACAAAAAAGTGATGAATGTGAGTCTCAGAAAATAAGCTAATCCTATTGTAGTGGAATATGAAAAATAAAAAATTTTAGAATAGCGGAAAATTATTAATGCAATGATGGAGATATGAAACATGTACTGAAATTTTTTGAAAAGAAGCTAATTAAATCATAGTGGAAAATGAAAAATAGAACATTTGAGAATAGTGGAAAATTTGTACTGAAATGATGAAGATATGCTATATATGCTGAAATTTTTTTGTTAAGATAGCTCGTTGTTACGAAAATTATTTTGTTATCCATTGGTGCCTTTGTGCCCTGGTTCTTTACTAATATACTGATCCCAAGAAATGACCAAGGAGTCAAAATGTCAATTTTGACTTACTTTTTACTCAGTATAGTATCTTCTCCATTTTAACATAATTTTAAAATAATGTTATTTTAAGCAATTGGCATTAAAATAAAACATAAAATGCACAGAATTTCAGAAAATTGTGTAAAATAAGCATGATGTGTTCACAATTTTTTTTTCAATTTTCAGAAATCACAATGAAAAAATATATATTTATTTGTGTAAAATTCTATTTAACAAGACCCATTTCGATACACATATGTCAAAATATTATGTCAGAAAATTTCCAGAATAAGGCATTATCAGGTTTTAGCTAGTCTTAACAAGTAAACAAAAACCAACGTAGCAATTGACATTAAAATATAACAACATTTGTTAAAATAAAAAAACCTGCGAATCGAAAATATAAGAATCACATACCATCATTTTCTGGTGTATTTTATCATTGTCCATTGGTCTTTTTATGACTTGATAATAATCAGGAAGTTCAGATTTGCTTGGTAATTTATTGAAAATTTCACAAATTTCACGTCCAGTAGGATCTCGGAAGTTACGGACTTTTTGATAAATGTGATCCATGCACTTTAACAAGGGATTCTGCAATCAGAAAAATTCACAAGGTAATGAATGTGAAGAAAAAAACGACCATTCTTTTAGCTTCCCGAAGACTGTCAAATTACAGTCAATTGCCTAGACTAAATTGATATTAAGATATAGTAGATAACTTTTAACGAGTGAAACAAATTTATAATTGAACTGTATTTGAACATTTAATTTTTGACTATTTCAAATAGATTTGTTGATTTGTTAAAAACAAACAATTAGTAAAAAAAAAATAAATAATTTGACATATACGATTTATTCAAAATGATCACATTCAGTGAAAATAAGTAACAAATTATCAAATCATGTAAAATTTAATATTTTTGACAAATTATCAAATCATTGTATAAATTTTTATAAAGGGTTTTCCAATTTTCAAAAGCTATTCTATGCAATTGAAATTTCATTTGGACTCCACTCTCTTTTAAGCATATAAATCAACCCAAATGCAAAACATCACCATTCTTGAATTATATGCACACAGATCCACCGGCGCAAAAGCATAGAAGGCCTTAGGCTTGCACCTAATATACGGATTTACGTAATTTATTTTCAATTACATCTGGAAATTAGGAATTACGTAAAGTCATATTGGCCAGCCCCCATCAAGGTGTTCAAAGCAGTCAAATCCGCCGATCCGATCCGATTGAAAGTAGGCAAGTCTTCGGAGTGGAAGTATTTCAGTTTATAAACGCCTTCAGAAAGGGATTCCGCCGCCACCTGTGTATTGTGCAACAGAAAGCTTCCAACCAAAAGGTGTACGACAGCATGTCTGCTCAGTCACCTTCGCTGTCACCAACTTCAGGAATTTGAATGCGCGAAAGGTAATACTAAACTAAAAACGCAATTTAACATACAGACCTGCTTTGAAAAATGTGCTGAGTATCCAAAATCAAAAGTCTGCTGGAATAGCATTACAGAAGCAATAACGCCTTGTCTAACTAAAGTTGCTGGAAACGTTAGACAAACGGTCTACCCAGTCGGAATTATTTTACAAAAACAGCAATAGCTGCTTTATATGAGAAAACCAGAATAAGTTACGTCACGAAAGCTGCTCACGTTTCTTTAACGATGGACCTTTGGTCCAGTTGCAACGGTATATCAGCCTGTCAGCGCATTATATTAACGAAAATTGGGAGATGAATTCATACTGCTTAGAAACACATTTCATACCAGATCATACCGGATCAAATATAGCCAGATACTCTTGGGAGATTCAAAAATACTAATATTGTTTTCATAACAACGGACAATGGGGCAAATGTGAAATCGGCCTGTAGCCTTAATGGAATGATCCGTGTTTCTTGCCTTGGCCACAATTTAAACCTCGCAATCACAAATTTGCTGAAGGATTTTCATGTCACTCGCGCAATTTCTGTGGCAAAAGATTGGTGCCATCGTTCTCTCACAGTTATAAAAAGAAACGGGATCTTCGAATTGCCCAACAGCGATTCAATCTTCCAAGTCAAATGCTCGTAGTAAACTGTCCGACCAGGTGGGGGTCGCTTTTTCACATGATCGAAAGAATTTCGGGACAACAGGAAGCAATCAGGGATGTTCTAAGTAAGGACCGAACAGATGCGTCCTTACTGCCCTCCTGGCAAGATTTTAATGTTTACGAATCAATATCAAAGGCATTGAAGCCTCTATCGAATTTGACTGACGCATTATCTGGCGACAAACACATGACAATCTCGGCCTTACGTTCGATGCACGATTTCATAAAAAAAGAAATGTCACCGAAAGGCGGAGATACTAATATAACAAAAGAAATAAAGGGAAAAATTCAAGAGTACATAGAGAATAAAATGTTGGAACTGCCTTTGGAAATTATCGAGAAATCAACGTTTATGGATCCCCGGTTTCTCAAATATGTCCGCGATATGCCATCCACAAAAAATTCTATTTTGGTGGAATTGAAAAATCTTCAAAAATATATCAAGTCTTGATTTACCCCAAAGCAGCACAGAATTTGTCCAAAATGAAAAAAAACAAAGGGCCGCCCAGTCTCGGAAAGCTCATACAGTCACAGAGATTTTCCTCCTACGCAAAACCGAAAAGCGGCGAACGATCAGCCATGTCCACTGAAGGTGAAATACTTGCTGAAGTTGAAAAATACGCTACGATGATGCCATTCGAAGAAGAAGCCGGTCTTTTAGTTAGGTAGAAAGCCCAAGTTGATGCCAAGCAATATAGTTTTCTGCCGACACTTGTCAGAAAATACCTTTGCGTGTGCGTCACAAGTTCTCCAAGCAGGATCATTATGTAATCGATTTGGCCGTAATTACGGAATTGATTTTGGTCGATTACTTACAAGCCTAGAGGGCGGATAAGTAGTTGGTGCTGCAGAGACTATAGATAGCATAATTATGTTCTGTTGCAAAAAAAATTATTTACTCTTTGAGCTTGTTCTTTTGTTAAAACAGGGACAGGCGTCATTTTGCCATCATCTTGTATTTCAGATGCAGGAAACTCTTCTTGTTTCTTTCTTAGTATCTCCTGCAATCTATCTGCATCCTGGTACACCTATGGGAATGAAAATGTAAAATGAAATTAAACGGAGCTCCCGAAGTATGTGCACCAAAAATGGCGCACAACCTATTTACCAGGTTAGGGTTCAGGTTGTGCGCCATCGAGCTTCCGGAGTATGTGCACTAATTGTGGGTTTCACCATTTACCAGTGTGATTAATCCTAAGTTATTCTGACCTCTGATCCAGGTTCATTGTAATGTCTAGCATTAGTGAACATCAACATGAAATCTTCAACGAGTGAATATACAGTCGGATATTTATCTTGACGTAATTTCTTATCGATAGTTTTCATGTCGATCGGTTCAAGGATCAACTTGTAATAATCAGGATAATCTTTACGTGACGGTTTCTCCATGAATAAACCAATCATGCTACGACCTAAGAAAGATAATATTACAATATTGTGTCTAAGTGCAAAAAAATATAAGAGCTTGATTGGTGGAAGAGAAAATTTATATCCTAATTCAACAACGTTCCAGAAGTGTGTGTACCAATATGGAGGTATTTAATTTTGTTCGTCTACTTTACACCAAGTTGTGTAAAGGGACGGAGGCCTATTGGCAGGGGGTAAATTCACTTGGCTAACACAGACAGTCCCCAAACTCGTAATAGAACTAAAATAAGGAAAATCGGGATAAAATGATGGCCTAACCATAAACCTGGTACACACACTATGGGAGTACCGAAGTTTGTAGATAATATTCTTGGACAAATTGTTTAACTATCAAAAAAATGAAATAATTTATCAGTTTTAATAATTTTTTTCATTTCATACATCAACATTCACAATGCTCGATTCATTTTGAGTTAGAATCACTTATAGGAAATACTGTGAATTACTTTTAAAAAATGTCAGATAAATAAATTGAAGGTATGAACAGTTTGTCATTACTTTCATATGTTCCATCCAGCACTGCATCATACAATGATCGTAAATTCTTCCGAAACATATCCTGTGGTTTTTCTTTCTGACCAGAACCTTTCGATTTCTGATAAAGCAGAAAAAAATTAATGAAAAGTAGGAGAGTAATAATGATTTTTATGATATCATAGGCAGAATTCCACCTAAGTCCAAATTAACTTCCATAAAAAGGTTGAAATCATTGATTTTGAAGTAGAATATCCGGCTGACACTCGTAGCTTGTGTGTGTCTGATTGAATTTCAAAATACCAGGTCAAAATAATTTTAAAAATAATTAAAAAATTAACAATGTAAATTTCCAACCCATTAAATAAATTATTATTTCTAATTATTTTATCAAATTTGAGTCGGGCTTGGCTATTTCAGCACTTCACAGAATTTTTTTTAAAAGCAAAATCGCTGACAAATTGTGAACCATGACAGATTTAGTGAATCCTAGCAAATGAGATAAAACTTTACCCTATGCCACAGCCCAAGTTAAAATTGTTCTACTAATACCAATGATAAGTCAGAGAAGTTTGGGGGAAACTGGTCAAAATCTTGCACCGAAAATTTGAGTATAAATTAGGAACCAGCAACTACAACATAACAGAATAAATTTCCAAGAGAACTAAACGAAGATGGGAAATGCAGTAATTGATATCTACCCTGGAGGGGAGAGTGAAATGTGGACATATTCTGCAAAAATTGAATATGTAAATCGCAGCTGCAGCTGAGACCACTACCCAACCAGCGTGCAGACACAAACCCGATTCTCTGAGTTTGCTACTATAGAAGCAGGTTTACCATCTGATGTGAGTAAGTGCACTCAGAGATATTATTATTCCTTTCCCATAACAAACAAGTGGGTATATAGAAATATCTCACCAGAGAATCTCTTCTTTTTCTTCCTTTCTTACTATCAGGAGTAGATCCCTCGTATAGTTCATCTTCAACTTCTTCTTCTTCGTCATCCACATCTTCCTCCTCTTCTTCTTCTTCCTCCTCATCTTCCTCTTCTTCTTCCTCCTCTTCATCTTGTTCAGAATCCTCCAATTCGTCCTATCAAAATCAAGTTTTGATATCTCATAATTTTCGCGTATTCCAGGATTCGATCGGACCCGCTAGCTGTTTCGATCTAACTTGGAGAATAAAAATTTCAGAATCCCCCCCTTTAAAAATTTCTGGCTACGCCCCTGAATTCAACCACCATTCCTGAATAATAAAGAATGAATGCTACCTGCTTTACTTACAAAACCTTTGAACGGATATGCATAACAAGCTGGTATAAATTAACAGGAAAAGATCAGATATTTTCGAGTGGTTCAATATAGTTAGCACTTCAAATCAAAAGGTAAATTATTCGAATCGGCTCAGACGAAAATCTCAAATCGCGCCATCTTGTTTTGTTTTGTCCATCAAAGGTTAGGGGTGAATCCTTCCATTTTTTTTTATTGAATTATTTATTTTCGAAATGCAGTTCTGACATATCATTCTTTTCTTCCAGTGAGTTATTGATAAAAGCATATTTCTATTTTGTGTGAACACTCAGAGAACTGCCTGAGTGATGGATGTAATGATATCAGTAATTTAAGTACCTGGAGTAGCCATTACAATAAAAAAGTTGCATGTAACTACTAACTACGTAACTTCCAAGTATTCCAGATTGATTTAAAAAAAATATTCAATTCTTTAAAACGCCCGGCCTAGTCCAATCACAATATGATTCAAATTTAACAAGATAGAAATTTTTCAATTGAAAAAATTTTACGAACCATTCCCAAAATCATATTCAATTATACTAGTTATTTTTTGATTTTAGGAATAGTATTAATTTAAAACAATATCAATTATCAAGTTTTCCATTATGACCAAAAAGGCTTTCATTCAATGTCTAAACTGTAAAAGTAGAGAACTAATTAAATCATTGTTATCTATTTATTTTCAATACTGTGACTAGACAGAATAATTATACTAACCTCAAGGCTTTTATTTTCTGGGAGCTTATCCTCCATTAACTGTTTCAGTGTTTGTGCATTTTTATAGATGACCGAACCTTCTTTATTATAATGCATTGCATTACTGAATAGTAATCTGCAATCTTCAGCGAATTCGTCGAGAGACTATAATATAATATTGTTGAAATTATAAATTTCACCATGCACCATACCTGGTTTTTAAAACAATATATTTGTCACAATCTAATGAAATTTAGAAACATGGTTTTTATTATGGTGATATCATAATAATGACAAAGGGGCAGATCGAATGATGAATTATGGGGAAAAAGGAAAACTGCAAGATAATTCATGTAACCAGTAGCCGTGGAATTGTGAGTCAAAGCAGAAATTTTGAATTCAACTTGTCAGATTTTCAGACTTATTATTATAATAGATATTTAGGTACTCCTATAGTGTGTGTACCAGGTTAGGGTTAGGCCATAATTTGATTCCAATTTTCCTTATTTTATTTCTATTACGAGTTCGGGAACTGTCTGTGTTAGCCAAGTGAATATCCCCTGCCCATAGGCTTCAGTCCCTTTACAAAACTTGATGTAAAGTAGGCGAACAAAATTAAACAAAAACTCCATATTGGTACAAACACTTCTGGAGCGCACACATTGTAAACTATTCAAACTGTAAAAATCCAGAGTGCAGATTGAACAACATACAACAGCAGCAAGGCTATTAGATGTTGAACTACATATTGAAAACAGCCCTCATATATAATTATCTCAGCTATATTTAGATATTTAAACTATTCAAAATATTCAAAAAAATATTTAGAATCAGATTTAGGAAAATATTAGCTTTTAAAAACAATAGCAAATTACCTTGTATTTATGAGCTATTATATTCTTCTTAATAGCTTTAAAAGTGATTGGGTTTTCAATTTCTTCATAATAACTCGGATGCTGGTGTTTGTTGGGGAGACGAACAAATGCATCGGATATTGAATGTCCAAGAGGATTACGATAATTTACAATCACATTATACAATTTAGCCTGAAATGTTTAACATACATTACTGATTACACCAGCTTCGCCATAAGAACTCTCAATAGAGTCACAACATCTGCACTCATATACCACATCGGAGCTGCTTTGAAAACATAAGGCGCTCAACACGTCTGGAACTTTGGTACAAGTTTTGTTTTCTATTACAGACTTCCCTTTTAGTAATTTTGATGAAAATGGAACTGAATTGTCATATTATTTAGCTTGAAAGAACTCTGGACTGATGTTGAATCAAATATATTAATTAATAGTTAATTCATATAATTTATATATAATTTATACAAATTAATACATGTTTTCATACAATATTTATCACACATTATGCTCTGAACAAGGCCATGTATGAGTACCCACTGATATCCAACGGTATGTAGGAACCAGGAGGCTACTGATAAGAACCAGAATCGACATTGCCGACCCAATTTATTACATCATGGGTGAAGTCTGAGATGGTAGGAATGGGATTTGAACCCGAAATGTTTAAGCTGGGATGCCAGCTCAGGCAAAACTACTGCAGTGGTTTCCAACCGGACCCCCAAGAGGGCCACAAAGTAGTTAAAGAAGGACCAAGGGCAAAACCGATTCAAGTTTTCCCTTGACAAGGAAACTCCCTGTTCTTCCTATTTTCATTGCTTGATAAGGTTATTTCACAGGGATTTTCACTTTGTTGAGCATGAATTCATTAAACATAATGGGATTAGAGATACAAAACTACTGGAATGATAAACGAGGGCCATGAATGTAAAAGCCTCTGGAAGGGGGCCACGATCCTAACCGCTAGGCAATCAACCCATAATATTTCAGAATTGTGCCCCCAGTTCACCTTAAATATAGTATAAACTATACAGTGTGCCTCTATTCTACAGGCAGCATATAAGTTCAAAGATATTTACACCCAGAAGATGAGAATAGTTTGTCTGATGATTAACCCAATTGATTGAGTCTGATGATAATTGCTCCATAGATGTACTTCCTTCACTTTTTAGTGAGAGTGTAGCTTTGTTTTGAGAAAATTTCCCAAATATATATTTACCTGTAAAGCCTCTTTTCCTTTCAATCTAGTGTCTGTGATAGAAGCTTGATGCAAAATTGTTGCTCGACTGCTTCGAACACTTGTTTCCTGAAAAAACAATTAATTGACATGATTAACTCAGCTTATTAGAGAAAAAGATATTTTATTGCAAACTCCGCCACGTTACGAAAAAATGGCAATGCAATATACGAACACGCAGGATGGAAAATTGGGAAAGTCGCAAAAACTTAAAAAGAGTTCTAAATATGCGACTACGTAGTATTACATGTGCATTCATATATCATTATATTAAAATTTATTTTCTGTATTTTAAATTTGCATTAGATTTATTCTGTCGTAACTTTTCCTTATTTTCAGAAGATAAATAAAATATATTCACTGGTACATCAACAGCGTCCTGTCTTTTCAGAGAAGTATCCGGATCAAACTTCGCTGATATTCGTTGTCTAAAAAATTGATAAAACACATCTGTATAAATAGTAAAAACACTGCAACAATATCAAATATATTCAAGAAAATTTTTCAAAATCTTTCAAAAGGGAAACAATATTACATGCAACAGATACCAATTATTCTCAAATGTTGAATTTGGTTAGAAAAATCAGAACAATTATCATTAAAAAAGCCAATAGGATTTTGTAGTAGGATAATCCAAAAATTCGACCCAATTAACATCGTTCATTGCAATTAATTGCTTTTAAAAAAGCTCTTTTAAGAAAGATGATTGAAACCAATTTAAGTCCAATGAGTTTGAAGTCATTGGAAACTTCTAGAATGACAAAAAATTGGATGTTCTTAGTTTTCATTCGCACGATCTGCAAGGAAACCAAACTATAACTAGAGCTGCGTGCAGCTTTAACAGGTTTCCCGCGTAAAAAAAAATTTGCGCGTAAAAAAAATTTGCATTTTATTGCTAGCTGAGAACTTCTGCACATTTGAGGTGAATTTCAAGTTTGTAGGACCAATTTGAAAAAATAATAATAATAAATAATAATAATAATAAAACACAGGAATACAATAGGTTCCCTGCTGACAAGCAGCGGGAAGCCTAATAATAGAATACAAATTTATAAAATAGAGTTGAAAAATTATTCAAAAAGTAACAAAACATTACTTGATTCTAGCACTTGTCTTTACACCAGGATCTGATTTTTCAATTTTTATTTCAGTTTCAGATTGAAGTCTATCTTGTAATGCATTCTTCAATGCAACAGCATTATTATAGATCTGAAAAGGGTAAGTCTCGAACTCAAACTAGAGATTTTAAATGATAAATATCAACATAAATATGATAACGAAAAGGCCTCTATGGTTTAATATAAAAATCAAGTTCCTGTGATTACGTAAGATGAGTTTCAACTAGAAAATATTTTCTGGATCAATTTAGTACAAAAAAATTAGCTGAAAATGAGTTTGAAAAAAGTGGTTTACGCTATTTATACTTCCTTTTTCAAATCACTGATTGAAAATTTGATATGTGCTATTTTCCTCTTGAAGCACAGTTAATATATGGAATGAAATTTGCATATTCCAACACCAAAAATGTGTATGGGATTGCATTCAAAACAAAAATATTATTAGTTCTTAAGACTGTTACCCAATACTAATATTATACTTGTATGAATATATTGAATATAACTTTCAACATTAGTTCAAATCCTATGAAAATAAATCAGCGCTGTGAAAATTGTAACTATATACAGCCCATTTTGATAACTTATGTTTGAGAGAATTTGTTTGCTAAAAACAAGGTAATGAGCACAAACTCAAAAGACTCATCTCTGAGTGAAGTCACAAGGGGGTCACTGAAATAACAAGAGCTACCAAGTGGAACAACATAGATAACCAAAATAAAGGATGAGTTCCAGGATGCAAACTTACCTTTGAGTTTGGTTCGTTGTAACTTCTTGCATTTTTTATCAATTGTTTGAGGTCTTTTTCAAAATCATTAATATTTTTATATTCTTTGTTCTGGATTTTGTTACCTATTGTTGTCAAGTCAATAGGATCCTTAATTTTTTGATAATAGTCTGGATATACCTGGTAAGAAAATTGAATTATGTGATAAAATTTTTAGGCTATTTAATATCTGTATCCAAAAACATATTAATTATAGACCAATATATTCAAAGCGTGATATATGGGAATTTGATCATCTGTAAAACAGCTGAATTGTTTTGTCACTCTAACTATTCACAGTGCATTATACTTTGAGTATATAAAAGTATGGAGCTACTCAGTTAGAAACGACCTTTATTTTTTTTTCCATTTGAGGGATAATCATGGTAGAAAAATCAGAGAACAGTTTCAGTTTCAGCTATTCCGTCATATTTTAATGAAATGATTGTTTGTTTTGGAGAATAAGCACAGAATAATTTTCAAAATTCCTACACAACCAAATTCAGAACTAAAATGAAGAGAAAACGAGATTTCCCCCATAATTTTGCACGACATAAATTTCAAACTTTATTTATATTTAAAACGAATTATATTCAGAGTTTAAATACAAACCTTTGAATCAGGTAAAAGCATGAACATATCAGTCAATCCTTGACCTTCATCATCAACTTCAGCCAACAATGAATTAAAAATATCATCCAATTTATTCATCACTTCTTCACTCTGTATTGCAATGAGATACTTTTCGAGAGAATATTTCGTAACAGATTAAATATACATTGGAAGGTGGGCTTGTACAACAGACCAATTTTAGGTGACATCAATCAAAATATTTTCAAAAATTGAAAGAAGTTTTACAAATTAATCAAGTTGTCCAGAAGAAGAGTTTGGCATTTTGCTGGCATTAGAGTCTTGAGTAGAATTCTCATAGTAAAGAAAATATTTAGAATCGTAAATTTTGACAATCAAATTTTTCTAGTCAAAATCGTGTCACTGAAAACTGAGTCAAAATTCAGATTTTTTGAACTTTTATCATGTGACAAATCATCAATCAATAGCCAGGAGTCCAGTCAACTTTTATCCAACTGAACTATCTCTGTTTGAGTCTCACAGAAATTGAGAAAGATTCGAAGAAGTATAACTATATGATTACCAAAAATTAAAAATCATTTTTCATACACAAATAAATACTAACCCCTTGACCAACAGTCTGTTGCTGTTCTTCAGGAGCATCGTTTGACATAATGATTGATTTTGTATCGAGATATAATTCCCATAATGCATTAGCATCTTTGTATTCAGCAGAATCATCCTGCGACAAAAATAAATTTGTGTGTGGTTTTTCATATCCAAATTGATCTAGTTTTCAGAAGTATGATTTTTCACATATGTCCAGAGAAATGCAGAATCGAAAAGAAGGATAAAGCAATTTGGTGCACCACAACCTCTCATTCAGTTACCAGTTCATGTCGGGTATGGAAATAGCTAGAAAACATACTTGGTGGAGAAATCTTTAGCCGTATTTATCTCAATCTCTAAAAGGATGACATTTTTGTTCTATCAAATTAATTGCTCTGATAGAGTTCATAGGTGTTCATATAAACATTAAAAATGATTGCAAATTAAACTGCATTTGTTTTTTATATGTATGATGTTCTATGAAAGCCTGGTGGATGAATTATGTTCAAACAGTGAAGATCTTGAATTCATGTCCTAGATTGCTCGTCAAACTGGTCACTCATCCTCAATGTTACAATCATGTCATAATCAATGAAATATGCCAATAATTGATATAATTTTAAAATCTGCAGCGGAGTACATTTTTAGTATTGCATGCTTACAGCTTTGAAAGAGCCAGAAGATTTCACAAAAATGAACCCCATTTTTCTATAATAAAGCTCCTTTGATTGGCAGATGGGTACTCCCGTAGTGTGTGTACCAGGTTTGGTTTGGCAATAATTTTATTCCGATTTTCCTTATTTTAGTTCTATTACGAGTGAGCCAACCGAATATACCCCAGCCAATAGGTTTCAGTCCCTTTACACAACTTGATATAAAGTAGGCGAACAAAATTAGTTAAACACACACTTCTGGAGTGCCGGCAGATGGGCATGAACAAAAATAGTCGAAAAAACATCTTACATCATAATATTTCTTAGCATTGTTGACAAGCAGATCCATATCTGCAGTTAATGATTCAATATCTCTGTATTCATCCATCTTCATTCTTTGTGTTATCCTTGTTAAATCTATCGGTTCTCGAACAGTTTCATGATAATCAGGATTTTGTCTGAAGGTTTCAATGTTTTTTAGTATAAATACACAATAGTGAATACAAATCCTGTAAATATGCTTTCTATCAAGAGTAATTTTCCCAAAAACTTCAAGTGTGTTATCCTGTTATTCTAGAAGCTTCTGTTGTTTTAATATTCCATAACAATCACTACCTTTGATAAGAGTGAAAAATTCGAACAGATTGCAAATGTTAAAAAATTACCTCTTAGAAGGGACTTTGAGAAAAGAATTTGCAATATTCGAACCATCTTCTTTCTGATGAGATTTCAGAGTTTCCAATATTTTTTCAGCAATATCAGTCTTAAGAGAAAGTTGATAAATATAATTTGCCTTCCTGGTAGGCAATTACAAAATTTTCAAATTGCAGACTAAAGTCAGCTAGCATTTGGGACGGTATAAGTTAGAACCACCGCCCCAACACCAGTTGGTTTGTGTATCCGATATGTTAGCTGGTTACACTTCTCAGGACCGAATCCCATGCGAACCACCTCACCCAGAAAGTAATAAATTGGGCGGGCAATGCTGCACCGAAAAAAATTCCATTCCTTTCAATAGAAGTTCGTTGCATAGCTTCAGATATCAGTGGCTGACTCTGTAGAGCTAATTGTGTGAATAAGCGTGGTCCAATAAAAAACTATCAATAAACTGGTATTGAGGAAATCAAAATCAAAATATTTACTTGATTCGGCTTTGTCCTCCGAGATCTCTTGCTATATGGAGACTCTTGTGTTGTGCCATCCCTGGGAAGTTTCCGCTTTGGAGGCATTTTTAAGAGAGTAAGTTATTGTGAAAAGCTACAGATTGGATTAATTAGGTCTGTGATGATTAAAAAAATATTTTCAAAATAGAACATAATATTCAATTTTTCGAAAAAAGTAATGAAACAAAACAATTATAAATGATACTTTTGATAGGTTGAAATCGAACACATTATTACGTATAACAGGTGAATTATGCTCAAATATATAGACACAGAAAGGAAATGTACCACAATAACAAGCAAAATTCCAGTCGAATATAAAAGAATTGTAGGATATGTCATATATACGTGCGCCTATGAAATGACACTTAGCCAGAAGCTGATTTAAAATCAATCATAGCAACCAGGTCATTTCAAATAATAGTAGCTACCAGTAGTTACATATCAGAACCAGAAGCTTCATGAAATTTATTAGCTAACTTGAGTTGAATTTGAATCGGTTGTAATGTAAAATGTACCTATTTGATTAGCTGTATAATGAAGAAATATAACGATGAGAAGAACGACCTCAATGGGTAAAAGATTCCGTTCCACATTCTATGGAATTGATCTATAAATTTAGTAACACATAATGAAAAAACAGTGCTCCAGATGTGTGTGTATCAATATGGAGGTAATTGATTGTGTTCGCCTACTTTACATCAAGTTGTTTAAAGTAACTGAAACCTATGAAACCTATTCACTTGGCTAACACAGACAGACAACCAAAATAGGGAAAATCTGAATAAAATTATGGCCTAATCCCAACCTGGTACAAACACGTGAGTACCGAATAACAATGAAATAGAGGTCTCAAACATTTTTTGAATGATCATTTGATGTGAAAAATCAATTTTTATGTTGAAAATGATTGGTAGACTTTAATATGACCGAAGAAACAACAATACAAATTTTCATGTTTGACCTTCAATACTAATAACAGTTAAAAATTACTACAATCCAATTGTAAAATCCTCAAGTAACTTTATTGTTCTATTGGTCCACTTTGGTGAGTTTGAAGGGCCCACAGCACATCAGTTCACAGGTCTTGATGTGGTGTAATCAGCCCTCTCTTATGAATAGAGAATTATTCGTATAAATTACACTTCTTAGATTCTAGAGTGCGGGAGTGCACAATTGGTTCCACAATCAGAGTTTACACTTCCTAAGTGAAGATGATTGATTTTCGATTGAGTATTCGATTTGATCAGAAACAGGTAGCATAACATTCCATCAGTCTCCCACATTGTCATCAATCCATTGATTTCTGTAAAGCATAAATATATGAAAGGAATATACTGACAAAATGACTTTAAAACCACGCTGTATGACATACCCTCTTGAAAAGTTCTAATTTTTCTTCACTCAAATTTACTTCTTCCTCTGGCAAACTGGGAACAGCATACATGCAGTATTTAATCATTTCTCTTTTCTCCTAAAAAGAAGCAAAAATAATCCTCATACAGTAATTTTAAAGCATGAAACCAGAAATTTCTATTTCAAACAATTAAATACAATTAAATATTTATTTATTCAATAAAATTAAAAAAAAATTCTATTATTTCTGTATGATTTGCCACCACCATAACACCGAAATCAGGATTTATAATTATAAGATTAATAAACTTGTTGGTTTGTATTAAAAATTTTGCCCAAAAAAATGGATCTGAATGCCTCATCGTTAAAAGCATTAGAAATATATGCCCCCACCTCACCTAGGGTGTAAAAACTGGGTAGTCATTAGGCAATGCCCAATCGGAAATATTCCGTTCCTTTCAAGAGTATAGTACCTTCTAACCCAGTGGTTCTCAATCTTTTACTGACAGCGCACCACTTTAGTATTTCTTAGCCTCCTTTACTGAAAGGGGAGTATTTTATAATGTCACACTGCATCTATTTTTACAGCTTCGCGCAATCTTCCAACATATTCATTATATGCAGTAACAACATATTAATTGCGTGCAAAATCGTGAGGGAATTTGCATCGTTTACCGCCAGAACTGAAGGGCTTTAATTATCGCCACCACTGAATTATCGCAAACCTCAGGGAAATATACTTTGATCCGCAGTATGGAAGACAAAATGAAAGTTGCTGGCATAATTTAGCCAACTCTATAGTTAATTGAAAATCTTCCGCATACCAAGGTTAAGAACCATTGTTCAAATCTTTACCTTTCGTTAGTTATCAGTTGTGAGTTGTACGAAGCCTTATTCAGAGCGAAGGCATGAATAGAAATTGTATAGATAACAATGGTAGAATTGACAATCAATAATTTGATAATTGTAAAGTTACCTCTTCTGTTTTAGCACCCAGTTCGATTAGAAGTTGTTTGATCACAGGATCTGATTCTGCTTCGGTAAGAAAATCAACTGCTTTTAATCGTGGAAGTCTGATGTCATAATACACATGAAGTTTGTTCCGAAAATTTGCATAAACAAGACATACAACATTCTCACAATCTTCAATCGCATATTGTCCAGCACAAAATGCCTGAAAATATAATCAAGAAATAACAATACATTTATACATTAAGTAACAATTTTATCATGTGGTGAGTTTGTCATGACGAATGACAATTCTGATGACCATGTAGGTGTGAATAAAGATAATTGAATCAAATTCATAAAATCTGTTTGCCTTATGGTCTAATGAAAATTAGTCCAAGCAATATGTTGGATTAATGGTAAGCCAAGGATGTTGAAATTCTTTAACACTCAGATTCTAAAACTTTGAACCATTATATATATATATAGCCTAATTGATCCTGGCTCTGACTTCTTACTGCTGGTTGACACATAATTTGACTCAAGCTTCAGGAGTTTGAAATGCAACTCCAACTCTTCCAAATCCAACTTCATTATCAGTAAAAGCATCAAACTCAGACTTGCAACCCACAGGCCGGCTACACAATCAACATCAGGGGTGTGCAACTTTTAATACAGGCGGGCCAGAAACAAACAACTGAGTGAAACCGCAGGCCACACTCAAAATTTTATTTAACATTGGCTTTCTAGTAGTTGCAGACACAAATATTTTAGTTATTGATCTTATTATGACATGCGTTGTTCGCTTTGCTCAAGCTGGCTGTTAGGGCATTGTAACGTCATAGGCATAGATAATGAATTAGACTCAGGTATAATGCTTCGCAATGATTACGCAAGAATTACTTGGACATACCAGAATTAATTAAATTAAAAACTCGTTTCGTGGGCCACACACCAGCTAAAATTGCACAATTGTTCCTTTTAAGCCGCATGGCCCACATGCCACATCTCTGATCTACATCATTCAAAGTGAACAAGAAAAAGACAGAAGCCTAACAAATAAAATTTAAATCCTTTCAAGCCCAGGAGTCCTCTTGTCCATACAATGGTATGGTAATCAACTCATATAGCAATACAGAAAAGAAACTATTACCTTCAACCTCAACAGTTATAGACAGATATTTTCTAGTCTCTAAACTAGCTATAATGTCATTTTGCAAACTGAAGTAAAAGTGATATTTACCTGAACATTTTCTTCATATTGAAACCTGACAACATTTCTGTCATGATCAACAATATAAGTTAAACCGTCCCATGCACATAATATAACTTCTTCTTTACCATTAGCAAGTACATCAAGCTTGTTCATGGCAAATAATTGATGGTCAACCTGCAGAATAGGAAATTGAGAAATGATATGTGGCCATGCTGGTCTAGTAGAAATAGTGTTTATTTGCATCTTCCTCCACATTCATTTATAAATATTCATTTCCTAATACTCTGAAAACAATTTTCCTGCAGCATTATTCTAATAATATTTAAACACAATTCATACAATATCCTCAACCTATTCAGGATGTTAGAAATCTTTAGTCAAAGTCCTTGTCATTTCAAAGATTTACCAGAAAAAATATAAAACCAATGAATAGGTAATGGCAGAACGAAGACAATACAATACGAAATACAGTTGCTTTGTATATACAGTATAAGTAAATCCTAGCAAACATCCTTGAAACCTGGTATTTATTCCGAATTTGAAAAATCAAAAATACCTGAAAAGACCAAAGAATTTTATCATCTTCTATTAATTTAATATTTCCATCTAAGGTACACAAGGCAAAGTATCCTTTGTCACTTCCAGTATCTTTGCAAATATTCCCAACTATTTGACATGATATGGCTGGATTTTGTGATCTGGAAAGACTGATAAACAAAAATGTCAGTTATAACATGAGGCAATATAAATTTTAAAAGACCTCAAAATATTCTATCCAATTTACAACAATTTATCTATATGAATCTATATTGTTGTAAACTGCTTTTCTGAGAAAGTCTGAATTTGGTCGGATGAAATGTTACAGAAATACATTTGTGTTAGTGTGCAGCAGGATTCTTTAATTGGATAGAATAGTCATGTCAACTGCTGCTAGAGCATCATTGCAGTATACGCATACCATACGGATCCACTAACATAAAGGTATGAGGACGGATAGGGAGTTAGTCTCGCGCAACCCAACTCAAAGTGACCTTAAGATATCTCAAAACAATGTGATTTCAGTCCAGTTCTATAATTATTGAAGATTAGACCACTTTTTGTTGAAAGACTAAGAAAATATTTCAAACTAACCTTCAATGTCTTTTTCATATTTAATTTCGAAGAGAGGAATGATTTTAAGAAAGCTTTATCACACAATGAACTACGGCTTCTAGTACCAGTTACCAGACCATGTTGGGTATCCAACTAACTAACCAGTTAATCTAATCATATCAGATACATGAACTACCGTACATTTTGATACTAAGATTAGATTGAATGCAGATAACATTGTAAGAAATAAATAAATGAAAAGGGAGCAAAGCATCAATCAATTATTACAAGATAAAATTGACACTTATTTATATAATCAAAACTTAAATTGGATCATTTGTTAATGATAACAAAGCTCAACAAACAAGACGGATAAAACTCAAAATCACCTGGACATAGGTTGATATAGAACATTGTCTTCAAAGTCCAATGTCTCATTTTGTGTATTGTTAGATCCGATGCTTTTGTCATTATTCTAAAGTAAAAATTTTTATTAGTGATGGTTAATTGCCTATTTCAAGTACATTTTGAGATAATAAGATAAATATGGAGTACCGGTCTTAAAATATTTCAAACCGTAATATTTAACTGAGAATACAGCATGAACCATTATATAGTCATACCGATTGATTTTTATAATGTAGAAAAGTTATGATTGACTACTTTTTTTGTTTTTCTGCAGTTATCAAAAGTTAAATAAGGTGTGATATGAACTATGTGATAAAACAATTGTGCAGAGTCCTATATTTTTTATTAACAAAAACATTGCAAATTATTTCGAAAACCAAATTTATGGTATATAACTAATTTCAAATTCATTCCTTTATTTAAATAGTTACAGCCATCTCTTAGTTGAAGCAAAAAGGTCCTGCCTTAGTTTTTTCAATTAGAAGTACCTAAATCCTCATACCCATGAAGGTAGTAATGTTGCATAAGCACATCCAGGTTGAGAAGCAATAATTTGGAGATATCCTTCATCTGATTACCCATGTAATGTTATACTTCCTACAGATTGTCTTAATTTCCATTCTTGCAATCTGACGAAGCTTTCCGTGGCTTTGTTCCACCTAGTAATCCAGAATCAGTTTGGATTTATTATGAGCAACAAATTTTAAAACAATGAAGCTTGAAAAGGAATTTTTAATTCTCAATGAGATGAATATAAAACTGACTGGGGCAGGCGGCGGTGTTTTCCTTTATGTCAATGGCAATATACATACTAAATATTCATAATTCCTGTTTTTATTTGATGTACATGCTATATGTAATAAATTGGGGTAATAATTCACAATCAAGTGTATGTACTATGTAGCATCAAGATATATGAGGTACAATAAGGTTTCTGTGGGTGCATGAGTCTGTTCAAAAAAAGCAGAGAAAGGGTGAAAATTCTTGATCACCACAATAGTCGGCAAGCTTTAAAATAATTATAAAAGTAAATAAATCACTAATATTTGGTACTCTCCTAGTGTGTGTACCGGGTTAGGGTCAGGCCATGATTTTATTCTGATTTAACTTAGTTCTATTACGAGTGTGGGGACTGTGGATATACCCCTGCTCATAGGTTTCAGTCCCTTTACACAACTTGATGTGGAATGGGCGAACAAAAATAATTACCTCCATATTGGTCCACACACTTCTGTAGGGCATAATATTTTAATCAAATTTGAGCATTCAATGACCATTGTTTGAAAAAATAAATGACTGTTGCAGGTCTGCCATCCACACGTTCAAAACAAACTCGAAAATTATCAATTCTATACCTGCATGCAGAAACTTTTCTATCGGTATGACATAATATTAATTCCTGTCTTCCGTCACCATCAACATCACCAAGTAACAACATTTTTGTATTGGTTTGTAAAAGTTGTTTGTGAGCAAGTAAAAATTTGTTAGCATTTTCATTTTCTGGAACTTTTTCGCTGTTGGTAAAAATGCATTAAAAAATATGAATTAGTCGGGATTTTTTTTTCAAATCTTTCGGACAAATTCATGACGCTATAATGCGTTAGCTGTGCAATCACACAATCATTAATTCTAAATAAGTGAACCTGGGACCGGAACCGAATAATCGTCTATTCTGAATACATGTAAATTCAGTGAGTTTTAATATGAAAATGCAAGAAAGTTGAAATAAGGATTTGATTGCTTTTATATTTTTTACAATTTTCAGAAATTGAATATGGTAAATGGCATTTTTATCATGCTACGAGATTGCTCAAAATATTAATTTTTCAATTGAAACTATTCTACTGCATTCAGGAATTAAAATATGGAATCTAATTGAATCTAAATGAATTGGATTTTTGATTTGTTTTATACATCCCTGATTTTAACCATAGTAAGATATTTTCGAACGAAAAATTGTCCACAACCTCTTATTATTAAAGTTACCTGAAGTCGAAAACATAGCATGTACCCTCTGTATTTAACACAGCAACAAGATTCTTTCCACTTTCCATAATATCACCAACAATTATACAAGTAATGGAACCAAGGTCTGTCACTTTATTCCATGGTGCTACATTGTATCCTCTATAAATGTAAAGATATCCCTCTGAAAAAGATTTTGGGTAACTATTATTTGCAACAATAGATATTATGGTCTGCTAGAGATAAACTTCCCAAACAATAACAACATGGCGAACTGGCCCCCACATTTGTTAACTGTATCTTTATTGTATTTCCGGCAACTAGCATTTCTGGCAATTAGCATACTCCAAGATGGCTGAGCATGACCAGTGATGTCTTCAGTTTTAGATGATAGATCAAGACCAACCAGCTGTGAAGGTGAAGTGGCCATGTGCTATCAGGTAGTAGTAATTCATGGGTACTCCCGTAGTGTGTGTAACAGGTTAGGGTTAGGCCATAATTTTATTCCGATTTTACTTATTTTAGTTCCATTACGAGTTCGGGGACTGTGTGTGTTAGCCAAGGCAATATACCCCCTGCCCATATGCTTCCGTCCCTTTACACAACTTGATGTAAAGTAGGCAAACAAAATTAGTTTCCTCCATATTGGTACACACACTTCTGGAGTACCCGAATGCAAGTTGGTATGTCTGGGGAGTTACTTTGGTTATGTTTATAGGCATTAATTATAAGTTTATACTGAGTTAACAACACTAACATATCATTGATACATGGACTACAACAGTGATTACGAATCTTTCTGATGATGTAGACCCATTTTAAAATTATAGCCAATAAGTTATGTACAAGTGGTAAATACTAGAGACAGTACATCACATCAAACAACACACATGAAGTGCCTTGAAATGAGAGAAAGATCAAAGAAAGACAAAATCTATCTAAAACTACTCGCATAGATGAGGTGCTCAAAAAACAGTGTCAATTGTATAATATTTAGGAGCGAATATGGTTTAAAGATTTGTCAAAGATTAGTAACCTTATTTTGTATTTTACGATATCATGCATACAAAGATCATGAATTTCCTTAAATCTTTTTGTAGCTCTCGGATATGAAGTTATGCATTACAAAGAAGTAGAATAGACCCAGAATAGGCCTGAAAAGGCGATAGAACGAATTTTGTACAAAAACTTTGTATTCGAACCTTCCTTTCAAGTGCTACAATAATACAGTATAAATTTCGATAATATCATATTTGAATAAAACTAACCTGTGGTCCCAACTACAAGTTCATTCCCTCGGTCGTTATCAACATCCCCGAATGTCATTGCATGAGGAAGAACTTTGCCTAAATCTAGGTTTAGTTCAAGGTGTGATACGAAAGATACAGTGCGATTAGTAGTAGCCATTTCTTGAGTATGTTCCTAGGATTCAATTCTCTTCAAATAATCAGGCCAAGGTCTGTCTCCGTCTTTTGCTTGTTCTAATTTTGATGTGCTTATTGCAAGAGATGCATCCCGAAAATCAGGTTGAATTTGTAATGTTTTTTCGAAGTCTTTTATCGCCAATGTGTATTGACCTTAGAACAGAATTACATAATAAGAAATTCTATTTATGCTTTGATAAATATCTTCAATTAAGCCTTCGTCAACAAAACTCAAAATGAAACTATGTGAATTCACACATAATATACTGTAGATCAAATATATCTGGAGAAGTTGGAGCAGGAAAAAATGAATGAAGAGACTTAAATAGTGTTTGGTTTAGCAGATTCTTGAACATTGAAAGGTTGGTGAATGACGTCATAACCTATCAGCAGTTATACTCGGCTTCGAATAAGGCACTATGCAAGCAGCACTGATAGATGATGACATGTGAGGAGCTACTATTATTTGCCTGCCCAATTTATTACACGCTGTGTGAGATGGGGGCTTAAGATTTGATCCCAAGATGCTCAAACGCTCAAACTGCTTGGCCAACCTGCTCAAAATTGAACTGTGAATGGCAAAATGTGTAGCAATAATTTCAAAACAAAATCATTACATACAATATTCGAACCTGCACAAAGTAATCAGCGATGCAATAGCGACTGTATGGACATAGTGCTTATAACAATGTGTCAAACAAGCCTTTCTAGTGGTATTTCAACAGTACCCTTCTCTTTTTTAATTCCCCATGTAAACTTGTCTAAACCTTACCTAATCTATAGTGAATTAATCCTCTGTTATAAAAAGCAATAAAGTATTCTGGATTCAATTTAATTGCAGAAGTGAAGTCAGAAATTGCTTCAAAGAAATGTACTTGGCGATATTCAGCTTGACCACGATTATTATATGCTTCGACGAGTTTTTCACTGAAACAAAAATATCCTTCATAGTCAAATTTCATCCTGCTTAAATAAGCAATACCGGATCTGACACAGATATCAAAGAAACCACTTTTTATACACAACCTAAACATGTACAGATGTATGAAGATTGAATCATGAAAAAGTATGTATTCTCTCATGAATATAATTGTAAAAACTTAAGCCTAGGTGAGGCTGAAAACTTACCACTAGCTAACTAGTGGTAAAAACAAAAGTACAAATAATTTGAATATAGGCTAATAGTTAATAAATATGTAAACAGTACATGACATGTACATTATTGATAATTTACCATAGTACTGTAGTCTGAGATAAAAGATTTTGAATTTCATGCTTTTATCAATCAGAAAACACAGAAACTTAAATCCTTCCTAGCAATTGTTAGGATAGGATAGGATGGGAGTGGGATTTACATATTCATCCCGGGGGAGAGGAAAGCCGATAAGACGGCTCATCCATATGGCGAACCACGACCTCTCGTCCGGTTACCATTCCAAGTCGGGTATGGGATTAGTTATATTGTTTGTTTTCGGAAGCATGGACTTGGTGGTGGAGGAAGCCGTAACCGACCAGCGGTTACGTGAACCACCCAACGACGGCGAGGAGTCCAGCAATCCTCTCGCACATAACCATCCCTGCATGGGATTCAAACCTGCGAACCCATGCAGAGTAATTAGAGGTGCGGTGGCGAGCGTATTCCTAACGCTTAGCCCGTTGAGCCACACCGCCGCGTTGTTATTTAGGTGGTAATTTCTGGATTTTCATCAATACTTTGATTGACATCATAACCAACATCTTAACATAGACCGGTAGACACAATACACAATTCAGTAGAGCGGTAATTGATAGATAGGATAGGATTTACATATTTATCCCGTGGATAGGAAAGTCGATAAGACGGCTTAATCATATGGCGAACCACGGCCTAATGTCCGGTTACCAGTCCATGTCAGGTATTGGATTAGTTAGCCAGTGATTTGTTTTTGAAATCCTGGACTTGATGAAATATAACACTTTAATACAGTGGTTCCGGTTCAAGAAAGGGATTTTGGTAAGTGCGCCCAAAAAATTAACAGAATTATGTTAAACATAACTAATAGTCTATATGATTGGAAATATGAAAAGATGTGTTCAGAGCAGCAGCCGTACCAGTACACCTCTCATTTGATAAATTGATGATTAAAATACACAAAATATGGAATCGTGAAAATAGACACGTGTTTGCTCACCTACCTTTCAATTGCACCCAGTGTCTGATATTTGGACAGGGTATCAATGCATTTGGTATATTCCTGGGCAGACAACGCGTATTGTTTTTTGGAGAATAGCTCTTTAGCAACCCGAAAATACTCCATCAACAAGTAAACTCAGACAAACTGTCAACGGTAATCAGTAATAATAACAACATAGGTGAAAAATCCTATTACGCGCGTGGTCTATGTCGCCGCATAGTGGATATATTGTTGTAATTTAGCCATTGATGAATTTAGCTCGTTTTATGGTTTTGATAGCAATTTGTCATTTTTCAGTTGTTTCCGAAATTCAGTTATAAAACAAATACCTCCATGATCATTTTTCCTCTCGAGTGGTTTTTAGTATCTTTCGTCGACCTGTTTCTACGGGGTTAGCCACACGCTTGCATGAAAAATTTTATTGTCACAATTAATGTAATTAGCTAACTTGCATTTCAATTTTCGGATTGATAGGATCCAATAGGGGGCGGGGTCGTGTTTGAACTACCGCGTTTCCCCGAAAATAAGACCTAGCCTGAATCTTAAAAATGATTTTAATATAAGCCATCCCCCTAAAATAAGACCTAGTCAAAAACGCGAATTTTTTTTTTAACCCAGTCGATAGTAAGAAATCTCACCTACACGTTTTAAATGATTGATAATAATCTATGTTTTGCAGTTGTTTTGAATAACGTGTTATTTAAAAGTGAATGGATATTAGTTTTCATATTTTGTATATTAAACTCTCGTAATTCTCTACTTTGTAATTTTGTTTTTGATAAATGAAAATATAAGACATCCCCCGAAAATAAGTCCTGGTGGTATTTTTTGGAAGAAAATTGAAATAAGACCCAGTCTTATTTTCGGGGAAACACGGTAGAATTTATTTAAAAATAGTATTTGCAATCTAAAGTTGATCTTTAGCGTATATATGGCGCAACATTGCGCGATCAAATATGACTGGCTGACATTCGACTGTTTCGCACTTGATCGGACTATTATTGCCATGTTTATCCGCTTGAACTTTTGTTTACAGCCGACTGTACGACAGTAGCCTACTGACCAAAACAAGTTATTTTCTAACTTACTTTATTGCGTAGAATTCACACCCGCTTGTACTCGAATGAAATGATTGGAACATTTTGTACACAACAACTACTCCCTCAATAACATTACATCATAAACACAAATACATCCCATAACATTTCACAGCTTGCGCTCATTATAGATATATATATATAAGTGCAGATAATTGATGCCACAAAGTGTATTTTCAAAACCAAGTCTATAGAGCAGGGTTTAGAATTTTCAGGTAGCGTATACTTTGCTATTGATGGTTTTCAGTTTAACTATATAAACGTCGTATACGTTAAGACAGTCCAGATGGCTAAAGTCACAAAATCGTAATGGAGCGCAAAACCCAAGGCAGAACAAATCAACAGGCATACATTATGTTCAAACACGTAATAAACTTGCGATTTTAATTAAATATAGCACGTTTTGACGAATTTAATATTTGGATCTAAGTGACTCGTTTTATTCTACAGTATTCTTAGTTTCACATAAATAATATGCATCCATCCGAGTGTGATAGTGATAGACATCAGAAATTACCGACAATTAGCAGAATTGGTAGATGTCCAAAGCAATGAAAATGTATTTGATGAGGCACACACGAAGCGATATAAACATAGAGATAGGGCTGGGCATTTCGAATCGAATATTCGAATCGAATCGAATAGTAAATTATTCGAATCGGTTCAGAGCTAAATTTCGAATCGCCGCCATCTTGTTTTTATCTTTCCGCTAATGGCCGAGGTGAATTCCCCAATTTTTTTTTCATTGGAGTCATATATTTTCAACGAAATTCTAACATATGACTATTTTCTGTAGTGAGTTATTGATAAAACGTGTTTGTTATTCTGTGTGAGCGCTCAGTAATCTATCTGGGTGATTTATTCTATGTCTTCGGTAATTCATGTGTTGAGAGGACCAATTACTATAATAAAATCGCTTACAATTATATATTTTCAAGTATTCGAGATTCGATTCGATTCGAAAAATATTATTCGATTCGATTCTGAAATCACAAGGTATTCGAAAATGCCCAGCCCTACATAGAGACACTATAAAATGGTAATAATTAATTGAAATCACCTGGCGATCTATATATATACCATCTGTCGTTTTTATTACTCAAACAAAAAATCAATTCAGTGAATACATTTAAATCAGGTAATGTATAAACAATTTGACAAATAAAATTTATATACGTACTGCAATCAATTGAAGTTACAATGCCTAATGGAATTATGATGTGTGAATACAAGGTAGTAAAATTATAATTTAAAAATTTCACAGTTATTTCATTTGAACGATACAGCTTTCTGTCAGACATTTCTTAACATTCCAACAGCCTTTCAGTAGATATTTGTCCTGATCAATCATTCATATTCTGCGATCACCTTCCATATTGCACGTTGCGTTTCAGATCGGGCAGGCAAGCTGTCACCAAGATTGTTACTTTCCGTAAAACGCCAAGACACCACAATGTCAGTTTCCGGTTTGACATATGCGTCAAGATAATGGCTAAATAAAATGGCTACAGAAGCATTTTGAGGCTCGTTAATACTTGCGAGGTTGTCAATGAGAATACCTGCAAGCGAGTAAATAAGACTTATAGACTTTATACATATGAAATAAGTAGTTCGAAACAGCTGAATAGATTCCAAGGAAAGACAAAATGAGAGTTTCAGGTTGGATATGTAAATCATAGCAAATTTAATGATTCTACCCAAGTGTAGTCCAGGTGTAAGTTTTGGCTATTTTTCCAACCAACTTAATATCGACAGAATTAAAACAGTGGAATAGAAACAGCATACCAACTACATAATATATAAAAAGAACAGGTTTGTATGTGCCTCAAATCAGCCTCATTCTTAGTTTCTTCAATCATTAACGGCATACTTTTACATCCGTCAATCTTTATGTTTCATTCCGGAATAAAACTAAATGCTCAATTTGTACATTGTTATCTACCAAAAGTACTTTGGCATTGTTGTATTTTATTAATTTATCCAAATCACAAACTGCTTTTCACAGCTTTCTGCTTATAGTTGAGCAATACAGAATAGTCAAAATGGTTGCTCTGAAATATTTGTACTTCATGTTGGCAATATTGCAAGCATTGAATGAATCATACAGTTATAAACCAGTGATTATTATTCACGGAATTCTGGAAGGCGCTTCTGGATTGGAAGAATTGAAATCCTATATCGATAAGGTGGGTTCAGTTGAGAATTTTTTATTTATTCTATAAAATTAGTAATCAGCTGTTCTCTAATTTCGTTTTTATGACTGGTAGAAATATATTTGTATCGGCCATCTATGATCGGTGCAGTGGCGCCGATTTCCAGGGCTTTTCATAGAACCTTTATGCTTGATGGTTGAATATAGACAAATCGATAGTCAATATTCATTAAATTTTTCAATGTTATTTCACATTTTTATATCCGAGAGAGAAAAATCCATGAACAATAATATATACCATATTCCCGGTATAGCAATCTAATAAATTCAAGACAAGGTCGTGTGTAGTTAATGATAATAATATAGTTAATTTGCTCTGTTCTTATAATATGTGCCAGTTTGCAATCCCTTTTTATGCAGTGAATTGATGATATTTTATACATCATAGTAGATTTTGCCGTCAACCAGCCATGAATATTGTATTATTTCATTACACACTTACAACTCGTTAGTTTTTTTTTTTTCTATCCAAAGGCTCATCCAGGAACCGAGGTTCATGCGATTGACATGTTTGATTACTACAATAGTTTCGAACCTATGTGGAATCAAGTGGAGGCAATTAGAAATGTAACACATTCCATCATGAAATCTGCAAAAAACGGAGTTCATATAATCGGATATTCTCAAGGTAAGTTCAATGTTTTGTAATAAAAAGTTTTAAAAATCTATTTTGGCACATATATTTACAGGACTGCAGGCAGAGTACTAAAAACGGTTCACTAAACACTGCTAAACGATATTAATGATAAAAGACATATTGTCCATGTAAAACAAAAATCATTTTATTCAGGTGGTCTGATTGCTCGAGGACTGATTCAAACTACCGATGACCACAATGTTGACAATTTCATTGCTTTGTCTTCACCTCTGAATGGGCAATATGGTGGTACGTACTTTTTCACGGTGTACTTGTAGTAATTTTTCCTACTATATTTAGGATACTATAGGATAGTTGGATTAAATATAGTAGGAACCGGCTCATTTCGTTCAGTTTCTGCTATGTATTTTACTATATATAGTCTGTAACATAAAGCTATTATATCTTGATTTTCAGATACTTACGTATTCAATTGGTTGTTTCCGCATATAATTAAAGAAGAAATGTATAAGTTATTTTACACAAAATATGGACAAAGCTGGTCTATTGGAAATTATTGGAAAGGTAAAATTTCAATTCTTTGTAATTAGATACTGATGACATATAGCACTCTGAAAATAATCATGCAGCATTAGCGTTACCAAGCTAGGTTATAAAATTGTACAACGAACTTCTGTCGTCATGCATCTCCCATAAAACAATAAACTAATAAAAGATCATAGTCTAAATTTGTATCTTAGATGAATTCACAGATTTTATTGTCGTTTAAGATCCACATGAAATTACTCGTTATGAAGAATACAGCGATTTTCTTGCTCAGTTGAACAAGGAAGTCAAAGCAGAAAACAGCAAATTCAAAACATCGTGGAAAAACAATTTTACTCGACTGAAAAAATTAGTGTTGATCGGAGGACCAGACGATGAAGTCATAACTCCATGGCAAAGTGCACAATTTGGATTCTACAACGGACACGAACTTGTTGAACCGATGAAAAATCTAAAGGTACGTTTAAACAACGTTTATATATTGTTTTGAATACTTTCAGAACTAAACTAATGCACAATTATTAGAACTTCATTATTCGTTAGTTGGTGATTTAACTACAACCGGTAGTAATGATGTATATTTTAAAATTCGAGGTACTCTGTTTTCTCTGAATTAATAAAAATCGGTCTGCCTGCTAGGACGATATACCATGAGTGTGACAGGCTGTAAGTCATTATTCCAGAAATCGCAATTTTTATTAAATAAACGGCATGCAATATTTATTTCTCCTATATTGAAATATTTTATTCTTTATTATCTAGGTTTACCGAGACGATTCATTTGGGCTTCTTACGCTTGATAAATCTGAATCAATTCAAACCTGCACATTTCCTGGTGTGAGACATCTTCGATGGCCCAAGACACCAACAGTATTCGAAAAATGCATCGAACCTTTTCTGACATAAAACGAAATTGATTTTTATTGCAAACAACGATACTGATATTCAGTCATATGTATATTATTCATTCTTTGTTGAAAAATTGCTTTTCTCGCAGAATGAAAATTGTATGCGAACAATATTACATTGATTAACATATTTTATAATACCGAGACCACAGGTTTCTCTACACGTAAGATTTTCTCCAGCATCTACATTACTATATACATCGAAACGTGGAAAGACGCTGCTAAATTAATTTCTCTGTCCGATACTGGACTGGTGAACGACTAGAGCCCATGGTTTGTAGTACGTTTTAATAATCATCGTCTTTCATGTCATGGAATAAATAAAATATCCTGCCTCGGTGATATATATTCATTGCTATTTCTTTTGTAAACATTTTGTTACTTTGCTTTCTATTTTATTGACCGCCATGAATGCTATTACTGTCCTATAATATTTGATGTGTGCCTTTCCTTTATATCATTGTTCCAAATATATTTGTATACTTGTGCGACAATATAATTTTTTTATTAGATAATTTAGAAGAGTTCAGTTTTTAAAAGAATTTCTTTGGCATTACGAAGGTCCAATGACTGATAAAGCCCAATAATGTCGGAAAAATTTCCACCAAATGGTAAATAAAAGGTATCGAATATCACATATATATATATGAGAGGGGAAATATAAAGCTCGAGGTACTCGAGAAAACTAGATAAGATTCTCATAGCGACTACTCCCATTTTTGGGTATTGAAAAATTGAACGACTCTAACAAGAACAGCAATAATTTTGCAAAACGATTCACAGGTGTCGAATGTGAAACATACCGTATAGAACCGTATTTGGTACGTGTAATTTTCTTCGAAGTTTGTTTTCCATATATAAAACTTATGAAAGTGAAGGCTTATTTTCAGCTCAGTTAGATGAAACGAAGGAAATGTATCCCAACTTCCGTCCAAAGAAAGTTGAAGACTGAGTATGGTCATGTTTACATATAGGTTGAATTCTGCGGATGATTATAAAATTGAACGATATAAATTGACAAACCTCATTTGAAGTCATACTTACTAAGAAATGGGTTCAATTTCGGGCATCTTCTGCAGGATGACTTTACCCAACGTATATTCTGGTATTAAAAATGAGATGCGTTGGAATAGACAAGAAACGACTTTAGTCGTAAAATGTAGTTTGAATTAAAAAAAAATGTTACCAATATATTTTTCCAATAATTTTATAAACTGTACATTCTATGCATTTAAATATTTGTAATAATTCTAAACAGATTTCAGCCTAAACTAATAGTTCTAGGACTCTGAGTTTCGTCTGTATCACATTCTTCAATAATTGCTAAATCGAAGAGAGACGCTGGGAAAAGTCATGAATATCAAAGTAGCTTTCGTGTTACTAACTGTATTGAAGATCAGTTTTTTGAGCGCAGATTATGTGGAAGGTAAACAAGGATGTCTATATATATTCATATATTCTATACCAGGGATGGCGAACCACTGACCCGCGGGTCACAAAGTGACCCACCGCGTTTTATTCGGGACCCGCCAAGGCACGAATAAAATAATAATAAAATGCTAACATATCAGTGATAAAAATTGATAAAACCGGCCTTAAATTAATCTAACAATACCTAAACTATTATAATCTACCCAGTGGCGTATCTACGTAACATGGCGCCCATGGCAAAGTAAAAAATGCACCCCTCGATAGTTGGTTAACGATTTATAATGACTGTTATTGAAATGCTATACTGTACCTGTACGATATTTTTCAAGTAAAAATGCGAGTTTCAGTCGTCTCCAATTTGAAATAATTCTATTGAAACATATTGCGATTAAAAAATTTTACCGTTTTTGCGCCCCTGTCTAAACAGCGCCCATGGCACGAGCCATGGCTGCCACACCCTCGCCACTGAATCTACCTTCAGTTGGGCAGTCCGGGCCGCGAGGGCTCATATTCTAATTGTTAATTTCGGGCCGGTATGGTAATTTTCAAAACCTTTAATCTTGGACGCATGTTTGCACCGTTGTGAACCATTATTCAGCTATTGGCTCTGACATCGTTTATGACATAACAATGCAACTGATATGTTAATTTGTCGCTACGTCGGGTCTCTTTCGGAAGTTCATCTGCAGACTGTTTTAGGGGTTATGCGAGAATTAGATGCTACTTTGTATTTTATTAGTTTCTCGCCCACAATACCGCTAAGAGAACAAAATCTTTCAGACTTGAAATAAAAGCCTAGAAATCTGAAATAACAATGGGGGAGAACACTGTCAAGGTGGGATTCCCTCCAAACTCTTTGGAACCGTAAAATAATTTACCGCATCATCCTAAACGTTTATGGTAATTCATATGCGTGTTTTCGTACTCTAATTTCATAAAATCGAGTGCCTGAATCAAGTCCCTGATAGAAGTGCTGCATAAGTAAAGCCTGAAACTACACCAACATAAGCCTAAAAGATTTGTTTCAGAAGTTTCTTATACATACAAACATTGATCATATATCTGTGACCCACTCTCTTCTGTTCCGCGATAAAAATATAATTTTTGACCCATTCATTGAAAAAGGTTCGCCATCCCTGTTCTATACAATATGTTTGTGCAATTTATTCTTAGATTTTGTGATTTGTTTTGGGGCGTGCATAAAGATATTGGGGTCTGGTACCAGAGTTCCTCTGGTATTGAGGTATCCAGGAGGAAATCCTTCTATTTTATTCTCCAGCAATTCGATCACAAAAGATCTCTAAATTGGTTACAATTAAAAAAAATGTAGTCCCAACTCCCAAGTCTAACAAATATTGTTTGTTACTGATCAAGAATACGTCTAAGATGAATGTTGCCAGAAACGTATATTCTTGGTTTCACAATATCTTCTGCGTTTTGAATAAGCCACTGCGATGCTAACTCAAATTGCAACTTTTTTTCAGAAATATAAGGTATGGCATACATCATGAGTAGCTAGATTTAAAACAAATTTTTATTAATGTCGCTACATTCAGACAATACACCCTGTGAGATACTGTTGGATCACAATATATGTTACTGGACTGAAGTTCATGATGAGTGGGACATGACATACGCCGATGCGAAAGAAACCTGTGAAAGACGGGGATCAGGCCTTGCAGTCATAAGGAGCGGAGAAGATTATGATGCGATCGCCAAAAACCTGAGATCAAAGATAGTACCCGACTGGAAGAACAACGTGTATGCCTGGATAGGAAATGAATTCGATCCCACGGTTAGAAAGTTATCAAATTCATAATAATTTTTTAAATATTTCGCAACGCATATTTCCTTGTGCATTGACTTTCTTGTCCACTTCCGTAACATCTGTTACTCAGCACAGCGCTGATGGTAACGTTACAATTTAAATTTTAGAAGCCGCTCAAACGCCATTTTCACTCAAACAGATTTTTAGGCATGGTGAACATTAGAAAATTTTTGTAGAGAGTTTTGCTGGTTGTTTGTCATTTCAAACACCCTAAAAATAAATATGAAATTACAATGGTAAAGTATATTTTCCTGGGGCAAATAAACATTTCGATGGTTGACGTCATAATCGACGCCGCCAGGAATACGCATGCCATCGCTCCTCTAATACAGTCTAGTCACGACGAGAGGCGTGGTGCGTCAAATAACGTCATATTGTTTTTTTCTCACCTGGAATAGATATTAAAACCTTGTCCTGTATTTCTGATCTTTCACAGTAGAATTTTATGTATAGGAGAGCAAGATTGACATGCTTCCACTTTTGACCATTTGAGAGCTATAACTGAGATTGTTGTTAAATTTCGTTTTAAAGGATAGATATAAAACCAGGGGTTGGATTTAAGCCGGTTCGCACCGGTTCTATAGAACTGTCTCACGAAATTTCATGAGATCAGCGAACCGGTTAGCATTACTGGTTACTGTCAATGTTCTGTTTGTAACAGAACCGGCTGAAAAATATGATTTTTGTGAAGGAACCGGCTGACGAAAAATTTGAATTCCACCACTGTATAAAACTGTTCGCAAACATTCATAAGCAGATGAAGCAGGACTCATAGCAGTATCTACGGAAAGTAACAGAGCTTTAGGCGAGCCAAAACTTCAGCGCGAAAATTTATGCTAATGCATAAGCTTGATTTCACAGCAGTTTCTACGTTTCGTTTTAGACATCGGAAATCACTCCTGCTGACTCATTCATCAAATGGTACCCGGTTAAAGAACCAAGAATGGAATCAGAATCTTGGGACAACAGGTACCTTCACCTCTACGTTAACAGAGACCCGACCAGCATATATCAAGGAATGGGGAACATATATCGAGAATTTGTATGGCCAGGAGTCGTCTGCCAGTACGTTAACCAATAGTTCAACGAGAAAAGCTTTTTATATCCTCTTGCTTGAGCGTAAATATATATATATCCATCCAATTCGGACACCAGAATATTTTATTGCGTATATTAAGTATAACGTCTATTAAGTTATAGCGCCACCGCAGACCAGAGGCAGATGCTGTTCGGATTAGGGGCGATCACCACAAGTTTTTTAAAGATTTTTCAAAAAGTGGCCAGTCAAAGTCAAAATTCCACGTTAATTATTCTCTTGCCTGGCGAAGGGTCAGGAGTAGGGCTGGGCATTTCGAATCGAATAGTGAAATATTCGAATCGGTTCAGAGCTAAATTTCGAATCGCCGCCATCTTGTTTTCTTCTTTTCGCCAATGGTCGAGGTGAATTCCCCAATTTTTTTTTTCATTGAAGTCATATTTTTTCAACGCAATTCTAACATATATATGACTATTTTCTGTAGTGAGTTATCAATAAAACGTGTTTGTTATTGTGTGTGAACGCTCAGTAATCTATCTGAGTGATGTATTCTATGTCTTCAGTGATTCATTTATTAAGAGGATCAATTACTATAAAAAAAAGTCGCCAAGTATTCGAGATTCGATTCGAAAAAATTATTCGATTCGATTCTGAAATCACAAGGTATTCGAAAATGCCCAGCCCTAGTCAGGAGTTGCTATCTGCGACAGGGTGACTTTTCAAACTTTCGCCATCCAAAGTCCAAAAATCATAGACGTCGTATCGAATGTGGCTTGTATGTTATTTGACCACTTTTTATTAATAGTATTTTGAATTCAATGAAATAAGTCATTCTAGCTATTTACCCAATTACGACTAGTCGCGACAGCTTCAAGCCTTAGCTTTCTTGTGCATAGATTTCTTTGTATCGACCAATTTTGATGACGTGCGTTCCCGACTTTCGTCCGAGGGTTGAAACATATGTAGTATTTTCATGATTTTGTGGGACTTGCTTTTGCATTCGACCATATGACTATATTAAGGGTTTGAGTGTATATTTCAATATTTGGATTCATTTCGATTGTGCAAACTTTGCAATATACGAACATTTGGCATTAGAATTATATTGTGTGCCTATTGACTTCCGAGGGGTTCAGAGCGGAGTCGCACTCTGTTAAACGTGTGTTAATACGATAAGACGCAGATAGGGCCTTCAGTCCTATAGATATAACGTCATGTCTTCAAGTTGAAAATGCACAGAAAAAACGGCGCTTCCTAAGCATGTGCACCAAGATGACGCACAACCAGAACCCTAACCTGGTACACATACTATGTTCAGGTTGCGCGTCATCTTGGTGCACATACTTTTGGAGGTCCGAAAAAACTACACCCTATGTTTGATCACGAAATGCGTTAGCCGCATTCTCCCATTAAATAAAAAAATCGGGAGTCATCAACACTGAATAAGAGAAAACAGAGATTATGGTCGTCATTCCAATAGAAATTTTAAAGGTATTGAAATCTTTAAATACGGTAGTACAACTCTCAAGATTTAACGTCTTAAAAGGCCGGTCACAAACAAGTGCAATGAATACCCACCCGGTCACCAATGACGTACTTCACAACATTGAAAATAAAATAAGGTGCCGGTACTCAATTCATTCAGCAGGAATCCCTATTGAATGATTTTGTCAATGGCCGAATAGGACTAGTACGTTGAGTGACTATGTACTACAAATGAATGGAAATAGTCACAGATCGTTTCCATAAATCCATGCGATCAATAACGACTTTGTGATGTTCTCAAATGCTTCACAGGTGACATTGCTTGTAAATTTGCTTGACGCCTGGCATGCAATGTTTAAAATGAAACACTCTGAATATGGAACATGCTATAATTAAGAGAAAGAAATATCATCTAAATTCTAAAACTATGTCTACAGTGTATCCATTCATTGATTAATAGGACATGGAAAAATGTATTCAATTTAAAATACGATAATAAATCGGACAAAATCGTAACCTAATAAAATAAATCTAAAATTTGATTGTACACCATGATTTCGAATTCAGATAGTGGAAAAATCAAAGAATCATTTCAAAAACACACCATTGCTATAAAAATTTAGGTAAAAGTTAACCCAGATGTAAATGAAGAAAAGGCAGGATAAAAAGTCAACAAAGCATTCATATATTTTCCTGTTATACAAATTAACACAACTTCATCATCAAGAACCATGCTTTATTCTTTATATCTCGAATTCCTATGTCTTGAAGTGGATTTAGACTCAACACTTCTGTCTTTTTTCAACTCTGGGCCGGCAATTGATTCAGTGAGAGGATAAAGTATTTCTCCTGAAAATATGTTTAACAAATGCATTCTGATAACAAAATATTGCGTGATCTTCGTGGATCAACAGCAAACAAAAAATGAGTAAACATTCTAATTTTTCACATCTTGTAACTATTTCAAGCTTCCTACAGAGCGTTTGATTGATACGCGTCCAAAATGCTTCAGCTTTGCTGAATCTCAGAGAAGTCTGTAATTGTGAAACGACCAAGAGAGAAAAATCAATTTAGTGCAGTGCAATTCTAGGCAAAGTCACAAATTTGTCAAGGTATAAAACTATCTATGAATGGTGGGAAGTTCTAGTATTGTGTCACAATTGATTTTTAACTTAAACAATCTTAATCACTTCATTTACTTCTATATCAGAGTTACTCAGACTGTGCTATATACTTTGGGATCACCAATAAAGTCGATAAGCTAAGTTTTGATATTGTGTAATATAGTACTCACTTTTTCCGTAAAGAATTCCATAAACTTCCTTGAAATAAATTGGAAGCAAAACACCATCTGTGCCTTTGCTTAATATAACTCCATTATCAGAACAATAAAATTTTACACCATCTGAAATGAATGAACAATCACAATAATTGAAATTATTGATGAATCAAATAAGCTGGCCGACTTGAAGAAAATTCACAATCATCTATAACAGTGTCTGCCAACAGTGGTGGGATCTTGTTGGTTTCTGGGTGGAATTTCACTTCTTTTTGCATGTAGTATTACTAAGATTCTTTATTTTTTGGTATTGATGTGATATTTATCCATGTACACATTAAAAACTATTTAAACTTTACAAAAGCCAACATGCAAATCGGGCATATCACTAGCTATTGATCTATTAATGACTGAACAAGTAACAGAAACAGAGATTTATGCATATTGAGGAAGAAATTAAGATATTCAAAGTGGGCAGAGAAAAAAAAACATCAACAAAAGCAGGAAACCGCTGATCTATAAGCATGGCCATGCAGAAAATTTCTGGGTAGGTTTGCATTCTATTCATAGGTGGAAAATTTAGCATAAATTAATAACACTTATCAAATGCGATTGAATACATTCACCATTTATGGTGAACGTATATAATCTTATTTGATAGGTGTTATTGCAGGGGTGGGCACACCGCGGCTCGTGAGCCGCATGCGGCTCGCCAAGACTTTTATGTCGTAAAAAAGTTTTCGTCAATGATTAAGACAAATTATGTTTTAGTATGAAAATCACTGTAGCGTTGAATTTTGAATTTAAGTCAGTCAAGTCAGCAAATCTTTCATCCCAATGGTCAATGTTTATTGATGCGTCAGCGGTATTGCAGCTTGATTGCGATTAGTTAGTCTAAGTAACTGTGCGATTTGTCCTCAATTAAAAAACGAAAGTACGAAGATGAAAACAGAGTTGTCAAGTCAGAATGGGAAGAATAATACGCATTTACCAGTCAGGAGAATAAACCTTTGTGCTTAATCTGTCATAAGCTACTAAGTCAGAATAAAGTCAGCAATGTTAAACGGCACCATGAAACGAATCATGAAAACTTTTTACGAGACTACCCTCGTAAATCAGCAATAAGGAAACACAAATTAAATGAGCTCAAATTGTGTCTATATTTGAGCATAGCTGCCTTGTTTATCTATTTATTGTTATTAGACTCTTGTGTGAATTTTTTTTCTGTTCATGGTATTTTGATAATATTGATAAATTCACAAATTCTGCGGCTCTTTTAAAGTTTTGACTTGCAGCTTGTGGCTCTTATACTAATAAATTGTGCCCAACCCTGTGTTATTGATTCATACTCAAACAAGGCTCAGTTATACTCGATACAGACCCAACTAGATCTGCCTTTGCTCCAGCGACGCCAGATCAAACAACTCAGTAAATCTGCTCCCATAATTCACAGCGATTAGAGTTTTACGGCCAAAAGAAAACAACCACATCCTTTGTATAAAATTTGTATAAAATGTAGGCTATAAGAATATTAATGAAATTGCTTGAACAGGTAAAAACGCAGTTGAGTTTGAATACCTTCCATTGCTCTCCCTATGTCTATATAGATGAAACAATTGCTTGAATTCCTCATTCCACTTATAACCTGTTCACTAGTATGTGGTTCAGCAGTTGTCATATGAATATGGTTTCTCTGTTGAAATGGTATAAAATATATTTGGTAAATAGTTAACCAATCTGATCATATGCTGTGTTACAATAATAATCGTACCTATAAGAAGATTTTACAAGGATCATGGTTGCTATGAAATTTAACTAAGAATGATGAATGTGCAATAGCATATATTTTACAGTAACCCTTTCAGCATTGCAGGATTGAGATATTCATCTTCTCTCATCTGGTTACTAGTCCATGTCGAATATGGGATTACTAGCCAGTTATTTGTTTTTTGATTGGACTTGATGGTGGAGTAAGCCGCAACCGACCAGCGGTTACGTGAACCACCCTACGACGGCAAGGAGTCCAGCAATCCTCTCGCATATAATTAACCCCGCATGTGATTTAAACTTGCAAACCGACGCATGAGTGGTAAGTGTATTCCTAGAGGGTTAGCACTATGCAGCACCACACTGCCGAGCCAAAAGCCTATTCCAAACCAAGGAGTGCAATTTGAATAGCAAAGGTTCGAGTAGTACTACGCGGTACACGAATAACAAAAAATCTCAAACCTTCATTCTTTTCAATCCTGTATCTTTTATAACAGGCCAAAGTTCTAAAGAAGTTCCATGAACAACAACAGGAAATTTTGATGAATCTGTTATTTCTTTCAAATGATCTTCTTCTTTGGAAAACTAAAATGTTTTTTTAATTTTCATCATTTTCATTTATATGTAGAGAAAAACAAGGAGGATTAAAAGCTAATTCCTGATCATACTGACTGATTAGACAGTATATAATGTCAATAGAAGGGGATTTTCATATTCATCCCAGGGGAGAAGAAAGATGAATGATATGGCGCACTACGAAGTCTCATCCAATTATCGGTCCATATCGAGTATGAGATCAGTTAATCAGTTTTTTTGTTTCAAATGCATGAACTTAATGGTGGATGAAGCCGTAACCAACCAGCAGTTACGTGAACCACCCTACAGTGTGAGGAGTCCACCAATCCTCTGGCTTATAATTATCCCCCATGGAATTTGAACCTGTGAACCTGCCATAGGATGGTTCACACAACTGCATGTCGGTTACGACTTCTTCCGCATCAAGTTCATGCATCTGAAACAAGAAACTAGTTAACTGATTAAACTGTCTTATCGGCTGCCTGCCATCAGAATTTCAATCTGAAAAAGTCATGCATGCATATTATATGGTTACTACCATACCAGAGCTGTCTATCTTGAAATCCTAAATTGTTCTTTTTTCTAAAAAATACTTACTTCCACAGTATGGCCTTGAGTTGCCCGAATTTTCAAATGTCCCTTTTCTCCTTCCAGCTTAAATCTTTGTTTATCATTTTCATTCACAATTTTTATAATATCATTTTCCAATACTTGATTGTTTTTGAAAAATTGGTGACTTAAAATACGATTGACTTCAAGAAATCCGTCTGCAAGTTGAAATAATAAGTAACTTACCATAAGTTTTTTGTTTTGCGTTTTTTTTATAGGCATTTTCACACACTTTCCTTCTGAAAATGGTTTTGTACAAATGGTCACTGATACGCCAGAAGCTAATATTTTTGGGGAAAAAAACTAGAACAAGAACCACTTGTTAATTAATATATATTTGTAAGGTCATGTTTTTCTGTTTCGGTTCTTGTAATATATCCACCATTTATCGAACCATAAGTGAATTAGAATTGATTGCATAGAATAGAGCTTATAAATCTCATTACTGTTAGTAGTCAATTATTTTTATTTTCTAAAATAGCTTCTCTCCATATAAAAAAAAAAATATATAGATATACAAAGCTTCAATTTACATAGCCCTCCCATTTTTAAAATACCCTGTACCCGAGTGTGTGTTTTATACTGTCATTCACGCCTCCTCAACCCAACGAGGTCATATACCAACAGTTACTGATATCTAACACAAAATGTGAATATTTACTATGATTAAAAAAAATAGAATCTTCCAGGTTCTGCATTGCCTACACAATTTATTACAATCTGGGTGGGTAGGCGGCCCGTCATTTAAACGCTGCATACCAACACAGTTAAGTCTATTGCTTTAACCGCTATGCCTTTTTAATCACTATAGTTGAATTTGGCAAGGGTATTGAAGCTTACGACTTGTATGGGACTATGAAATACAAACAAGCAGTTCATAGAACGATAAAAAGCAAATACAGTCTAACCTTCATCAATTTTAAAACCCAAGCCATTGTGACGAAGAATCGTAGTCAACTTCATACTGATGCTTCTTTCCCAACGTTTATCTTTTTCCCAATGATTTGCAAGTCTAAAGAATAAATAGCAGGCATTGAAAGTCAGGCGGAATTTCAGCTGCATTTTAAGCCACAATAAAGTATCTCAAAAATTTTCTCCATATAAACCATAAATCATAGAAACGCAGTAAATGTAATTTAAAGAGTTTGTAAGTTATATCACAGCTGCTTTCGCACATGTCATTTTTAGAATAAATTCCCAACCCTGATCAGACTAATCCAAAACATTCCGCAGGAAAAAAATGGCATAGATGGCCAAAGAATAAGTTTAGTTTCAGCTACAAAGCCTAAATAACATACGACTCTATGTCTCTAAGGAATTAAAAAAACTCATCATATCAATATTTGAGTCAAATTCTAAAGTTAAATGTCTAGTTTATCAATTGGTGAAATGGTGCTCCCGTAGTATGTGCACAAAGATGGCGCACAACCTGAACATAGTATGTTTACCAGGTTAGGGTTCAGGTTGTGCGCCATCTCAGTGAACATACTATGGGAGCGCCGGTAAAACATCTAAAATATACCTTTGTTTTTGTGCAGGATGTTCATATTGATATTGTTCAAATTCATTCCCCATTTTTCGTTCTGTAAACACCAATCAAAACAAACTGATTAACAATCAAATAACTCAATACTATTTGGTCAAAAAATATTTCAAAGTAAAACTTCCCTATTGACTCAAACAGTATTTAAAAAAAAAGTGTCTATTCTGTGATGGGAATTCAGATGTGTGGAAATCAATTGCTCATAACTGTTTTCCTCATCATATTGACTTGACCTGTTTCAATTCTAATTTTAATCTGCTTTCACATGTTAGGCACCACCATAATCCTATGTGGTTTCAGTACCTATTCGCAGTGATTACTTTGTTCAAACATGAGCCTCCCTTGTGGTTCTGTGTTTAACTTGAACAACTTCAAGTCTCATGCCAACCAACATTTGCTAGCACATAATGCACCATCATATTTCTATTTGGAGTATTATATTGCAGTGGTCACTGTTCAAGGATGAGTCTGTTTTACTTGGCTCAGCGGTGTGGTGGATCGTGCTAACCGTTAGGAATGCGCTCACCACCGCACCTACGATTAACCCGCATGGGTTCGCAGGTTCGTCGCCGTAGGGTGGTTAACGTGACCTCTGGTCGGTTACGGCTTCCTTGACCATCAAGTCCATGCATCTGAAAACAAATAACTAATCCCATGGACAAGGACTGGTAACCGGACGCGACGTCGTGGTTCGCCAAATGATTAAGCCATATTATTTTGTTTTTTTCCCCCCTGGGATAAATATGCATATCCTATCCTACTTCTGACTGAGTTCTTGTTAAATGCCCGTCTCTAAACAATGTTATCAAATATAACTTCAAGCTTACTGTGGGACGAATATCCATGCATAGATTCTTGTTGAAAATTTCTTGAAATTTGATGGTAATTTAACGGAAAATCTTTCCCAATATTTACAAATTTCAAAGTATGCGTGAAGGGACTGCACTTCAATAGACTGATGTCTTCATGAAATGATTCCTGTATCTTTGCTATTTTGACATGAGGAAAGATGTTCAATTGACCTAGATAAATGATATTGTTTATAAATAACAAGAAAATTTTCTGTTGCAATTCATATGAACATTTCCATAATTGAATGACTAAATTAACGAATACCGGCAAATAAAACTTATGAGAAATGAATGAAGCCAATGATCAACAAATCAGACACTTTTATTTGAGTCTTCAGTCTTCACAAATGACCAAACTGATTTTCGAGATGTTTTAAAAAGCTCTATTCTTGGATAATCAAAATTATCTTTTTGGCATAAACCATAATTATTCCGCAAACAACTCAGTTTAGAATATTGAAAACTAAAATAAAAATTAAATGATCAAGATATTCTAAATTTAGACTGCCTAACTATTTGGTTATGGACAGTGGACACCCTACTAACTAAACAAAAATTCATAATTGCACATCGCAATGTCACAGATTGACATTTTCTATAATCCTTTGATAATTTAATTTGTTTTACTTACAAGGTTGCATTTGTTCTTTTAATATTTCAAAAAATTCATCTAATGAATCAGTTCGTTTGATTTGGCAAACAATGTCATTATCTATTTGAGTTGCGTCAGTAAACTCCAGCTTTAAAGATCGCATTTTTTTGGAGAAATCTCTCAGAACCTTGAATAAATGTATCAGTTTAGTAGACATTGAACGAGTGATAAAAACAAAGCACTACATTTAAATGGCAAGTTGCAGATCACTAATAATTCCCATGCACACCACCACACTGAAGTAATGCTGAAACTGAAAGATCCTAGTCTTCGTAAAATAGTGGACTTTACACATCACTGACTGCTTACGTACAGTTTGCAGCGAGGTATCTCTAGTGATTTCCAATCGCTGATGTCAATCTTTGGTGTCAGACTGAACAGTGAAAAAGGAGACCTAGACAGATTTTCATGTGAGTAGAGGATTTCATCTGTTTTCAGAAATCTTTAAAATATTTTTATTCATATCTATCCCGGAAATGAGGAAGGTAAGAATGTATATTCCAATGTCAAAATTCCATATATTTTACTGTTTCTAGTCAAGGTTGGTTACTGAATGGCTAAGCTAACACGTTTGATATTCCAGGTACATTAACCCAAATACAAGCAGAAAAATTTGTACAATGTAGGAACAGATGGTGCATGGCTAACCTGGAATGGCGATTGCCAAAAACCAAAAAATAGCACACAGGCCAAATGCAAACAAACACCTGTCCATTTCTCATGGAATCATGTAAAAGTGTATATGATAATCGATATTAATATTTAATTTTGGAAAGAATTTAGAAAAAATTTCTATATGGACTTCATTTAACTAATGGCACCACAAATCATAGACACTCAAATTAAACAATGTTTATCTTGATCATTTTGCAATACCAAATTCAATTTGCAAAGATTAAAGCAAATTTTACTATTGGAAATTACATAGATCCATTCAAAAATATTAAATCAGAATGTAGATTATGCGATTTTGTCATCCTCGTATCTCACCTCTTTCAGCCTTTTTAATTCCATTCCAGTTAAGTAGCAAGTCGCAAGATTAACATTTAAATGTTGGGGAACGAGAATATGTTGATGCATTTGTTTCTGAATCGCCCACACACAATTTGATTCACGCTTTTGAAGTCTGGAAGTGAATATACTGCACCTGAAGGGTTCATTGGCTCGGGAAGACCCTGTAATCAAATTAAACCACTTCGTTATCCACTTGATTGAAATTGATTTTGCTTTGCAAATTGATTAGACTCATTTTGCCAAATTCTGTTTTCTTCCATATTTCTTCGGGCAATGACGAACAGAAATTCTATGGACCAGTGGTTCTCAACAGTGGGGCGCGCCACACAAAGGAGGGGCGTGAAGCTAATTAAAAATATAAATATTTGCTAGATATGGTCTTGCCCGCCTATTTGGGATATTTACGTTTACATTTATTTCATTATTTACGTTCCATCCTTATATTTTCAATGTGTTTTTTGAATAAAACATACTTTCGCCTTACTATCTGTTATTTGTAGCCAGTTATTTTCGAGGTGGCGTGCTAGACTTGACAAAGAGGGCGAGGCTTAAAAGTTTGAGAACCAGTGCTATGAACTATACATGTATCATGTTTGGCATTTGACATCGCTTTCTCTATCGCTAACCAACACTTGGTGCAGTTCTTACAACACATAAACAATACCACATAAAGGTTATTCAAAACTGTTCAAATAGGAAGTGTTATTATCTGCTACATTCAGTTTATATTCTATTGCTGATTCATGAGTATATTTTATTATGGTACCAGTGTGCCTGTATAATAAGTTTACAAAAGTCGAGAACATTAATCTAAATTAGGATCCCAGATCTGAAATATTGTTCTAAAACTAAGCATCCAATCACCTTCTCTCTTGTTCCTGTTTTCACTTCTATCTCGTTCATTTCGTCGTCTTTCTGAATCAGGACTACGGTCTCGAGATCTCCGAGGTCCATGTTCATGATGTTCTCTTGATGATCTTTCATTTCGATAAGAAAAAGAAGAGTTTGCTCTAGACGAATGCTTGTTATGATAATTACCATTTGGAACTTCTCTTACTCCAGGATCTGAAAAAATAAAATACATGCAAGTACTGTAAACAACAGGCTGGCCAGCGATGGAACATCGTGCTAAGCATTAGGAATACGCTCATCACCGCACCTCTAATTATCCTGCATAGTTTCGCAGGTTCGAATTCCATGGAAGGATAATTATGTGAGAGCGGATGGCTGGACTCCTTGTATCCGTAAGGTGGTTCATGTAACCGCTGATCGGTTACGACTTCCTCCACCATCAAGTCCATGCAACTGAAACAAATAACTGGCTAACTAATCCCAAACCTGACATGGACTGGTAACCGGACGAGAGGCCGTGGTTCGTCATATGATTGAGCCGTCCCCGGGATAAATATGTAAATCCTAATCTAACAAACAAAAATTTGAAAATCATTTTCATCAACGAACATTCTAAGGAGATTCAAAAAAAGAGTTTTCATCTACAAATTCAGAGATTTGGATTCTGGAATCATGAAATTTAATAACACAAAATGAATACAAACCAGTTCCAGTATCTGTGGATTCAACAGGCAATTCGATTTCAACATTTTGCTCACTCCTTTTCTTAGGATCATCAGCTGAATCTGACAAAAAATATTTATTATAGCTACACAGATTAAAAAAAAATTAAACCCTTATTAATGGACTCTATTGACAAGTAAAACAATATATAATAGTATTCATCAAATGCTTCAACAGCTTTATAACACAGGTGAGTGTTCAATGATATGGGCTATTTAGTAGTACCGATAGATAGTAGTAGATCCAAAATGTTTAAAAGAAGAGACAAAATAAAATGTGAAGACAGTATAATAGAATAACAAATAATGAGGCATTGTAGCAGCTTTGAGATGCAAAAAAATTCTCATTGGAAGTAATAGTGATTGAAGAAGAATAGTTATGAAGTCATAACCAGTTTCAAGTTCAGGCTCCTGGAGGAGTCCTCAATAAAGTGTCAAGATGTTACATGTATAACAAGTAAATATTAAAAATTGTAACAAGAGTAATCAATGAAATGTTATGCTAAGAATGTAAATATGACCAAGACCTGAGGAATAAATGTTGAGCTTTTCAATTCCAGAAAGCAAATCCTCCACAATTTTTTTTGCAGCGATTTCGACTTCATCCGGCGTTGAGTTTTGAACATTATCTGCATCACAATCAATTGTGTCATCACATATATTCTTCGCATCGGAATCTTCGACTTCTGAAGTGTTGCTTGCAATTTTTAACCTTTGCTTGGATCTAAATAAATTGAAAAAGTATGCTCCATGCTGTCTATCGGTACAAATATTTAGTGAAAAAGTTATGAAATATGTTTGTATTACATAAAATCGGTAAAATCATTTCCAAAAACGGAATTATTTGTACCAATTTTGATGAAAAATATTCGCAATGAATTACCTATCCCAGAAACGCATGGACATGAACAGGACCAACAAAGATGTTCAGCGGCATAGGATGTGTAAGATGAATGCAAAATTGTTTAATTCTAAATTTAAGTATCAGTTACTAATCTTACTACTAAAACTCTGCACTGAATGATTTAGACAAAATACATCGCAATCACAAACTTTTTTGCCATATTGTATACCTTCAGTAGCTATTGTTATTTCAGTAATTGCCATTACTTATGAGTGAGTGTGCATGGCTACCAATAGAGTAAAACAATTTCATAACACATTATTGGGTACTCCTATAGTGTGTGTACCAGTTTGGGTTGCGTTAGGCCAAAATTTTATTCCAATTTTTCTTACTTTAGTTCTATTACGAGTTCGGGGACTGTTTGTGTTAGCCAAGTGAATATACCCCCTTCCCATGGGCTTCATTCAATTTACACAACTTGATGTAGAATAGGCGAACAAAATAAATTACCTCCATATTGGTTCACATACTTCTGGAGTGCCCAATTTTGATTATATATTCTGAAAATCCCTAGCAAGTTGCATCAAAAAGATAAAAAAAATGATGAATGCAAAACATATATTATTAACAATGAAACCTTTCCATAAAATCAACAATTCCAATATTGCTTCCAGTTGATCCAAATACAAAATCAGTCCTGTTTTCTTTTTTCCAAATAACTTCTGAATTCCATTTAAAATATTGAACTCTGTGTTCAGGTATTGTTAGTTGAACAGCAGGACCAGTAGCTGAAATATCATCTTGCCAATTCAAGTCAAATACAGGGACCTCAAGTATTCCTCTGAAACGATCTTCATAGCCAACTATAAACTCTTCATTCTTCAATTGTTCATCCCATTTGAGACTGCAGAAATAATAGAGTATGGTTATTATAAACATGTATTGAAGTCCTTTTAATAATAATAATGAAGTCCTTTTTCCTTGTTTGATTTAATTTGATTACGCATCTTCAAATCCTATAACCCCCACCTCCCCCAAGAGTGTAATGAATTGGGTATGCGATGTCAAACTCAAAAGATTCCAGTCCTTAATCCGTAAATAATCGCCGCATAAAAAAATTCTGCTTAAAATCTGTATGAAGCAGTTGCCACAAAAATGCCTAAGCAAAAATGTCAGAGTTATAATTAATAATACCATAATGATTCTTTTCCATGATACAGAAAATGTATTTGTAAATTATCATTAACCAGAGCGATAATGTTATAAAGAGATTTCGTTTTTGTTAACCATAAATAATTAAACTTTTTGGCAAATTTTGTGAGCCATCTTAGCCTTCTTTTCCCGTTGAACAAATAGGTAAACCTTAATACTATATTAAATGACATAGCATGATATAAGTTCAGCTCATGTCTGTTTGAGTGAATGTTTTTTGACATCAAAGGTTAGAGATCTCTTGTTCATACTGATGTCAGTTCAAAAGTCAATCAATACCAACAAGACGAATTAACTAGTACGGTACTTAGCTTTGTCAAACAAGAAAAATTATGGCGATCCAGTGTGTCTAAATACAAGCATACATACCGTATTTGCTCGTTTTGTAGCCCGGGCCCATATTTATTTAACCAAACTCACTAACCGAGCCCTTATCCAAACCAGCCCTTATTCAAGCACGAGTGCTTGTTATTTTCAAAGTGAAATTATACATAAAAATATATAATAAAACATATATATTATAGATAAGATAGATCGTTACAATAATTAATCTATTGTCATTTCCAGTTCTCAAGTATGATTTTAAACGAGAATACTGAAAATTTTGACTTTTTCTACGTACCGCAGGTACGAATCCGCAAAAGAAGAAAAGTTTTGTGACACCCTATCAATATTGAAACGGCGCACTTGGGTGTCGCGATGTCCAGTTTGAGAACCACGGTGTTACGTGATCAATGCTATCTGTTATGTAATTGGACGCCTAAGGCGTGAGTGTTATCTATCAGCGCTTAAAATTTGACAGCGTTGTGACAAAAGCGCTTCTTATCTCCTATTGTTCTCTACCACTGAAAAATCAGCTTTTACATTGGGCGGGTATTCAAGCACCGGCCCTTATTTATTTTCATGTTCTGTTCACACGGGCGGCTATTCAAACGGGCCCTTAATCAAGATCGGGCGGTAAAACGAGCATATACGGTAAGTATATAAAGCCTTGTTGCTACGAAGCTGAGGTACATAATGAGTCATCCTTGAATGATTTTGCAAAGATCTGGTTTATATTTCTAATCGGTAAGTCCACACAATTCAATTAATTGTTTCCTATAATTAGTAATAATATGATATTTGAATAAAACTACTAATGTAATAAAATAGACTTGGAGTGTGGGTCAGAAGCCACACATATAGACCTACTCATAAATTATATTATCGTTTACAAACACAATGACATAACAATACTCATACGTGTGAGCATCAGTGACTCACTCAAATCACAAATCTCATATTAGAGAATAATAACGAGCTATAAATTTTAATAGTTATTCAATGATCACATGATAAAAAATAACTACCGGTAATCAATAATCATGTAATGAATATTTTATTTCATCACTATTATTTTCCTATTCAATTTCAGCTCCATATGGAATGGGAGGGCTTACCAGGCAAATTTCCCATGACACCCCAAGAAAGTGAACAAATAATATTTAGAGAATGTGGAAAGAATTTTCTCACCGATTAATAACATCTCTAGCAGTTTTCATTGGTGGTGCTTTACCATGATTTTTCTTTGAAGAATTTTTCACATCATTGTTAACAAAAAGATCGGGTGCTTCACCGTGATTTTTCTTTGAAGAACTTTTTACATCGTTGCTAACAACAGGCTCTTTCACTACCTTAGTAATGTTTTCCTTTGTTGAGACAGGAACAACAGATTGTTGAACAACATTTGCCAAAGTTGGTCTGTGTTGCATTCCACCAACTAGTCCAAATCGTGCCGCCATTTTGGCACGTTTTCGATTAAGTTTTTTTTTCTTTTGAGGTTTCATATTCTCTGTCATCTGTTGGGTCAAGTTTTTCTGTTGACGATGTGCGGACAAAACTTTAACTTGATACCAAATTTCGTCTACTATAAATTTTAACATTGGTTCTCCTATTTTATTCATCATTCTCTGATCTAATGATTTCAGAATGTTTTGTTGCATATTTACATCAAGTCCCTTCATTTCTTTTTCACCAAATTCAATACGTAGTACAGTGTCAGGATAATTATCTAAAACAAATATGACAAGAATAATAATTTCAAGCAATAATGCTGATATCAATTATACAATAAAATCAAATTTTCTGCAAACAAATAACGACAGTGGTTAACTAGTAAAAATATATATTAAAGCAAATGGTTCCTAAGGACCTTTTGAGTACGGCCCAAATCTGAGTTTATGAACACCTCATAACGTAAATCTCAAACAACGAAAAAATGTATTTTTAATGTTAATACTCCACAATTTCTTCAGATTTGAATGAAATAGACAAGACACAGATAAATAGCTATATTGCACATGAAAATTCTCTTGTAATAATATTTTTAATGCATGGCTTTATTTTACTGAGCACAATGCCCACATCATCACCAGTATTGAGGCGATTGCAAGTCTTGTTGTATAATAACCGAATACAGGAATATCAAAGTGTTACTGGTGTTGAAATTTTCACTTAATAGAAACACAGATAACATTTTCCTGACTATCAGCCATCATATAGGATTTATGATAGAATTTATGATACCACAATCCAGTTTGAGATTAAGCAAAATGTAATGCATAGGATAGGATTTACATATTAATCCCGGGGAGAGGAAAGTCAATAAGATGGCTCAATCATATGGCGAACCTCTGCCTCTCGTTCGGTTACCAGTCCAGATCCGGTATGGGATTAGTTAGCCAGTTATTTTGTTTTCGGAAGCATGGACTTGATGGTGGAGGAAGCTGTAACCGTGCGTGAACCACAATTGCATACCTCTAAGATGCAATAATTCTGTTGTGATAAAATTTAAAATATCCAACTTTCTGTAAGGAGTCCCACAGCTGCTGATTTAGATGATCACTTTTTTAAGGCTTTCATGTTGTGGATTATGGTTGAGCGAATTATGCTGAAATTTCATGAAAGTGTAGGCGACGGGTGTTGGGATTCCAATCACTAATTTAGAAATTCAATATTAATTGAAAGAAAAAAATTGCCACGATCACGAACTCGCTGAAACCCTAAGCAACGAAATTAATTTGACATGCGATAAGGAACCACAAAGAGACAAATCTTTTCCATTATTTCAGTATTTATATACATATTAGTTTCATCTACTATTTACTTGTAGGCTACTTGTTTATCATTCCTTTATTTGTCAGTCTGTCTATAACTGTAAAACAAATCTGGAATTTTTCAAATTGTTTTGCACTTTCAGACTTCGAAAAAGAGTTCATAAAATGTAAGTTACTGATGACATAATTATATCATGTAAGCAATGACGGCTCTTCAGTAGGCCTATTCATCTTACCTGGAATGTAAACCTTTAAACTGACTTCTTTATTGAGCAACTCAACTACGTAGCGAAGATCTTGAGAAGTTTCTTCAAGATATCTCACTTCCCAATCTTGTTCAATATTATTCAATTCTTCTTCAATAGAAACCATTTTGCACAAATTTATCAACGAGAATAAGTAGATAAAATTGACAATTGATCATTTCTGAAGACGATATACTGATTTATATAGATCCAAACTGTTTTTCAAAGATATGGCGCAATAACTGAACAATGAAACAACTCAAAGCAGAAGTGACAAACTTGCGAAACAAAATTCTCACCCTGTATAGGGGAATCACCTGAAAATTCATGATCACGTGATTAATAATAGGATGGAAATATACAAGAAATGGATATGGGATAGGACAGGATCATGTATGTTAGTCGTTGGACAGGATTTACATATTTATCCCGGGGGAGAGGAAAGCCGATAAGATGGCCTAATCATATGGCGAACCACGGCCTCTCGTCCGGTTACCAGTCCAGGTCGGGTATGGGATTAGATAGCCAGTTATTTTATTTTTATATTTTGGGAAGCATGGACTTGATAGTGGAGGAAGCCATAACCGACCAGCGGTTACGTGAACCACCCTACGGCGGCGAGGAGTCCAGCAATCCTCTCGCACATGAGCATTCCCGCATGGGATTCGAACCTGCGATTCCACAAAGGGTAATCAGAGATGCGGTGGCAAGCGTATTCCTAACGCTTAGCACGATGCACCACACCGCCGAGCCATATACTAAGAGAGACACGGATTTCGGACTTCCGTATGTGTACGATCTATTGGCAAAATAAAAAAGACGCCACAACGAATTTCTTGAATTTTTCATTGATTCACATTTTTATATTATGACGTCTTAACTAATAACTCGTAAATAAATTAAATTAAAATTGTAGAAAACTCGCATTCGTACAGTTTACATAACTTGGGAAACTACAATATGCTTTCCAGAATAAACTTAGTCAATGCTTGTGGCGATATTAAGGTTTTTAAGAGCGTTTTTTGAGGTAGGCGATGATCGACAAACCCCATGAAGAAGCATGGTTGAGAACCCAAAGTTCACCTTGCATTTTGAGTAAGTCAATTAAATAAGTTACACAAAACACTACACAAAAATGCTACACTACACTATTTGTGGAAGATCGCACAAGAAATGCAATAACGAGATTAGGCCCTCGAAGCTGATAAAGAGTGAGGTTCGTATTTCACGCCCTTCGTTATAAAAAAATGATATATATATAAGCCTATTTATTATCAGGATTTTCATATCTGAATTTGGAATGCCAAAAACATGAGACTCCGTCAGGTCTTTTAGAATCACCGATGGAAAACCTGGTCCCACTTCCGCATCTATCAGTTTTGCTGCCAAACAATTATACTTTGAGCGAAGAAAAGGTTACAGTTCCAGACGTATTAGCCGAAAAGGATATTGATGCTTGGTAATTACCCCATTGGCTTTAGTTTGGTTTTATTTCCTAACGCTCAATGATTTTACGAAATTTTTATTCTACTTGTTGCTATGAAAGCTTAGCGAATGAGGCTAACCCTGATGACTCGAAACTACATCTAGCGCTGAGTATTGGTATCACGAATTGTTTTTACCATCTTCGGAACAGATTTGCCTGACCAAACTGGTGTGAATTCCAGGCTTCCATTTTGCATTCATATCTGGATAAAATACCACTTGAATGCCAAATAATAGATCGAGTGACCAAGACAGTATAAACTTCTGCTACCCTCTCGCACATATCTTTCTCTCGCGGGATTCTCACCTACGTCCATGTAGGGTAATGAAATGTTTACTTAAAATTATGTACGATGTATATATTAATTAATTAATTATGTTTATTCGTTTCACCAGCTTTGTGGAGAAGGAAGTTGACATCATTGAAAACGAGCCTATAATACCTAGGCAAAATGAGAGACGCATCTATTCCCTAGGACAGAAACAAAAATCAAAGGCAAAGCATATGAAAAAAGTCATGAAGTGCTTATTCTATCCAGTTGTTCGTTGTCTGGGGTGAAAACGTGAAGATACAAATTAACAAAATATTGAGTGTGTGAGTGTGTGTGAATGAGTATATATATATTTTAGTGACAGTTTTTTTTAGTTTTTGGTTTGCAAGCGGGTTCGATATCAATAAATTTTGAAATTGTTATATATATATATCCTAAATTACTAATCCCAACCAATAATTTTGCGCAATATCAGTTACATTATTACATAGGGCGATATAAAGCGCCACCCCAACCATCAAAAAAAAAAAAAAAAACGCGGGCCAACTTGCAACTCTGTTGTACTAGTTTTTAAAAAGTAAATTCAGGATGTGGTATTCAGTGTAGTTTCTAGTTTGAGTTATAGGTATCGTATATGTAATTTACATATATATTTCAGATATTTAACTGCATCAGAATATGATTATAATCGCACAATTAGTAGGTGAAATTATTCAGTGATTAGTGCGCTATCCTGACCATGATGGTGTTGCAGATCAGTTCTGGTCAGTACCATGTCTATCCCAAAATCAATTTCTCGCACAGAGGGAAAATTAATAAGCGTTGATAAACTGGAAATTTTTTTGGTCCTTCCGATTTTTTCTACATCCAAGTGTTAATCTGTACAGACCGATTTGAAGAGCGCCATGATGAACAAGGTTAGCGTAAAACATGAAAACTAAACCCACCGTCTATGTGAGAAGCCAATTCACGTATACGTATAGAAGGATATGCGAATGATCATACGATCATAAATCACTGCCATTACAAACATCGCGAAGTATTAATCCATTAACACGGTATTTTTCACCTTGAGACTCGAGACGAGTTATTGGAAGTCGTACTTTCACGAATACAAAGCAGTGTGGTTGGTGTTCAATGTTTTTATAATGGCATTTGCGCCTTGAGATTTTTCAAAAAATTCTCTGACTATGTTATGAAAACAAAACGATATAAATGACATTGATCCAGCTCAGTCAGTCATCAGAATATTGGCCTGCATTTTCTTTAAAGCGGCGTGTCGCGTCTTTCCTACGAACAAAGTTGTCTTGAAAATAACATACCTTGGGAGGACCGGAAAATCACCTGTTGCGCATAGTGAACTCAATTTTTTACACTCGGAGTGGGGTGGCGGACTTGAGTGTCGACCGTATTTTACAATATCTCTAATTTGCGATGCCATCATATAACGCAGATAACATGCTAATCAACCATTTGTGCCAAAAATTATTTAAATGTAATGGTTAAGTTAGAGTGTGTATTGTGTATTTTCATTCTGTATGTCTCAATAAATATTATGTATATATATGTTATTGTCTGTTCATTTGTTACATATGTACTTAGTAGCCCTTGATAACGGTTGTTCACGTTAGTCAACTTAAGCAACTTCTATTCCTCGTTATTGAACGCGAAGATGATCAGCTGTGGATCCATTTGCTCTCGTCCAATGCAGTGGCGTTGCCTAGCACTAACATTGTAAACACAACCGAAAATATCTTGCTGACCCGCCAAATGGAATTGTCGCACAACCATGAACAAAATAAAAAAAAGATGACCTCACAAAGTGTTGAAAAATATTGCAACATCACCATTGTACAGTATATGGAGTGACGTAGAATGTATAGCGAACAGTGTTGCTAGAAATATTTACAATAATCGCACAGAGATGGCTGTGGATGCTTTCCTGCTAGTGGCAGCTTATACAATGCAGTAGGCGCGTAATAACAAATATATATACCACTACAGCTTTGATAATTATTTTATTACTAAAATTACTAACAAATTCAAACAAATAACAGAGATCTAGGTTTAGTTAAATATTGTGAAGTTCGACATGGTGAAATGATGAATAGAAAAAAGTTGCTTCTGTTTGATTGATAACGTCGTTTTAGAAAATCTATTTCTTTCCCTGTGATGAATATAAAAAAAGTTCAGAATTATGAATTATTCGAATATATTCTACAAATTATGATGTTCCATCTGCACTAAATCTATACAGCATTTCTAAATATTTCCATTTGCATTAACTGTATTGAAATAGTAAACTTGAATATTTTTAAAATTTTAACAAACCTCGTTCTTGGAGCTTTTCAAGTTTGATCGGAGATCCATGGTCACTTTGTGTTTTGATCCAAGAAGAGCCCTCAACATTTGGTCAGCAGACATACGTACACGTCTCAGTGGTGGACGCTTGAATTTACCTCTAAGATCAAAGATCTTCTGGTTTAGTTCTTCAATCTGAAATAAAAAGATTATTATTGCTTTTTCCCCCATCACAGTCATGACTTGTTAAAATATATGAGCTTAACAATATCGAAATTATTTCCATACCTCTGTGTCATTCTTTTTCACTTTACCTTCAATCTCATATCTTGCTTCATCAACTTTGTCAATCTTAGCATGCAATTCACGACACAGGTCCTAAAACAGTATGGATATTTTGTCACAATAAGAATTGTTAAGATGATAAGCAAGGCCATTGGTAAATGATTGGTGCTTATTAGGAATTACGAATCATTGTTTTATACGCTTTGCCATGTTTCAGGTATTTTTTTCTAAATCACTTTAAATATTGTTTGTGGTGTTTTGGAAATCTGAGTTTATTACCATAAGTTCCTGTTGTGACATGCTGCCAAGATCAGCCATTGGTTCAATTCTCTTATTCAATACATTCTTTTTTTCTTCGGCTTTTTGTTCTGCTTCTCTTTTCAAGTCTTCGCGCGCCTTGTTTAGCATGAGAGACTTCAGCTGCTGTTTGCGCTGGTGTGTCATCTTGCGGGGTGCACTCTAGAGAAACAAAAACCACCATAATCAAATATGCCGACGGTGAGGTTTATCGAGGGCATATCATGCATATGGCTGTAGTTCAAAATCATTTAGGAATGTATGACGAATGTTTTCCCGGACCCGCGTTCTTTGAAATAATCATTCACTATGTTTCTCATGGTAAATTCACGACATGATGTAATCTGGTCGCCGTCTACAAATTAATGTCTGTTCAATTCATTTTAGAAATGATATTCCCAGTGGAATTAAAAAGATAACACAAATTAGTAGCAACGTAGTTAACGCTTGTTTTGACATGGTAACAACTCAATTAATTCAAGGCGAGGAGAGAAAAATTGACAATTTTCCATTCGATACTAAATGTCAGAAAATAAATTTGACAGTAGCACACGACTAATGGCGATTAGTTGACCTATAGACTGAGCATTACATTATCAGTCGACAAAAGGCATATATTTATTGTAAAAAACTTTTTTTTATTTTCAAATACGATAGGTAGATCAAATCTTTTGAATGTCCAATATTATTTAGTTTTTTTTTTTTATATTCAATTTTACACAGATGCTATAACGAAATATGTTATACTCAAACTAAGATGTAAATTACTCACTTCAGAATCGGCCATTTTGATGAGAGTTTTTGTATGTCGAACTAAAGAGTTAAAAATAAATTCTGCAAAAACACAACGTTTGATCCAATAAAATAAAGTGCGATGAAATAAAAAGCATCAGCGTCAGCGTCATTGTAAATATATTTTTTTAACGTGTCTTCTACATATGATTGAACAAGGAGAAGGTGAAAAGCTCATAAACAAAGACTGCAAAACTGACTACGTTCGGTAAATAATTATCATACACTCGCTACAAATAATAAGTCTAAGTAGTATTTTAATGCTATACTTTAGGCGGGTATGTATGGTAAACAAGCTTCTGATAGAGTATGTGTCCAATAATACATAATTCTTCAACGCTTTCAACCCTTTCCTGTCTCGTATTATATACCGAATAAACTGATTGAAGCTAATATTCAACTGTACAAGTCGTTAAATGCTTGGTTTTCAACTTATGTCACTGAGTATTTATACCAGCCATGATTCACACTTTTGTCGAGCGATGATGAGATTCACAGACGTGTGATCGACGGTGTCAGTAAATTGTGTAGCGTCGCAGTAGTACCCTTGATACGAGCAAGTTTTTTATTATCACCTCTAGCGAATGGTGTTTTGTGCTAACATATGTTCGTATGATTGCGTATTTGCTCATAATTGTTATGCAAAAGTCTTTTATTATTTCAATCATGAGAGCGGCAATGTTATGTACTGGAGATGAATCAATATATAAATATGAAAAACTGAAAATGCCATACATGTGCGAATGAAATATATGTAGTCATTGACTTGATTGGATTGTTGCGTCTTCATTCTTCTATTTCTTGAAAAATTATTGGATGGCCAAGACCTTGGTAACTAGCAACTATGTACATATATTCATGATCCGACTTACGAATTATACCCGAATAATTTTGCAAAAAAAAAATAAAATTCTCGACTACAGCACAAGGCAATGCTACAAAATCATCGACAATATGTTGAAAATGAAGGCAATCATCAAAATGAAGTCAAAATAAAATTATATTTGTGATCCAGTGGCCATGCCCAAAATTTATCTTACACGACAAAGCCAGTCAGTAGTTTGTTTTTCACCAAAACTAGGAAAATAACATGAAAATGGCATTTCACGGTGAAGGGTGACGCGAAAAAACAATGTTGGTTGTCGAGCAACGGCACTCGTGACTAACTTTGATACAAGTAGAATAGAAAGAAGTCGAACAAGTACAGTGATTTCCCTACATCCCCCTATAGGGGGAGAACACCCCCCCCCCCCTAATTTTGAGGTTTGATTCCACACCGTAAATCCTAACTCAAGCATAATAGTATTTATATATAACGACAATGGCATATTTATCAGTGTAGTTGAGGGTTCCAAATCGCAGTCTGTGGGCCAATTACGACCCGCGTAACAATTTGAAATGGCCCGCCGAACTTGAGTGAAATAGTCTTAAACCAGCCTTATATTAAGAAAGCTTGAAGATGTCACAAAACGAAAACTAGGCACCGAAAACAGATATTTTTTAAATGAAGGGCGTCGTTTTCATTTCTTTATTGGAAAGAATTAAACTTCAGCGATTTGTCTTCCTTGCCAACAAAATATTTCAGTTCAGAAGGAATACAACATTATGCGCCATTATGATCAGTTGACGCGCGCATTTCAAAATTTAATTCATACAAAAGTCAAACAAACATGTTCAAAAATATGTGAAAGGTGTTACCCCAAGCCATAAGTAGCCATTCATACGATGCCATATGCTAGATGAGCAAGTAACTTCATTAGTCACTATCAGTTGCAAATTACTTGCTGAAAGCCAAGCTTGTTATTTATTTCTCGGAAATTCTATCAGCTAAATATTATAATAATAATTATTGATTTCATTACATAACAAACTGCGATGCTAGGTGTATCTAAAACTAAGCTTAGAGCCTATTTTAGTGCCTATTTCTCAAAATTTTCTCAGGGCGCTTAAGCGCGCCCTGAACCCCAGCCGTGTCGTCGCACATTTTTCTCGCTCCCCTTTTCTGGCCCTATCATTTTCTGCTGCTGTGTATTTTGGCTCGCCGGCAATCAACTTGGGGGACCGCCTTAGGTACATCGATCGTTTCTTAAATACATACCAACTTTTTAAGAATTAAAATAGTTTTATCTCTAATAGCAAATGATTTACCACCCCCGAAATTTCGAAACACCCCCCCTACAATGAAAAGCTGGGGAACATACTGTACAAGTATATGTAACTAAAAAGATTAATGTTCGACAAGGCTTCTCGGTTGCGCATCATGCTTATCGTTAAAAGCACAAATGTCATGACATATTTTTCATCAAGAAAATGGATGATGCTGGTGAGTATTACTGGAATGGACGGAGCTGTGCTTTCTTTCTTGGCCCGTGGATAGGTTGCTTCATTTTATTTCCAGTAATCGACATTACGTAAAATTCAATTAGACAGTTCAGACATAAAACAACATGATGCGCAACTCCGGCATTTTTGGCCGAAGATCGTATTCGATAGCACGCTCCAATGCACATACTTGACGAGACGAAAACGAGCGGATGTGTGTTGCTTTCAAGGCATAGCACGAATGGTGTTCGAGGTTGCTTCGACAATTGTTGTGGTTTTTAATGATATGTGGAAAATTGAAGGTAAAAATAAATCGGAAAAAAGTAAGATAAATACTATTGTTGTATATCACACCCGGGCATCGCACTGTTAAGTACATGCGGGAAAGCCAGCTTTTGTCAAATACTACGAAGTTATTAATTCAGTACGGTACGTAGTTGCCCATTTTCCGAAATTGCATATTTACTTACCCCTTATGGTTTCAAATAGTTCATGCACCTCCATTTAGATTTTTTTAATCAGTGAGGATATATACTTATTGCTGTAACATACTATTGCTCATTCACTTTTATTTGCGTATTGAATCAACGGGTTAACAAGTTCACCTAAAATTTCCTCATACCGGTCTATATTGTATAGTCTGATCTCTCAAGTATTTGGAGCCACGAATGCTTATAATTTTCTGACTAAACCCCTTTATTAGTTAGTTTATATACCAAATTCAGTAAAACATTTTTTACAAAAAACATAAGATATTGGATTTATTAGCTTTTCCATTCTGAATCATATAGACTGCTTTATTTATTCTTAACGAAAATTAATACATCTCCTCTCCTACAGATGTGAAAGTTGTGGACAGACCTGTCTAAGCATTGTGAGACTCCTGCAGCACAAGAGGCAATAGCAATAATAGTGAGTATATCAATCAAGAAATTAGGCCGACATAAAACAAAACTTTCAACTATTCGTCTAACCTCAATTTCCTATTATTTATTCACAGGACAACTGTAGCTGAAGGGGAGATATCAGAAGTCTGGCGACATATCAGTGACAGTTTGATTCCAAGAAATATGATTAGAATACTCCATAAATGTTTGCAATAGAAGAACAACCTATGGAGGAATGTAAAGACGTTTGACCCTCCGGTAAAGTTGTGTATGGCCCCTACATCCTGCAGGGCTTGAGGGAAATAACTAAAAATTCCAAAGCGTAAGATTACATAAGCGGTCTTCTTTGTAAAAAGGCACAAAATATGCCAGACATACTTAAAACAGCTTTGAAAAATGAGGATTACGGTTCACTGACTACACCTGTGTTATATTTGGTTCATCAAATTTTGGTAGTACTATAGAAGAAATTCAGAGAAGGGTATAATCATGATTCATGATAAAATAATGTTATATATTTTGGACAACTTCAATCTAGACCAGGGATGTCAAACTCGCGGCCCCAGAGAACTTCCAGTGCGGCCCTCGAACGCTTAACAATAATTGTAATAGTATTTTGGAATTTTTTTTATTTAAATGTAAAAGATTTTTCAATCCTTTTAAAGTGAAATTGAATATTCACACAGAAAACAATTTACTGAAAGTAGTTTTAGAAAGGTAATTTTTTTTTGTTCACATTTTGACTCAATTAAGAATACACATCAAGCTAGCAAAAGAATACTGAATAAAACACTTGAGTGATTAAATTAAAGTACACGAAGAAGGTGGCATTTTCGAAGAAAATGGGAGTTGCAATATTTCTGCATTTCACAAAATTTTGAAGCACATTGTTTAATTTGTCATATTTCCATCAGTACAATGAAAAACACAATAAGCTCAGCAGTCAATATGACAAATTCGAAGACCAACTCCAAACAGAAAATTTCCATGTGTTTGTATATTAATATAAATATGCAACGTCTTAGTTACTAAAAATCAATATCAATAATAATTCAAGCAATCCTATGCCATGCAATGTAGCGTGAAATGTCTTGTCGAAAAAATCTGTCATTTGTTTTTTTACTGATCTATACATGAAATGATAAAAGTAACTTTTTTGCATTACTGGAATTAATTAAACTTTTGCAAAGATACAGATTAACCCATGATCATGTGACCTCGTTAGTTAGAGTTGGTACTATAAAATCATTTCAGCCTGGCCTTAGTATGCTGGTGACACAAAGAAGATGCCAAACGTCAGGACAAATGTAATTAAAAAAAAATTGTGTAGTATGTACAAACTGTAGTATTTTTGTTAATTTTAGGTTCATATATTTAGATTAAGTCATTTTTAGTGTATATATTATTCTTTCCTTAACCAAGGCTTGTTCAAAAATGATTTTGATGGTTGTACATGGAATTTTATGATTTTTTGTAATAAATACAGTAACTTGCAATAATAGTGGAATGCAAATATTAATATGTAATTGCATTTGAAATTAAAGAAAATAATAAAACTTAATTCAACTGATTAGTTGCATCACAATATATGTCACAAACTAAAACTATCTGAAAAATATCTCTCGAGTATACATTATCAAAAACTGTTTGCGGCCCTTTTTACAATTTCCAACATGCAATGCGGCTCTCGAAACCCATGAGTTTGACACCACTGATCTATTCTAGACGATTCAAGCATTGCTTTGGGAAATAATATCACTTCAATTAAATTGAAAAAAAATCTCGCTATATTAAATACAAAACCGTTGCTATCATAAAGGTAAACCAATTCAGCCACTCGGAATATATTGGCCTTCACAAAGCAATGGAGGCAGAATTGAGAGTTCATGAGCTATGCACTTTTGTTCTTTTCTTTGTCTTGAACTTTTCATACTCCACAGCCTCTATTAATTTTTTTTAAATTTTAATTACCATGTGATGGCCATACATACTGTATCTTTGTATTTTCTGTCATGATGTATTATCTCAATGTGTCAAACTTTTAATTAGTGTGTATATTTTGCTTGCAGATGACATGAATGTATTGTCTTGCTTATTACCTCAGCTTGGAGTATTGACAAGAAAAAAGTGCCCGTAAATTACGTAAAAAATGTTTAACTCTTTGATATAATCAGAATTCACATTTAATAGGAATTATAAACAGCCAACAATCAATGAGAATTATATGCAAAATTCCTCAGATTGAATTTGTCTCCCAAAATCGGAGGAAGGCAAAACATATAGGTAGTTTCCATTCACACAAGTCTTTCAAGAAGACTTGCTCGAGACAAACTAAATGAGCATCGTCAGGTGATTGGTAAGGCTGCAAGTTGAATCAGCCCTGCAATCTCCTGCATAGAAGATAATATTAATTAGCGGGCTATGAGCTAAATTCCTAAATTTAGACACAAACCTATCTACGAGGCATTATGTACCAGTAATGTTACCTACGATTAACTGAATATGTAATATGTCTAATAAATTCACCTACTAAAACAAGTTCGATAGGTGCAAACTTTGAGTTATGGAATTGTATCACAGCACCTTTAAGAGAAGTAAAAACAGTTTTGTATGACACCCTCTTTAAATGAAATTTCAATGTTTTTAAGCGCAAACATTAAAATTACTAACTTTGAACTTTGTCATTATCTGCAAAATGTTTCACACAAATCTTTACGCTATCGCGTTTGTAATATTCTCTGATAAAAAAAACGTCTATGATGTTCAGAATTACTATTTACAGCTTGTCTGCCATTCCAGCTTTCCAAATGAGCAAAACTTCTCAGATATAGAGATTATTTTCTTTCGTTACAGGCGCAAAAAGGCAGGTACTACACGTAAAGAAGACGCCGAGTAGCAAAAGCAAGCGGAAAACCGTCGCGAAAGGCGACGAGAAATATGTGCATTGGAGCGTATCATGAAATACAATCTTTCGCATGTAGTCTTATGGAGTGACGTCAGAGTTGCCTATCATGTTGTTTAATGTCATTGTTCAAACAAAAAACAAGCGGCGACAAAGACAATAAATCCGACAAAACTTCCAAGTTCTTGAAGTTCTTGACAAAACTAAAAAATTCTGGCTAATACTTGAGTTCGTTGAATTACCATACACTAAACAAAATATTATTATACGAATGGAAACTAACAAAAATACCTCTATCCGGGCGATAATTTAACCATGCGTAAAAATCTGTCTGAAGATAAAGTGTACGAGTCGGAGCTAAATTTTAATTGTTACGTCACTGTTGGCATATTGGTGATACAAAGAGTCCGATGTCAAAAGAATCAACCATCGGAAAACTGCTCTAAAAAGCTATAAAAGTCAGTCATTTTTAATAAAAGCTGCTTGAATATTATCATAATTACCAAAATATCAAGTTTGCATACGTATTCTTGCTAAAACATTATTCAAATAAACTTCGATATATCACAATTCGCAATGATAAAATATAAAAAAGTTCCCGGGTTGAAGAAAATCCATTAATTAATTAATAATAACATAGTTTACTGAATTTGATAATAATAATAAAAAGTGCGTAATATTCGACTCCGTTCACCTTTTTCAATAACCAGTGAAAGCAGGTGTTCGCCATAGTGGAGTTCGGCCTTGTTGGGTAGTTGCTCAGTGTTTCCTTGCTTGCGAATTCGTGTTTTATGGAGTTGTAATGGCAAAAACTTTGAGGAACGTGTTGTTGTTTATAGGTTTTGCTTTTGTGATTCATGGTGGAATATCTGCTGCGCAACGTAAGTAGCCTGACTGCTTTATGTAGCCTTAATTCAATGTGTTTATAAGTTTCGTTTACAGGTGCAGTACATGGACTGGTTTATTTTGAAGTTTGTCGTTTTGAATTACAAGATTTTCTCAATGCTTTGTATTGATACCGGTACCTATAATAGTACCTATAATAATAGCTCTATACTGCTATAATAGTGTGTGAAATATAAATGACTTTAACTTTGTAGCAGCCTGTCATCTGATACTGGTAATGATGTTGATAATTGAGTATTATAGGCAACATCTTGGGCTAGCTTTTAACAAGTATTTTTACGTTTACAGATAGATCCTTTGTACGATTGACACAACAGGAACTTCACTCACTTCCGATTGATGTAAGTATAATCAGATACACAATCCAGCATTCTGACATTGTACAAATTGCTGTAAAATGGTTGTAAGGGGTTTGTGTACTTTCGGCATTCAGGGTTTGTATCTCGAATAGAAGTACAGTATGTTAAAAATAACTTTGCAAACAAATGGTTTGATAAAGTTAACGCATACAATAATAATGGGATTATTTTCAAATACTATTCATAAAATTATCATGGTATTTTTTGCAGATCACTGTACAAACAATATTCGGTTTGTTTTTGGCATCTTGGGGTGTTCTACTAGCTGCCGGTGAATTTAAAAATATACAAGTTAACGCAGAAACAAAGAGCAAATCATTTGAAACAGTCGGAAATAGACCATCATTTTACATCTTTGAGCACAGAGGAAAAGTTTTGCACGGAGACGCAAAAGGACGAGATTAAAAATTTTATTTGTATTATTGTGAAAAAAACTGCTTAAAATAGAAAATTGTGATGTCACAGGCGAAAACAAGTTTTGGACAAATTGTGATTGGGCCACCAGGAAGTGGCAAGACAACATATTGTCATGGAATGCAGCAGTTCCTTGGTGCATTGAAACGCCCATGTTGTATTGTAAACCTTGATCCAGCAAATGAGAATATTCCTTATCAATGTGATATTAATATTGAAGAATTAATTACATTAGAGGATGTAATGGAAAATTTACAACTCGGACCAAATGGTGGACTTCTCTATTGTATGGAATATCTTGAAGCTAATATGGACTGGCTCATTGAAAAATTAAAACAGCATTCTGGAAAGTATGTTTATCATTTTGAATTATCATAACCTGATTTAGGGTTGGTATTATGTGTGTTTGACGTGTTTTAATTTACAGTGAATAAAGAGCATAACATCTACAACAATCAAACAGTATTATGCTTGAGTCAGCAATATTGTTCAAGCTTATTTTGAATTGCTATAACTCAAATCAAAAATTAAAATAAACAAGGCTCTGGACAATAAACCATATGGAGCTACTATAGTTGGGAAAGACCGGCATCTTTCTATTTTGGCACTGCTTATCCGATTCATTACACCCTGGGCAAGATGGTGGACATGGGATTCAAACCGGTGATGTCATCATAGTTAAATTAAGTCTACTGCTTCAACCACTAGGCCACTGAATATTTTTAATGAGCAAACCTTTATTGTTCAGATATATTGTGTTTGACTGTCCTGGGCAGGTCGAGTTATATACACATCATTCATCATTGAGAAATGTGATTGAAAAACTAACCAGCAAAGAACAAGATCTTCGTCTCACTGCCATTCACTTAGTAGATTCTCATTATTGTTCTGATGGAAGCAAATTTATATCTGTTTTATTGACTTCATTAGCTACTATGCTACATATCAACCTTCCACATATCAATGTTCTATCAAAGATGGATGTTGCAGAACAATACGGAAAGTATGTGAAAGTACTCTATAAAACTATGATCTCAAATGGTGTTCAAGTGTAATGTTTTGTCAGAATGACCTCTCTGAAATAGGCAGCAAATTTGAGTTAATCCCTGTCCTACTGAAGACTTAATAATGCAAATATCTGTATTTTTATATGGTGATTTCTTATAGTTTGGGAATGAACTTCTGTTGTATGGTTTTGTAATGAAACAAGCTATTTTATTCATAGAGTTGGAAGTACTAAAAAATTTAATTGGTAATTCTTTTTATCAAGTTAACATTTGTTTTAGATTTGCATTCCACTTGGATTATTACACGGAAGTTCTTGATCTTGAAAAATTATTGTCAGTTGAGAGTGATGATCCATTTTGGAAGAAACACAAGAAACTGAATGAGTGAGTCATTAAGCATATTAGAGTTATGATTGAATATATGGTGATCCATAACATTGAAGGGCTCCCATGTATGTCTTATTGTTTTAAGCGTTCCAAACACTTTATTTATCAAACCCTTGATTATCTCTTGCAGGAGATGCAGGTAAAATACTGTGATTTACTGGACATGTTAATGCTCCATTACTATTCTTTATTGCAACGGTAATAAGTTATCTTGTGTACAAATTCTTTTTAGAAAATTAATTGGAGTTGTTGAAGATTACAGTCTTGTTAGTTTTGTGCCCTTGAATGTCCAAGACAAAGAAAGTATGTTGAACGTCATCCGACAAGCAGATAAAGCAAACGGATATTGTTTTGGGACAGTTGAAGAAAGAAATATTCAAAAATTGCTCTCTACTGCTGTTGGTGCTGAGTTTGAATTCTTTAAATCTGCATCTACACATGAGAAATACCTAAACTCTGATAAGGGATGAAATGGTGGTCTTTGTCTGATGCATAATATATACCAGGGGTGGCCAACCTACTTTCGTCCACGATCAACTAAAATCTTCAAAATAGCTTGCGATCGACTGATTGGTAATAAGTTCATATACAAAAACGAATGGGTACTGATTATGCATAGATTATGCAAACACGCTACGCATACAAAAAAATACAGCACTGCCAATAAGCTCAGCTCTGTGGGCACATTCACAATTAAAACGCCACAAAAATTTGTATTGTTCATGTTCCATTTCATTTGTTAATTTGATTATGTAATAGTAGCCGGAGTAAATGTTTCATCATTCATTTATTCAAATCATACAATTCAGACCTAACACATGCCTATTTTTAGCCCGGAGTGTCGTAAATTTCTCAAAAAACCTTGCCAAGTATTAGCGTACTATACAAATAAAGAAAAATAAATTTTCGAAAACCATCAATGAAACACTACTGCTCGATTTTCAGCATCTAAATTACAATAATTCAACTCACTGCACATTTATCAACTAAAACACACAATATTCGGCAAGTTCAATTTAAACTTGGTAGCGGCGAAACTTGCATTTTTACGTAATAACATGTAAATGGGGCTTGTCCAGACTCAAATACTGTACGTCTATTTTTACACATGTACAGTACTGTATTCGTTGTTTTAAAACACACAACAGGCGCTGCATGAAACTGCTTCAGGAAATTTTGGGGGTATGTTGTTAAATTTACCAACAATAGACGCGATTGACCACTCGAAACGTGAAGATCGACCGGTCGATCGTGATCGACGTGTTGGCCACCCCTGATATATACTATCAAAGGAGACTACCAACTGTGGTCTCAGTGCAAATGAAATTTCTTGTTTGAAAATCAAAGAGTACTTTGTGTGTTATGGAAACTGGATTATATTTCTAATTGTGATTATTTCTCATGTACTATGGTTGTGATTTGTTTCAGAATTGTGGATTAATAAAAGTATGTGAAGAAATAATTGATTGTATGTTATTGTAATGTAGGGTGTAGTATCGTCAGCTGTACAAATCCTGGCACAACTGCTACCAACCGGTGTCAGTATCCGTGTTGGTTCCAAACAGTCGTTTCGTGTAATTAAGTTATTTGTTTCCCATCATGCTCTCAAATTCAAAAGAATATCACTAATGGACTTGTATTATTTCTTATCTGAAAGAGTGATCAGGCAGATTGATTAGTTTTCATCAGGTTATTTCAATGTGAACAGTTTCGCGCAACACCGGGAAAGTTTATACATATTGCTTCGCTTTAGATGAAATGGCGTTGATTTTGTTTTGCATTGGCAACCAATAGTCAGTACATCCACGAATGTTTTGGGTAGACTTATTCTATTTGAAGGCGTGATACAATGAGAGACTGTACTCCAAAAACAAGGGGACAGGCAGCAGATTTACCACTATAAAACAGCATGCTATCACAAGGCTTGACATAAGAATGTGGTCAGATACTGTATCCCATGATCCCTATTTTGGTACAGCTAACAAAAAGTCAATTGAGCCAAGAAAAAAGTCAAGCTCCACTCACTTGCTGCAAGAACGTTTAGGGTACTCCCAAGTATGTGAACCAAGATGGCAGACACCGGAACATAGTATGTGTACCAGTTAAGGCCGTAATTTTATTCCCATTTTCAGTTCCATTATGAGTTCGGGGACTAATCAGGTGACTCCTGTAGTTTTTGTACGTGAATTATGGCCTAAACCTAACCTGGTCGCAGACTACATTTAGATGTTCGCCATCTTGGTTCACATACCTCGGGAGTATTCGTTTAACACAGAATGAATCTTTTAGGGCTTGTCATTGACCAGACTGCATTTGGACTTGGATTCATAACCCTAATCAATTAACTGCCAGTGAGCCTGAATCAACTCGAGTTTCAGATGACCCATGATTCAAGGTTGTGCTGAATAAGTTTTTGTGAAACAAACTCAACATACCAGACATAAGTTTTGATGGAATAAGCTTTTATTTTTTTGCAATCATGTGGCGTCAGGGAAAGATACGAACAAAGCATATTGTACATGAGAAGCACATCTAAGGAATGCATCACACAAACTCAGGCTTTTGAGAGAAACTTTACCACAAGAGAAATAATAACAAAAATAGCACACAAATAAATTAAAGTTTTCCATGTACTACAGCAAAAGCTTGATTGTACTCAATACCCAAAAGCTGTTTCAGAAACAAAACTGTCACGATTATGCATTACTTTTTTTTGGTAATAATGCTTTTTTAAAAATTTTTGACAAAGAAAAACAAACAAATAAGATGTAGCTAAGGCACTACTGCAGTCCTTGTAACAAAGTAAAGACAGTTTTTGCCATATATCTCAAGTTTCGTCATTGAACGATTGCACAGTTTAGTCACAATTTTCTCAATCAGAATCCTCATCTTGTGGTGGGTAGATGCCACCCCCTGGTGTACTCGGGGTGTACCCTGGTGAAGAAGGACTATATCCAGGGCTTGTTGGAGAATAGGAGTCTTGCGGACTTGATGGTGAATAGGCAGGTGTGTAGCTAGGACTCGCTGGCGAGTAAGCAGGGCTGGCTGGACTATATGACGGACTAGATGGACTGTAAGATGGTGATGCAGCAGCAGATTCCTGATCCCCTGGTGTGTATGTCGGACTCGTTGGAGTATACTGTGGGCTTGATGGAGAATATCCCGGACTTGAAGGTGAATAAGCAGGACTTGTTGGAGAATAGTTAGGACTGCTTGGAGAGTAGCCCAAAGATGGACTGTACGATGGACTTGCAGGTCCTGATTTTGGACTCGATGGTGAATAGTTTGGTGATGATGGCGAGTATTCCGGGCTTGCAGGCGAGTATGATGGACTCGATGGAGAATAGCTCGGGCTTGATGGGGAATATTTTGGTGATGTAGGACTGTAAGACGGTGATGATGGAGAGTAAGATGGTGACGATGGTGAATAGCTCGGACTCGAAGGAGCGTATTTCGGACTTGATGGGCTGTACTCTGGTGATGCTGGACTGTAAGATGGACTTGCTGGTGAATACTTTGGACTTGATGGCGAGTAGCTCGGAGACGAAGGACTATATGAAGGAGACGATGGTGAATACTTTGGTGAGCTTGGTGAATAACTCGGACTAGTAGGTGAGTACGAAGGACTGGTAGGAGAATATGAGGGGCTGGTCGGACTGTAGCTCGGGCTGGTTGGAGAATATGAAGGACTTGTGGGGGAGTAGGAAGGTGAGGTTGGGCTGTAACTGGGTGAGGTGGGAGAATATGAGGGGCTGGTTGGGGAATAGGATGGTGAAGTGGGTGAATAACTTGGTGAAGTGGGGCTGTAGCTTGGAGAGGTTGGAGAATAGCTTGGTGAAGTGGGGCTGTAGCTCGGAGAGGTTGGGGAGTAGCTGGGTGATGTTGGACTGTAGCTTGGAGACGTCGGTGAATAGGATGGACTCGTTGGTGAGTACGATGGCGAAGTCGGACTGTAACTTGGACTCGTAGGTGAATATGATGGACTTGTTGGTGAATACGAAGGTGACGTCGGACTGTAGCTTGGTGATGTAGGTGAATAAGAAGGACTGGTCGGAGAATATGAAGGTGACGTCGGGCTGTATCCTGGGCTTGTTGGGGAATATCTCGGTGAAGTAGGTGAATACGTCGGACTTGTAGGTGTGTATCCTGGACTGTATTTCGGGCTTTGTGGTGTGCCTGGTGTCCCTGGTTCATAAGCAGGTGATACTGGTGAGTAACTTGGAGACAATGATGAATGCTTTGGCGATGGTATATATGGAGAACCAGGGCTTGCAGGTCCTGGTGATTGAGCAGGACTCCAAGCTGGACTGTATCCAGGTGAAAAACCAGACGCATCAGATTGTGCAGGAGAGAAAGCAGCAGCACTTGGCGTCATTCCAGAACCATAGCCAGGAGTAAATGCTCCGGCAAACGCTGGTGTTGCACCACCTGCCCAAGGTGTCATGCTCGGTGACATAGAACTTGGTGAAGCCATTGATCCAAAGAACATGCCAGTACCTAGAAGAAAAATACAAAATTGGTTGACATTTTTTCTGAAAATCCATCATAAAAAATCTAGTACGTAGAAATATGGTATGGTAAAAAAGCTATTCTATACTCTGTCATTCTCTACTCCAGATATTCAAAAAAGATGCATTCTAAATCTGATAATTCGTGAATAATATCCAGGAAGGATATTTTTGGAAGTAAAAGTTTTGCTGTAGAATGGGTTTATTCAAATTATTCCAAAATTAATACCAAACCATTTTCGAATTAACATGTATAGTTCAATAAATAAATTAGAAAAATAACGGTAAGAACTACCTCCAACACCACCGATGTTTGTTGGGATTTCCATAGCCTGTTTGCATTTTTCTGCATCAAGTAATAATTGGAAACATCCTGTACCACCAGGTATAAGTTGTCCCAGCATGATATTTTCAGAAACTCCACTCATGAAATCAGTCTCAGCTGATGAAGCAGCCTGAAATCAGAAAGTTTTTTTAATGCTGATTAGCTGATATCAAAGTTACATAAACTCACTCAGAAGAAGGAGAACTTATTTAGTTGTAAATTCACGGGCAACCACGGATATGCGTGGGGGAGAAAGAATACAGAAAGTAGCGATTGTGTTCGATTAAATTTCAATTAATGCAGCTTATTGCAAGGTAGCCTCTGACATGTATACCGAATGGTCATATTGCGGTCATCCTGTCCATTCTGGGCAAAGGCATGTATATATTTTCAATTTTGCTTTAATTTTTGTGTGCCCGTTTGCCTGGACGGCTAATAAAAACGATTTGATTGATTGTCAAGTCGTCAACAAATACAGTTTAATGCAATATGGCCTGATGGTGAATTCACATACGTAAAATGCTACAATATGCTTTTCGTATAAGAGATTAAATTAAGATGCTGGTTTCTAAAATATCTTTCGCATAGTGCCATAGAATTGCCATTTCTTAACTTAGCAGCAATAACATTAACCTGAGTACATTCAATTATCACAATGTGTAATAATATTTAACACCTACCTCCATAAGAATATCCACGGTTTCCTCAAACGAGCATCTCATCAGTGCTCCTGTTTCTTGTCTGTTGATTCCATGTCTCGTGATTGCCATCAAGTGTCCTTTGCATGTCATGACATCACATAGAAGAGCTAAGTGACGATAGTTTACGTATGATCCATCAAAAGATATGACATGATTGATTTCACGCTCCAAGGCTTTTCGTACAGCTTCAATACCAAGCACCTGAAAATTTAGAGAGTATAGTGTTATAAAAAATAGTCCTCCATGAATCAGCATTTAAACCATCCAGGGCTGCATGAGATGACCATAAATAAATGGTGACCGTACATTTGAACCCACGTACATTTGAACCCATGTGTATATCCACGGGTTCAATCTATATGCGGGTGCTAAAACCCATGGGTTAGGGTTAGTATGAGTTCAACTATCCGAAAAACAAAAAAAATTCCATAGATGCAATAGCATACAGGTGCAATTGTCATGGGTTCAAATGTAATGGAACCTAAATACATATATGACCCTCATTAGGGGGTGCAAAAATAAGACAAATAGAATAAGACCAACTATTCATGGTGCAAAAAACGAGACCTAACAAGAATTAAAAACCTATATGAGATTGTGACCAGGCTAAAGTTTGAATAGAATAGCCTATTACGTTTAGAAGATTAATTGTTTAGACCACGATAAGTAACTTCTTTATCATATTCCGGTTAGCTCTAAAAGATGCAATCTGTGCTATTAACTAACTATGAAATATTAAAATGAATTTGGAAGGTTATTCTAATTTGGGCGCAAAAACATCAGTGGATTGAGATATACCCTTAAGCCTAACATAAATTAAGCCCAGCCTACCGCAAATATTTCACAAATATCGTTGGAAGTTGTTCGAACAGGATCAATGTCTCTTTCCGATAATACTCTCATCAAAGCAGTTCCATCAGTTTCAAGAATCCAATCTTGCACTGCATTGAATTCACCTTCTTTGGTTATGACAATTCTTTTTTTGCTTTCTTCTTTTGGCAGATGCATATAAACCTTGAAGAAAACATTGATGTTATAGGACAAGTAGCCTAAATTCTTTCACAAACAACCAATCTTACAAATTAAATGCAGGCCCATCCTGGAATACTATTTCATGCAAGACAATGCACCCTTTGGAGATAGGTGGATATGTGAAAAATATAAAACAAAAACAGCAATTTAGCAGAATAAAGTAGACCTGCTCATTCTAAAGAATTTGTATTGTATTGTGTTGTGTGGCTATATAAACAAAAGGAGGAAATTAAGAAAATCTATGTTTTTGACAAGCCTGACTAGCCATTAGTTATAGAAAAATGCAAAGGCCGTGCTTGCGATCAATGGTGCAAATGAAAACGGTGATATGAAACCAGCTAGTTTGCTCCTATTAGCGCAATAATACATAGAGCTCTCTCTTCCGTGCACAACAGACTATTATTGCGCAACTGTAGGACAATATTTCTTCCTTTTATTTTGTCTCTATTTTCTCTCCTATTCCAACATAAAACGAGAGAAGAGAAAAAGGGAGTTCAACAGGGGAGGAAACGTACAGACAATGTACTAAGATTGAAAAAGGGTGTCACATGAACAGGTCGTGATACCGTGGTTTGGATTATTTGCCAAACACAAACCATGGATAAATGGTACATACCAAACGAGCACCCATTAAACTATAGAAAACTGAGTTGACTTATACTTTGGTATCAGAACAACAAAAAAGAGAGAATAAATTTTAAGAAAAAGGCGTTTGACGGCAGGTATATAAACGCACACCAAGCGTTTACCGACTGGATGTTACAAGGTTGCCAAGTTCATTCAAACTGTTTGCACAACATGAGAGAAAAGAGAGATTGCGTGATTGGCCACCAACAACATAGAAATATATTACGAGACAGGAAACAAGCCTAATTTTGAGTGCTTATTAAAAGCAATTTCAGAAATTAAAGATTAATAATATGTGGGTGGAATAATAAATTCTAAACTAAAGTTTTTCTCTACAATCCTCAAATTTATTTTTATACTTTCAGTCAGATATTAGTTTCATTACGTAAAGGCATTACAGCAGAGGTTGCAATAATATTGACATTATTTCAAACATTGAATTAAGTAAATAATATCATTTATGAAGTGGGGTGTTGTATCAGGAACAAATATAAAGAGCATCATGTTGAGAAAAAACATTGGAGGACAACTGTTTTTATATTATTTATTAATTAAGTTACCGTGAAATGTTATATTTCATGGATTCTTGGTTATATTTCATTCAATTTCATGTTATTGGTGATCCAAGTCTCTCACAAGACTCGAATATAACAATATATATAAATTTTATGAGATAATGTACTTGTATAATCGGTTAATTTAAATCATTTTGAAAACTTCTTAATACTATTGAAATAAGGCACCAACTTACTTTAGCAATCTGCGGAATTCCTTGTAAGGTCATGTCCGTCAACATATTAGCTTCAATGTATCTTAGGAAAACATCATCTTCCATTTTATCAGCTTGTTCTTCTGTATCCTCGTCCATTTTTGACTCATCACTAAGAGAAAATAAGAATATTGCATCTAATCCTAAAGTCACAGGTAGCCATTTTTCTACAGCCAAGCAGTAATTTTACTATCTATGCATAACGAATGACAAAAAAGTACACAAAAATTATTGTTACATACTTGTTCATAATTCTGATCCGTAGAACAAGTTTTTCAGCATTATCATCATTGAAAATACAATTGAGATCATCGCCGAACCCAGCACTAATTTTTTCAGCAATCTGTTCCATAGTCAACTTTTTATCTGAAAAACATTAGTAGCATGAGTAATGGGAACTTATCTGCTTCTAGATTACACAAATGAAACAACCAGTAGTTACCAGTCATTCTTTTCCTGTCCAATTCAATACGGAGTAACCATGGTGAAATACGGCCAACATCAAAATCAGGCATTTCATAATAAACATTGACAAATTCTTGATCTTCTTGAATAACAGTGTTCATTGGATCAGGATCATAATAAATTGCTGTATTTGCAGTCACTTTCCTGAGTGTTGCATGCTCCAATCTACATAAGACATCCTGAAAAAAAAAGGCAAGAATAAAGATATAAACTATAGCTCAAAGCAATACCACAAGAGAAAAAGCTTTTGAATAATATTTTCATAATATGTATGAAACAAGTGAGTATTGCTGGAATATGTGGACATGAAGGCCGCACACAAGTTAAGGCCTGAGAGCACTTAGTTAGTCAAAATGATTTACCAACAGACAGAGACAGTTGAGCAATATGGAATATAAAAATGTTTCCCCATTTTTGTAATGAACGGCAGAATTTTTGACAAAAATATCAAGCCACCTAGATCTCTTTACACAGACAATTTAAAAAAAATTAGAAGTCAGAAATAGCCTTCTAGTGACTTCTTCCATTTTGCACTGGAAATTCCAAAGCAATTAGTTCACTTGTTGCCAAAAAAGCGATTTTTTCCAACAACCACAGCAAGAATTCAGCAAAACAATCCACTTCATTTCAACAAGTTAAACCATACCTTGCATCTTTGGGCATCCCGGGTTGGTTGTCCAATCAAAAATATAGTAAGAGAAGGTGTTCTAGGCTTTTTTGAAATGTTGATCAATTCCTTCAAACGAGGTACACCAAGAGTGACGTTCTTTGCTGATACACCAGCGTAGTGAAAAGTATTCAATGTCATCTGTGTGGCAGGTTCTCCAAGTGATTGTGCAGCCAAAGCTCCCACCATTTCACCAGGATGAGCCTGTTTTATTCAACATGAATAAAAACAAACATTATAAGATAATGTTCTGCTTTATATTATTCACAGGAATGTGGTTTCAAACTTTCTGTTAACTTTCATAACATTGCAATCATAACTAGGTAACTGAAAAATGAAGGCATTAATCAAACTTACCTGAGCTTGTTGAAATCGTGTTTCTATTTCACCGAGAATCCATTCAAATGCTTCAGTGGATAATCTGAATTCCTCAGCAACACGTTTTGTACAGAGAGTAGATCTTTAAAAAAGTATTTATTGATTTTGTCAAATAGTTTGAAAATCAGCCCGATTATAATGGTTTAACAATATTCATCTTGTACAATAGGTCAGCCAATTTAAGTCTAAGTTTCAAATTCTTCCGACAGTACTTAACTTTTTATTAATAAACAATCAAACAGCCATATGCATTACCGGGTAACATTCAATATCGCACCGCTTATTTGAGAAAAATATTATAGACAGCTAGCAGAGGTATATATTAGACAACTAAACATACAACAAAAAGAGAATTCAACTGATCTTATAATATTCCTTCGTTTTGAACAAACTTAACAATGCAGGGGTCAATATAAATTTCATTTACCTCAAATGTACATTGAAAAGAAGAGTTGCATTATGTTGCGCTTCTTTGCTCAATTTATCTTCTCCACTCACAATGATGAGTTTTTTACTTAGGTCTTGGACTCCCTCAATTACACGAACAGGATTCACAGATGAAGGTTGTCTCAGATCAATATGAAATATTTTTTGTGCATTCCAGATCAATCTGCTGAGGTTTACAGGCAAAACAACCTAAAAGAAATTGTCAAGATATTTTGTGCTGCCACACTCATAAGTTGATACATAAACAACTTCAAACATTAATTTTGGGTTGAGGGGAAACAATTTCCAATTACATTAGTGTGTCTATTGATTTAGCAGCAGTTTTCGAATAGCTGAGTAGAAGTCCCTAACCCAGAGTCAATTACTGAGTTAGGTCTCACTGACGATTAATTGAGTACGAATCCAAGTCATTTTATTTAGACGAGCCACTTAGAGGTTGACTCAACTGAAGCCTCCCCAACACTGATTTAAAATACCTTGCTGTCACCACTCGGGAAAATACTTCGAATAACTTCACGATCTGCTCGCAATGATTCAAATTCACCATCAAGTGCTTGTTGCATACTGACATCAGTTTGTATATCACGAATCAATTCTTCAGTCATGCAGTGACGCAAATGTCTTTCATTGTTATAATCCAGACGGAATTTCTAGAAATTACATACAAACATTTATATTCAATAGTGGCCATAATTTTCCATCTTACCAGGCATCCTTTACTGAAAGATAAACTTACTTTTTCAAAGTTTTTGTGACTTGGTTTCAATGTTGCCAGATTTTGAAATTCGACTCTTTCTCCAGCAAGTCCATCTTCACCATATCTCAATTGTATCATGTAATTGTTTGATTGTCGCAATGTCCCGTCATAACGTACCATCACAGATTCCATAGCCTTGATCAAACGACGCTGAATATAACCTGAAACAAGCAATATATTAATTTGGTGCAACAGAATTTTTCACCGATAGTCATTTAAAACTGATTTCTAGATGCGAGTGCAATTCTAATTTCTGTAACAAATAAACAAAATCCAAGCATTTACCAGTTTCTGCAGTTTTGACAGCAGTATCAATAAGACCTTCTCTACCTCCCATAGCGTGAAAGAAAAATTCAGTTGGAGTCAAACCAGCAAGATATGAGTTTTCAACAAATCCTCTAGATTCTGGACCATAATCATCCTGAGAAAACACGATTGAAAGTATGTTTGAATGATAGATAAAATGAATGGTAGTTTATCTAATTTTGTACTAATACCTTTTAAAAATCAGACCGAAATGTTCTGAAATGTTCGAACTGCTTTGCTTATAAAAATAAGAATAGGATTTGCAAACTGGATCTCACCTTTATAAAATGAGGAAGTGTTCTGTGTCTGAAACCAAACGGAATTCTTTTTCCCTCAACGTTTTGTTGCCCTACAACAGCAATGACCTATGAAAATACAAAATAACGTAGTCAATGATATTTGAATAATAAATAACACAACTGGAAAGTTGTACACTCGCATACCAATTTTACCATACTATCATTCAAAAACTGGGAACTTTTGCATGTTAGACTTAGGATTCTTCCCACTGTAGCAACTAATACAATAACAGATAAGGCTTGTATAAGACTGGAATTGTAATCAATTGTGACTATTGCTGTTCTTGCAATAACTAGTGTGAGAGGGAATGATAGATAAGAATAAGAAAACATGTTTTGTCTGTATGCTAATAACGCAATGGACTGTATGCATCAGTTGGGGGCAAATATATATTGGTTACATAACATCTATACATTATCATTACCTGGGAAATATTAATTTTTGATCCTTTGGATCCAGCGACCACCATAGCCTTGAAATTGTTAAATTCAGACAAACTCTTTTGGGCAGATGAACCAGTTTTGTCACGAGCATCGTTCAAAATCCTTTAAAAAATAAAATTATTACTTTAAAAAATTCGTACATTATACTTTATATCAGAAATTGATATGAAAATAAATCATACCTGTTCACTTGGTTCTCAAATGTCTGTCTCAATGTGTTACCAGGTGTTGGTTGCAAATCTTCTTTGTGGGCTTTTTCAATTACCTAAAACAAAAAAGATATTGCAAATCTTTTTTCCTCTAACAATACTGTAAAAAAAACTATAAACTATCCGGTAAAGAAGATGTAAATCATCACTTACCTCTATGACCTCTTGCTTTGCTTTACGAATCTGATTTTGAATATCTTGGTAGGTTTGTGCATCAGCAATAGTGTCTCCAATACCAATTGAGTGGCCTTCGACCATCAACCAGTAGTTGACAACGGTTTGAATGTTTGAATAAAACTCACGACAAACATCTGGAGTGTGTTCCAGCGCTACCATGTGGCACAATGATCCAGATGATGTTCCAAGTGATTTTTTGCAAATGATACCACTCAGGAGAGTACCATTTTCGACTACAACCTGGGTATAAAACAAGAATTGACATGGGCAACTAGGGCCAACGGGTCATATCGTTGGGTAATTAAATCTGGCCCACCTGATGCTGCGCCAAATATAACCAAATTTTGATGTTTCAGCTGAAAATAACTAAGGAATTTATTGAAATTGCGATTAAATTTAGTTTCGTCACTGTCCCTGGTCCAAAAACCTTGCCCACCCCTGCTCTAGAAATACTGATTTCCGGCCAATGTGGTAAACATTTACCGAAAAATACTCTGGGACACAAGATACCGTGAGAAAGGTAGAACAGTTAAGCTCAGGAAATTTTGTGTCTGTACATGCGAGATTAAACCAAGCTTCCTTCTATACCCACCTCAACCAATTTTGTTATGGTAATTATATTTAAGCTTTGTTATGGAATATTTGTAACTAATTGATGTTTAATAACTGTTCTGGGACTTGAAATAATTTTTATTCACCTTTGTATCACCAGGTGATATATGTTTATAAGGTCCAGAATCTTCTCCATCAGGATGAGTACTGTGTGTTCTGACACAGTTAATGCCTGGTGGAACAATCAATGAAAATACTTGTTTTCCAGTCCACAGTGGTTTTGGCTTCAAAATGGCAGGTTGTGGCATGTGCCCATCCCAGTTTTCAAGATACATTAGTAAATTCATGAAGAATGGCTGCAACGCAAAAATACATACAAATCAACTTTTTTCCAATAAAAAAGAAAATTTGAACCCTCAGGAAAAATTTCAAATTATTACATAACAAATATATAGCTAGCTGGCAGGCAAAAATGTGGCTTGCATGTTTCAGTCAATTGATTCAATTAACAATTAACACCGCACTTTAAGGTTTTTAGAAGCATCATACTTCTGTCAATTAAGTAAATGTATTCCACTAATTTCTCAAAGCTTATGAGAATAATCCTAATAGGGGATGCGATGGATAACACTACAATACTATATTTCTACCGTATTGGGTATAATATTATAACCTTGGTATATACCTTATCAATGAATGAATCTCTTTTGGTCATTTTTCTGACAGCGGTCAGTGTGTCCTGGACAATACCCATGACAGGTCGATTGCTTTGCGGTGTGATGATCATACGAGGTACCATTGCTAACTCTAAAATCTCAGCTCTTGTTTCCATAGTTTGTGGTACATGCATGTTCATCTCATCACCATCAAAATCAGCATTATATGGAGTCGTTACAGACAAATTCATTCTAAGAACATTTACAATATATTGGAAAAATATATTTATATTTACACAAAAAAGCGGTGATCCTGAATTAACTGAGACATGATAAAAGCATGGATTATACAACCAGGTGGCGAGACATTCAAGGTTACGTAAAATTCCTACAGATATAAAAAAGAAGTTAATAATGTCAACCTGAATGTGGACCAAGGTAAAACTTTAACTTTGTGTCCCATCATAGACATTTTATGCAGTGTCGGCTGACGATTGAATACAATAACATCGCCGTCTTTGATGTGACGTTCAACCTGTCAAAGGGTCGTATGACATCACTATTACGTGTACTTTTTCAAGACTTATAGAAATTGCATTAGACAGTATCTAGTTTAGATCATAAAAGATCAATATGCAAAGCAATACATAATGGATCAATTTGCCTTATGATTCAGCCGCCTTAAGAACTCTTCTCTCCTCCAGGATAAATATAAAAATGCTCTCCTATTGTGTAGATTTATTTCAATAATTTAAAGAAATGTGCGAATACAATCAAATTCAGAATATACTTTTATATTTGTAAGTATTCGGCGCAGTGAATGAAAATTAATAGGTTTCGTCCAGTTCTCTTATAAATTTTCCACCATTCGCGTCTTAGTTAAGTAGAATCAAATCATACCTTGTATCCAACTTGCAGATGTAAGTCAGACGGTTTTGGATGATAACGAAGATCAATTCGATCTCCCGAATCTCTTATGATATATTTTGCACCAGGATATTGATTATTTCCTCTTCTAACTAACTCTTGCATTCTGTCGATGTTAAATGGAGTGACAATTTCAGGATAAGTGAGATTTGCAGCTATGGAACGAGGAACACCAATCTGCAAGTAAGAAATTTTGACTTGAATTTCAAAATTTCAAAATGAGAATTTGAGCAATTAATGTATTAATTATTATTAAACAGATAAATTAGTAAGAGTAAATACTGATACACATCTTTGATACACATATGCTGCTATAGTTTTAAATAATGTAACAAGATATGCTTTATTTAGGCTCACATAGAAAACAAAATGTAATCTTGATTGAAATTTTGAAACTGGAAGTAAGAATATAGCACGTCAAAATTGAACAGGAAAACATACAACAGGATATCAAAATGATTCTGATGATATCGTGAACATGTAAAGCATGAACAGAATTTGTCATTACAACATGAAAATAACGAACAAAAACAATCAACAAATGATCATATATCGTTAGTGTATGATATCCTATCTCCATCTATGTACTAGTATGCATGCAATCAGGGATAAAAAAAAATGCTACCATTCATCAGTTATCATTTTATTAATTGAAGTATAGTATCTCACTGTATCAATTTTCAAATTAGGATCAGGAGTGATGACTGTTCTTGCGGAGAAATCAACACGCTTTCCCATCAAATTTCCACGAATTCTTCCTTCTTTTGCTTTCAGTCTTTGCTTGATTGATTTTAGTGGTCTTCCTGATTTTTGCAATGCCTGATATGAAACAATAGCTCTGTTTTATAATATATACATAGTCAATTATTTTTTTGTTTCGATTTTCTTTACAAAATCCCAAACAGTACAAGCAAAATTAGTCAAACCTAAATAAATGAGAATTGGTTTATATGTGGTAATTATGCTAAGCAACATCTTGAAAAAATAATCGCATCTTCTTGTCATCTATAAATATTACTTACTCTCGGCACACCAGGTAATTCATTGTCAAATAACGTAGCAACATGGAATTGCAATAATTTTATATCCTCTGCAATAATATGAGCTGCGGTTCCATTCTGTTCATTTCTTTTTAATTGTTGGTTTGATTTGATAATATCAGCAAGCTTGTGGGTCAAATCATCCTGTTAAGCAAGAGTATGGAGATTAATTAAATACCAAATGTTTTTCAATTTGAACAAAGTTCTGTACAAGAAGTTACAGTTACAGATATGTAAGGATCTACTATATATTCAAAGGAACGCAATTCTCCTGGTCCTCTTATTTATATAATACACATTTGACTTTTTAAAACACTGGATGTATGGAATATAAACATATAATTGCTATTCAGTGTTAATACTCTGAATTTGCTATTTATCTATTTTGGTAATTCAACCCTACAAAGAAGAAAATCTAATACTAACCTGACTTCTGGCACTACCACCACCCATTACAACAGAAGGTCTGACACAGAGTGGTGGGACAGGGAGAACAGTTATTACCATCCATTCTGGTCTCGCAAATCTAGGATCCATTCCCATTATTTCAGATTCTTCATCTGAGATTCGCTGCAAAAATAAGAAACACAACAAAATTAGTTTGAAATATGGTGAAAAATTTTGATTGTTAAAGACAATTAAATCCCACTATAGTTACCCACTATATATAGAATCAAACTATGGTTAGAATCAAAAGCCACAAGCCGCACACAATCAATACCTCGACTGTCATTATATGTTTGTCTTCAGGTCTCAAACCCGGCCCTGCCTTAAGTGATCATTTTGTATTAATGAAAATAATCATACTTTGAATATTTCATGAACTCTCTCAGCAGTGAGTGGAATTTTTTTCTCTTGTGAGTCTTCATTCACATGTTTCCACTCAGCAACCAATTCAAGACCAGTCCTTTTAATTTTTGGTTGATATCGACCACAACCCCCATGTCCAACCCTGAAAAACGTAATATCTTCAGTTTAGAAATTTAGTGGAAAAAAATCGGAATCATAACTGTTTTTGAAGAATTTGGATAACGGGAATTAATGTGTTTTTAAAAAATTTACTTAATTAAATTGCAGATAAAAAAGGAGGAGAACATTACTTCTTAGGCTCCTCATCCTCTCGTTGCTGAACATCAAATGTTTCGTCCATTTCCTCTCCACCTTCACAAATGTTTTTTCCCTTACATAACTCGTAAACATTTAGTAAACGTTTTCTCGGCTGACCTTTGGACTTTCCAAGAATTGTTCGAATTTTTGGATTCCCCTGAAAAGTCAATTATAATATATATACAATCTAAAATACCCATATACCCTATCACTGAATTGTATCACATGGGGAAATAGTCAAGTTTGGAAAGGGAAAACTAGTCAAAAAGGTTGAGAAATCACAATATTGTTAATAATGGGTCTGCATCTAAGCAAGTTGAGTCCGAAACAACAGTCTCCTACCTTGTCAACCAGCATTTTGGAGCAATAAAAGCAAACACATCGTAAAACTTTTATAGTCTTCGTAAGAAAACCAACATGAAAAACTGGTTTTGAAAGGTCAATATGTCCAAAATGTCCTGGGCAATCAGTCATATTTCCGGCACAAGTCTGACATCTAAAATAAGAATAAATAAATAACAGCGCTCTGTTTATAGATTGAAGAACATCCCATGATGTAACAGACAGATATCAAACTAATCGCACCTTGACATACGATCAATAACACCTTGACGAGGGTCCATTAGACCCAATAATTTGGGTCTACCACCTTCCGATGCTTCTGGATATTGCACCCCACCTTCCGTCACAGACATTCGTTTCTGTGAAAAAGATACGGTATGTCAGTAAATTTCAAATACTTATAAACACCCTGTTTTAATTCCCTGAATTTATACCGAACTTCATTGTTTTCTGCCCTCACATCAGAAACGTATTATAGGTAAATCAAATATCGCACTCAATAGATTTTTCATCTTGAAATTACCATGTGATTTTATATGACCAAGTGGACATAAAGAAAAATAATAAAAGCGAGTGTGTATGCTGTGTGTTTGCAACCATGTATTAATGACTTGCAACAACAATACTGAATATAACACTATGCTGAATATATGGAAATACAAATGATGAGATATACCAGCTTATTAACGGGATGACTGTAGAATTGCAAAAAAGCAGACACGCAGCTTAGCATACATGTGTCGTGTCTATGACAATAATTGTCAACTCTCCTGATATTTTTTGAGAGGTGGTTTCAGAAAAAAATAATTTAATGTTGTGATTAGTTATCGCATCAGGATTCGTTTTGGCGCTGAGGAAATTTCACACAATAAAAAATTTATTACATGAAGAAAATGACAATTAAATTTTATTTTATCCCTAGTCGACTACTCCTTTAATTGCATGTATGCTTCTTATTTTTTACAGTTCTGTTGAATTTCATTAACATGAGAGTAGCAAATTTTCGAACTATAGACAATTTTTTATTGTACAACGGTCAATATCCTTCGGTGCAAGATAATGAAGATTATATTTATTACGTAACCCAGACTGACAATATAGGATTTCAGGTGAAGATTGCACCAATATGTTTCATTTAATACAATAAATGACTTGATAAAGTTGTATATTTATTGTGCAAAAACATGACCAAAATGACTCAATAAACACTTGTTACATCATCAAAAAAATTGCACTCCCCAATAAATGGGATCAGGGAGAAAACACTTGAGAAAAACTGGATGGACATTTATATTACTAATATTTCATATTGAACTACAGTGAATATGATGTCATATTGTACAATCAAAAACACACTTTTTCCTTGTCCCTGCGCATGCAAGGATAGATAATACAGAGTACGAAACAAATACATGGATAAAGGAAATATTGGTCAACCATGAGAGAGTGTAACCGCCGATCAATTGTTTCAAATGTGACCACATGTAAAATGAGCACTTTTTGTCTTATAGAACCATTATAAGACAAGCATGTGAATAATCAACATTTCAAACAAACAAGAAAAGTCATAAAGTCGTACTGAGATAAACATATTCACGTACAATCTCATCTGGACTGAGGATACCAAACTGGACACGTTTGACATTCTTCAGAGGTATAGTTGATTCTGTCAGAGTCCCCATCTTTCTCAGTTGTGTTTTGCAAATGGACAAACAACGTTTTTAAATTTGCCGCCGGTCGACGTGACGCGCCGACACCTTTCGTGTTTATGCTCAATACTGGATCATACACCAATTTTAAATCTATTCTGGCAAAAATCAATCGGAAAGTCTCGTTATTCGTCCTCCTGGTATAAAACAACCTCAAAAGACAATTAACACTAATTTACTGACGTAAGTAAGTGCAAATGTCATAAACAGCACTGACGCGGAGAGGCTTTCCAGAGAGACGTCGCCGACGGTACACCACGAGGGCTTCTGATTGTCGACGGCGTGTTGCTGCTTTTATATTACTTGTTGAAGAGGCGGGGCTTTCTTCTGAGTGATGACGTCATTAACCAATTTTTGTGACAACAGTAGCTTGTGATTGGCTGATGAAACGTGACCGAAGGATAAATGAGAGAATGACGATGGACAGTTTAGGAAAATATCTATCAGCTGAGTCGCTTCGGCCGCGAAAGAGAGAAGGTAAATATGTGAGAAAGCGCGCGTATTTAGCCCTGTGGGTCAGGTTTGCTCGTTATTCTCATTTGCCGTAGCTTTTTTTCTTTCCTCATATCTCTGTAATAGTAGCGGTAATATTTTTACGTAATGATTAGCTTGTGTTTTAGGGTAATAGATAGTTTATTTTTGCTGATATTGGACACGAGTCGTATTTTAAACCTCTCATATTCGGTAAATCAGACTAAAATTGTGACGTTTCAGCAATAACTTCAGAACTTTCAGACTTTTATCGAACTTGACCAACGACAGTTCTTGTTTCTGTTGTCACTTTAATATTTTTGTTTTGTTTTCCATTTAATACAACCTATGGTTGCATTGATGATAAAATAAATCAGATAACTGATAGAAATATGTCACCTTTCAGCCTTGAAACGTTATATGCACTCACACGGAAATAAATGAGGCTGATCTCGGAACGAAATTACTAAAGTGCCAAGAGCAACCAAAACTGTAAAGAATCATAGTGGGATTTTTGCGTTAGTAGGCTAGTTGCTGATTGGTGCGAGAATTTAGCTGAAGTTATTAGAAAAAAACTTTAGTCATAAATTCTCTTTTTGCAGTTTTGTCTGACAGTAGACAGTACACTAGACAGTAGACTAAATTCTGAAATTCGACAGCTGAAAGCTTCTAATTTTTTGACTCTTTCGATTAAATGTGTCTTTTATAATCTGTCTCACTTTTGACAAAATGCTATTTAAAGTTAATATTTTAGCATTTATTAAGACTCAAGCGAAGTGTACTTCAGGATAAAATTCCTATATGCTCCTCTCACAGTCTCATGTAATTTAGATTCATAGTTCTATAATAGCCGGGAATGCCACCCAAAAAGCGTCAAAAGCAGGCTGAAACAAAACAGAAGCCGAAAGTCTCAAAAAAAGAACAAATAAAGAAATCACTTAAGATTGACACCGAAAATACTGAGTTATTGAAGGATGCATACAATGTAACGTTTCCTGCAGATTTACATCAACTATGGGAGTTGTGTTGTCAAATAAACAAGGCCAAGCCATTGGAAGCGTTATCATCACTTGGACTTCGATTAGTAGGTCCATTCGAGGTTCTAGCAAAAACAATTAAACCAGATGCATCCAACTCTGTAGTGAATTTTTATCTTCATTGGAGATTTTTCTATGACCCTCCTGAGCTGATGACTTTAATTATCTCAGATGACACTAAAGAAAATCCTTATCACATTGGTTACCTAAGAGATGATCCAAATGACAAAGAATGTATTGTTGTTTCAAATAGTGGCAACGATTGTGAAATTGACATCATAGGGGACAACATTTTCTGCGCTATTAACAATGAGCTACAACTAAAACTATCTTCTGCTAAAGGCAAACAAAAATCAGCCTTACAAAATTTTTCCTCAAAGTTTAAAGAGTATGTAGACGCTTATAATATAGATTTAAAAGCAGCAGACAATGTAAATGAACGACGAAAACACATTGTAGATTATACTTTTCATAAGGCTGGTATAGTCGTTCCAATTGATGAAAACGAGGTTGGTTATAGACCTGTTCAAGAATCTACTGGCACACTCAGACGAATGTTCAAAAATATTGATCAAGCAGTTAACGATGATGCAAGAATCGATGCATTTGAAGTCATGCAGCTTACGATGACTAATGTACAACTGGCCAATGATGAATGTGATTTTGGGATGGGTCTCGAATTGGGTATCAATATGTTCTGCTATGGGTCAAGGTATATTGAATACATTTTTCTGTTCAACTAAATATAAACTTTGAACAAACTTTATACAATGTAAATAAAATATGCTTTGTTCAAATTATCAGTATGACAATTCGTATGCCTTTTTAGGCCGTCATAGTGATGCAAACAAGATGTTTAAACATTGGCATATATTTTGAATTTCAGGACTTCTCATTCCTGGCAAATCTTATTGCTTTGTATTGTTTGTGCCATTTTCATAATTCCATATTACAGCAGTAGTTTGAATTACCCAAACTCCTCCAAATCTGGATAACTGTTCTAAAATTCCTACCAGTTACCATAATTCATAGTTATCTCAACTAAATAAATTAATTGTTCAGATATTTGAATAAAGCAGCAGGAAGAATGCTTTCCATGGCATATGAACTACTAAAAAGGGATTTATACAAGAAGATAATCGAACGCCACCTAGCAGATCGAAGAAAGGAGAATTATGCTCGATTACCAATAGGCTGACCTGAGATTGTCTGCATGTGCTATGAAAAGAATATAAAATTCATTGATAAAGTTTCAAACAAATCTAATACTTCTCTTTGCACAAGTCAACCTATTTTTTAATACTTCTTTACGGTATCAAATTGTGACATTTCCATAAAGTTGAGCATGATTCTGTTTAGAACCAGCTCCGTTCCCTCTCTTGATTTGTTTCGATTGAGCATTCAATAACTATTTTTCTACACATGTTGAACCTTTGAAAATAACTTTTCTGTAAATTTTGTGTCTGTCAAAGTGTCAAGCAAGCGAGTGCTCAGGATTAAGGTGCTCATGGAACCAAGAAAGCAAATAGTTACAAATACTGAGGGGTCTGGAGGTGAATTAATGTTTCTTCCAATCTGTATTAGATAAGATAATGTAACGATCTGTAATCTTGAGGCAGCAAAGCATGTGATGTCCCTTGAGCGGATTAGGGCACACTTCATTTTTATAACATCATTGGTCATCGATGTCCTGTTTCAGACTGAGAAGCTAAAATGTAGAGGCAGATAGAATAAAACAAGCTGCAATGAGGTTAGTCAAGTAGATGCCTGCCAATATAATTGGAGGAATCTTTGCTTCCTGGTTGGCCTGTTGAGAGCACAATATTATGATGGTAATGGAAGAACGCACTAGCACGAGAACTTAATGTAGGTTGACGAATGTAGCACAGCAAAGTGTGTCATATGTACAGTGATACCTAGAACAAAGTATTGTGGTTCACGGTAAAGTGAGATGACGCCACCCGACCTTACCCAAACCACTTAACAAGCATCAGTTCAAGACAGAACAACAGCGGATAATACTTGTTGGGAATATTTTTGAGTTTTCTTGCCTATTTTGCATTTGTCATGGCTTCAGAGAAAAGTAGTGATAAAGGGAAGTAGAAGTTTTGAAAAGCAAGGAAATCAGAAAGAAAGTTGCGCAGTGAGTGACAGCAATTGTTGTTTAGGTACAAGTTTTGTTCATAATTTGGGTTTTCTGCATTGCAAAAGAACGTATTGAAATAATCGTATCTTATGGCAAAAAAAGTTTCAGTATTACAACAAATCGGCAGGCGAACAGCAATCCCATAAACTTGCCTGGAATCTTATCATATACACTAGATTAGTTCAGATATACTAATCAGCACTACTGATCCTGACATAACACAATTAAAACATCAAGATATATTATTGTTGAAATCAAATGTAATTGAAAACATACAAATTATTGAAGATAATGTGTTGAAAGTGTGGTTTGGTTGGTGTTCTCTGTCTGCTTCAGTGACAGTTCCAATATAAAGTTATATTTTTATACAGGCTTTTTGCATTTCCAGAGGGCAAATAGTATTAATATGCCATTTCCCAATACAATTAAAAAACGTGCAAATTCAAGTTGAGAAATATGCTAATTCAAGAACCACATATCTGAAGTAATAGAAATCCAACTTATTTGTGAAAAAAGAAACGAAAATGTATATAATGTACCTGTCTGCTTTCGTATGATATATCATAATAGTATATATAACATTAAAATTTTAACAAATAATATAGGCCATGCAGAAAAAAACTAGATGTAATGGGAATGGAAAACAATGAAACTGCACAGTGTAGATTATAAAATGCAATATACAACAAAACAAAGCAACCCAACAACCAAATTATTAACATAGACTGCGATAAAAGAAAACCCAAAAACAACAGCAACACTGGTAGGGTTCCCAAGAAATTGATATGAAGTTTATTTTGAAATGCGCATAATACATCTTAGCTTCTGCAAGACTACTTATCCCCAAGTGCATGTGAATTTGTATGCATCAAACATGCAGTATTTAAAATATGCTTGGTCTGAAGAAGTTAACGAAATATTACAGAAATAGATAGTAAGTAGGTGTGCGAAAGGATTTAAATCGTAGATAACCAGAGACAATCATAGATAAACTAGTAAATTGCAGTTGCAATCTCCTATTTCTTTCGTCAAGGATACATACAATCTACAATTCATGCTTGTATATGGAAAATTTAAAGTAACCGAAAGTATATATCAATCCGTAAATGGCAATGGCGGCTATTTGCATTTATATTTGCGAGCAATAAATAACGACATCGAATGGAAGGCACATGAATAATAAAAAAAAAGCATGAAAGGTTACGAAACAATTTTTACATTAAAAATTCACCAGTCATGGTGGGTGAGTAGAATATACAAACCTACTAACACCAGGCTAAATTATAAAAAATTGCTTCAATTATTATAAATTAGATGATGGTGCAAAACATGCCTAGAAACGGATTCCCCATTTGCCTTTCATACTTTTCTTTAACCATCAATAAATTGGTATAAAACTAAGTGTAAGAAGATGAAAATGAGTTGCATCACGTTCTGAAGTAAACCAAATTCTGAAAATATTTTTGCAGTATCTAAGTGATCTATTTTGTGAGCACAGTGAACATACATACATTTGATTATATATAGCTTCAGTTAAATATGATGGGATTGAATCTTCGACAGCTTCATGGTTTAAAAGATGTCACCTTCCTGCAATACCATTTTCTTTAGGCACTGCCGTGTTATGAAGATGCTCATCATGATTTGCCAAAGCTGTAGTGAGTTTATCTATTTCTTCGAGTTTTTCCAAAATAATTCCGCTTGTGGTTGCCGCAGAATCTTTGTTATTTCCTCTTGACTCATTGATTACAACGGCTCCATTTTCTTTCATGTTTTCTCTATTCCTGCTTGATGATATCCTGGGTGAGGGAGGTGGTGAATGTGCTGGACTGCTGCTGATCTCCACAGCTGAGCTTGTTGACCATCTACTTGTCCATGATTGTCTTTTGTCTAGCCCTGATGAATCAATATAAATTTAAAAATATATAAGGTGAACAAATTAAAAAAAAAATGATGTGATATTAGATTTCAACGCCTATACACCTCGAAGAGAAGGATGCAGAAACGAGGAACACATCTGAGATGCAAAGAATGGAATAAAAATTGAACTGAAAAAGCATTTTAATCATAGAGATATATTCAAGAGAAGCTTCCAGGGTGCAGATACATTTTTTCCACCCTCGGTCATTAACCCGGTTTTGGTTCAAGTTTTAAATACACAATGTGTAATAGCGTATATTTACTATTGTGGCAATATGAAAATGTAATCACAGCTTTTTGAAATATGTTTCATATAGAATTGGCTAATAACAATTTCAAAATGGCCTCTGCATAGGTAAAAAGATTTATTCAGACCAACAAATATTTATCACAGGCTTTTCATAGCATCGGACAGTAAGACAAAACAACATGCACAAAACAAATAGGAAAGACAACTCATCACACACATTCAGACTCAACCCTCACCATCTACGAAATAACATGAATGAATAAAATCAATGAACTGAAGGAAATTTTTATCTCTTGCTTTGCGAAGTGGAAATATCAGAGCTGCTCGGGTGGATGCATATAAGAATTTAGTTTGGTCTCCTACAAATATGAAACAAAAACGAAAATATTTTTATCAGTTTCAGAGACTTTGAGAAATGTAAAAGATTCTGCGATAAAGAAAAATCTGATATTTGAAAAGAAAAGAGCTTTCAGACAGTATGATTGTTATTTCCATGGAATTTTAACAACTTAGGCTATATAACATTGATTTTGCTGCAATTCATTTCCACTCACAAAGCACCTAACATATATACTTTGTTTATCATACAGCTTGTGGCCACCTCAATTGAGCATCTCATTTATTGCCCATGTGGAAGCCATTTTAAGTATATTTGAATATCTTATCTAGCCACAAAAACTAACAACGTTTTCAACATATTATATTAATAAAGGATTCAGATCATGCTCGTCACATCATGAATTTTTTTGTTATGTCACTTTATTACAATATTTAAAAAATAATCAAAAAATAATCTTTTCTTACCTAACGCTTTATAAAGTTCGTTTCTCATCTTCGTTGTTACTTTCTTTGTGAGACAAAAAGCTGTGAAGCCAGCGAAAGCGAGATTGCAGAAGAAAACTACATAGAAGTTTCCGAGCCATGAAAATTGTCCATAACTTCCTTGAAGAACGAATTCAGTGATACCTAAACGAATGTATCAAAGAATAATTGATTGAACACATAGTTCTGAAGTCTATTTTTGGACTAGTACGTATAAAAAGGGTGTGGCCTATTTTAAAGAAATTCCTTTCAGACACATTTACACTTATATAATGCTGGATGAGAATCTTATTTGAAGAAAAAATTACAGAATCTTCATGTTTTCCAAGTTTTACACACTATGAATCAATATACCAAAAAAATTTATAACAAGTTATTTTGTTATTCAACTGAATTACTTGCAAAACCAAGTATCTTGAAAAGTTATGCTGTCTAAATACAAATCTATAAGAATCAGAAACTTTCTGAAAGTTTTCAAATTTTAAGCTAATATAGATCATTTATTTCTTACCAGTTGTGCAGGTCCTAACTGTAAATAATTCCGTATTTTCCTAATATGGTATAAAAGTGAACGCATTAGTACTTACCTAGAATCCTACAAAGTACTGGCAGTGAAGAACCAAGAAGTTGAATAGTAAGGCAGTTAAATATTATTCCTGTCATGGATGTGTCTTGACGTTGTGGTCTCATTTTTTTGAATCCAGGCAGATTATATAATCCTACCACAGATGCCAACATCAGATAAAATATAACAGCAACTTCAAGCATTGTACCAACAATACCGAAAGCAGATAAAGAAGTCGCACCAAGCGTTGCCATATGATTCTGAAAAAAATAAGCAAATTTTTATTAATTTTGTGGGATTTGTAAGAGAGATGTACCGGTGGCTTGAGGCTTTGAGACTCGTATTACTAGTAGTTCCGAATGCCTGGAAAAAGTAAATATACATCTGAAACAACTATTATGCAGAACTGAACTCAAAAGGATTGAAAATAGTGATAATGGACATGTACTACTACTGACTGATAGGTGATGGACTTTATATATATCAGTTTATTTATGTCCTAAAACAGCAGTTCCCAAACTTTTTGTTCATGTGGCGCCAAATTATCAGGGAAAAAACTCACGACACACTTACACAAAAAAAATGCTGCTTTTAAATAAAACTCAATTCTGTGATCTTTAATGTGTACTTTATGCATTTTAAAGTTTGTATACATGTCGGCTAGGAATAAAGGCAAAAGGTCAACTTGAAATCCGAAAAAAAAATCACTCATGTTCGCTAAACTATTTTCAGCAGACAAATAAACTGCAGCATGCGAAATTGCACCACGTAGCGTCTATCCTATTGTTACGTAACAGTAGAGGCAAACACTACGTAACAGAAGGTAAACAACATAGAGGGTGGAATGAATTGATTGATTCATATTCACAGCATTTTGAAAGGGAAACAATAAAACATTTATAATACATATGATACAATATGTAAAATATTCAATCATATTTTAGGCCTGTTCAACTCAATTCTGTTAATTTTCGCGGTGCACTTAGCAACTTGCCTATTGGGAACCGCTGTCCTAATAGATTCCAGTGGGAGGAAGGATGATACGTGTCTAATTTGCACCATGTAATGTGGCAACCTGATATTCATAAGCATATGTAAGTTGAAAATTTATAAAAACCATAGCTGTAGTTACCAACAAAGCGGAATATGATCATACATACATGATATGAATGAACAAAATACTATTTCATTGACTAATGAATATCAGGAGCAGAAAATTTCTAATATTGCCCAGGCACGATAAAAATAAAATTGCATTATTTGGCATCATCGCTAGGTTCCTTTTCTTCTTAGTGATTGATCGTGATGGCAAAATTTTTTCTCATGAATTACCACTTTTTGCACAAAAACATTACTACCAAAATGGCTTCTTTAAACAAATTAGTTTAGTTGCATATTATTTAACCTAAAGTTGCCATAACCTACATTTTGCTCGTCTTTCAGAACGCTCGAAAACAAACCCCATGGTTTACTTTTTTCTTGTTGATGAAATTTTTGATTATCGGCAGAATAACTTCTGTAGTCTTTATGAAAAGCTCCCTGAACACAAAAATGTGGATTAAGTATTAGCTGTTGACAAACCATGTTAACAAGGCACAGTTGTCTAAGAAGAATCCTAGACCATAATCAGGGTATATAAGTGAGAAAATAAGAATATTTGAATATTCATTTGAAGATAGGTATCATGACTGACTTTAATTAAGTCCTGTAGACCTATATCTGAGTGCTTGTTCTACAAATATATACAAATGTAAATTCTAACCTAACAAGTAATACATCTAATACAGGATATGCAAGTATTAGGCATAACAATTTTTGAACAAACAACACGAACCTTCTCATTCTTCGGTTGTAATTCATTATCTCCAATAAATACAAGCTCAAGAATATGAATAACAACCTGTAATAATTAGAAAAAATTAATCATTAATATAGTTTTAGTAGATTGTTAATAGCAGATAATTTAGAAAAGTGTTTACTCTATATCTCAATATGGTTCATGGCTACTACAGGATGAATCCAGAGAACAAAACCCATAAATTTCTCAATTACTTCAACGAAAATGGAATAAATTTATTTAACAGTTGTTAGTGTATGATTCAGTTTCAGTAATCTAAGACAGTTTGCACAAAAGTTGTCTTTTTTCAAGAATATGTTCCAAATGACCTAGGTTGTGTTTTCTTTTGTTACCCTGTCTTTCTACTCTGGAGGTATTTAATAAGACCAACCAACATTAACTTCAAGTATAAATATACACATGGAGCATCAGTGGGGGCTTTCCACAACTACAGTTTCACTTTGACCAATCACATGCAAAAGAATAAAATCCCGATCAGAAGTAACATATTTAACATTGCAAGAGCTACACGAGACATTTTTAGCTTTCACGAAGCACTGGTTTTCCCTATAGAAAATTTTGAACATTTTGCCATAAGTTCACTAACCAAGAATAATGCAAGGCCAGTGAGAATAATGAGTAGCAGCATAGTTAGGGGATATCCCAAATTTCTCTCCCAAGCAGAAGCTTTCTGTCTTCTTTCTAATTCCATCCTTGTTGTTCTGACTTCTTCCATTTGTCGTTTCAAAGATTCTCTATCTTGTCTACATCTTAATGTTGATGCATGACTGCGCAGTTTTCTCTTTAATGTATCCTGTGCAAAAGATGAAAAAAATAAAATCTCATGTTGCACAATAAGTCTACAGTAATCAATATCATCAGACACAATGCTATTTTTTCAATCAAGATTTCTTATCTTACAGAAAAGTATTGATTTGTAGAAAATGAAAACATAGCCTATTTGATATTTGTTGTGTAATGGATGAATTAATCAATCAAAGATGTGCCTGTCCCAAACATAGAGGACAAGTTTGCTTGTTTTACTAAAAAGTAATAATTTATTAAGACATGATAAACCAAGCTATAAAAGTATAAAGATTTGAATAATATATATATAAAACATCAATTCAAATATACAGAATTTCACACAATAAAAATATCAAAATGGTTTATTTATTTTATGTTGATATGTAAGCGTTTTATTTCCAAACAACAGATACTCGTAAATATAATACTCAACTGGATGGAAAAAAATTCCAATCAGCTACTGCTTACTAAGAGCTTTGTTAGTAAAGAAAATGTCATGAAACGGCCCTTGAATAAAATCATTCTCAAAAAAGTGAAGGCTAACGAAGTTACGAGATGAGAAAAAAATTTTCATTATACAGTTTCTTTGAGATATGCCCACTTACTGGTATTCCCGTAGCTGCCAAAAGTAGGGTGACATTTATTCCTAATCAGTTCATTTATACAGAATATTTGTTACTTAGTGCTAATGAGCAACATAAAACAGTCAATCAAGCCAATCAATATTCTCTCACCTCTTCATATTTTGCAGCATTAATTTGTTCTTCATTATTTTCGAGTATTTTTGGTTTGACTAATAATTTTCCGACCATGTCAAACAATAGAATAAAACCGAATGGCGAGCACGTCAGCATAATAATAACAAATGCGCAGAGTAGAAAAGAAAAAAGATATTGCAAATAATATTCTCCGACAATTGTGAGGAGTTGCTGGAAATGAAAAATAAACAATAGTTTAATGAAACTATAATTAGAACAGGAAGCGAATCAATAATTTTATTAAAAAACATCTACAGACCTCATTAGTCATTACCAATTGTTCGAAAATGATGATGATAAAAATACAAAAGGTCAACTGAAGTAGTGAGTGCAATGGCTTAGTTGTTAATAAAGTGTTAAACTTGACTTCGATGGCATTACAGGTTGAAATCTCGGTTCAATCCCATGCCCCACATCACCCAGGGTATAATGAATTGAGTAGATTGCGGTCCTTCCAAACTGAAGCAGCTACTTACGTAGCGGGCTTCTTGTGCACTAATACACACTAATACTTGTTAATTAACACACATTCAACAAGTTTCGTGATTGAACTTGGGATACTAGTTAGCAATTGAGTTTAGTGGATAACAGGAGTCATAAGTAGGACAAATTAAAATTGAAGGCATTGAAACACCCCGAATACGCTTTACTTTAAACCAGTGTGGATAAACCAAGTCAATGCCCAAAAATAAACAAATTCTCAGAATCATATTATACTATTGGATACTAAAACTGTAACAATAGAATAAACTGGTGTAGCACAATAACGTTTTTGATACCACCATTCACTTTGGTATCATTCACTTTGGTATAGATTTAGGTCTAAGTCAACTTTTTGATAGAATATAGTATTTAAATAGCAAAAAAATTTATATTCCATCCAAATACCTAATTTAAGGATTATGGAACGAGCTTTCGAAACCTAATCAGCGATAAAGTCAGTAAAAAAATTATTATTAATACAGCAAGGTATGATTTGATATAGAAGAAAACCTACCAATCCAGAATTGTCTTTGTCAAAGAATGCGAGTGCGAGAACAGCGAGTCCAAAAACCAATACTGCAAGTAATAACAGTACTGTAACAGTTTCATAAACCCTTGGCAGTAAACCTTTCCGCTGCCCTGTGAATCCCTCTGATTCAGTGAAGAAATATGAGAAAGGTAGAAGAACGAAGACAGACAAATTACTCAAAGCATAAGTCCAATCCCACAAACCTAAAGAATAAGAAAGAATAGTTACAATGAGTTTCAAGATTACTGTGTTTTTCTAACATTTCGTCAGACCAGAGTCAGACTTCCTCAGATATACAGATCCATTGTAAAAGTATAGAAAAAGGTTAAATAGTTAGCAACACAACACACAATCAATCAGTTCTAATTTTTTAAATAACTTGTGTTCAATGGTGTATGACTTATAGCAACGTTTCATGTAAAATCAATATTGAATGTCAATAGCAAAATCTAGGTTAGGATAAGACGGATACGGATCAAAAAAATCAATACAGAACAACAGGAAAAACGAACTTTCCCACATCCTGAAAATTCATCAATACTTTGTGTTATGTTTAAAACTTGTGAAATAAGTGTGAGATTGTCCATATAATACTTCTACATGCATATTTGAAGTTCTGGCAACTTGGCAAAGCTCAAAACAAAATATCTTATTTTATTTCAAATTTAGTAAAATTTGACATGGAACAGTTACAATAACTTCTACTTGTATTCTAATTTCAACATTTTTTTCAAATATATTTATGTCCCAAGTTCGCAGTCATAAAAATTAAGTCTTATAAAAGTTGGAAGGAATACGCCATATTGTATCATAAAGCAATTATTCAAATTGACGTCACTGAAAAAAATTACTTCAAGGTTGTGAACTTGTGGTAACGACTACCAACCATCAGTCAACAGAGAATAATTGTTAGGTAGCATGATGCTGAATACCAATTTGACCCAATGGCATCTAGCTTAAGCAAGCATAGCTCAAGGGCATCAATCACTGGCTAAGTAAGACTATTAAAGTGGGCGGAAACTATAATTATCTCAGCTGCATATTCGAATGCATTATTAGATCATTAGATGATACCATTTATATCTCTATGATTAATTACTTATGCAAATTCAAGGTTTGATATAATTGAAAAGTAATATTAAATATATCCCAGACATCTGGATCATAAAAATAAAGGTGCTAAAATCCTACGATAACCTGAAATTCCAATTTAAATTTAATTTTTTTATTTCGAATGATTTGAATCGCTCTTTGGATCAAAAATTATATTTACATCCATAAAAGATATTAAAATTTTTTCACTTTTTCAATGTCATCATGTTTCTGTGTCTGATTAATTGAGAAATCGAATGATAAATCTTTTACAATTTTTTTTCTCTAATTTATCAACTGGGCACAGATTTAGTTGAATAGACAGAGCCATAGCCGTCGAGTATTACCAAGAACTTGTAGAGAGCTCCACCAAAAACCACCACCAAACTTTGCACCTATTGTTGCTTTTGGGTGTAAAATTTTCCAATTGAAAATAAAATTCAAACAATGTAAGTATATGATAATACCAGTGATTGGTAATTTCTGAATGACAATTTTGTTTATAACTGATGAGTAACTTACTGTGAATCAATGCTCCATTCAACCATTGTACCCAGTAGCTTCCAGGAAAGAGATGAACAATTTCATTTCCTATCATAGACATAGGCAACATCAATATTGCTGATATCGAAACTGCTAACGTGGCGGCACAAAGATACAAAGATATCCTATAAATATGTAAAAACAGTTTTATAGGTTGTAGATTTCAGTACTAACACAATAAAAATGAAACTGTAGTGTAATGTTCACAGATCCATGACTATAAATTTAAAAACTTACGGTAATTATAAAGAAATAAATCCATAAGAGAAACTTTTTTGAAGATCAGAGTACCGCTAAGGAGATTTTAATTCAGGATAAATTAATATTTTTACAATTATATTGATAAACTTTTTAAAGTAAAATTTTACAATTACTAGGACTTTTATGCAAAGTAGTTGTTTTAGGATATTTAGAATGGAAACCCTATAAAAAGGAAATTTCTAGAATAACAGATTGCAATATGAGCATTCACTGTGACTACAGATCATAATTGTGATGATATTTGTATTTACAAAATGTGAAATTTTGATATAAAAATTCAAGATTCATCAACTAATCAGTGTAAATAAATTAACCCATTTCATTATCCAATACAACATGGTCAAATTCAAGATCCATCAACTAATCAGTGCAAATAAATTAACCTATTTCATTATCCAATACAACATGGACTTAATACACTATAGAAACAATAAGCAAACCACTTGACATACATACTAATGTTAATAATCATGCATGAAATGGAATGAGAACTATAGTTGGTTATATACATGTTAGAAATTCTTTATTTGCTGCTCAAGTATGGGACATGCTATTAAATCACAATCCATCTCTCTGGTTTATGTGTGATTAAACAATCTGATTGAACATTATTTGCTTACTCTAAATTACAACATAGAAAGCATAGTTTAAAGTCCATTCCACAAAGGATCAAAGTTCAGTAAAATTCCATGAACCATAACAAGTTACATCTCATGCTTTGGAAACAAACAATTACAGGCCTTATTTAAAAGCCCAAATGGAAAATATGATTATTCAACAATCAGCTTGGTCTAAAATTACAAATTTGAAATAATTCTAATTTTTCTAAATTTACATTATGCCTTTTGATATCAAGTCTGTGTGAAAACAGAAAATATGACTAATATAATATTATTTATAATTAATAAAATAGAAAAATCTGAGAGTGACAAGTTCTCATTGATGACAAATGAGTTTTCCAACAAAACTTTTCATAATACCTATAAACCTTTGCCTCATCCTCTCCACCATACCATTCATCTCTCTCTTTTTTCCGGTGAAGAAAAACAATGATGCAATATGCTGCTATGTATAATACGATGAATGTTAGAAGTCCAATTATGTTTTCTCGAACCTGAAATAACAAAATCGTAATTTATAAGTACAGCATATTGCTTATCTTGTGAGAGATTTGAAAAAAGTTATGATAAACCTCATTAAGACTAAAACAGTCATAAAAAAAACATTGAAGTATTTTTTAATGTGTGTCCTTTGATTTCACTTTTTGAGCCTTCAAATAAATTTCAGTGGTTTCACTCCTCAAGAGCATTGTGAGCAAGTGTGAAAAAATTTCGGAAAAAATTGCAATTATAACAGATATTTAATGTTTTCTTGATTTCCATACACTTCACATGCATTTTTGCTAAACATTTCATTTGGATATATATGATGAACTATTGGTATTAACTATTAATAAATAAATACAAAGAAATGATAAAGTACCCAAGAGCCTGAGAGGCTTATTATTAATAAGTTATCAATAATCCAAATCATAGAGATGTGAATGTAAATAAATATAAAACCCTGAAACCAAAATAATCTTCGCCATGTGCGTGTGAGATGTATGGTTATTTATTATCATACTCAAATTGAAGGCAATAAAAGAAGTAGTTCAAAGAAATACAATAAATTGATTTATTGATTTTCACTATCAATCACTTAATAAATTAGTTACAGCGAAACTCGTACCACATTGTTAAATTCTTCTTCTTTTTCCTCAATGCTGATATTCTCTTCAGGAGAATTGAATGCTGAAGATATCCAGTCAATCAACATGTTGTCAAATGTTAGTAATAGCACGTTTATCAAGATTCAAAATTAATCAGATGAAAATGTATACTAATATATTGACACCTACTCATTTTGCAGAGCCTGTCAAAATGTACATAAAATGATGATTTGCAATGTTTAGTGAGATAATATAAAGTCAAAATCAATATAAAATGCTTGTGAACATACAATATTATAATAGTAATACATAATCTTAATTGCATCATATATTATCTATTTCTGGCCATTTGAAGTAAATGACTAGTGTTTGTATGAAACATTGTAACATAATTAGCCTACACACTGTGCTATACTACGCTAAAACTAAATAGTATGTTTAAGCCATAAATGAGTAACATTTTCTAATGTTTTGAAAATTCCACTTCGAAAAAATTTAAACAAATTAAAAATACTACTTCAAGGTAAATTTCAGCAATATCATATCAAACAGTACAATATCACTTCCTGTGAGTCCTTTGATCTTTCTCCAGTCATTCCTAATGTTGTATTCATGCCAAGAGTAAGACTATATTATTATAAACTAATCTGGTTTCCTACTTTTAAATATTCTCAATTAATAACTTTTTTAAGATAATAACTACTGGCAAGTAGAACTAATAAGTAGATGAATATACTGATAATTGAACATTAATAGCAAAATTGATACAAGCATAAAATCAAAAAATAATTGCAAAGTACTAGTAAAATTATTCAAAGTATAAAACCGAAAAATGGTATACTATGTGCATTAGGAGTTGAACAAAATTAACATTTGAATTATTAATCATATGGTATCAATTTATTTATCTCTCGAAAGTATGTATTGCTATCATTGATTGAATACAATGTTGCCAGATTGACTGAATGCAAATAAGTATTAAAAACAAGGTGAGTAATTAGTTCAATAAATAAATACATCACATTGAAAGAAAGAGTTCTTTTCCGACCATGAGTACAAATCTTGATAAGTGACTGTTCAATCCAGAACATGTAAATCTGTAACTAGAGATCTTCCACCAAACAAATTTACTAAATCATTGATTTCTATAGCCTATAATAGCTACAATATTTTGTATTTTAATCAACATACATGTAAGTTATATGAATGTTAGGCATTTATAGCCTGGTGCGCTTCATGTATGGCCAAAACACCAAACACTGATCTAAGTAATTCACTGCTGAAGTACCTTGAAACAGATTTCGAACTTGGTCGACAAATTTTTTATTTGGCCTATTTATTTAACAATGGGATCTCAATGTGAAATATTTACAGTAACAACTAAATCAGTAAATACTGAAATATGACAATAAAGTTATATTAAATGAAAAAAATACTCACAGATTACTGGATTAAAAAAAGCAATAACTGGTACCTATACTTATATAATTGTATAATCAGTTTTATTCAAGATGCTGAAATCGACCTTAAACTTTATTTGGCAACTGTAGGCTACTAACTCAAACACATTAATTTGTCTTTGTTTTTAAGTGTTATAAATAACCATGGCAAAAATACATCAGCCTGCTAATAAACTAGTTTGAATCAAACAAATATTTACTGTACTAAACTCTGAAACTAGCAATTCCCTCTTTTCAATTCTGTAATTACTGAATTAATAAACCATGGGAAATTACTGAACTACAGAACCAACAAACATGAACGGTGAGTCTAATTACAAAAGTATACGTGTCACATTGTTGAGTTGTGTCCATATTTTCAAAGCCCTGTAGTAAGAAAGTTGTACCTATCCTAAATCAGTAAATATTGAAACATGCACGTCATATAGCCTATCGGCACCGTTACCGGAATAACGGGGCTATCTGTGTTACAGAGCTGAAAAAGAATGACCAACCCATGATTTAGTTACCCATTTTTTCTCAAGAGTTGCAACACTATCGCGGCGATAGAATAATCGTTACATTGGCAGATTAGAAAACTCGCACCTAAAGAACAGCCGACACGATACAATTCAAAAGAGAGATAACGCCGCAACGAAAAACAAAGCGAATGATCGTACGTATTAGAAACTCGGGATCGAGACGATTTCGACTTGGTTGACGAAAGAAAATATCTTACCCACGAGCGTCATCATGCGAATCAAAAATATGCGAATTATTTTTTTTTTAATTGAATTAAAAATGTACAAAAAATGAAGTTGTAATATCCTTATTTGGTATATATTAAAAATGTAAAAATAAAATTTTATCTCAGTTAAAAGCGTATACAAAAAAACAACGTAGTTGTAAAATTAGCTGGTGTAGATTGGGTGACGCAGTTCACATCAAGACTGCTTCACTATATTATATTCCTGGAGGCTTGCCATGCAAACAGCAAGCGACGGCAGGGCACAGGCAGTTCTGTTTTTACATAGGTCTTTCTTCTTGGCAAGATATGTCTTCACGCGGTACAACGGAGACGAATGTACTTCAGCAAAATTTGCAAGATCAACTTGACAGACTTGTGCAGCAACTTGTCGATTTGGAGGAATCTAAGTGAGTTACTTCGTTTTGCCATAATTAGCCTATGTCTGTATGTTGCCTACATGCAACCATGGACTGCCAGCGTCACAGCAAATCACTATGAATTGCTGTTTCGGTTTAGATAAGTATCATATCTTCTCTGCTCTATACTATATTAATTTTGTAATTTCTTTCAGAGTCTCCCTCGCCTAAATAGTTGATACATATCATGTGGAGCCTGTGAGCACTGAAACAGTTGGGTCTACAGTACCGGGGTCTCGTGTAGTTTCGTACCTAACGTACTTCTAGTAGGCGTAGCATAAAAATTTTTTGACATTCCAATCCTAACCCTCACCTGACTACACCATCCAAAAATTATGTCACTACGACGTCACAATCACGTCATAGAGCTTGCCAAATACTCATACGACCGCCCGAAATGGCATCGGCGCCGACGATAAAGAACTGACTAACGTCAGCGATCTCTCTCCTATGGAGATTGTTGCGACGAGAAACGAGAGAGATGGCTGTTCTATTTCGGGTTCTCGTCTGCGCGTCTTGGATGACAGTTCGTATAGTTTGAAGGGCTCTATTACGTCACTGTGAAGTCGTAGGGACGTAATTTTTGGATGGCGTGGTCAGGTGGGGGTTAGGAATGACACGTGAAAAAATTGTTATGCTATGACTACTAGAAGTACGTTAGGTACGAAACTACATGAGACCCCAGTACCGTACCTAATCTTCATGAAGGGGGGATGGTTCATGTAATCAGTATCAGATTATGGTTTTCTTCCCTACGAAACCCAACCATCTCTGCATTTGCGACAAATTTACTATCCTCATACTTGATTTGAACATTAGCAGGCGGCCATGGTTTGCAATGTGAATAAATCATCATTGCAGCTCTTATTCAACTATGAATATAAGTTGGCAGATTTCAGCCTAGTTTTTAAATATCAAATTCACCTACTACTGTACTACAGCACTGATCTCTGTTTTACTGACAGGGATGATTTTGAACTAGATGAATATGAAGAACTGAAAAATGAAACTATTGAGCAATTGAAAGAAATGAAGGAGTCTTTATCAAAGATGGTTAAAGGAGATATAACGCTTGTTGACAGCGTGAATGCGATGCAGTTGGTAAGCTTTATTCTATATTTTTATCTTTCGGTATTGTGGATGGTATATGCTCTGTGAAAATTGGGTCTAGTGAAGAACACACCGTAAATAACGCCAAACAAAAATGTAATGTGAAAATACATTATTTTTTCAAATAAAAGCCTATTGGTACCCTTTTAGCATGACCTGCTTAGTTGAGAAGTGAGAGATTTTCCTAAACAAATCTGTCACGAATTTCATTGTGCCTTTTTTAAAATAAAATATCAATATTTCACATCACATATTTGGTAGGCGTTATTTTAGCAGTTTCGGCGCTTGGATGCACATCGGATTTTTGTACCTGTTTAAATCTGGCATAGTCAATCAAACTTTCGCAATGTTTGTCCCACAGCACACAAGTTATTTTCTTGATTCTTTCCACTACTAAAATGCTTTACTTGCCATGACTCTATGGAGGTTCATATATATAGTTCCAAATGACTTCAAAGTTTCGAATTTGTCCTCCACTATCATAAATGATTTAGGCAAGATATCATTATAATACAATGTTAAAATAGATTAGAGATTGTAAAAATAGGAAGTGACCCCAAATCTCAGCAATCAAAGCTACAATGACCAACTAATTCTACAGCAATTTGTTTAAAGGCAATACAAGCAGCCATAAGTGAAGCTTTCAAGACACCTGAAGTCATAAAATTATTTGCAAAAAAAGAACCTGGGCAACTTCGCACAAGATTGAAAGAAATCGATAGAGATCACAAAATAGGCAAAGTATCTAAAGACGCCTACACACAAATAAAACTTGAAATTTTAACAGCTGTGAAAAAACTCGGAAGTGAGGTACATGTTTATTTATTTTATTAGTTGGTTCATTCCTAACGACACACTACAATCAATGGCTTCTGACATGCTTTTTTCCCATTGCATTGAACAGCACTCTGAGCATGTTACAGTGGTCCAGTCACAGTCATTAATCATTGTCTTTAATAATTTAAGAAGTAACAGTAATGAATCTGTATGTGGGAACTATTATCATGCCACAATATTTATCCAATTCAAGAAAATGAGTCTCTAATATATATTTCGTTATATCATCAATGTTTAGATCTCACCAGAAGAAGAAATGTTTCTATCGCAGTGCAGTGGAACCTCCTTATCAGCATTTCAGGAAACTGACAACAGCATAAAGTCTGCTGAAAATTTAATTCAAAAAAATGGCTGAGCAATTCAATCTCTTCATGTAGGTTTACAAACCGCACTGTGCAATAAGTGATCTACAATTTGGAACTTCAATCACAAAGTATTTCAAGTTTCCCCCTTTTGAACCAACTGTTTACTTGTGTATAGTTCCTTTAGAATTGCTACATCTCTCTGATAAAGCTTTTTTTCTCGTTCTCCTGTTTCCTTTGATGGTCTTTCAGATACAGTTTGCATAATCTAGAAAATTTATAAATTATTGTTGTTTATTTATTCCATGCGATTTCAACTCAGAATCAATCTTTTTGCAACATATTAGTATTAAGCAATTGAATGTTGATAAATATTTAAAATTGATAAGTAAATATATGTGGTCACAAATAAAATAAAAAAACTAAATATATAGTTTTATTTGAATTTTTTTTTGATCTCCGAATATATTCATAATAGTTTATTATTGCCATCCCTGATTGATCGCAAAATTAAATTTTATAAAAAGGGTTGGTAGCCTGCAATCAACCACTGAACCACATCCATATTACTTACAGCATTCAGAATCAGCAATTTTTGACAATATTTTATTATAATCCAGGTTTTTAGTTATTATCTTACCTGTTTTGCAGTCATTCTGTAATCAAGTGCTCTTGTTTTCATCCACGTTTTACAAGCTTCATTTTTGTATCCAAGTTTCCACAGCATTAAAGTGAGCTTCCATCTTATTTCTATATCTTGCGGTGCCAATTTTAGAACATTTTGTAGCACTTGAAACGTTTCTGCATTCTAAATAAATATAATTCTGAATAATAAATTGAAGTTTGTATTATTGCAAATAGAGATGGGACCGTCACTGTGTCGGTAATCAGTCATTCTATAGCTTTTTATATAGAATTGCACAAGGAAAGGTCATTAGCCCGGCCTTAGAAATGCCAATGATGTTCTGAGGGATATAATGGGTATGTTGATAATGAACCTGATCAAATATTCACAAAGCTAATCTCCAACATACGATTCAAAAATAAAGCAGAAATAACTGCTTATCTTGAATTTTGTATAATGCATAGGAAAAAAAGAAAAATATTGGATTTCGACAATTAGGACACAGTATTAACTCAATCCAACTTACCTTGTCAATACAGACTAACATAATCACTTTATTCAACAGAAGTTTTGCTCGAACATCATTTAAATATCCTAAAATAATTTTCGCATCTTGAAGAAGATTTTTATCCAGGTTTGATTCATCCAAATGTAGAGGATAGTAGTTTGTAATTTCAAATCTTTCCAACTCGGTAAGATGAGAACGAATTATATTTTCCTCCTCTGCATTATTTACAAATCGTTTTGAATAGCATAAAGTATAACAGAGGCAATAATAAAGGGTTCGTGCTGTGTTAATAAATTCCTTCAATAATTCGTTTTCACAATTTGTATATAGGTTCGAGTACAAGTTGTCGAGTTTGTTTAAAAGCTGCGTAAAATGCATTTTCATTTTTGCAAATTCATTTTTGTCCTCCTCATTGACCTCACTATTGTCTCCACTGCGAGCTAATTCTCTCTCAGCTAGAATTTGTTCTTCCGATGGTAACGACAGGGTTTTTATTTTTTGGTTTTCCAGCGACAAAGTGTTATTTTGCTCACTTAAGATCTTATCATAGTACATAGCAGATTTCTGATAATGCTCAGCACGAAGGCTAGTCTTTGCAGCAACATATATCGCTGAAATTGAATCATTTGTAGTTCTCTGGCAACCCCAGTGTGAGATATTAGACAATACAGCGATTTCTACATATGTTTTAGAGTGTAGTAATAAAATATGATTTGTGGTCCTTTCTGGCCTTTCTATACCGAATGATGATACAAGCATATCCATTAATTGAGAAGCAGCATCCAAATTTCCTAATTTACAATACAATATTTTAATGTTGTTTAGGTGGCAAGCAAAATGATTGTCCTCACATTGTATGGCTTTTCTGAAATACAAAATTGCAGTATGGTCCAATCCAAGATTTGCATAACAACATCCAATTAAGTTGAATACATTGGCAAGATTAAGTTGCAAAAGACCTGAGCTATATTTTTCAGTATTTTTTGTAAAAGTTTGCATAAGTTGCAGAGCGTTTTCATAATTTCCAGAGTTATACTCAGTAAATCCAGCAACATATGCTTTGTATTGAGTCAAATCATCTGGATGTTCTTCAATTTTCTCCAAATCAGAAGCATTGATTTGATGAAACAACACATGTAGAGTTTCCCTCTGAAAGTAAAATCAATAAAATTAAGGGATAGTGTAATTTTCACATGTTCAATAAATTTTGTCATCAATCAGACTTTTGCTTGCTTATTGCAAACACCTACATTTCTATAACACTTTTATATATAGCCAACTCAGCTGGATACAAAAACTAGTAGGCTAGTTGTCTCGACGACATCAAGCCTCTCTAAGTCAATCCAACGATTTTACCATGAAAATTACTGGTGTCTCAAGAATGTTGTTTCCAACACTTGTCCTCCTGTTCTGAGGAAAGGTATATGTTGTGAGACAAATGATTGAATTGGGATTCACTATGTTCCTAAATATTTTAGCAGAAGGTTCGAGTATTCATATGAAGTGTGATTTATACGGGAGTGTGATTTAAGTGGGAGACGACACTTTTGAGACATCCGCAAATTACAAATCTTCTAAATCCCTGAATGGAAAGAAAGAATGGATTCTTATATGCAGTAAACACATCCTGCAAAAACGATGATCTATAAAAGTACTGCTGCGATTTGATCCTATGTTTCAAAATACTAGTAATCTAAGCAGCCATAATCAATTATAAAGATATGTGCAACTTACCGATGACCATTTACAAACAGAATCCTCAATTATACAGTCAAAGGGTGGTGTTGTCAAAGCATTGGAAATTTTTTCAAAATGATCTTGGTGTAATTTGTCTTCATTCACAGATTTTAACATCCAAATAACCAAAGTACAAATACTCAAACTTTTTAATGCATGGAATATTTCTAGACAAATCAATTTTAAATACATTAACTTTACAAAACAAATTTTTGTATGCTGAATTGAAATCGGACAAAATTTATGGAAATATGCTCGAAAATGATTTATAATCTCATCATGGCTGTTGCCGAGTGTTAAGAACACAAATAGCATCTTACTTCCTCAGATTAACATCGCAAGTGTGAATCCTGCAAGGGGGGTTTTGATGTGAAAGAGGGCTCTTATAACCGATAGTTTCCTCTACTTTACCACCGGTTATAGCAGTTTGTATAGAAACATACAAAGCAATTGTACTCACTGCAAGTTAATGTTTCATTCTTTCCTATCTCAATGAAAAGTGATAAGACATCTTGATGTGAAATGACTTTCTCAGATTCTGGTATTGTAAAATCTTCCCCAGTGAGCATAGAAAGAACTGTAAATCAGAAGAAAGTTAACATGAAGTTGGACTAATATAATTATTAGATTTACTTATCAAATATTGCTTAAATTGATTATACCATGATATAGTTATTGACTGAAAATATTAATATGGATATAGGAAAAACAAATTTTTGCTCGAAAGCATACTAAAGAAATGCCTATATACCTATACTGAAACAATAATTACAAAAAGCATCTGTCTTCATACTGATTGACACAAAGATTGTATAAAATGTTGATGTTCTCAAATTCGGGATATAAAATTTGCATTTCTCATGCATGTATTAACTAAAGTTTCAATGTAATACAATACCTTTGCTGAGGCACACATATATTTCTTTATTGTACCAATATATTGAAGCATCACATTTTGTATCCATAATTGTGTTTACTAGCATGTTATAGCAAGTATAAATTATATTTGGCATATTGTTGCCGTCTCCAGGAATTCCTTCAAAATAAATTAATTGAGTGTAAAATATTCCATACATAATATATGAGGGACTTGCCAAAAATTTATAGTACGATATGAAAAACTTGGAATAGATACATTGTAGTTGAGGTAAATTTCAGGAATTGGGAATTTGGCAACCAGCGTTAAAAAACATAATTCCAGTGAAAAGTTCAATCAGTGTCAGGTGCCACCAACTGGATGACTTACCGCTCACCGAGTCTTTCGCGACCTTTCATCAATGGCAATGAGTTAATGTTTTCTGCTAATTGTTATTTTTATGTTTAGTGTTTATTACTTCACATTGAATCTTGCACAATGGAAATAAATATCTGAATCTAAGCCTATCTGGGCAAAAAGAGACCAGTATAGACACTGTAGATATCTGAGGTCTAGAGTAGTTTCGTACCTAAAGTGCTTCTAGTGGACGTAGCATCATCCAAAAACTACAACACTACGATGTAACAGTGACATAATAATGACTTTCACACTATACGCACTGTCTTCATAGTCGCGCAGATGATCACCTGAAATAGAACAAGCTATTGCTCTCGTTTTCTCGTTGCAGCGATAGAGAGATGCTGCCATTAGTGAGTTCTTTATCGTCAGCACAGATGCCATTTCGGGCAATCGTAGGTAAACTTTGGCAAGCTCTATGACGTGTTTGTGACGTCGTAGTGACTTAATTTTTGAATAGCGTAGTCAGGTGGGGGTTAGGATTGACATGTGCAAAAATCGCTATGCTACGCCCAATAGAAGTACTTCAGATATAAAAACCCGATATCCAGATATCTGGATATGCTTCAACAAACATTTCATATGCTCTTTTATAAAGGCTACATCTTTTCCTGATCTTTGCTTTTTTTTCACGCTTTTTGATAACTATTATCTGTCATTACAAAACCCTAAATTTTATTCGGTTTATTGCGGTAAAATGTACAAATATCAGGATATCACTGTGTTCTGGTGTTACTGAGAGCATTAATTATTGGATTCTGAAAACATTTGTGATGGACATCTTTAGCTGTCCGTGCATGTTTAAATATAGTATGCCTAAAGTCTATCTGGTTGATAGTGCGACAACAGACATATGGCATTATGTGCCAGCTAGCCATTGTCATTAGCCTATACATTAACATTAGCTTATACATTAACATTAGCTTATACATTACCTTTTGCGATCATCCAACCACTGGTAGGAACGGCGTCTGTATCCATTCTACAACTTCAGTTATGTGAACTTATCGTTGAATTAACTAAACTCTTTTTTATTTTTATTTTTTTTTTTGCTTAGCTTTGTAGCCGCAGTCGCACATTGACTTCCAGACTCCAGAAATAAAATTCGCGCTTAGAATACGCGACGGGGGAAGTACCCGGGAATTTTTCCCACCCTTTCTTGCATGCGAAGTGAATGCAAAGGGAATCCTTATTAATCGCCTTGGTCGCAAAGAAGAGGAAAATCATGTACTTCTAAACATTTTCATTGTAGATAAATTTTCCATAGATACCCAGGGGTCATATGTGCTAAATATTACGTGTGACATTCGTTGAGTGTCGGATGAAGACACGACTATGGTCAATAAAAGAAGTTCAGCAATCTACTGGCACATAATCTCAATGTGTTGTGTAATATATATATTATTGGACACGTCAGTGTACATAACGATCGTTTCAATATTATGGTGTTGTTCTTGTTAGTAGTATTCTTCTCTTTCGTCATGATGAAATCGCTTTTCTCTTCGAATACTGGACTAATTGCTTTGAAATTTTCAGTGGTTAAAGATTGATTTTTTTGCCAGAAGGCTATTACTTTTACTTATTTCAAAAATTTCTGTGGACTTCAAGAGATTCGTTTTTTATGTGTCAGAATAAAAAAACAGCGACACCTTGTGACGTGTCCATATATTTGAGCACAGCTCTCTTGTATATGCATGAAATAGATTTTTTGTAAGTCCCGATTCTAATGCAAAAATGTGAGATTTGAGAAAAATACCCCCGCCACGTTTTGAAATAAAAAATTAGTAATTACTCAGTTAGGGATAGATAGAGTTGGGTTCGGTTTGGAAATGATTTAAAAATTTTAGTTTCCAACGCAATCTGTTTTCCTAATCCCTAATCCTAAGCCCTAACCAACGACTGGCCCTAACTTGGTGAATACTCTTTTTTGGACACGAAATGGAAAATTTCGTCATTATCATTAAAAAATCGCTTTTCTCTTCGAATACTGGACCAATTGCTTTGAAATTTCCAGTGGTTAAAGATAAAATTTTTCTCCAGAAAGCTATTACTTTTTTTTTCGCTATGACGTCATCAAAATTATTGCCATTGGGTGGCGCTACCTGTCCATATATTTGAGCATAGCTCTCTTGTTTTGAGTTGTGGCGGGAGTGTTTTTTGGCGGCGTCTTTCCGCAAAATATCCTATGAGAGTCCCAAGTAAATATTAATTTGATTTTAAGTTCAAGATCACTTATCACTCTTAGTCGTATGAAGATATCGCGTGGAAATGGTATTGCGACGAACAAACTGTGCAAGATGTTGTCTTTGGAATCGCGAGTTCCTGCACCTTCATTGACAGACCAATTTTGAATGCAAAGCGGAGAATCTCGATATAGTAAACTGCGGTAGTATAGGGAATATTACCATGGAGTTTAATTTGGAAATTGAATATTTAACTACAACACGTGGTACAGCTACTGGAGAACTTTTATTGAATGAAATTAAATACAATTATTTTGGCTATTTGTTGTTTCATGCTTTAAGATTCGATATAGATACGTACATATATACATGATATCGAGTTAGTTTTATTTAATCGATAGTAAACAAAATTGTTCATGTTATGATTGAAATCAATCTGGATAATTTAGGCCAAAAATGACATTTGTTCTTCCGGGAGCTGAGAAATGTCAAATTCATTTGGTTGTATTTCATCTTCGGTTACATCAGCACGTTCGTCTGAAACGAGTATATTTTTGCATTAGTGTACATGAAAACGCAATGGGATCAGTGGCGTATCGGGGGTATGGCAGCCATGGCTAATGTCATGGGCGCCGTTTAGACAGGGCTCAAAAAGCGCGAAACGTCTTAACCGTAAAATGATTCAATGAAATATTTTTGAATTGGGAATTTTTGCGATGGTACAGCAGGATCCCGTACTATTTCGTGGTGCAGTAGCTGAAGGACCCCTCTATGTGTTGCTCAAGTTATTTAATGTAACACTGTAAATCCATGTAAATAATGGGCGTATTGTAAGGCAAAGTGGGGAAGGTTTTTCTTTTTCAATTTTTGAGCTTTATAATCTGAACATTCATTTGACATTGTGGAGCTAATTGATAGAGGGGTAACTGTAGTTTTTATTGAAAAACAAATAATTCCTTAGCGACACAAATATTACCATCAAAACGCTTTGAAAAACGTTTGTCAAGTGTCCAACTGCACCTCACCTGTGGGGCACATGGGACCAGACCCTGTGGCAAATGGAGCAGTCTGGTAAGCTAAATGAGGTATGTGTTACAAATAAGCTATGAATCGCCATCATCATCTACTAAAGTTCCACTGAATCTCGGTCCATTGTTCCCCACAAGAAACAAATATTTCCAGACTGCCCCAAGTCGAGATTAGGAGGGCGTGTCCACTCGCCAACGTTATAAATATTATTTCACAGTGGACTGGAGCTAGAAAATACCAGAGAGTCGTTTGTTCTGTTCGAAAGCCAAAAGTGGAAAAAAGGAAAGAATGAGATGGCGAAATTTTAGTTTGGATCCCCTAAAACCAATTTCTTCTCATTGCTTGCGTCGCTCAGCAAGGCCGCTGTCCGTTTGCATGGAGGTTGTAACTTACCGAAAGCCGGATTTAAACATCGAACCGCGGACCTGATTCAGGATATAGTATGAGTGTGAGAACGGATTTTCCACTGTGCCCCGTGTCCCAACGTACCGAACCTTCCCGTATGTGACACTACAGGACGTGACACTACTGGACATTTTCCCACTTCGGAACAGGGGCCTCTATCATCTCTAAATTATTAAATGGGTGAAGACATGTCCTACAGCACTGCAAACATTTAAACTTTATTAACTTAAGTCCATTGCGTTTATTTCATTTGAAATAACTGTATCCCACAATCAAACACTTTGTGGGATGAATCATCACAAAATATATATGTCGATTATACTAAAATTTGTACATTTCGGGCCAATTTGTGTAAAAGATCAAAAACCTGGGTGAAATGAATGCAGTCCAATAAAATTCCAAAGTCTTTTGACATAAAAAATACAAAAAAATTACTTTCAGTACACTTTTAAAAAAATTGATGGAATTCAACTTATGCTTGGAATGGCTCATATACAAAATTAATTTAAAACTATAATTTTCAAAATAATTACCTGGTTTTGGAGGAGGTGGGCACAAATAATGTCTAAATAAAAAAAGAAAATTAGTTGTATGTATTACATTTCGTAACTAAATAAATTTTAAATTTTCTTACGTGCATCTCGTGCTTTCCACTTCTAGCAATGTCAGAGAATGTACAAAGATCAATATAACCAGGCAACAACAAACCGTGTTATTCATCCTCAATTAGGATGTATCTAAAAACATACGTTTCATAATAATTAGGACTACACATTCAAATATATTTGATTTTTAGTTTAAATGTAACAAATTACATATTGATTTATAAACTAATTAATTTCCCTATTTCAAACCTTTAAACTCTGAAGAATCTGGAGGTTGGATTATAAATTTCAGACGTTATGAAGTCAGGATTCGTGGTTACAAATTTTAAACGGTATATGGTTTGCCAAGTGTTCGTCAACGAAGTTATGTTATCGTAGAGCGCAGATTAAAAAACAAATCGCGGTCAAACTCAATATTTGCCTCTTCCCTGTTATATTTGTTATATATACCAAGCATTCTTATTAATTGATATTCACACAGATATTTACGAGATTTTAGTCAAGGCAACATATGTAATGATATTTATGCTAATCGTGTAGATACAAATCAATTGAAATAACTAGTTTGTATGTAGATATAATAGAAAGCAGCACACAAATGTATTAGTGCAGCTTTTCTCGTACTATTTGGGATGCATTGAAATAGTTACGTTATCGCAGATAATACTCACTTTTCCGAAGGCGATGATCGTTAGCAGAATGATGATACAGTCGCTGCTTCAAGGTACGAAGATAAAGCTCAAGTCGTTCTCGCGTTTATAAGTAACCCAGTTAAACGGAAATAATTCATTATCATAACCGCCTTCTTCACCCCATTAGGTAGCGTACGTGACTTGTGTTGTGATGTCGGGGAAGGAAGGCGCCGTTGGCAGTTAATATAAATCGTTTATTCCAATTTTAGAGATTTTTTGCCGCTAGACTGAAACACTTATGGAGCTTAACAGTTGCTTTATCGCAATAAATACTTTTATTATGTTGATCTTGCCTCGTAAGTCATGTCTCTCTCACATCATCAGGGCCTGCGACATCCTTTGCTATGTCCACTATCTGCACTTGAATGCAAATGAGAATGCGCAGTTGTGATTATATTTCTTAGGATAGGATCTACATATTTATCCCGAGGGAGAGGAAAGCCGATAAGACGGCTTATCCATATGGCGAACCACGACCTCTCGTCCGGTTACCATTCCAAGTCGGGTATGGGATTAGTTATATTGTTTTGTTTTCGGAAGCATGGACTTGATGGCGAGGAGTCCAGCAATGCTCTCGCACATAATCATCCCTGCATGAGATTCGAACCCACGCAGAGTAATTAGAGGTGCGGTGGCGGGCGTATTCCTAACGCTTAGCCCGTTGAGCCACACGCCAATGGGAATCTTAAATGGGAATAAGGGCAAATTGTGTGTAATATGAAATACAATTGGCTGGCAGCAATATGACTCCATAATCTCTATTTTTCAGTGTATTATTTTTACTGCTTCAAGGCGAAAAATACCGTAGTTGAATTATATTCTGCCGCACCGTTTTCAGTCATTGCTTCTGAAATGAAAAAGACGCCGTTCTAGGTAGCAAAATACTTCCGATTAAACTTTGCTTTATCTTACAGCTGCTTCAAGATTAAAGACCGATCCAGAACGGATATGTAATGCTATCATAACGACGGCGCTAAACACATTGCAAATTAATTAACTCCTCCCGAAAAATTTGTTCTAGATTTCGCTCCTTCCATAAAACATCAGAATCCTTGCTGATCCGAATGACCAGCAAACCACATAGGACAAGAAATACCATTGCAAGTCAATTTTCACACACTAGAAGGATTATTTAGCCAGTTATTTGTTTCAGGATGCATGAATTTACGGAGTTTGGCCAGCTCTTGAAGCAGTATATTTACCTGAAATTTGCTCAACTTCGCATGTCGCATCTTATTTAAAGACAGACTTTTGAAGGCGGCTATACGAGCATATTAACGAGATGTCAATAAGCAAAACGGTAAACTAAAATGATCATTCAAACACAATTTATTTATTTCAACTTCTATAATTAGAAACGGAGTTCGGGGCTGAAACGTATTTGCAGCAGAAGGATAGCAGTCCATTGAGCATATTGTTCTTTGCTGAGTACCACTAATCCCCAGGCTATATCGGGAACTGGTGACAATGTGCGGATTAATAAATGAATACCACCGGAATGGATACAACTGAAAGGAAATGGTATCCCAAAGAGTTTAATAAATTACATGAGAATTCCTGATCAAATGGTTCCACTCCACACAAAGGCATATATTTTAGATAATCAGCATTCCTGAATACAAGAATTCATTCCCCTTTTTATCAGCTTGTATAAGATGTATCACATCATTCTGGAGAATGATATCTCAGTAGTACAGGTACGAAGGTACGACAGTGCCCCATGGGCATGGCTATGCTTCAAATGAATCATCAGCATTGGATTTTGTCGTGGATATACATGTTGACTTAATTTCATGCTGAAGCCTTTTTAAATTACTATTAGGATGGTCTTGTTCCCGACGATAGAATGGGCTTGGAATGCGCAGTGTCTTCAAGGGCACAATGAAAATATTTTTTGTTACAGTAATATTTATAAAATAAACATTGAATAATTATTGGATTGGCAAATTGAATGATCATACAATACAAAAGAAAAAACAAGATTATAACAAAGATAAAACCATTAAGATTAAAACTTCTTCATTCAATGAATGATAACTATGGTATATTATGGTACTTTTCAATATTTGATAAACAGGCTTAAAACAATCGTCCTTAACAGCTTGATAGTCAAGCATCTTTTACAAAATTATAACCAATTTTGATATCCTTGCCAAAATGTCATATGAGCATAAATTTCATTGGATATTTAGAAATAGAACCACTGGTGGAAATCTATTGCTTCTTTAAATCTTAAGCAGTTTTCCAGAGAAGAGATAAAGTTACTGTAATATAACATTCATGATTTTTCATGTTGGGCCAAAGACTTTGAACACCAACACTTGATTTATCATCGACCAGTATATCATGAATGACAGTTATACTGTGCCTGAAATGATAAGTGAAAAAGTGGACAGATCTGTTTTCAATATTAATATGATATTCTCCTCAAACGTTTTAACATATTATCCCAATAAACAGGTACCAGATCAGTGGTTCCCAACCTTTTGATAATTTGCTATTAGGTTGTTGATCATTTAAATAAAACCACTCAAAACTGTTTATTCGTCAAATTACAAACAGAGTTTCTTGTTGAACTTAGATAATCTTTTGGAGAAAGTAACTATTAGAGCAGGGGTTCCCAAACCAGGGTATTAACCAGGTCGCGACCCCAAATTGGGTCGGAGTGATAAGTAGGTAGGGTCGCAAACAGGTCATGGGGTCGGTGGGGTCGCTGAGGTATGGTAGAGGATGGGTGTACAAATCATCTAAGATTTGACAAACCATGTTAAATTTAGCAGTTTGTACCAGGGCTTACTGTAAAACGGGCCCATAAGCATCGCTCTATGCTTATGCTATAGAAAATGTTGGTGCTTATTGTGACATCACTATTTGATTTTAGCTTATTTACTTAATACCAGCACATGACCAAACTCAAAAATCCAGTGAAAGAAGCTCTAAAGTTTCATAAAAAATATATATATTGACCTGGGGTCGCACTGGACAATTGAAAGTTGTCATTGGGGTCGTCCTGAAAAAGCTGTATTAGAGAGTAACTATTTGCAAAGTAGAGCACCCTTACTGTGCTATCTACCCCTTATGCAAAGCTGCTGACCCCAAAAACCTTTCTACGAACCCATGTTGCCCCGGTTGGGAACCACTGTACCGGACTATTGCGTTTTTTGACAATATAATTAAAAATTTTAGGGCAAAATTTTGTTAAACAGTAAATCGATCGAAAATTCAACTTTCAAAATAAAATATCTAAGTTTTTGAATTAAGAGTTGATAGATAAAAACAAAATGAAAAATTTCCTAAATAAATCATTGTACTTCGCACACTCCAATTACTAAATAATAAAAAAAACACACCAAAATTAACCAATATCATGTAAATGAAAAACTTCAAAGAAAAATTACTATCAATGATACCACTTATATAACAATAAATCAAAAGAAAATATTAAGTTGGGGGAGAAATAAGACAAAAGTGATATTTGAGTGTTCAATAAACCCAAAAGTTTCCAGTGCTTCAAAATTTGTCTTTTTTTACTCCTCTAAAAATTTGTCTGCTGGAGACTCATATATAATCAATATTTTGATGAAATTTTCTAGCATGTATGATGTATCTCAGATAATAAAATCGCTGTTTTTGATTTAACATTCAAGATTGTAAGTAAGTTCCAGGTTTGCCACAAATAAATTTTGATAGTTTCAGTCATAGATGCAATTTAAATGATTTTATAATATAAAATAAGGTTGCAAATGTCAACAAACATACCCTAAAAGAATTCACATGCTTCATACACCATCATGGATCAAAGATTTAACATACATCCTACAAATTAAGATCATGGCTTGCTCATAATAAATCACCAAATCAGAGCTATTGAATCGAAACTATACTGCGCTGGGCACCTGCTACACAAAGCACCAATCTTAAGAATATCACCTACGCTGGACCTGTTTGGTTCAAATCTGAGTTAAGAGTACGCTATACGAGTACTCACGTATATCAAAACTATGAAAAAGCAGAGCAGAATTACAAAAGATATATTGAGACTGAGAATAGTAGAATTGGAAAAGTCAGCATTAGCGCATTGTGATTTTTCATAAAGAAATGAACACTATATCACAAAAGCATTGTTAATATAACAAAACTGTCATTTAAGAAAAGCCTTTGCCATCTATTTTGCGAATAAACAGTAAAATGGCATCGAGATCAAATTTTAGGAACACTAAAAAGCAAAAAGATTTTCATGTTTATCTGGGGAGAGGAAAGTCAATGAGAGGGATTTATCATATGGCGTTACACAGCCTCTCGTTGGGTATCGGGTATGGAAATTTGACAGCATTGGATTGTTTCGCCTCGCTGTTTTTATTATTAAAGTCTTTCTTATTTAGTACGAAGCAGGCAGGACAAGGAAAATTATAGAGAATACTGCAATTCACTTTATTATGAAAATATTCTTTGTTAAAATAGTTTCATCTTTATGAAAAAAGTGACATAGAGTCAAGGAATAATATCACTGACGCCTTTTCTAGGTGGCCTGCATTATAAATTGTCATGACCCCATAAAATCATAGTCACTTGCGGTTAGCAGTTATGGTTCTTTAGTCTGGTGAAGTACTCTTGAAAACCATGAGGATCGCGTTGGCTTGTTGAATGAGTCTGTTGGCACTTGCATATACACGAACCTCTCTGTAAAAAATTATTTATACCATATGTAGTGATTTAAAAAATTGTAGCAGTTGCTATCACTTTAATGAATGGAAATAATAATAAACACAAAATTAATGATTGCTTCCTATTATAATTCTCTAATATTACAACCAGGGGTATGTACACAAAGAAAAATTGAATACACCGCAATGTATTTCTTCTCATATAGAAGCTTAGTCAATGCATAGTCATAATAAGTAAACCCTAAGATGCAGCATAAAAGATACTAATCGAGAGGTCATCCAGGAAGCTAAAGAGGGTGTAAATAAATATTTTCATGGCAGTATTGTAAGATTTTAGCAATGAGGAACAGTTTCTCAGGAAAATCCAATTTTCTGTAAGCTAAAAGTTAATGTGCATATCATCTACCCCAAAATAAAAATAAAAAGTTATTATGTGTGCCTGCTAAAATGTCAAAAGCTTTGAAAATATTAATAATAAATCAACTATTTTGTAGTGTTGAGTACTTATATAACTGTATTTATCCTAATTAAAATATATTTCAAAAAATAAACTCACTGTCCGTCTCTGAAATAGATTTTCAAAGTATCACTAAAATTTTTTGAACATTTAACAAATTCTTTTTTTTGGTTATCCAGTGCCTGTCAAACAAAAGCATGTATTATTTTCAGATAATATCCACATTATATAGTCTGACTACATACACGTAACACGAATATAGGACAAAAAATTTTTAAATTTTTTTGATTGCAATATTCGCCTTCCGCAATAATTTTATTAACATTGAATGTGTGTGAAAAAACATGCAACAAAAATGGTTGCGAAATCGATGAAAAATTGCAATCGCTTTTAACTACCAACACCGTTTTAAAAAAATCTTCACTACAACCCTGAGACCCTAACGAAATGAATATGTAAATTCCAACTCCCCGACTTCAAGACCATCAAATTTTGAAGACAAAAACTTCCAAGTATATAAGTTTCTTTATTAATAGATTGTTAAAGAATGGCTAGTGAACCAATGCTGGAATTCCTGTAAAAATTTATCTCCATTAAAAGTCTGCAGTTCTGAATCTTGTCTCCAACGAATTCAGAATTCATGCAAACAATATGAGATTCAAGTTTCTTTCATATAAGATAATCTTGTAAAACAACCATGATAACTCACCCTCCTATTTGTCCTGCTGCTATATCTTTTGAAAACATCATTTACAGCGTCCAATAAATCTTTTATTGCACTTGCTATATCTCTGAATATTTATATAAACACATTTAAACATAAACACGTTTTATAAAACCAATTTAGGAAACAGGAATCTCTTTTTTTGCTACACAAAATGAGAATCCATACAAAAATAATTCCTCATTAAACAATTACGGTAGTTCAGAATAATAGAGAGCAAAATAGCACAATGCAACATAGATATACTTTGTTTGGAAGCACTCGCTTATATGAAGGGTAAAGTTATACAAAAGTAAAAACAATGTGTGCACAGAGATAAAGAGCCCCATCAATTCAACTACAACATGCAACCAATGTCTAATCTTTAAAGCTAGAAATTTGAAGCCTAACCAAATGATTTTGGGCATTATCCTGACAAAATTGACCCGTTAAATTGTTAAATCCTGTTGTACATTTAAATGGCTCTACAAAAAATCTATGTCATCTCGCAAAAATATTAAATTAGAAAATCTTACTTTATCGTTTGAAGAAATCTGGGTCTGTCATGCATTTCATCAGGTATCCTCGATAATATTTGTTTTAATAACCTGGCTCGATCAGATAACTTGATGAATTCTGGTTCCTTGTGTTGTAATGCAAACTCTGTTATATAGAAGAATAACAATAGCAACAATGACTATAAAAATATTTATTTATAAGAGGAGTTAAAGATAATGGTATTATGAAAACTGTTCTCAGGAAGATATAGCCTGTACCTGCAGACCCAACCACCAAGTTATGTACCGAAGGACAGCACCCTAAGATTGTAAATAGAAAACATAAACGGGAATGAGCCTTCAAATTTATAATGTAATTATAATTTATAAACAACAAAATATCAAGTGTCAGTTGGGCCCGGAGTAAGAAAAAGGTTGAAAAGCACTGGTGTTGGTGTATGGCACTCACTTCACACAAAAATAGAAATCCAGGTACACAGTGTGTTATTTTTTCAAATTGTATTAAATTAGAAATTTGAGATTATTTTGATATGAAATCGTGATTCATGTGTAATTTGAAAAATGAGCTTGAAATATTTATTGAATTTCTCTATCTTTGTTGAAAAAATACCACAAAGAGTAACAGGCCTAATAGAGTAGACACGATAAACTGTGCTCCACTCTTGCAAGCATAGTTTACCTGGGCTATCACGTCCCGACATTCGCAGTAAACTTTCTGTGAAATTAATTTCTCCCGGAACTTCTTTTTGTAATAATCCATTCAAGAATTCCTGTGTAAATCCCGGCACTTGCTTTTCAGTCTAAAATATTAGAGAAGATTTATCAGATGTAGAAATTACATTGCTGCTTCTCTTTGTCATTATAGAGAAGATTGTAAGTTTAAACTGATATTATTCAGCCGCAATGCCAAGTCCAGCTCTCTAACCACTATGCCACCTGTTTGGAATTGGAACTCTATTAAGTCAATACTCCTAAATAGAAAGTAGTAGTTCACATTTACCTTTGTGAAAGCATCTTTTAGCATCAATATTGTCTTTTTGTCACATTCTTTAGAAAGCTGAAAATAAAAGTGACTATTAATCTTGGGTTCAAAATTGGTTTGAAAAACTTTTCAAAAAAATTGAAAAAGTATTGTAAATCATGAATATAAGGCTAGGATATATTTTCACATTATTTAAAAACATTCAAATGGCTCAAGGGTTTTGCTGCAAAACTAACACAAATATATTTGTTCCGTTATGCTTCATCTAACCTTATCTTAAGTCTTATGTGGAATTAGGCTGGGAAACCTCAAATATTTTAGAGATTTTAAAAACTTGGGTTAAATCCCATTAAATTATCAGGGAATAACAAAAACTTGTACATGATAAAGTATGCATGTTATAATTTAATACAATTCATGTATACCAAGCATATACAGGACATATTGACATCAACACAGAGTATCTATAATTCTTAAACCAGGCTTTTTGATAGAAGAATACAATATATAACCGATCACTACTAATTTTCGGAAAATAAAACATTGTGACAAATTGATTATAAAAAACATACAATGACTCTTCAGGTAATAAAGGGAATTACGAAGTAGTGACAATATAAATCATCGATCAAACAAAAGTGAGACATTGATGTGATTCACGTACATATGTAAGATATTATATTACGTAACCATATACGCTTAGTATTATGGTAGCTGTTCGCCAATACTATAAATAGCACAATTGACCGTCTAGCAGTGACGATAAAAAGGGCGTAGTCCACATGGTAAAATACCCTAGTTCCATACCACTTGTAACACTTTCAACCAATGACATCGGTCCCTGAAATTATTAATTAAATACCTATATATAATAATATTTAATTATAGATATCAAAATTCTTTATCCCATGCTTGAGTGTATATCAATTTTGTTCAGCGGGTCGTGTCCGTTTCACAAATAGGAAGAGGAAGTAACAGTACATACAATAAAAAAGAATTATTTGATGATCATGTCTGATCAAGTGAGGGATGTCAATTTTTATTAGAATTGTTTGCATGGCCATGTTAGGGCTGTGTTTTTATAAATTATACAGATATGATGACTGTGTTAAATTCTTGTTTGAACAAAATCACATCACTCATTCGATCTATGCATGCCCACCCACTATTTATATTTGGATAGTATACCAATCAATATCAAATTGAAAGTGACTGTGTTTCACTAACAATAGATAAACTGATGAACTGGAAATGTACAAAATAGCAGTGTTGCAATATTTTAAATACTGAAGGATAATGCTAACAGACAAAAATCAAACCCTTCAAAAAAGAAACCTTGATGTAATTAATATAGAAATTGGGAAAATATGTTACAGTAATTATATCATGCATAGTACTGTATTATACTATGAATCACAAAAACCCCAGCCTTTGAAAAACTTTCTGAATCTTGGGAGTTATATGACCAAAGCTTTGTGATGACATTACAGAAATATTACTGTTATATTTAAGAATATAGAAAGTACATTGAATTGGCCCCATCCATCTTGTTTTTCGCATCAGTAAAGTATCCAAATTTTATTTATCTAAATATTCCGAAATATTTGGTAATAACTATTCATTTCTTCACTAATGATTTCACTAAAGATCAAAAGAATCTGACTATCAAAATGTTATCGACTTCTTTTTGAATTGAAAAACCACTAAGGTGAACAAATATTTTACGTCTTGGGGTTGACATAACTACCTTTCAGATCACTATAATGGAAAAACACTTGAGGTAATGAAGCACACAGATGATATATAACCAGGGAGAAATACAGATTATCCTAACAATTATATCAATATTAATGTTTCTTTACATAATAATCCAAATACCAGCTTCATAGAAATTTATTATAGTCTGCTACTCAAAATTCAAATACCCTATGCCAGAGCAACTCACCAATTTTTACCGAAAATCTGCATACAAAACTTCAAAATTATTCGGGTCCAGTGTTTCCAGAAATTATATTTTGGCATCATTATTAAGCACTTCCTCAACCGGCTAATGATTATTAGCTGATCAAGATTGTTTATTATGGTGTTATAGTTCTTTTCATATATAGGGCTATTCAAAACAATAAAAGTCATGAGGGGTGGGGCTAATGATCCAAAATAAAGAATTAGGTGCGGCCCGAATCAAATATTCGAAAGGTCCGAATACGGACAGTGATACACCAGCTGAGTAGCCCTGCCCTATGCCACATTTCCATTTTCTAGTCCAATTTGAAAATGAAAACAACATGGAATACAAAACTAGTATGAAGAAGGTACTTACTTCATCTAGTACAGGAAGTAAGGCAACATGCAGTGACACCGATACAGGCTTCATTGAGTTTTGATGATCGTTTGATGATCCAGCCATCACTCGTACAATTAACAGATTTATGAAGTGATTGATTCCATCAAGCACTTCTTAAGATTAAAATCTATTTCACCTAATAGTATTTCTAAAAAGAATGGCAATAGTATTGAATTATGATAGGCAAACAATATAAAGAAAGAGATCATAAGAACACCACTCTCAAAATTGAGTTCAATTGAGTATCATTTTACTGGGTATAACAATGAACAACTACGGTATTATGACAAAGACACTAGTGTGCAAATCAGGATACGCAAAAAAAAACAAAATTTTCTAGTCATATCTACTTGACAGTATAGGACATAATTATTTGGATAATTACATGAAAACAAACAGACGTCACAAAGACATGCTCAATTTGGAAATGAAGCATAACTGGGACAGAATAAAACAACGATTTCCTTCAATTTTTAAATATTCCTGTATAGGCCCATCATATTTGAAAAAAAAATCTTCTTTCATGCAAATGACTTCTTTCATGCAAATTTAAAATTCCATCTAGCATTCAGAATGCAACAAAGTATACTAAAGTTTTAGTCATCTCTGCAAATTTGACACAATGTCATAAAAACTGTTTTCGATTGCTATTTCAACAAGTGCAATTTTCCGGTCCAATCACTTACGGCTACCATGCTTTGTAAAACAGGGTGAAACTGTACCGAAACAATAGGTGATTTTTGCACACTAGTCCCAGAAGAACTGGTACCGAGATTTCGAAAACTAATATTATCTTGGAGCATTATTCTTTTCAATACAGCACCAGATGTATATTTATAAAACACAACAGATCCATCTGAACTGCCTGACACCACTATAGTACCATCAGGTGATATATCAAAACCAACAGGGTAACCTTCTACTGTATGTTGATCGTACCGTAAATATTTATCCAGTCGATATGGACTTGTTGCATTAAACCGTGCTATATAATTTCCATTCGTCTGAGCTAGAAACGATGTCTCACTGGGATGGACACTCACAGCCGGACAAGAATAACGCTCCTGAAATATTTGGTCAGATAATTTAGCTCCAGTGGCAAAGTCCCAAACAATGATTGAATATTGAGCTGATTGCCTGCTCACGACGTCACCCGTGGCAACAAATGTTCCAGTGTCGGAAAATGAATCAATACTTAAAAGATTACCAAACTGAGATTTATACGATATAGCCTTTCTACCACTGCGAATATCATAAGACGCAAGAAAAGAATTTGCACCACCAACGAGTAACAGGTTATCATCTTCATTTGACCATCTTACTACAGAAGGAATCTCTGGTAATGATATACAAAGAGATTGGTTTCCTGAGCACAAAAAATCCCAAGTTTCTATCGTTTTATCAAATGAGCAAGCCACAATCTGTCGTGATGACCTGGACCAATCAAGATCTTTGTAGGAACGAGCATCACCACTTAACGATGAATCGAACACACAACGCATCTCACTACCTTTCATAACATCATACAATCTGATAGAATTATGTGAGGTTGTTGAAAGCAGATGACTGAATTTTTTACACCACTTGATTTTCCATAGTGGGCCATCAGTAATAACTTTACATTGACTGAGAAACTTAGAACATCTGTTTCCATGAGGATTCCTCAAGGTATTTTGATATACAACATCATCGGTTAAAAATATCTTTTTAATATCTTCAGAATTCGGCTGTTCCCTAACCCCTTTTACAACATCCGTTTCACGTTTTTGAGCACTTTTTCTTTTTCGTTTCGAAATATATGGTTTTATAATGGTGTCATCCATCAAAACTTATTGATTTTTCAATTTTTTCTCTTTCGGCTCTGTATTGTTATTATCATTAGAATCACTTTCTTCGTCGCAAGAAGAGTTTTCCTGAACAGCTGGTTTATTATTTTCTTTTTTTTCAAGCAACACCAGGTCAGTTAATACATTATTAACATCGTCTTGTAATAGTTTTAAATCAGTGCTCAATTCTAAATCCCGTCCATTCTTGGGATGAAGAAAATCAATTGTTTGTCCGTCGCGATATGTCAACTTTGCTGAAATTATTGGCACGTCCATCTGCTAACGAAAAATTATAAAAATAATTCAAATTGGTTGAAACGAGTGAGCCCTGCAGAATGTATTCATAACTTCACAACAAATAAACAGCCACTGCTGCACTGGTTTGTGGCATGTTCCAATGTTTGTGAGATTGTGAGAATTGTTGGCTTCAGCATACAGCATGCCCAATTTATTACATCTTTGAGGAAATGGTCGACAAGGGATATAAAATTTTTCACCCGTGACCCATTACATTTCAGAGTAGAAGAGAAAAACATAATATGGTAATGTATAATAGAGCAAACTCATAGTTGAATATGATGTATCAATATGATATTTCATGAAAATTTTTCTATCACAAATATCGTGTCTGGAAAATTTGCCACAGGAAATTTTGCCGCATAGAAAAATTCGGCCCTTGAAAAATTGCAGCACGAGCATTTTACTGTAAAACAAGTATTTGTGATAAAAACAGCTAGGTTTATAGGGTTAGGGCGGTAGGGTATGCTCTTAAATAACGAATCATTTTTAAATAAAATACCGTAATACTGCAAAAACCTACAGACAGACCTAACTTAACTGTTTTTATCACAAATACTTGCTTTACAGCAAAACGCTCTTGCTGCGAATTTTCCTATGCTGCAAAATTTCCTGCGGCGAGATTTTCCTACAGGAAAATTTCCTGCGGAGAATTTTCCTAGAACCCACAAATAGACTACATCCAAGGCTTTATACAAGTACTGAAGTACCGGTACCGTATGGTATCTATTACAGTATTAAGGAGCTACAACATTTTAAATGGTCAAAATATTTCTATTTTTCAGTGAGGTTCTGGGCTTGAGTTCACCACTGAACAAATCTAAATCTGTCGACTGTGCAACTGGCTGACTTGTCACTCTATCAATATTAATGCCTGTACCGTATTGTGTATGCGGATATGTCTATGGACATTGTTGAATAACAGAATCACAACCTCTCGTGCGATCGCAGAATTCTGGAATTGGAGATTAGGTAGTATATGGGAGGAGTTACCGGTATGCTTAAATCTGAAGCATAAACATCAGCAAGCCCTACCACCAGACCACTGAAAATCGGCAGCATTTTCCTCAGAACAACAATAAAGAGCAAAAGAAGCTTCAGCAAGACTTTGAGCAGGACGAGGCAAAAATGAAACAGCACTTCGAGAACGCCCTCTGTCGGGGGCAGTCGTTGGTCGGGGCTATTCAGTGTGTACGTAACATTTCGTATAGGGCAGGGGTTGGCATCACTGCGCGACCACTTTCCCCTTTAGATAAAAAAAAATGTTTCAAGAGTCGGTATTATCTGACGTAACTCTTATGTGTTCTTATTTTCATTTTCGTTTGTTAACAATCCGTTATTTATTCAATTTAATTTTACTTATCCTTTCGGGACATACGATATGGTTACAGAAATATGTTATGACGTAACAACTACGTTGTTGAGATCTCAACCTTCAACAAATTTTCTCGAGACAAACGTTGTATTCATATTTCATACTATTCCGTTCGTGTTTTTATTATTTTTTTATATATATTTGTTCGTGTAATATGGGTAAACTGGCACGTGTATTTCCACTTGTTTTAAATCTTTTTAGAGATTTTGCCTGTTAACCCGATTTCCCAATTTTCTGTGTGTTTATTGTTTTGTGTATTTTTTTATGTATGTTGTGTATCGGGGAAATAAGAATAAAGTCATACTCATTATTATTATATAGTACGCCTGTCCCGCCTTTTTCTCCATTTCTGGCTGATTTATGAAGTTGTAAAGCGCATGCCAGTTAGATTTGTTTGTTAACATATTGGTTCAAATTGATTTCAAATTCTAATTCTACATATTCTTGTGAATCTCTGTTCTCTAGGAGTAGCCTGACCGACGAAGCTAGTAGGTCTAGTTCGTATATTTCTATGAAGGTTGCAAAATATAAACACGATGTAAAATTTCTGTCAGCGGTAATGTAGCAGCAGAAATCTCACTGAAAAGTAATAAAATCGTTTTGTCGGACTAATATTTTCTCAATAGGCTACATGTTTTAAAGGTTTATCATTGTGCATTTTTTGCTTTGAAGGTAGAAAAGCATTGGTTTTAAAGCGAATAAATTCAATTTTGGTTTATTGCGTTTTCATATATATATATATATATATACCTTTAAATGTCAGTGATATTTGCTCACAAATTTCAGTTGGCACGTGGGAGAATTTTGTCGTTGAATTTAGTTGGTTTTGGCAGGTAAAACAAATAAGGTTGCCCACCAGTGGTCAGCATTCAGGACAACTACCGTGGATCCATAGCCGCTACCGTATAATTAGTATAAATTTGCAAGTATAAGTTTATTTTGACTCCATAATCAGCATAACAGATGATGAAATAATTGATTAAAATGAACAAATAAAAACTGAATATAGAATCAAGAGACCGAACAAAACCTTAAGTAAGGTTCATAGTGTACATGATAAGTTGAAAAGGTTCCGCCAATCGCCAAAGTGGTACGTAAACTACGTACACATACATAATTAACTCACACACACGGACACGCATACAAATTAATAGGCTACAGAATTTTTGTGCAACGAAAGTGGGACACAGTGAGTGGAGAGTGGAGAACCAGTGGTCGATAGCCATATTGTCGACATTTTATTAGCCGTAGATAATATATTCAGCTAAAATTTGTCATCATGATGTAATTTTTCACACCCAAATCAATCCCAATTAATTTATATTAATAATATGTAAGAAATCCACAATAATATGTGAAACAGTTGTCCATTCGCTTAAAATATTAAGATAAAAAAACAAGGTAAGAGAATTACGAACTATTCACCGGACCAACACAATAAAAAATAAAATAAAAAGCAACAGAAAATGCAGGTTACTAATATAGAATTCATGAAAGCAGACAACTAGATTCATTAAGAACATGTACAACAGTGCGCTCACTTTCACAACAACAATGAACGAAACTAATAATATCGCAAATGTAGCATTCTCCTACATTCGGAATAAATGCGGTTTGTGATGAATAAATTGAATACTCAACAGCAAGTTTGTTTTGGAATTTAATCACATTGCGACACTGGCAGTCGGTCTGACAATTAATTGCGATGATCGAGTGAAGAATATGTATTTGCAGATAGCTTTGCAGAGACAAAATATATATATATATATATATTTGAAAACGCGTGTTACTTTTATCCCTTCCTTTTACATCCTCACTGTCCCTCTCCGAACTCGCCATAATACACGCACTTGTCAGATCTTGAGCCATGTCCTTCATGCATCTTCATTCATCTATTCCCGCATATATACCCTTGTTACCTCTTCATATCCGCCAAACGGGTCGAGTAATACAGGTGACACCATAACAATTTTTTAAAAATTTACAAAATACTTCATCACATAGCCCAAAAATTTTATATTTATGTGAGCACCATATTAAATATTATATTTTGAATAGCATGGAACAATATACAATAAATCCACATTAGATTATAAAGAAATACTTACGAATAAATTAGAAGGGACCAAAAAATGTTTGCATCATTTTTATGTAGTTAATTTTTTCAATTTGTTTGGATGGTTTTCTTTTAGTAACTTTCAGTGAAGCATCACAGTTTATCAAACATTAACAAAGCTGAAACATATGAATTTCGCTCATTTATACAACAAGTATGACGCCATTTACTTTTCATAAAAACATTTTATTGCGGTACTGCTTATGGTTGAATCATTTTAAAATATGCAACGGAAGACGAAACAATAACAGTATTTATGTTTTGACTGTCTGCTACTTTCATATGCGCACGAAGCGCATATACATGATAATATTAGTCATAGATAACCATGTATTGAATATATTGAATGCCGACAATTGCACAATTACATACGCGGTTATTCCAATCCTGTGGGATTTGTTTCCTTTGAGATGAATGCGTGGTTTAGTAAAATGGCTTCTCATATATATACAAGTAGTCACCAAGAAGCCAGATCGAAAATAATCTGAGTCTCCGGCACTACCTGATCAACACGGCATGGTTTAGGTTATTTTCAAACTGTTCAGGAGTCAGGACTCGGACCAGATATATCTAACAACCAATGTCAGTCAAATAGGTCAACGTATTTACAACAAGGATTGCGCCCTAGGCCTGCAATAAAACTATTACCACAATCAGTCCATTAGAAAAATAAAAATATTTCAACTGCGAGAAAATTAGGCCGGCGAAATTTTGAAGAAAAAAAACGAAATTTCTACCAGGACAAATAGGAGCCACATTCGATAAATTAGGGGCGGCCTCCACGTGAAAATTCCATTTAATTTCGTGAAAAATATTGAAAGCACGAATGAATTTTGCGAGGTAACGAAATCACCGCACATATACAGACACAAGCCTCGGGCAAAAAAACGTCCAAATTAATTGGACTATAGAGCTTTTCGCAAGGGATACATAATTCAGTCGAATTGTGATGTGAACTGTGAGCCCACAACGACGTAAGATTGGCAAATGACAGGAAGTAATACCAAGCCTTAGTAATGCACTATACGTCGAAACCAAGTCATACCGAAAGGTCGAATGGTGCTGGTATTCTCAGTCGCATGAGACAAAGTTTAGGCAAAGCCTGGAAGAGAACTAGGAGCGAACCCTCAATGTCGACGAATGCACCAAATGTTAGGGTAAGTCTTTTCATAATGGATTCAAACCGAGTTTTAATGATTGAGTTTTCATTACTGTTAAATTCAACTAAATTTATTAGATTTAATATAATTTAGAAATGTTTAAGTTTAGCTTAAAGTGCTGGAGGGGAATCACGATTTCTTTTGCTGTGTAAATAAATTTTCTCTGTATACATTGCTCAGATACTTTGATCTTTTATATTACATATATAATACATACATATTGGCATGTGTATTCATCAATTTCACCCAGACTACTGACATCTTCTTATATCCAATGTTACTTTCATGATTTTCTCTTGGGAAATAAGTGAATAACGTTACAAGCCTTGTTTGTTTGTTACCTTGTTTTAACAAGAATTACTTTGAACATACTGGCAATATCTCGGTTTGCAACATATTGAATTCAACCAACATACCACGTCACTACTAAGGAATTCATCTTCAGCTAGTGTTTACAAATACAATTATGGTTTCGAGACGACGTAACTTGAATAGTGATTACCATGTAAATTACCTTTAAATTTCCTTCTTTTTCGAAGTGTTCGTGTTGTATTGAGCAATACAGTACTTGATTTATCGATGAGTTGTGAACTTAGTCTGTTGTTATTATTCAACCATAGGTGAAGCGAAGTTCGTACATCAAGTTCAGTATACTGATAATATTTGAATTCTGGTTCATAGGAGTTGCGTGCTAGGTTGCGCGGAAATAAAATTGGGATGTGTTAACAGTCGGGAAAGATTTCTGGTTTTAAAATATGTGTCAGATTTTACTATCTCCCATATGTGGTCGATTAGTTTCGGCTATACTGAAAAATATTTTTTTCAAATTTCGATTCCCGCTGTGGTTTTGTGTTATAGATAAGAAAGGAAACGAGAAGCAATATGGTCAACTCGATTTCTGTAGCGGTATCCCATTCACGTCTCGATTTGACGGCATTTGTTATGATAATATTTCTACAAATTCGACATAGCTTCTATTGTGAAAGCGTAGGCTGAGTATAAACAGTATAAAGACATGTTATGATAATCAACGTGATGTATATAAAACAGTACAACTACGATTCAACATGATTAATAAGACTATTCAATCTAATTCCAGAGTCTTGCTGCAATAATAATCTATTCACAAATAGCCGTGCTTGGGGAGATTGGTAAAACTGTTTGAAAATAATTTATTTATGAAAAGATCTGTTGGTAACGGCGGAAACAGATAAATATATCACAAGGTTGTTTAAGTGCGATTTTTGTCGATATTCTTTAAAATATCAATTACAATTATATTTATCAATACTGAATGAATAGATATGAACGGGTAATATGCCAGTACGGCAAAGATACAGTGAATTAGTAATGTCCGTATGTGTTCTGTGTACCAGACTTCAGTTATGAGGGATATATATATCCTTGATATGAGGCAAAGAGGATATTTTCAGTTGGTTGAATGTTGATATACTTTGCGCCAAGCTCCATTTCTGTAACTAATCTATTGTTAAAAACCAACGTTGATATCTTTCTTCTGCATTGCGCTGTATTGGCAAGCAACAAGATATATTGCATTAGAATTCTAGTATTTATTTCAATTATGTGGTGCAGTCTTATTTTACAGTTGGCTGGTTCTGTAATCATTTTAGGAATTCGAACGCTTTTCGAAAAATACATTATTGTTTAGTTTCGTTTTCATTGCATTGATAACAAGATATGAAACTCTCGAGTAATTAATATATCCGATCTTACACGGTAGTTTATATACTGTTACTTAGCGCATATGTGTGAAAAACTCTAAACCCGGGTATACAACCCACATCGAAATATAATATTTATTCGTCAACGTTAGTTGTATTTGCGGTCGTGTTCTCATTTTATTGGACCTTAAGATTCTGTCATTTCAAGACACCACGTGTTTAAAATTTTGCTCATTTGTATGCTTATATGCTGTATGCTTATTTGTATGACCCGATTTATATCACGATGGTAAGGCAGTCAACATAAGGATGGTACAACAGATATCTGTAAGCTGGGAAGCAGCCTAGTTGCGAGTCACGTATAATGCGTTAACAACAGAGTTGACGCGCGTACAAAATGCAACCATTGCAGGGTTGAATTATACATTGATGCTATTGACATTCGGAAGATGTGAATTATTTAGCTATTGCATGCAGTTGAAAATGCAAATATGACAGTACACGGGATATTTTTTTTTATGTCTAACCAAGATGAAAGTTTATATTCAGTTAATTGAGCCATATCGTTTCCAATGTGTATACCGATCCGTAATCGCACGTTTACTTTTCTTTCAGCCCTCGGTATCTAAAAGAATGGGTGACAACGGATGGTTGTCCTATTTTACTCAACGATCGTTGAGATCATCAAATACCTCCATACGGTCAGGATACCAGCATTCGCAGTCACTTGACCGACCACGTAAAATACGAAGAACTGTTATCACTGAAAAGATTAACAAAAACGAATTCGATTGTCCATCTACTGAAAAGGAATATTGTTCACAGGCTCGCCAAGCTTTTAGCAGGAGATCTATTTCGATGCCGAATCCCGACGATATGGTTTCTAAACGTGATCTAAGGAGATCTGTATCATCAAAAGAGCTTAGTGGAACACTGGGGTGAGTATCATAAAATTACAAGAATTGAAATCTGAATTAATAATCAATTGAATGAATCGGCCTGAGCCATTACACATGATAATCTTTATTATTTACGAGTGTCTCATACGTTCGCTACGAACGAAGATCTAGATAAGCCGCCATTACCTATATCATTATTCCCTATGTGGTATAATTGAGAATACGACCTGGCATTGGGAATGTAAAACTTAAACCTCTATTCGTGCACGACGAGGATTTAAAGCCAATAAAATAATCTTTAACGATCGTTCTACAGTTTTTTCGTAAATACTGAAAACTTCCAAATTTTTCTATAGACAAAATGGAATAAACTCCAACAGGGATTTTCGAACACAGGAAGAAAGAATAGTTGAGCAAACAAAAGACTTCTGTCGTGATGTAATCGTTCAAAAATTAAAAAGAAATAATTTAATACACAGGTAAATCGTGATTTTAAACGTAAATTTTCAGTGTTCTGGGATGATACTTAACTAATTTGCGGTATGCTTGAAACCTATAATAACACGGTTAATTGTAACATTTCAGAGTCAAAATTGCTAGGCCGGCATGTCCTGATCAATGGTTACTGCGAGATATTCATGCAATGTGTAATGAATTAGAAAGAAGAAATCATGGCCTATGCAAAAATTTATCAAAGCAGGTAAATAAAAACTAGTTAGCCCAGAGTTGTACATCGGGCTTAATTAAATTAATTGTGAAAAATATATGTCAACAAACATATTTGGTTTAGTTGGTTGAAAGCCCTTTGAACAACTATGTGTCAGAATAGACGACCATATATTTATGACATAAAAAGACGCGATCTCAACTTTCGTACCAAACGCAACAAAATCCATGTGTTCGTGTGAGTAAAGAATCGAATGCAATATCGACATTTTTGTAGCGAATATCGACAGAGGGGTGACTAAACCGATATAGTAAAGTATGCCCTATTAAAATGCAACAAATCATGTAATCTTCTTTACATCAATGGCTTCAATTTAAGACAAGAGTGGATTTTAGAACCTCTGGGGATGCGTTTTTCTGGATATGTTTGATTGATTTTTTATAATTATCTTTGTAAATTAGAAATCTTCTGCATTATTTTCTGGTAAATAAATTGGTAGAATGTGATATGTTAACTAGCCTATAAGTTTAACAATAATGATAAGAATACTTTATTACTGGTGTTGCATCATGCTCAACGTATACGTATATATATAGATTGACGAATAAGCTGGTTTGTGCCGTAACGCCGTTTGAGATAGAAACAGGTATTTTCTACCTTGCATAATTTATATTTTGCAATCGTATTTTCATTGTGAAGAGGTTTTGCGGTATTTGCATCACAGATGCTTTTCATTTTGTGCCCTGAAAATAAACCCGCATCCCAAAGGACAGCAACTCAGAGTTTTCCTCTTGTTATTAGTTGCATTTTCAGACATGCACTGAATGTGGACAGCGCATCTATTGAATTTAACAATCATAACACAGATTCGCAATAGAACATAGATATATACAAATCTGATCATCGGAAAATGATTGATTAAAGCGTACGGTCAATTTTCGGTAGCGTATTTTCAATTGGCTTCTATCGAAAGTTGGACAAGAAAGCACTAATCGCTTTTATACTACAACGATCTGAAGATAGTTCCCTATTCTGAGCTATTCAACACACGAAACTGGATATGCCTTACCTTGTTACCAAAACAGATATGGCACAGAATGTCACACCCCTATTATCAACTCTATTAATAATGCAGGCGCTTCAGTGTGCCTCAAAAACTATTACATTGTCTCTCTTCAAGATTCATCTTTCCTTAATCTGACATGTCGTTACTCGTTAATATCTGAATTATATTTTCAGCTCGGAATTACTCTACGTTCAGAAGAAGTTTTGCGGAAAGTGTTTTTTGAAATTTCTCTTGAAATAATATCAACATATGTTAGTGCTAAACAGGTAATTGATAAATACTTGTGAATTCTGTTAAAATGCCCAAAACGGAAAGTTTTAATAACAAAAAGCTTGACATGGAAACATGTACCAGAAAAAATGCCTTCTTTGTGAATCTCAACACAATGGATCGTTTTGCTTCAAGTTGGTATTGTTGATAAAAAAACGCGTTGCTCCTCACCTGATGGCCTAATCGATTTCATGTTTTCATTTTTTAAGATAGGAGAATCCGCATACAAAGCTAATACTTTTCTTGGTCACCTAATCCCGGTGAATACACTGTTTTTAAAATACACGGGAAGGCGGGCAAACCTTCATATGACATTCGTTAAAGAATTTTTAGTATTTGGCCGGAATGTTCCCACATTGCATTAGCCATCGTGTCCATACATTTGTGCATTGCGATCTTGATTTCAAAAGCAACAAGAGAGCAGTGCTCAAATATATGAACACGAAAGCCAGAACCAAATATTTGACCCACAATTCCCCCCAAAATCATATCCTAGACGAAGCTGAACCTGTGGCAAGGACCATCGTAACTTACTAGTACCGGTAACCCGACTGCCCAGCGTTCCCAGATCCTGTGACAATGATGATTCAAGCGTCTTATGCCAACGTGAATTGAATTGCTAGATGATTCGACTCACAACTGTAGTATTAATTAAGTACTTCACCTATTACTGTAACTTACCATACCTGTCAAAAAGCGCGAGACTGCCGCCACGCTTGGCGGATTAAAAACGGTGTTCATCAGATCCCATAGGATTCATAGAAAATTTAGGAATAAATAAAAGTAATAGCCTTCTAGCGAAATAAATACAATCTTGAACTATTAAAAATTTCAAAGCAATTGGTCTAGTAGTTGATGAAAAAAATATCGATTTTTTGGCGGAGTAACAACGAGAAGAAAAATTCTAACAACAGCAGCAACCTGCAACATAATAGCAAAACGATCCATAGGTACATTTCGTGTCCAATAATATATTTGTCAATTGTCAGACACCGACAAAAACGCCATCGAAAAACAATTCCAGAGGATTAAATTCGAGGACAGACTCAGAAGAAAATCAAAGGGAGAAAGAACAAGAAGTAACCTGGGGAAGAATAATGGGAATTCTTGTTATATCTGGAGGTAAAATGGAAACAAAGAAAGTAATTACTTACAGAAGCTCACAATTTAGATTGCTATTATTGCACATTGTTATTATTTCAAGAATTTTTTTCCCATACTGCATAACGATACAGGCTCTAACCCTGACTTGTACGATATTTGGGGCTTCGGAAAACTATTGCTTAGTCGCAGGGGTCGGAAACCTTTTGTCGCTCGCGGGCCAAAATTAAAGGTTGCGAGTCATTAGCGGGCCGCACATATTTTTAGAAAGTTGAAAACCGAACGAATGATACGTTTTATAATAAAAAATCAAGCGAGATACATCTCTCGAATAGAATATAGATTTATTTCCTCATGGCACTGCATCTCAAAATATTCCATTTAAATATTCGGCGGCATTGAACCCTTTGCACTTAGCATTAACTTTTCTGCGTTATGTTGCAATTCGTTTAATTATAATTGAATTATATTCTCATTTAGCGAGTAATTGTGAATTCTATACTCGTTAGATTATAATATAATTTAGTCCACACCTGACTCACAATACATGCTGTTACGTAAAAAATATAATCGTCAAAACAGCTGTTTTGTTACTATAATTCAGTAAGGGGTCGCGGGCCCGATTATATTACTCCGCGGGCCGTAGCTTGCCGACCCCTGGCTTAGTGAAATACTTACCAGGGCACGGATGTAATTTCAACTTCAATTGAATTGCAATTTGAAGCATTTAAATGATCAGAATAACGGATTTCTGTGCAGGTCGCGGAAGTTACCACTGTACTATGATCAGTAATTTAACCTCCGCATTGCTCGAGTCTAGTGTTTATTGTATTGAACAAAATTTTATTTATTTTTTATTAAAGCATTTTCAATTGACTGCATCAAGCAAGGGCATTCAGAATTGGTCGATGAACTTATTGAAATATGTGGAGATTTTTTTCAAAGTGAGGGATTAGTGGACTGGATCATGGCTCATGGTGGTTGGGAAAAACTATCGGAAAAGAGCTCTTGCGGGACTAAAGACAAATACGATACTGCGAATGCATGGAACATATTTCTTGTGTCAGCATGTGTTGTTGCTTCCCTCGCTTTTGGTGTAGGGTTCAGTAACTTAACGGCCGCTGGAGGCTGATGAAAAGAAACAAATATAATCTGGAAAAGGTACTGTTTGAGATTGCGGAAAATACGCACTTTTCCAAAATCAGCAAAATGTGTGCCAAAACGAAGGGCCCCAGCGAGTACAAGGAAAAGTAATAACCCTCTGGCGAATACTTCAATATTTCCACTGCTGAAAATTTATGGCAATTTGTGAGGTATTTTTGTTGTCTCAAATACAATATATACATATATATATATACAGTATTCTGAAAAAATGCACGAAAGTCAAATTAGCGTGCAAAATATGATATTTATTTTGAGGATTGTCAGTATTATGATAATTCCGAGTTCAAGTAATCGGTAACGTATCATGCAATCTTGACTTCATGGTATTTCTGTTGGAATGTACATCTATTTTACCACTGTTATAATAAAATTCAGATAACAAATACAAAGCTTTGCTCCCTGCTATATTTACGTACGGATGGCATCTAAAATGTATATATGAAGAATATGTATAACTTGGACAGACCATAGGTTTGTTTAATGTCTGAAAGACTATTTATAGGGGTTTATTCATGTTTGCCTAGTTCGACATTACCACACGGTTTCAAGGTGCAGATGATATTTTCATATTTATCCCGGGGGAGAGCAAAGTCGGTGAGCCGACTTTAATAATCATTTTGGCAAACCACGGCCTCTCGCCCGGTCACTAATCGGGTATGGGATTAGTTAGTTTGATAGATATTCAATATTTCGTCAACCCGAAAAATGAACATTGCAGCAACAAGAGATGCTCATATACATGAACACGAAATTCAAAACAACATACCAGAGTCCATTTGTTCTCAGATGCATGGACTTGATGGTGGATGAAGCCGTAACCGACCAGCGGTTACGCGAACCACCCTATGACAGCGAGGAGCTCAGCAATATCTCGCACATAATTATCCACGACGGGATACGAACCTGCGGATCCACGCAAGGAAATCAAGGGTGTGGTGGCAAGTGTATGTTCCTAACGCTTAGCGCGATGCACCACACCGCAGAGTTGATATGAAATCTTTGAATATCACCGAAGACAAGTTACAACAGCTCGACGACGGATTCATAGGTCTGTCCATGGAAGGAAGTCCTATGGGAAACATCCAAAGGGATGAGCCAGGCACAAATTGTTATGGGACAGAAAAATATGTCTCATGGACAAGCCGGCGGATTCATGAAAAGTACAGAGTACGGATCATCTCCCGAGCACCGATTTCCTCATTTACTTCTGTAACAATGATCAATAAGCAATGAGTCAATAACGGACGAAACAATTACAATAAGTGCGCCGCTCGAACACTTCTTTTGCGAAGACAGCTAACACGGGTGTAAACATGGCATCGTTTTCGCGGTTTTGCGTTTTATTTGTCAGTTTTCAGTTGTATTTCTACAAATTAGTTGTAAATCAGATCGATTGTCAATATGTCTTCATTGGTCTTCCGAAGAGTTTTAATTTAGTTACAATATTCAAAAATAAATCCCGCAAAAAAAAACAGTTTGTATACGCCAACTCTATAAAACACTTTCAAAATATTAGTCCAAAATTTTACAATAGTGAAGTAAATTGAGCATATTTCTGGAGTCAAGTCGGGTCGGGGAAACATCCATTGCTTATTTATTTTACTGCGCACGTTACGTCTACAGATCAAGTATATACTTGGGCTTAACTGACTTTCGAAAGCCTAACTTATAGCGAATATGTAAAACAACTCAATTTGAAGAAGAATACACCTCGTTTGGTACTATACGTATTATAACAACTGTTCTGCTTCGGGAATTAATAAAGATGGATGTGCATTTTACTATTACCCCCAATAGACATATCTAAAATGCAATTATCCCATGATTGGTTTACAGTATTTTCGTAACGATGCATAATAATTTTATTGGGAATCGCGATACGACAGGTGTTCGCCAGTGAGCACTGCATTATAATGATGAATAATTGTGTATTACATAACATTATACTTAAGCAGCAGAGAAAGCCGGTGAAAAAGAACGATTTATCATCAGAGAAAAATTTGTCCCTACATTTGAACCCACGTAATTTTTAAATCCATACATTTGCGGGAATCCAAACCAGGCTTAAGAAACGTTATGAGAAAATCATATGACGTTCGAAAAACCCTTTTTTGTCGCGAAACCTGATGATACTAGACGATGTTTTAATTTGAAATCGTCGAACAGGACATGTTGCTTACATCGACACAGTACTTGCCGTTCGTATGAGGGAGTTGGTAAAAAATCCGAGCGCAATAAGAGATATTTAATTATCCAAAAAAATTTCCGCGCATCTGTCCACGGACGTAATGCTTGTTTTCTCCTGTAATTCTAATGGCGATAAAAAAAAATAATGACGGATAGAAATTCATTTGCATAATGAAGGAATTATAAATGTTGCTCATTTACGTTTTTACTACATCGCTTCGGAATATATAAATACAAAGAATCCAAGCTGTATCAACTTTTTATTGAAACAACGGGGGAAAACATGGCTGACCGCATGTTTAGCAAATCATCCAGGTGAGAATGATTTAAGGCGCTTTTGCATCGATATTGTTATTAGTTTGGATTTCTTAAGCTAGCACAAAAAACGAGTGGGGCCAAGATTTGGTTCGCAAATGTCTGATCAGGTCTCAGGGTATTGACATCCAGGTCATACATGCAAAGTAAGGCCGTTTATATCATTCTGTTCACGACAAACCATGCGACCAGTAGCAGATTGGTATATTTAACTATGACTTAGTATAGTTGCACTTGTATGAGCGTAATACATCAGTCGATTTGTTAATTACAAGCTTCGATCAAAGCTCTGCTGATGTAATCACCATTTGGAAATCAGTTCAAATTGAGATGAGATTCTGTACTAGTGCGGTTTGCAATGTATATATACAAAAATGGAAGTTTTCTAAAAATATTAATTTGTTGCAGGCAATTATCCTTACCAAGCTTTGTCTCGTCGCCGTCGATTCGACCGCTACACAAAGTCCGGTTGATTGTACTAGGATCGTTGGGTGTGGGGAAAACCCAGTTGGTGTCTCGACTTCTTGGGAGGGCCTTCAAGTCGAATCATAACCCAACTGTAAACGATTTTCACGTAGTAACTCATGACATTGAAAATAAAATCTACAAATTAGACGTCTTAGACACATCCGGGATAATTCCTTATCCACCGGCGATGGAGACTTGCACTCTAATGACAGGTGAGTGAATTGGACGACTTCAAAAAGCATGACTTTCTTGTATTTATGTTCAAAGTACCCCTTGGCCTAGAATTCATTATACCAAGGGGCTGTATGACCTTTTCCAATTTTAACCTTTCTCAACATATAACTATTGGCTATTGCGTTTATCATTATTCAATAAGACTCGCTAATTATGTGATAACTGCATATCAGCTCTTTTTTATTCAGTAGTAAATCGCAAAAATGTCCTGAAAACAAAGAATATCACAACTCACAAGGATACAAAACATGCTTCATTACTGACACATGCACTTGCATACGGAGGTCGGGGTGTAAAGTGTAACAAACGCAAATTTAATGTCTTGCTCGCTGCTTTATTCCGTAGTAAACTATATTATTACATCACAGGCTTAACCCAGTCTCGGAAGTTGATAATTCCGCTCGTGATTCGCGAACTAAAGTAAAGAAATTATTACAGGTGATCTCTTTTTGGTTGTTTACTCCGTATTGGATCGTGGAAGCTGGGAACGAGCAAAACATTTGATTGATACTATCGAGCAAGTCAAGTGCAATGCTGAAAGGATTAAAGTTTCTATTGAACGCAATTTTAAAGTAAGTTTTCATAAAGTTTCATCTGGTTCAAGAATATTTGTGGTCCATGTCACGTATGCATCCAATGGTACGGGAATTACAAAACGAAGGATATAAACTTTTCACCATTGATAATTTTGCTATGCATCTATGGTAAATAAAGTAACGAATTAGATTTATTGTTCAGAATTGTTATTCCGCAATTATGGATTAGGTTGTTATGACAAATCGTGACACATTTTGGCTATTAGTCATTTAGGCTATAGACATTTAAACGCATTCAATAAAAAACGACTTTTTAAATACGCCACCCACCTGTGCCTAAACGTATCGAAAACGTATGCATGTTAGCGGCGCACTCGACGACAATATCATTCTCGGAGATTGGGCGAGAGACTGAGCTAGTTCACATGATCGAGTATTATCATCTGATCTCCCGCTTGTAAAAATAGAAAATATGAAACTATTTCACAAAGTTCCAATCTAAACAATAACTCACGTCATTTTATAGTTTAGATACAACTGTACATCATTTTTTTTATCGCCAACCATTACCCTCGGTATATTATAAAATACTCTGTTTTGTAGAATAGCGTTAGACGAAAACCGGACTTGACGATGGAATCAACAAAGGAACCTATTGCATCCATTCTAGTGGTCGGCAACAAACATGATAATTCAGAGTGCAATGTGCTTGGCAGAGAGGTAGACGTATGGCTGATGAAACGGCAGTTCAAGCTGCCATGTGTCGTTAGTCACATTGAAGCATCAGCTAAAACTTATTACAACGTGGAAGCAATGTATGATCAACTTCTCCTTATGGCAAATTTGCCGCTCGAACTGAATTTCGTGACCACACATTCACGAAATTTCCATTCCCGTCGTCGTTCAAATTCATTAGTAGTTACTCCGTTTTGTAGCAAGGATCGCCCTGTTCGAAATTCGTTACTTTTGCACGGGAGAAACGGTGAATCTTCTACACGAAACCGACAATCAGATTTAAATCCTACCCAAACTGCACAAATCCGACTCATTCAACGACCACCGGACCTTGAAGACGAAATATTCTTGGCATTCATAAAAGCATGCTCCATAACAGAGATGTTAAAAAAGCATAAATCACGAAGAACGCGAAAGTTATCGTTTAGAACCGTTTCAAAGTTGCTGACGTCTAAATGATCAAAGGGTAGATTAAGCATATGACTCTCTTCAACCTATATACGATCATCCGATCAATGATTTGTTTGTGTTATTTGATATAGACCACGATGGTCTGGTGTAATAAACGAATTGTATTGAATTAACTATATATTCCATGCTACCGACAGGGCCCCAGATAATAATGTGTTTAATTCAACAGAAATCTTGTCACAATATACAATTCGTAAGTTGCAGTTTTGTACGATACGTGATCGAGTAAAGTTTTTGTTTTTTTCGTTGACAGAAAAATCATAAATTCAGAAATATGCTCTACAGTCTATATACCAAATTATTGCTGTTATTTCTTTCAACCTGACTTAATATGATATTTTTCTTCTTTATATTTGTTGCACAATACAAGGTAAAGAATGTTTATATATAGAGAGTGTATTGTAAAAAGTGCTAATGATAACTGAACCCAATTAAATATGAGTAATTTTGTATGCTATTTTGCCTGTGATATATGTAAGTATATATACTAAAAAATGTCGATGGAAGGGGTTAAATGAGATCGTTGCCACCAAATTAGAAGTCAGAATCAGAATATTATAGTGATGAATCTTTCAGCAAAAATAAGTGATTTTGAGTGATAAACACTGATATGTGAAAGTTTAACAGAAAGAGATTTTAAAAACAACATATGACGGGTCAATCGGTTGCAACGACAAAGAATTTGATAGTATCTGGTCGAAAAGGAAATTGAATTCAACAAAAACCATTTCAAAAAAGTACTCAATTTCTACATCGCGTTCAGTCAGCAATATTAGCACAATCTAATATGTAGTTATGATACTGTCCAACACGAGCCATATCGCTCACATTTTACTGAAAAAAAAAAATAGAAATGAAGCACGCGATGTTCCTTCCCGAAGCTATAGTTCTAGTTTTCAAAAAATCTTCTGTTACTCTCCTGTAGTTAGCCCACCACTAAAAGTGAGATTGAATTGAGTTGTCAGCTCACCCTTCTGTGTTTATTTTATTAGCCAATTGTTATTAAGATAAACAGAAAAAGGTTTCGCAATAACCTTGAAACAGAATCAGTGAAAACAGAGAAGCACCCATTAGTGCAATGCTTTTCGATACCTCGAAATATATTAAAGAACAATCACAACAAGGGGTAAAATACTCTTTTGAATACTCTTTATAATTGAAATCAATGTGAATAAACAATTATGCAGCAAGTTCGGCAGATGAACTAACATATATTTACAGAGATCTTGAAAACCAATTAGACACATATCAAGTGGTAGCGTTGGGACTGCCCGAAAAGTTACTTTGTGGATCATATTGATTAAAGATCGAAAAACGTGGAAATCTTAATTGTATATAGATATTTTAGTTATATAGATTTGGGCTAAGATCGAAGCGGCGCATATATTTGCCAAAGATCTTGACAAAAGTTATCGATTCAGAATGCAAGAAATAACTACAGAAGTCGTAAAATTTTATTAGGATATGGAAAATGTAAATAAAGCATCTCGTATTTTGGTGGAAAACTTTACAAAAAAACGACAAATAATGAGATAAGCAAGTTGAGAAACGACCACAAACAAGATAGGTGGAACATCAATACTATTTTCAACGTAATACAATATTTCAAAACATTTCAGTTTTATTTTTATCATATTTTATATATAATATATATACAGTCAGGTGCGTGGTTACGGCATTTCAGTTCGACGATTCAAAATAATTTTCAGCGATTTGTTTAATAGTTTTTTAGCTGTAAATTGTATTTCCATTAAATTACATTTTTAAGCATTTGAATGATCAGAATTTTGCGCAAGTCGCATAAGTTGGTACTGTAGTGTTATTAGTCATTGACCTCCACATCGCTCTAGTGTTTATTGAATTGAACAAAATTATATTTATTTTTTATCGAAGCATATTCAATTGACTGCATCAAACAAAGGCATTTAGAATTGGTCGACGAACTTATTGAAATATGTGGAGATTTTTTCAAAGTGAAGGATTGGTGGACTGGGCGGAAAAGAAATCTTGCGGGACTGAAGACAAATACGATACTGCGAATGCCTAAAACATATTTCTTGTGCCAGCATGTGTTGTTGCCTCCCTCGCTTTTAGTGAATGGTTCAGTAACTTAACGGTAATAATAATGATAAAAAAAGAAACAAATATAATATTATGGAAAAGGTACTGTCTACGTTTGCGGAAAATACTCCTGGTGGCGCACTTTTCCAAAATCAGCAAAATATGTGGTAAAACAAAAGGCCTCGCCAAGTATGGAAAAAATTTGAACAGAAAAGAAATATCCTTCTGATGAATACTTCAATATTTCCCCTAGTGAAAATTTTAAAGCAATTCGTGAGATGTATAAAGTAAGGTAGTTTTTGTTGTCTCAAATACAATATCAACAGTCTTCTGAAACGATCCGCAAAAGTCCAATTAGCGTGCCACAAATGATAATCATTTTTAGGATTGTCAGCATTATACTAATTCCGAATTCAAGTAATCGGTAACGTATCGTCCGATATTGACTTCATCTATACATATGATGTCTTCTGGGGAGGCTTACATTTAGTCAGAGTAACCGATTCTTGCACTCACAGACTTGGTATTTTTGTTGGAATGTACATCTATTTTACCACTGTTATTAACATGAAATTTAGTTAACAAATACTAAGTATATTCCCTTGCTTTATTTGCGCACGAATAACATCCAAAATGAAGTGAATATATAAAATTTTGTGGATGAACACAGCACAATACTGGCAAGCACAATTAGATTTTGACACAATCTGAATGTAACTTACAGGAAATTTGTCATATTTGTACGAAATGTTCAATTGTTCATTGCGAACCTATAGGTTCAGATCTCGAACTATAGCGCATGTATCTTTCATGGTGATATAGAGCAGGGTGATCCAAGGTTGTCGGCTTCGCGGGCCACAAAATTATTTTTGCATTGTTCGCGGGCCACAATAGTGCCAAGAATAGGTAAACAGTGCAATACAAAACAAACACTTTTATTGTTGAAACACATAGTTATCAGACATAGCCATCCCAGGCTAATAGAATCCGCATTCGATTTTTAGTTTTCTATGATGCCTATATTGTTAGCATATATTTCCGACCAGAAAGATAGAAAGCCAGATAATAATTTAGACTGCCAAGCACACCATTCAACTTCGCTAGTTGCCTCAGCTAGCCATAACACTAGTCAACTCAGTGACATTATTGATGTAACCATATGTCAAAAGATTTTTCTGATTAACCTCATTACGAAACAACACGAAATGCGATTTTTTGATTACTCTCCGAATGTGACGCGGGCCACAGATAATAAAGCGGCGGGCCACATGTGGCCCGCGGGCCTGGGATTGGGCCACCCTGAGATAGAGAATCGACTTATTTTGTTGCAGTTACTGTTAGAGATTTCATTCCCTCATTTGTAAGTTCATGTGTCACACTTGCTTTTTTTCGTGTAAGATTAACTTCTCTCAGCAATTGTCTCCGCAGGTTATCATCAAAAACATCAGTCAAAATTCTGTCAATCAACTCATCTTTGAGATCAACAAATTCACAACACTTGGTTTTATTTTTCGAGTGTATTCAAATGATTGGATTGATTCACCTGGCATCTGTGCTCTCATGTTAATTTGATGTCTTGTTAGTCTTATGTTTGACTTGGGTAGGCATATTTCAGTAAATTTTCTCTTCAGGCATTCTGAATCATCACGAGACTCAGCATAGGACGAATTTATCTCTGGAAATACCATTGTTTGTTTATTTTACTGAGCACATTTCGTCGTCCTCTACACATCAAGTATTATACTTGGCTTAGACTTAGATGACTGTAGGAAACCTTACTTCGAGCGAATATGTAAAAAAACAACCCAACAAAATTTCAAGGAGAATACAATTATTTTGTTATCATCATTATTTTGTTATCACCCCCAATAAACTAATCTATAATCTATTATGCCCATTGATTGGTATTTGGATTACACTATTTTCGCAACCATGCTCAATAATTTTATCGGGAATCGCGATACGACAGGTGTTCGTGAGTTAGCACTGCATTATAATGATGAATAATTAGCAGAAAAAATACGGTGAAAAAAAAAACGATTTATCAACAGAGCAAAATATATAAATATATACGCATATTAGAACAAATTATATCACCAACCATGTCACGGTTATTTCCGTACTATTTAAATTAGTAAATTAAATTGTCTTAAAAAATTAGCCTTCTTGGTGTTACATTTGAAAATCATATTCTACAATGCCGGACCAATGAGGATTTGCGTTAAATAATTTTCCGGCCTATATTTTCCAAAAAGTTCCGATCCTTCAACAATATGCGGAAACGCCCACTGCAGTTGTCGATCACTAACGTACAAACGAAGGGATATTATCATTACTTGTATGTTTCCGAGCTCTATCAACGATCACCCATTGGAGATCAATGGATCCTATCGCCCCGCGATCATATCTCAGGCCTGCAGTACTTTGACTAACTTCTAATTAACACATTTTCATATACATACCCAGGCTTAAGTAACTTTATGATGAAAATTGTATGATGTTGAAATTTATTTTCGCCGATGATTCCGAAAACTTGATGATACTAGACGATGTTTTAATTTGAAATCGTCGAACAATGCATATTGCTTACATCGACACAGTACTTGCCGTTCGTATGAGGGAGTTGGTAAAGATTCCGAGCGGCGTAATAATTACACAAAATGAAATTCCGCGCATCTGTCTACAGACGTAATGCTTGTTTTCTCCTGTAATTCTACCGACGTTAAAAAAATAATGACGGATAGAAATTCAGTTGCATAATGAAGGAATTATAAATGCTGCTCATTTATCTTGTTCTATTTCACCGCTTCGGAATATATAAATTCAAACAATCTACAGTCTACACAATAGCATTTTTTGTTGAAACGAACAGAGACGAAACAACGGGGGAAAAACATGGCTGAACGCAGGTTTATCGCACCATCCAGGTAAGTATGATTTTAATGGGCTTTTGCATCGAAATTTCTAATATTTTGGATCCCTTCATCGTGCATAAGAGAAAGATTGTGGGACATGCTGCAGGATTTGGTTCGCATATGACTCACGTCTCACGGGACAGAAATTGGTACCTGCAAAATTCTGATCAGATCTCGGGGTAATGGGTACTTTTGATATTCAGGTCATACAAATTTAGTACGTTAATATCATTCTGTCCACGACAACCCATGCTACCATTGGCAGATTGGTATATTTAACTGTGACTTAGTATAGTTGCACTTCTATGAGCGTAATACATTATAAATCAGTTTAAATTAAGATGAGATTTCATATCAGTGAAGTTTGGAATGTATATATATATAAAAATAACGCTTTTCTAAAAATATTAATTCGTTGCAGGCGATTATCATTACCATGTTTAGTCTCGTCGCCGTCGATTCGACCCCTACACAAAATTCGGTTGATTGTACTAGGATCGTTGGGTGTGGGGAAAACCCAGTTGGTGTCTCGACTTCTTGGGAGGGCCTTTAAAACGAACCATTACCCAACTGTAAACGATTTTCACGTAGTAACTCATAACATTGAAAATGAAATCTACAAATTAGACATCTTAGACACATCCGGAATATCCCCCTATCCACCGGCGATGGAGACTTGCACTCTAATGACAGGTGAGTGAATTGGACGACTTTGATTATCATGACTTACTTGCATGCATATTCATTCGATTACGATTTGAAGATATAGCGCGTCGAACGAGCTCAAAGTATATCTTGGTCTAGAACTTATTATACCAAGGAGCTGCATGACCGTTTCTAATTTTAACCTTTCTCAACGTAAAACTATTGCGTTTACCATTGTTCAATAAGACTGGTTAATTATGCGATAACGGCATATCAGCGCTTTTTAATCTAGTGATGACTTGCGAAAATGTTTTGAAAACAAAGCATATCATAAGGATACAAAACATGATTTATTACTGAAACATTCACTTGCATACGGGATGTAATCAACGCAAACTTAATGTTGGGCTCGCTGCTTTGGTTCGTAGTAAACTATATTATTACATCACAGGCTTAATCCAGTCTCGGAAGTTGATAATTTCTCCCGTGATCCGAGAAATAAAATACAGAAATTTTTATAGGTGATCTCTTTTTGGTCGTTTACTCCGTATCGGATCCTGGAAGCTGGGAACGAGCAAAACATTTGATTGATACTATCGAAAAAATCAAATGCAATGCTGAAAATATTAAAGTTTCTTTTGAACGGAATTTTAAAGTAAGTTTTCATAAATTTTATCTGGTTCAAGAATAATTTTGGTCCGTGTCACGTAGGCATTCAGTGGTACGGGAATTACAAAACGAAGGACATGAACTTTTCTCCCCTGACAATTTTGCTATACATCTATGATAAGCAAAGTAATGAATCAGATTTATTTTCCAGAATTGGTATGCCACATTTATAGATGAGGTTGTTATGACATTTCATGACACATTTTCTCTATTAGTCATTAGGAAATTTCAGGCTATAGACGTTTAAAAGCATTTAATAAAAAAACGACTTTTTAAATACGCCACCCACCTGTGTAGTTTGCCTAAACGTATCGAAAACGTATGCATGTTAGCGCCGCACTCGACGACATTATCATTCTCGGAGATTGGGCGAGAGACTGAGCTAGAGCACATGGTCGAGTCTTATCATCTGATCTCCCTCTTGTAAAAATTTTCACAAAGTTCCAATCTACACAATAACTTACGTCATTTTATAGTTTAGACTTTAGATACAACTGTGCATAATATTTTTCATCGCCAACCATTACACTCGGTATATGATAGAATACTTTTATGTTTTGCAGAATAGCGTTAGACAAAAACCGGACTTGGCGATGGAATCAACAAAGGAACCTATTGCTTCCATTCTAGTGGTCGGAAACAAACATGATAATTCAGAGTGCAATGTGCTTGGCAGAGAGGTAGACGTATGGCTGAAGAAACGGCAGTTCAAGCTGCCATGTGTCGTTAGTCACATTGAAGCATCAGCTAAAACTTATTACAACGTGGAAGCAATGTACGATCAACTTCTCCTTATGGCAAATTTGCCGCTCGAACTGAATTTCGTGACCACACATTCAAGAAATTTTCGTTCTCGTCGTCGGTCAAATTCATTATTAGTTTCTCCGTTTTGTAGCAGGGATCGCGCTGTTCGAAATTCGTTATATCTGCACGAGAGAAACTTTAAATCTTCTACACGAAACCGACAAACAGATTTAAACCCTACCCAAACACAAATCCGACTCATTCAACGACCACCGGACCTTGAAGACGAAATAATCCTGGCATTCATAAAAGCGTGCTCCATAACAGAGATGTTAAAGAAGCAAAAATCACCAAAGCTATCACTTAGAACCGTTTCAAAGTTGCTGGTGTCTAAGTGGTCATGAGTAGACTAAGCATATGACTCGCTTAACGATCATTTAACTATATATCCCATACTACCGACATGCCTCAGTTATTAATGTGTTTAATTCAACAGAATTCTTGTCACAATATACAATTCGTAATTTGCAGTTTTGTAAGATACGTGATCGAGCAAAGTTTTTGATTTTTTCGTTGACAGAAATATAGAAGTATGCTCTATACCAGGGTATTGATGTTTTTTCTTTCAAATTTAACTAGATGTGATATTTTTCTGTTTTATATTTGTTGCACATTACAAGGTAAAGTATGCTTATTTTAGAGAGTGCATCGTAAAAAGTGCTAATAATAATTGAAATCTAATTAGAGAATGGGTAAATTATTATGCTATTTTGCCTGTCATTTCTCTGAAAATGATGATGGAAGGGGTTTAATGAGATCGTTGTCACCTAATTAAAGGGACAGGATCAGAATATAGTGATAAATCTTTCAGCGCAAATACCGTATTTCCCGGCGAATATGACGACGAGACCCGTTTTTAAGCCTGAAAAATGGGTTTTTGCATATAACCGGCCTATAAGTCGGGGTAGTAAAATCGCATCAACATCGGAATCTTAAATTACCATGCAATGCCCTTTGAGCGGTCGCCGCGTTTGCGCATTGGATAATGACTTTTTCTTGTAGCGTAATATTCAATCTATAACAACTACGGGAATTCAAACTGTCTTTCAATTTCAATCTAATTGTGTTCAACTCGCGATTGCGTCCGCCGTACAAGAACATTACTGATATAAAATAACATGGCAATCTGCGGACATACTAATTTGATATAAACTACCTGATTATATTTAGTTTTTATGAATAAATATACATATAAAGTGTTTATATGAATCATACATATTGATCACCTCGAAATCTCCACAAAACGAAATGTGTTGCTTCATCGATTTAATGGGGATTATATATATGTTGTTTTTGAGGGTTTTACGGTAGGAAAAAACCTTAAGTCAGCGATGATATCCCACCGAGTAAATTTATGTCAAAAAATGAATTGAATATACTTTACATTACCGTAATTACGGTATTATACACATAGCATAGTCGCGTCTGGCCCTGTCGGTAATTGTAGAACAAAAAATGTTTTCGTGATTTACGAAAATCATCTGTAATCTGTCACGAGTCATCCTTTCCGTTTTATTTTTAGTATTTTGTAATGCCGCTTTTACATCAAGGAAATTTGGGTCATGTATTCACTTCTTATTTACCTTAGCCTGTTGTCACACATGATTATGTAATAAAGAAAATTTGGGTCACATATTCACTCCTTTATTTATCTTAGCATCTTGTCACACATGATTTTGTGATAACTCGTATCTCACAACACAAGTGCCATGGTTACTTGAGAGCAATGAAGTATTTATCGTTGTCCTCGCTGCAAATTTGTGACTTAGGGGGAATAAATGCTGAAATGAAAGATGTTCACAGCTCAAATAAGACATCACGCTGACAAAAACATTTGACGGTTTTCACAAATTGCAATCCCACGTGTATCAGGTAATAGCGACACAAATGCGGCAACTTCAAATATGATAATCACAGCATTAAAATTTCAGATTCACTGCGCGAGAATATCGATATATTTAAACTAACCTGATGAGGACGTGTGAGATGCTATCGCCGAAGGTATTTTATTGTCCAGATTTAATAGTAAGGCGACAACAAAAAAATGAAAATGATCATACTCGCCTAATAAGACGACCCCCCCAAAATCAGGCCAAAATTTTGGGTCTAGAAAAGCGACTTATTCGCCGGGAAATACGGTGAGTGAGTTTGAGTGATAAACACTTATATGTGAATTTTCAACAGAAAGAGCTTTTAAAAAATAACATATATTATAACGGGTCAATAAGTTAAGACGACAAAGAGTTTAATGCAAAGAATCTGATAGAAAAATAGATCATTTAGGGAAATTGAATCCGAGAAAAACCATTGAAAAGAATTACTCAATTTCTACATCACTTTCAGTCAGAAATACTAGAAAAAACTAATATGTAGTGATGATACTATGATGAGTATGGACCTTTCCCCGAACTTTGACCCCCGAAAAATTCTTCCTGTACTTTACCATTGCAAAATTTTCGGGGCTGTTTTAAGAGTGCTTTTGCGAGTTGGCGCCTGTAAAATGGGGTATGTGTTTCGAACTATCATTATGATTCATCGCATACAACAATCTGTTTGTTAAAAGTACCGGTAGAGAATTTTAGCCTAGTCTATCACAGCTATTTTTACACTGATTTTTTATTACTGCAATCAAATTAAAACTCCTAGGAAGACAGAGTGATCATTAAATTATCTGATTTATATTTAGGTTTCCGAAACACAACTGAAAACTAACAAATAGAGTTCAAAAACGCAAAAACGAGGTTATGTTTACGACCACGCTTGAAAATCTGTCTGAGTGAGAAAAGTGTCTGAGCGGATGCGAAGTGGGGGCATTGTTACGCCACTTTTTGCATCTTGCTGATTGGCCAATGTCACGAAGTAAACAAGGAAGTCGATGCTCGGGGGGAAAGGTCCATTAGGCGCATTATCCTCAGATATGAAAAGTGAAAATGAATTCAAACATGAAGCACGCGTTGTCCCATCCCGAAGCCAGTTTCAGTTTTTAGGAACATTTGTGTTACTCTCCTGTAGTTGGTCCGCCACTTAAAGTGAGATTCGATTGGGCTATTAGCCCACCTTTCCCTGTTTATTTTATTAGCCAATTGTTAATATGATAAGCAGAAAAGGTTTCGCAATAATCTAACAGAAAAAGCATCAGCGAAAACAGAGCAGCACCCATTTTATTAAATTTTCAGTACAATGGTTATCGATAACTCAAACTAATTAGATAATTAGAGAACAATCACAACAAGAAGTGAAATACTCTCTTGAATACTCTCTACAATTGAAATCATTGCGAACAAACAGTTGAATGCAGCAAGTTCGGCAGATGAACGAATATATATCCACAGGGGTCTTAAAAATCAAAAAGACAAATATCAAGTCGGTAGCGTTAAGACTACCCGAAAAGTTGGGATCATATTGATTAAACCCAAATAACTACAGAAGTCGTAAAATTTCATAAGGATAGGGAAAATGTAAATAAAGCATCTCGTATTTTGGTAGAAAAATTCACCGAAATAACGACAAATAAGCAAGTTGAGAAGCGACCACAAAAATAGGTGGAATATGATATTATCCATAAAACATCAATACTAATTCAACGTATCACAATATTTTAAAACATTTCACTTTTACTTGTATCATTTTTATATATACCGCCGAGTGAATGGTAACGGCATACAGTCCGGTTTTTAAATATTTGGAATTCATTTTAAGTGGGAAAATAACGCGACGTAAACAAACAATTAACATAGGGCCCTATGGAAAATGTCCGAAAATTCAATAGATCTTTTGCCCAGGCTTCCTAATTCCTGTCCGCTTTCAAGTCTCTGATTAAAACGAGTAAGTTCCTTGTTGTATGTTGTATTATAAAAACGACGTTATAAGAGCATAAAGTAGATATCAAACAGTAAAATAACTTAACTCAAAAATGAGGCAGATGCTCGGAGTAGTAGTAGTAGGTGCGTGTCGCGAGAGATCCCCGAGTTGAGTGCCCGAAGTCGAGTGTGCAAAGATCAAGTGTCAGGAAGCGAGTGTCGAATTTGGTATTCCAAAAAGCCAAAACGTGGCAGCGCGTCACAGGTCATGTGACCCGAGCCTAGATGTCGCCATACCATACCTCAGCGACCCCATGACCTGTTTGCGACCCTACCTACTTATCACTCCGACCCAATTTGGGGTCGCGACCCCTGGTTTGGGAACCTCTGATCTAGACAGTGGTTCCCAACCAGGGGGTCGCGAAGGTCTTGCAAAACAGTAAAAAATAATACAAAGCTTTAGGTTAAATATTGTCAATAGAATGCGAAGAAGTCTTGAATGGATTCTCGTTTGCCTCCGAGAGATTTCCACTAGCTGTCGTGAGACCCCAGAATGTTCTTGCTTGAGAACCAAGCAAGCGGCGCGAGATGTTTATGGCATGTTAGCCATTGTGACGTCACACGGACTAGTCTGCATTTCCGCATGCCGCGATGCGATAAAGCTTCGAAGCAATGCTGTGGAACGCCAGGATCTCGATACCATCGGGTTTACTGCGGGGTAGGCTTGTAGTCTATGTTGTTTTAACGTGAAGATTATCATACATCCTGCAGTAACGTTATAATTCCGTTATTTTATATACCACGACGAAGAAGCGACAATAAGAGGGAGACTATTTGAAGATAATAAAGATTATTATTAAGTTCGGGTTTACATCCTGCGTCATCAGCGGGATTGGAAAGCCGCGGTGTGTTTTGTGCAATATCGTTCTCAGTGCCTAATCCATGAAACCGTCCAAATTGAAATGTCATTTGGAGACTAAGCATTCCAAATACACCACGAAGAATTTAGAATTTTTCCGGCGACATGAACCCGGTCTAGCATAGATAGATAGATAGATAATGATTTATTTCCGATACAAGTACATAATACAATGAGCAAATAACAATAAGCATAAAAATGTATACGGAAGGGGACGGGCAAGACTTCCAAGGTCGACCGACCCCTAAGGTAAGATTCTACCAAGACAGGACACTCCAAAGCAGGCATCATAATTACAATAGAAGAAATATAAATTTTTGAGTTTTAAGACCGGTTAAGAGGCCCCAGAAATCAATTCCCCGAAAGTATTGGAATAGAAATAAAATTACAAGGAACAAGACATCACATGATTACGCAGATCATGTTTTAATAGTAATTAAAAATGCGAGAAAGAATAAAGAGGGCGTCGGGTTAATTTACAATTAATTATACTTTATGTTAAACAAGAATCAAATCGTGAGAATGAGGCAATTTCTATGAATAGGTGAAAAATTAAAAATACCATACTTCCCAAGCTATATTAGTACATATAATTATTACTTCAGACTATATATAATAGTATCTTCAATAATTTTCACAAGGACATATGAAGAATCCATATATAAGATTTCTATCCATTTTATAAATCTGATAGCATACACTGAGATATATACACTGATATATATGAGATACACTGAGATATATGAGATTAGCTTTGTCGAAAACTCAACCACGAATTATGCAGTTGGCTACGGGGTTTCAATGTCAGCCGTAACATTGAGCAAAACTGCTGCTTGATGGGAAATTAAATTTTTTTATTGATAAGTAAAGAAAGTGAGGCAGGGATCGCGAGGTATGTGTAAATCACAAAAGGGGGTCGCGAGCCAAAAAAGGTTGGGAACCACTGATCTAGATCAGTTGTCTTCAACCTTTTTTACC